TAATAATTTTGAATTATATTCCGTTGAAAATGTTTTTATTGCATCGTCATTAAAGGTTTTTTGCGATGATTATAAAACGCAAGATGGTAATATAACATCAAAATCTATACTTCGTTTTTATTGTAAAAGAACAATTATAGCAAAATATTTTGTATTAGAAAATTTAAATGGGATATTAAATATTAATCGTATTGTGTTCTATGGATGGAGTTGTAAGTTATGGATGAAAACATCGCTTAAAAACGAAATAGTAATATCTTTCTCTTTTATTATAGATTCGTTTAGAATAACTACTACAAATGATATGTCTACTTTAGCAAGTTTTACGACCATCGAAGCGAAATCTTTTAGCATTTGTTGCAAAAGCTGCTTAATTTCTGTTAATTGCAAATCATTTCTATATGAATGGAAAGATAAGATATGTTCAATTAGTGATAAAATCTTTGCGAAAAACTTTGAGAGCACAATCACCACGACAAACTATCACATGTTTTCAATATAATATTTAAATACCCTTACAAACAATACATTTGAAAGCTAATGTAGTTTCGTAATTGATAAATGTTTGTACTAGGTAAATATCTAATAATAGTCTTTCTGCTATTAACTCTTATAAAATAGAATATTTATGAATAAGAAAAAATATGATAATATGCTATTATACAATACTTTGTTAACTGCTGTACCTTTTGAAATATAAAGACTAATTCTTTACTCTAATTGGTGTTTGTCATATCTTATATTCGAAGATTATTTTGCTTAGAATGGCATTAAATTCAAAGCAATCCTTGGGGGGGGGGGAGAGCAGAAGGGTAGTGTTTAGTTGCAATTCAAATAGTTCAATGATATTTAATAAGGCAATTACCAAGAAATCTATCTTTACCATCATTTTTATTTCTTTGAATATTTAATAGCACTATTATTTTATTGCATATGTTTCAAAAAGATGTTTATTCAGTCAACTGTAAATGGAGTCACTACCTTAAATGATCAATCTTGAATGAGAAGAAACAATTTCTATGGATAAACTTTAATTATTATTCTAAATTATTAAAGATATCTTTACTATACGATTTTCATTCTTGAAGTTTGTCCGTATAACTTTCAATATTTTGGTGGAAATGTATTGTATTTATATTTTCATTTTTTGCTTTTCTATCAAAAATTTGAATGGAGCTTGCGATTATTTGAACGCTTTTGATGATTCTGAATCTTGTATTATATATAATTATACGTCTACATCTGTTCAAGGTATTTAGATAAATATATCCAGAGATATCGTTTCTATATTGGATCGGTTTTAATAAAATTTATCAAAGTTAAAGGCGTTGTGGCGATTAAGAAGTACATTTCACCAGGAAATAACCTTTTTCCTTCGTGTAAACTCATAGAAAATTTAAATGAAGCGATTGTATATTGTCAATCACATCAGAATTGCGTTGGATTTGTTTTTTCTATTCCACAGAGCTGTGTATTGTATAAATCCACAATTCATTTAAACTATAGGCCAGGTTTCAGTTTCAAATATCTCGGCGACCAACCTAATTCAGCTCTATTTTACTTTCTAGGTTTGAAAAATGACTTTCTAATTTCATTTAATAGAAATATATCTTTTCCTTTTAGATACGCAAGATATAAGATGTAATGCTATTGGGAATTCAGGTGATATTGTAGAGGATAAATATTGTTTTCAATATCTTTTTTTAAAATCTGGTTGTTTACTGGACAATTTTGATATTACATACAAAAAGTACACAACATACTGGACAAATCAACCTTTTTCATTAATAAAAAACAGCTTTAATTCATTTTTAAATTCCTGTTTAGCTCATTTTTGTAATAGTAAATCATATCCCGTTAATGGCGGTTATAATTTGGCTTTATATAGATCAGTGAAGTCAAGCGGATACAATTCATCCGAATTTCATCCATATCACGCGGTTGATGGAGTTATTTACAGCATACTGGCAAGTAAAAATCCGTAAACTACAACTTGTAACTATATTTCTATTGTGAGAAATATGCTAAAATCAAATAAATATACAAGAGTTTACAAAGATTCTATCAGCATCAAGTAAACAAATATTTGAAGGATGCTTTTTAGAAACCTTTTAACACTAGAATTAGATCAACCGTTTTCCCGACAAGATAAAGATTCTTTCTAGAGGCGTTGCTTATATCTTCTATGATATATAATTAATACTTTATTCTATTTATTAATCAATTGAACATTCAAAATGCAGTTATCTTCCTCCATTATGTTTCTCTTTTCTTCACCTTATTAAATTTAGATTGTATCTTTGTTTTATCATTTTCCATTATAGCCTTTAATAATTCTTCTCTCTCAACAGCATACTGGCGGATGTACTATAGTTTTAGGTGACGAACTCCTGCAATATTACTTTGAAGTTAATCTAGATACTCCAACGATGATTGAAAATCTTGTTGTTTTTGAACATGAATTTTATGGAAATTCAAGTGATTATCGTGCATATATTGAATCAATTTCCTCAGAGAAGAAACCAATGTATAGTCTCGAATTGAATGAGAAAGCGAAAAGATATTTCTATATCATTGATATAGAAATGTCTGGAAAAGTTTATATCAATAGTACAAGTACATTTTCAATTTGTGAAATAAGAATTTATTCTGGTAAGGTTTATACAAAAGAAATTGTGTCAATTAGTCAAATATATGTAAATATAAACAAATATATTCAGCTGATATTTCATTTGGAAAATCTCAATTCAATTTTACTAACACATCAACAAGTTTAAATACAAATCAGCCATCTTGGATTATTCTTGGAGACTTTTTAGCAACAATTTTAATTGATTTGGAAGGGATGTTTATTATTAATCTTATTGAATTAAACATTGAATATAGCAGTTTTGGTAAATTTTTGTCATTTACAATATAATAATTATACAAATATAATATTAAAATCTTTCAGTTAACGCTATTTTGGATGAAAACTATAGAGCCAGTATTTTTAAAGAAATCAATTCAATACAGTTAAATACCGGAGATACGTACAGTTGTAATAAGCGAAATGATTCAAATTTCATTTTAAATTGTGTCGGAATCTCTAAAGGAAAATATGTTCTATTCAAAGAGAGAAGAGATATTAATCATCCAATTGAAAATATTATAATTAGAGGTAGATTTTTATACAAAAAAGGTAAAATTTTATTATTTTAATTTATTTAATTAGTTATTTAATTGAATTTATTTAATTATTAATGCAGACAAGAATATTGCTAAACATAAATCAATACGACAAACTTTTGATAATCGATATTCAAGCAGAATTGCTGATGGATTGTTTAAAACGTTTTTAATATTTAAAAGAAAGAGCCAATTTTTTATTCACTTAGGAGCTTTATATAACGTTACCTCTTTTGCTATTTTTTTTCAAAGTAATCAAATACATTATCGATCTTTTTAGTTAAAAAGTTTATAATTTGTCTGTCTTTTTATTGAAAATTTGCTGTTAGGCGATAAGAATATTACTATAACTGCTTGGGCTAAATTTCAAACTAAAGATGGCAGTATAAATTCTTCAAACTGTGTTGAAAATTATGAGATCGGTGGAGATTTTATACATCAATTCCAACAAATTTATTGCCTTGGTTCCAACACAATTGGTCGATCATTTATAATAAGAAACAAATCTCCATTTGAGTTTAGTATCAATGAAGTTCAAATTTTTGGTTCATTTCAACAATTACAATCCAAATTAATTTACTTAAATGAGATTAAAGCATTTTATTCAAGTAATAGTACTTCTGAACAAATTCGCTATCAGAATGTACTTAAAGCATTTGATGGTAATCATAGTAGTTTAGTTACGGACTATCAACATCATTCTTGTATGTTTCTATTGAAAAGTGATACTTTTTCATGGTTTATCATTCAACTTTACGATCCGTATCACTTATTATCTCTTAAAATAACACCTGGTGAATATATGAATAAAGGTAACATCAATAAGATATGAATGAAATTTTGAATAAAAATCGCTATTTCAATAGAAATTATAAACAATTTTGACGTATCAACATCATACCAACTGTCTTCTTTAATAGATTGGTCTCCTTACAAACCACGTCGTATTTGTAGATATTTACATAGAGAAAATATTAAACATGGATGGTTTTGGTTCCTTAAGTGTAAAAATAATTCATTTGGCAACACAGTCGCCATTACCACCAGACACTCTGATATGAATATAATAGTAATATGCGAGATTGCACTATTTGGAGTAAAAACTAACTTGGACTTTGGAAAGAAAATGATCTTTAAGAAGCATTTCTTTATGGAAAATTACAATAAATTACAAGTATATTTCAAAGAAAGAATTCAACTGAGCGTCGATTATCCTAAAGTATTAATAGTAGACACTGGTAAAAGGGTAAATATTAAGAAAGTAGACATACACTTCTCGAAACAAGGCTCTCCCTCTGGAAATTTTAAATTGTATATTGTTGATAATTTTCTTAACTGTTCAGAAGAAGATTATAATGTATGCGATAATCACGATATACTGAAAGATGGACCGATATTGAATAACTCAGTAATTCAATACTTTTGTAAAAATGACATAGTAATGGGACGTTATTTTATTTTAAAAGGAGAGAATACAATAGAAATAGATGATATTAATTTTTTTGGAGAGATTTGTAAGTGTTGAATAATAATAAATCATTTTATATAAATCAATAATGAGTTGTTTTATTCTATCTATAAAAGATTCATTTAAGCGGCTACTTGAAAAGAATTCAACAGCTTCATTGAACCAAAAACCATTCGAAGAAATTTTTCAAGCAATCTTTTCAAACTGTAGTCAATTATGCTTTAAAAACAATAAATGTAAATCGTATATATTCAACGTAATAACGAGAAAATGTTCTCTTTACAAAGAAATTCTGGAATATATTAACCTTCATCTGAACAATTCAATAATGGGATTTTCCCTATTCAAATTATGATAAAAAACCAATTCGATAATGGTATGCCCTACTTTTGAAACTCTGACAATCATTTTGATTAAAACAAATCTAGATTATTCGTTAAAAAGGATACAAGATAGAAAAGATCAAGAGTCTTTTTTTTTGAAGATGCTTGTCTTTACGAGACAATTTATGAATTAATAAGATAATTGCTAACACATTTGGTCAAGAACTGTTACTACTTTATTTTATCGCACATTTTGTATTTTTATTGTTCTATTGTTTTAATTATAAAAGATTTCATTGGACAGTATTTTCAATACAATACGAAAGAAGAACTAAATTATTCATATCTTATATATGAGTCAACTAGTTTATAGTATAATATCGATATTCAGTGTATTGCTTTAGGAAATTACTATCTCAGATATTGAAGTTTATTCCATGAACAAACATTAGTTATATATACCATATTTTTCATATGATATTCACTATTCTTTCAAGCAGATTCACGTTTGTGTTAAAATGAAATTTGCTCATATTTTCCTCAAGTTTAAATCAACATTTTCAATTAATGTTTTTATAATTTTTTTATCATCTTTATCCAACTCTAACAGTTTGTTTTCACTAAATCAAGTGAAAAAAGATCCTGTATATTGTTCTTCTGTACTCTATGATACTTATGGTTAATAAACTTTAACTTTACGACAAAAATTCTTTTTCTCTTACTTCCGATTTTTTGCTTTTAGACGCAGTTGTCCTTTCATATGTAGATTTCACTGGCGAAACCTTTTTTTCAATGAAATATGACAGTTTTAACGATTGTATTGAAAATTGTTTAAGTAAATCTAAGTGCAGTGGTGCTACATTTTGGGATGATAAATGCTACTTTTATAAGAAGGTTAATTTAAATGAGAATTCTGGTCTAAAGAGAACAGGCTATGCATATTCTTTCTATATTAGAAGTAAGTTTAAAAGTCTATATTACTTTTATAAAACTATCTAATATATAGCTCGAAAGATAAAGTGCGAGAATCCTGAACATGAAAAGATAAAGGGAAAATACTGTGCTCAATATTTCTTTTTAAACCAAGGATGTACTTTTAGTAATTTTGAAAGTGCTTATGAGCAGTATAGCTATCATTGGAAAAATAATCCTATTGAAGATATTGAAGCTCATGTTGAAAGTATTAAACAATCGACATTCTGCAAAAAAAGAATAAGTTCTGGAAGAATAAATGTTGCCCCTTTAGCGAAAATACATTTATCTGGAAATATTACGTCATCTCTACTTCATCCCTATCATATGATTGATGATGTTTTAATAAACAATGAGGCATGTTTGTAAATAATAAAGTTACTTTATTAATGCTGTTTATCTTATTTAGCATCTTGGGAGTTGCTCTTTTATTCTTAGAAATGATACAATTAATATTATTACACATTATTTATTTATACGTGTACAAAGTGTTACTATTCATGGAGCAAATGGCTATTCTCTCCCTCAAGTGGAAATTGCTTTAATTGACGAAACAGAAACGCTTATGGAATTAGCGAAAGAGAGTAATAGTCTCATGAAAACATTTTTTAGTCCATCGTTGAATCTAACTAAAATGATCAAAATAAATACGATTAATAACGATATAAATGGCTGGATTATATGTGAAATACAGATATATACCTGTAAATTATCAACTTTCTCTAATAATTATAGAAAATAGCGTTGATTGTAATCTCTTTCAGATGATATTTCATATGGTAAACCTCAAATGAACTTGCAAAACGGCTTACCCAATTCTGCCGCTACTGGTACATGGTTAGAAACAGATGACCAGCTCCTTTTTAATACTTTAATTGACCTTCAAGCCGACTTTATGATTGAAAATGTACATATAGAATTTAATGGAATATCGAGTAACATTTAATTAACTATTTTTTATTAAAGATATACATTTAACAATTTATTATCCTTTTTTAAGCATTTTCTTCGGTCTACTATACTAAAGATATTAACGAAATAATGACAAATATCAAAACAAAAGTAATTTGTCAAAACAAGACAAATATCTTCCATTGTCCAATAGAATCTGAAGCAAGATATATTTTGATTGCAAGTAATACAATGAATCAATCTTCTATTAAAGATATATATGTGTCTGGGCAATATATTAAAAATTATATAGGTATATTTATTTTGATTAAAAACAAGATACAGTATTTACGAGACGAAGGATTTTTGATCATTTTCTATTGAATTACAGTAAATGCTGCTTTAAAAAAGGTGATATATCTTTCTTCAAATAGGACTAGTCCGTATTTTGGAAATGATGGAAATTTCAACAGTTATATCACTGTTATTCCTGAACAATATCTTACTGTTCATCTGGTTTATGTCTACGTTATTAGATCATTTTCACTACTTTTCTATAGTAAATAACAATATATTAATAAAAAATACCTTTTTTTCTATAAGAATGTCCTATTTTCTGTTAGATGTTGAATATTCAATTTTGATATCTACTGAAGTTTATGGGTCGGGCAATAAACACTTTTGCATTGATGGTGCAGTTTTGGAACAGTCATCAGTTTATCAAATCAAAGAGTTTTTCTGTAAAAATTATATGGAAGGAGAATATTTCGACCTAATCTCCTCCAAACAGTTTAGAATTTATGAACTTGAAATTTACGGAAGTAGAAAAGAATCATCTGAAATAATTAAATGGGATTTATTAGATTATTTCACTTTAAGCTCACAAACTGATAATGATATAATATATAATAATCCTATAAAGGCTTTTGACGGTAAATATCAGAATGAGTTAAAGGATGATAATTTTAAATCTTGTAGTAGAGTACCATTCTCAACTATAAGTAGATATAAATGGTATGCTGTTAGAATGAAAAATATATATTTAATTGAAGGATGCATATTAAATTTTGGGTCAACTGAAGGTGAGACTATAAGAGAATAAAGATTGTATATTCTCACGATAACCGTGTATGTAATTAATAGGCGTTCCCGATGAATTTGATGTATCAACAACAAATGAAACCTTAGATACATTAACATGGCCTTCTGTTAGTCGGACTATATGTAAATATATAAAACCTGAAATGCCATATCAAATCTTTTGGCATATAACCTGCTCTACTTTGGCTTATGCTAATTATTTGGTTGTTACCGACAGAGGTTCTTTGCAAACAAACTTAACACTTTGCGAATTGACACCTTTCGGAGCGGAAAGTAATCCTACAACTGGTAAACTGTTAAAGTATGATAAAATGATTCTAGAATCTTCGAATGGACTTTCTAAATCAATCGATATAAATTTAATTTCAAATAGTTTAATAGAATACTCAAATGTTCAAAAGTTAATAATAGATTTGAAAATAACAGCGGTTATTTATTTTGTGACTCTACACTTTTCTCAAAAGACTTTAAATAACTCTGAAATAACTTTAGCACACACAAAAAACCGATCTTTTAATTATAGTACTTACGAAAAATATTCACCATCACACTTTGGACCAGTTTTGAATCAGACTATTTTTCAATTTCATAATGCCAATGAAGAGATATTAAAATACTTTAGTATTACTTTTAATGTTGACCACTATAGAGTAGCTAAAGTAGAACTTCATGGAATGAGATGTAAGTACTATTTCTATTCTATTTTTAAATTGTCATAAGTATACATGTTTAAATTTATTTAAAGATGCTTTTAGAAGAACCAAATTCCGTAATGTAGAATCAAAAGTATTCGTCTTAACTACATCATTCTCAAAATGTTCTAACGAATGTTTAAGAATAGAAAATTGTAATACATTTGCCTATAATTCTGTCAAGAGGGAATGCACCTTATCATCTGAATTGTACAGTTATAAAAAACCAAACGAAAATAATCCTATAATGCTGTCATATTTTCCATTGTAAGATTACATGTATATACTGAATATAAATTTATATGTTTATACTGTTTATACTGTTTATAACTGTTTGTTAATGATTTATAACAAACAAAATAAAAAGAAAGAAGGTTTTATCAATAAATATATTTTTTTTATTGAAAAACTACACTGAACATTGAATTGAATTTTAGGAAATTGAACAATTTTCGTTAAAACATTAACATTGACCTTGTAAAAAATTGATTGAATAATAGTTATTAATATTAATAGTTTAGCATCATATATAATAAATTATCAAAAATTATAGAAAAATGTCAAAATGAAGGAGATAATATTATTAAATTTCATTCTTTTTCTTTTTCAATGAGGAAAAAACAATGAGCTATTCACTGATTGTAAACTGGATATTTATAGTGTATAACTTGTCAACAGCAATTAGAATAAGATATAGATTACCATAACTTCTGATGTAAAGAAACATATCTATGAATGAATCCTTTATTCTGAAATATTCTTCAATTATAAAGATAAATATTGAATTTATGAAAGAGAGTGATTATAAAATTTAAATGTATCTAGTACAAAAAAGAACATTGGTTTTATAAATTGGTTAAATCTTTAGATATTGATTACGTGTTCATTTTTCTTTGAACAGCTGGAGAGAATATGACACTCTCATTCAAATTATCCGAATAATATCTTTCTAACTACTCCTTCAATTTATATCTTTAAGCAAAAAGGAGTGTCTTAGAATGTCCTCTTTTTACAACATCCTAATGAATTGGATTTATTCAGGATAAATAATCTTGAAGGGTAAACTCGGAGGAAGCTGTGGGGAATTTTTAATGTTTATACAGTATTATTAGAATTGAAGAGAAGAAGTTAATAATCAGACTGTAGCAAATTAACTAATAAATTTTGCAGTAGATTTATTTCCTCTGCAATAGTATTTTATTTGGTAAATAAAGAATAATTTATTTCGACAGTTAATATAAAACGAATAATATTGAATTGAACGAGAAATTAATACAGTCAAAGTTTATTCTATAAAGCAAATAGCTTGTTAAGGTAAAATTGAATTCAATTAAACAATATTAGCATATTAGGAAAAGAGGTATAAATCGACTCTCTCTTAATTTATCGATTGGCGCTGCAAAGAATTTTGCAAATTATCGATAGAACTAGAAAAATTATATAGTATATTAACCCGAATTTAGGCCTATTGTTCCATCAAGCCTAGATAATAGTATTAAAAGAGTTCTCAGCAACATTTTCTGTCATATTTCTTTCTTGCTATCGATTATTTATGCATAAAATTATCTATGGATACTTCTTTCGACGATTATTGTTAATATAATAGTCTAGTAGATGAAGAAGTCTCGAAAAATCTGAAATGTAAAGCGCATACTGCAACAACTGGAATATGTAACAATGCCATAGAGATACGTCAAATTTCGAGTTTAATTTTATAAGCAATAATCTTATTTTCCTCTCGAATTTTCTTTTCTTCTCTTAACGAATGATAATTCCTTTCCATTTATTGATAAAAAGAAATGGTTCTAGTGCTTTATTTGCCTCCGGAAATAAGAATCTATATTGTAGAAGGGTCTTTCCTGATTTTGACGGAGGTAGATTAACCTGAATTATTTATTTGCGACAAAAATTAAACTATGCATAAGCATTTCAATAAATTTTCATGCAATACCGTAAACTATTCATAATTTATGTAAATTATTAAACGTATTTGCATATTATAACAAACAGAATGGTATTTACAACCATTCTTCATCAAAATGAGCTTTTAGTGTATATATAATCTTGAATTATTCCTCAATACTTTCGATTATGTCCAATAGATGGCTCTAGATTCTTAATTTCTGTATTTTTACTATTAACTTGAGGAATGTAAACATATATATATACCATTTGTAATATAAAGAAATATATTGACAATGTAGAAGTATTAGTTTCAAAAAGATATCTAATGATTAAGCTCTTATGATGATGAAGAAACGAAGAGAAGAAATAATTACATTAATGTTATAGTAATATGCAATCAAACGTTAAAATTTCTGAGGTAATCATCTGTAAAATTCATAATATTTAATTATTGCCCTTTGATAACACCAAAGATAGTCATTAGTTGTAGTAATACGTTTAATGAATCATATTTATGCGGAAAATTTGAAAATAGAAAGAAACGATTGTACTATGAAGAAATTAGGATAGAAATTACCATACAGCTTTACGTAAGATTATAAAAACGAGTCTTTTGGGTAAATAAGTCATATAAAATCTTCAAATTAATTACGAACTGTAAGCGTAAGGGACAATATGTCTTCCAAGAATTTTAAAATAATTACACACATGTAAATTACGAAGATAAATAGTGTCTAGAAACGTTGTAGCGAGTTATTGTAGTTTCTCTTATTCTCTTTCTCTCCTTCTCTCCTTCTCTAATAGCATACACGCACACGAATATAGAAAAATTCTCAACTCACACAGACACACACACACACACATATATATATATATATATATATATATATATATATAGGCCTTTCTCTGTATAGATGCTAGCTTTATTATTCTACAAAAAAAAACCAGATTATATATTTAACTAATACAGATAATGAAAGAGAGAAAACATGACAGACTTAACAATCTAGTTCGTCTTGTAAGTTTCTATTTTTATTGTAAAAAAATATAATAATTCTCAACATTCGGTTGTAATTGAGGCAATTGATCATTGATCAATCGAAAATACAAGAAAATATTAGGAATAATCCAAAAAAATTGGATTATTTCATTGATCATAAAGGACAACAGTCCTATAAAGTAGAACTTGAATTACAATAAGACTAAATTCCAATCCAAATTCTTATTCCTCCTACTTTCCTTTCAAATATAATAGAGATAAATTTTTTATTTTCTATTTAATTGGATCAAGCTTAGGAGAATTAATTATCGGGGCAGAACATTCTAAATCATCATAATTCCTTCTCAGAATTATTTATATATACTGTATAGAGCATCGAAAAAAAGGGCCAAGGTTCATGTTAATGTCAAATCATCGTATGTAATTATCATAAATACAAGTATTTAGCGTTGTATAAATAAAAGAGCCTTAAATTTAACATTTATTTTGAATCACTGCAAACAATCAAAAAAAATTTACAGTACAGAATGCAGAAGTATTGTAATTTTTTTAAGGAATAAAACAGCATAGTTTAAAACACTATTTAATTTATAAAACTGCTTATACGTACAAAATTAAGAATATCATTATTAAAAGAATATTTCTAAAAGTCAGATAAAAGGTAAAAATCTATATAAAAAAAATGAGAAAAAACAATTGAACACTAGTAGTATATTTTTTTTAGCAATCTGTACTTTTAGGTTCACCACGCGCATGAGCGCTCGAATCAGAACATTGAGCGGAAGTACTGGATACAGGTAGAGGGGAAAATCGTCCTCCTACTATTTCATTATCACTGGTACTCTCATTATCCGAATACTGATAAGCCGAAGCAAAACTCTCGTTGTGCAAAGGCCTATTTTCGATCGGAGGAGGCGGAGGTGGAGCATGCTCCAGTAAATTCTCCGTTATCCTCATTCTATAGTCTTTATAGTCCTTATAATACGCAGCTCTTGGGAGAGAAGAGTAGTTGTAGTTTGTACGAGGCAATGATGAGTAATTGGGTGGCTCTGACGTAATGTCATCCCTGGGCGGAACTGCACGTTTCCCTCTGCCATTCGGTAGCGTCATCAAACCGTCCGGGTGCCTTAAATCCTTGACACTCTCATAGCAAGCTTCATGCTGAGCGGAGGGTGCTGAGTAGCCTATTGAAGTCAAGGCTAGACCATTATGATTTGAACTTCCGCTTTTCCTAATCGAATTCGAATGTAATTCCCTAGAGGTATCGCCAAATTTTTTCAAATTTTCTTCGTTGTCCATTTGACGCTGACGTCTTTGACGCCAAGCACACATTGCCCCGAATATGACAATTAAAACTAACAATGTACCAAGCACAATACCAAGGACAAGATAAAGCAATTCTGAGCTGGATTTTTTTGGCCAGTTTTTATCCCGTTCTACAGCATCTACTTCAGACCCATCGATATTAACTCGTTTCGTATTAATAACTCTAGAATAATTCGTACACTTATCTTCCGCATTTACGGTACAAATCTTAAACGAATATGAATGTCTTAAATCAATGTTTGTAATCACTGCGTGTCTTTTTCCTTTTGGCACGGAAACATTGACAAATTTATAATCGGAGGAAGCCGGTTTATAGAATATACTGAATCGTTTTATATTCTTTGCAATACCGTCTAATGTCCAAAAGAGATGGATATTATTATCGTTTACTGTTTCTACTTTATCTAGGCGAAATATTATTTTCCTTTGTCCCTTTAATTCAATCCTCGACAATGGACCATTCTTTGACGTTTTATCTTCGTAGATAGCGTGAACTCTGACCTTATAGAATTTATTCGTCTCTAAATATTCGATTACGTATTCCCTTCTGTCTCTATCAATACCATCAATTGTTGTCCACTTTAGGTGTTTTCCTTTCATCTTCCGGTGTTGCAGTGAGAATGATGTAATTTTCATTATTTTATAGTCTTTATATTTCTTGTCAAGAGAGACTTTCGGCTTTTCTATTATTTCCCACCTCACTTTAACTGAATTTCTCCCAACTCTCTTCAATGTCGGCTTGTTGGGTTTAAAGTAGACTTTCTTGGGCGGCTCTGGGGAAGTAACAGAGAAATCGGTTACTAGATTGTTTTTTCGTAGCTTAAGGCTCAAAAAAAAACGAAACGAAATCTACAACAAAGTGACGCCTCCCAGCAAAGATTAGCACAATTAGGACATCGTTAAGCGTAAAGAAGAATGTCGAGTAACGCTGTAAGGCGTTTTAATTTCCCGTTTACAACATCGCCTGAACAACAATTTAACAACAACAACGGATTTGAAAAGAAGACAATAAACGTATTCTGATGAAAAAATTAAGAAACAGCTACCTTTCACCCTTATGTAAGCAGACGCTTGAATTGTTTGAGTGTCAAAACTACCCCAGATGTAACACGTGTACAATCCTTCGTGGGTCTTATTTACTTTTTCGATGTATAGTTCCTCCTTAGAAATTTTATCGTTTACTGGACGACCGTTGAATACCCATACTAAATTCTTATAATGAACGGCTGAGCATTCCAGAGTAAGTGGATCTCCTTCAGAAACGGTTTGATTTGCGGGCCCTCTTACAATTTTGGCTTTTCGTCGAAAATTTACTGCAAAAAATTGGACGTCTCATGCAATAAACATGCAGAAAGAATTCTAGAATAGTACAATATTTTTAAGAATATTATCTATGAATAGTGAAAGCAAATGGTAAGTAAAATATATATATATATATACTGTATATGTATACTATTTACTTTCTTTTAAAGATAGAGCGAGGGAAAAATTTTACTCTAAGATAAGGTTTTGTTTACTTCAACAGCGCCTCTAGCGAATTTGTCAACCGATCAAAAGGAATGAAAATGTTTGTCTTTTTTACTTTGTTTCAATTCAAAATATTTCAAACAAATGTTTTATGAGATTGATTCAATGAAATATTTTGTCTTTTTTAATGTCTCTTTTATACATTGATAAAAAAAAGACTAATTAATAACTAAAGTTAATTAAAAACATAAAAAGGAGTGTAAAAAATACATAAAAAGAATGAAGGGGAGTAGAGAGAGAGAAAAAAGAGTAAGTTAAAGTAACCTTCCCTTTTGAGCGTATAAAAGAAAAAGGCGTTGGCAAAGTAGGTGAAATAAAAGAGTTTTAGAGGGAGGGGGGGCTTTACTAGATCTTTAAAAAATATCTATCTCGTCTATTCAGTACACTACCTGACGGTTTTTCAGTAATAGGAGCCTTCTTGGGTGAAGTACTATCAATATTCAAGTAAACTGTTCCAATATCGGTACCAAGTTCCGACCGAGCTTCGCACTGGTAATAGCCTTCATCTGATTTCTTAGCCATTTCGATAATTATAGTTGTCCCTACAGGAGAACATAACATTTATTATTCAGCTTATAGAAATTATTAGGATTGAAATAAGTGCATACGCGTTCGAAAATTGCATGTATATAAATAAAGAAGGGAAAAATACTGAATAATTACTCATTTTGCCTTTATTTCCCTTCCTTATTTATACCATTTATTAAATTTATGTAGTGTTCATGTAAACAGACGTACACTATAGCTTAGATAAATAAATACATACCTATAGATGTATAAATTGTATTCTTATTGTATTTAAATATAAATATATACTGTATACTGCATACATCTATTTTATATAGGTATATATGTATTTTATATACATACTGTATATACAGTATATATAGTTATACTGTATAACTATATTTGTATGTATCACTTCAAGGTTAGTCAATCGATAAGTCTTTTTTCTATAGTAAAATAATTGAGTTCGAATGCTCGTAACGTAACCCTAGGGAGTACGTATAAAATCATTTAATTATTTACTAACAAAGCCGTGCATTCTAATTAACTTTAATTTTTTACTCTTTTCCTTTACATTTTTTGTTCAATAGTAATAAGCCAGCTAATGACTCGTAAAGAGTCTTTGACGGGCGTTCTAAAAACATATCGAACGGTTCAAAAATTTTCATCACAAAAGAGGTGTTTTATTTACAAAAACATGAAGTACTTTTTTTTAAACTCCCTTGCCTGTAAGACTTTAATCTTGACAGGTTTAACAATCGAGTATGATCGAATAGCTTGTTAACTCTCTTGTATAATTACTCCCCAGACCACCGTCTTGTAACATTTTTCACTGCTTCTTTATTAAAGATTATTAACTTTTAAAATTCTATGGGAGTCTAGCGTAACACTTGATTTATAATGGCGTCAGAAGTGAAGCTAAAGTTTGCTTTAATGTTTAGATGATTTGGACGAAAAAAATTTGAAAATTCTCCTCACGCTCCCATTTCCCAATAAAATCTCTGGAGCTTTTACTTATAGTTTCAGATAAGGAAATCCAAACAATTTATCTTCGTCGGAGAATTTCCTTCTCTCTCTATCGGCAGCTTTTCATTACAAGAGGTCGGAAACATGCTTAGTTTACAAATAAAAATGAGAAGAGAATAGCAAAAGTTCTAATTCGTTAAAATTAAAGAAATACTCAGCTATGTCTTTGCTTTTAACGATTCCGTATGGAAAAAAAACTAATAGGAGAGTTCTTTATTAAAAGTCTTTCCCACGGTTGTTACGCATTTCACGACGTGTTAATTAAACGCCTGCCGCGAAAAATAGACCGAAACGTGAGAGGAAGGGGATTGTAGGTGGTAGCAAAAGAGACAATAAATAATAATTGCTAAAATTATAATAAATAAAAAGGAATAATTATTACAAATGTAAATAGCAAAAGTTTACCAGGCTATTTTTAGCACCGATAGATATACTCTTTATACTGTATATCGCACAAACATGTGTATCTTATATATATATATATATTATAATACAGCTAAGTATAAACTATAAATAGTGCATATTAAAATACTAAGACTTTAAAACCTATCGAATGACATCCCTTCTTTGGGTTAAGAGTATTAGAAGAGGAAGTTTTCGGTGAATAGCATAGACACTGAGAATTAGAGACATGCCACTGCTCTATTAATATAATATTTTAGATATATCTTAAAAGTATTTAAAAAAAAAAAAGAAACCGCATATTCGATTTCTTTTGTGATATTTTTAAGTGCAAAAAAATATAATAATAATAAAACATATGAAGAGTAAAAAATGATAGCACTATCACGAACAAAAATTTCTCTTACCATTTAAAACGGCTGCAAAAGAAGAGGAATAAAAAAAAAACATGTTAGTAATAAAAAAAAGGCAAGAATCGACTTCTATAACCAACAAAAATAAATTAAACTACTAGAAAAAAAATCGGTCGCGAAGCATTAGCTACATAAAAAAAAAACAGTCTTGGAAAAAAAAATTCTCGCTTATTCGGTTTTCTAAATATAAATATAATGTTTTATGGATGAGAATATATGCAAATAAATATATTCTCCTAAATGGAAAACGTTTACATTGGCCTTTTTAAAAGCTTAGTTGTGAATATCTTTGATCGACTTACGTTTTATCTTCAGTGATTTACTTGTCCGCTTCTTAACTGGTTTGCCGTTGACGTACCACTTAACCTTCGGTTCGGGGACACCTCTGACGTTACAACGAATCTGAACGTTCCTTGTTCCCGATCTTTCGTATATTTGTCTCCTTTCTACTGTAACTTTTGGTCTTAGATTAACTTGTAAATAAGTTGATTGTTCAGTATCAGCTGTAGTGGCTTGGCACATGTAATAACCCTGATCCTCTGGTATAACTTTTGTGATATGAATAGCATTATCAGAACGTTGAAAGATTCTTGGGTGGGGTAGCTGCAACGAATTTGGGTGTCGTCCCCATCGTATAACAGGGGGCGGTACAGATTTTATACAGCAGGGTATCGTTGCATTTTCTCCCTCAATTATAAAGATTTTCTTAGGAGGGTCTCTATAAAAGGACGGTTTTTCGGGCACTGTCGGAGCTGAAAATACAAAAAGGATGCTATTATATGATCCCCCATTAATTACCAGATGGCGTAGGTAGCACGAAATTACAAACGAATAAACAACGGAATCCAACAGGGACATTGAACAATAAGCGCCTATTCATGTATAATGCACGCATTAATGCATGAGCGTCTACTCGACTAATTACTAGTACGTTTTGTTCTCCGCACATAAACAGGCCCATAGAAATGGGCAAGCGACGCCCCATTTCCGGTCGCCCACTTCTAACCGTCACAGCCGTCAACTCAACGTCTACCACGAATGACGCTTCGGCCGGCTAATAATCGCGAAAAAGCTTCGAAGAGCCGAAGGCCCGAGGCTCGCCGTTGAGAAAGAGATACCTCAGGGAATTTTCTTTCGTTCTTCATAAAGCTAATTTCTTTGCGTCTTTCCCACTGTTTCGAGTCCGTTTACTCAATATTAAATCCGAATTTTATAAACGCAATATATAAACTTTAGAGTTTAACAAGCCGAAAAATCAGTAAAGATTAACCTATGGCTCAAAACTTACTTTTCACAATTAAGTTAGTCACGTAACCGCTTTGAACTTGACCGCTGATGTGATTTTTGGAGAAGCATTGGTAACGCCCTGAATTCTTTTCCGTTACCGAGACAATATGCAAATAACCGTCGTCCATGAGGAAATGATTTTCTGCAAGGTTATTTTTACCCCTTTAGCGTTTTCGTTTCTCAGTCAAAGAAAAAAAGAAGGAAACTTACCGAGCCGATCAATATATAGCCGCCGTCTATTAAATTCGAAATAAATTTCGGCTTCCGGTTTTGAGCGGGGTACTTTGCATTTGATTATAGCATAATTATTCGTCGTCGCTTCAACCTTGAACTCATCTCTTTCCATCTTTTCAGTAACTAAAGGAAGAGATATAGAAGAAAAGGATTAGAGTGATCTGCCAATTGAAAAGAAATGAAAAGAGAATTTTACAGGCTAAATAAACTCGAGCGACTTTACTAAGAACAGTAAAGGCTGAGCCAATCTTCTTCGCAGAGCACCTATAGTCACCCTCGTCCTCGCTTCCAAAATTCTTAATCACCAGTTTTCCATCCTCATTTGCTCCTCTATCTAACTTCTTATTCTTATACAACCACACAATTCTGTAATTCGATTCGACTTTACATCTTAATGTAATTCGATCACCTTCCTTGACGTAGGTATCTTTCGGGTGGATGAGGAACGGGGAAGCTGCTAAACCTATTAAGAGGCAAGAAAGTAATTTGTAATAATAATAATATAGCGAGCCTACCAACTCCCTAAACTAATCTAGTCTGAAATTTTATATAACGCTTTCGTCGTGAAAATAGCACAAATTGGTGTCGTTTTTGGGTCTCTTGGGTATCATGAGTAAAAACGAAAGTAGGCTTATTTAAATATATAAATAAAAATAATAATAATCATCTACGATTTACAATTAGTGTGTTCTTGGGTATCATTGAGTCTCTGCTGTAGTGTGCTATATACTGCCATTAAATATAGTATTGAGAAAAAATTTAGGTCGAGACAGACGACGCTCAAGGGCGTCGTTATACTAAAACCCTCTTCTTATGGGACAGAAACGGTCCGAAGTGATTAAAACCAATTTCTCAATGTATTTTCAATAGTTAAAGACACAGCGAAAGTAACGCTAAACAAAATATTAAACGACACCTTTAAAATAGATTAAAGAAGCTGTACAAAAAGAAAACGTGGCCAAACACGCGAAGGGAGCCGGCTGAATAAATAAACCCCGGCCAATATACGTTTGCATGTTTCTCATTTCGACGCTGAGATCTTTATCTGGAATACACGAGGATTTTTCCCAATACGATCACCGTTAGAAAACAAAAACAGAGAAAAGTAAGGAAGAGAGAGAAGCGGGTCAACTACGCTCATCCATCACCGTCTCCAACGTAGCAAGACAATCGAGATAATTGAGCAGAAAAAATGGCGGTGGGGCGAAAAAGAACCGTCTGCAACAGTTTGCCCCGCTACAATTCATTCTTGCACGTTTGTCAACGATTGGAAAAAATGCGGTGGATGGGCATTAGTTTGGCAAATGAGTATTCATTAGGGACATAATATAAAGGCTTATCTGTAAAACGCCGTCCGAATTTGCTCTTCTGTTTCGTGTTATAGGAGAAGGGCGTATCTAATACAATAAACCCAGGGGGTAAGGTTTGGGATAGTATACCGCCTTCGTTTGGGTTCACAAAGCGGGTGTTCGTTATTGATTGCAAAAGTGAGTATTTTTCAATAAATCGAAATTTTGCCTAAACGCGTAAAGCTTTTTATGTAATGGAATAAAATGTCGTTTGAAAGGATATGTAAATCCCGTCTACATGCATTTGCCTTCTATTAGATTCGCCGTTCGTCGGTCGCGTTAGGCAATTCGATTTAGACGCCTTTCTTTTATCTCGCTTAACTAAGCTGGAACGGCGCTGTTGGCCTAGAAATATTCGGTAAGTTATTTTCATAATAAATTCATACTCACCACCAAACACGGTTGTTAACAGAATCCACACCGATAACATTTTCCTTATCTGTTCGGTTTATCTTCGACCCCAGTTTGCCATTAACTGTAAGTGCAAAAATAGAGATAAAATAGCAAATTCAAAAATTAACCCTCGCAGTAAAATGAGACCGTTACATTTCCCGTTGAGGCGTCTCTCCCTTAATCCCTATTGTCAACACGCTAGACGCTCCACCAAAACTCTATGAGCGTCTAGTTGGCCAGGCGTTTATTACAAGATATTCTCATAAAATCTTGTTTGTTAGATCAACCGCATCACGTGATTTTTTTCGTTAAAGATAAATCCCGTTTGGCCATATCTATTCTAGGCCCCAACTAATGGATTTCAATGAAGTTGTCGAGTTATAATTTCTACCCTAAAAGTATGATTTCAATCCACTTTCGTGACTCTAAATCACGTGACTATTTGCCTGTATTAGTATTCCTTGTAGGCGTAAATAAATCTAATTAAAATAAATTAGCCAAGAACGGCTTAATTGCTTCTGAATAAGTTTGAAAGCTAGTGGGATTGTTTATTTATATAATATACTTGAGCTCTGTGAAAGTATTTTCTCAACCATTCTTTAAGTATTTCCATGTCTCTCTGATTTCTTTTTGATTGAGAAACTTTTTAACAAGTATTTTCTTACAATTAACTCTCTTCTTGGCCTAATCGATTAGAATAATAAGGATCTACAATAAAATGAAAGGAGTATTTCCGTACAGGATTGACACCAACCAGCTGACCGTAATTATAGCCCGCCAAAAATAGAAGAAACAACAAAGAGCCGACTATTCTAAATCGTGTATAATTATCTGCTCTCGTATCAGCCGGCCACCCGCAGATCAAGTTCAATTAAAATCTAATATAAACGACGCCGAAATAAATAAAAAAAGGGACAGAGGACTAAAGAGAAGTATTAAAAGAGCAAGCGCCAAACAACAAGTCATGAAATATCTACAAACATAGCGTGTAGAAGGAAACGAACAAGGAAAATGTTAAGCGACGTCTACGCGACAGAATTAGGCGTCTACACCGCCATAATTCAAACGTCGACTTGGAGACGCTTCGTCGCACATCGCGTTTAATTCGCGCCTTTTCTTCCCTACTCTCCTTCAAACCCTTCAAAAAATTTTCCCATAAAAACGAGTTCCAATCGATCGTAAAGAAAGTGGAAGGGACACGTAGGCCTATTTAACAACATATATACTTAACCATTAATGATATTCTCAATTGAAATGCCAAAGATCATTTATCGAACGCAATTCGTTAATTCTTATAGACTTTAAAACGCAGGACGTAAGACTATCGCGATTCCCCTTTTAACCATTTATTCATTAACCCAGCTAAAAATTCATTAACCTAATTTCCTCCAGCATTACATAACAGCTAGAAATCGAATAACGTTCAAAGTAAATAGTTTGTAAGCACCAAAAAGAAGACAACTTCCTTCAAGAATATTTTCAGGCCTACAACAAAAGCTATTTTTTACCTGCACTTGCAGTAGTGCTAACACGATTTGTAGTTTGTGAAGTGCAGTTTGAGGCTTACCAGTTTCTCTTATTTTACATGCAAAGGGTATACTATGCATATATAACTGTTCTTAAATGAAAAAATTACGGATAGTGTATTTGCATAGATGTGCTGTCATGGTATTCTATATATGAAAAATGTGATAAAAATTATTTAAGGTCATATTACATAATGTTATTAGATACGTTTTCGTGAGATTGTCTATATGGTTTAGAAAGAAAAAGCTCCACAGAGGCTTGCGTGTACGAGTAAATATTAAAAAAAATATGTACACATACCGTATATCAATATATTCAAGTAAATTGTACTGGCACATGCTATAATTAATAAAAACATATTTAATTTCATTGCAAATAATTGTACTTTACCTTTACAAAACGATATAATAAACAAAGCTTAACCAAACATACAACCGATTACAAATTAAAGAAAAATAAATCCCAAATCGACATTTTCACACATCATCTCATTCCCTAATCTGAAGAAAAAACTACATCCGGTTTAGTGCACGATATTCCCTTTAAGCGGATTTTATTAATTGACGCTACCTTCTAGACGCTCTCGCCCGACTTATCAGAGTTTTATATCTATTGTATCGGTAAAAGAAAGAAACACCCATAGGGGTTGGATGCACTGATTGCCATTTTCAATCTAAATCGCAGTTCAAAGGTTGAGGTTTATTAGCATAATTGATTACTCATCCAATTTGTCGTATGTTTGCGCTCGTTTTGTCCGCTACTTAATCGAGTAGTCTAGGAACGTCAAAAATTAGTGGAGTACCGGCGTTAGACAAACTTTCGAATTTAGACAACATCTGCGAAGAATTCTGAGAGCAAAAAGTAACGCCCCGTTGCATATGACCGACAGACCGTAACAAACCCTTTCCGCGCTGCACCTGGCAAACTAGCCAACTGCAATGACAAACGCATTATTTACGCCGATCTTTCAAAACAAACAAACAACAAAAAGCTACAAGCAGCAAGCAAACAGTTTATTGCCAATACCCTGCTTGACAAACAATGACGAAGCGTACGATTCATTGGACCGTACAGCAAACTTGACAAACTATGATGTATGCAGCGTTTCTTCAATTAATTATACCGTTTCTATTTTTCTCCTTTTTCTCACTTCTCTTTTAGCTGCTACCTGTTTTTGTTCTGTCAACTGATACGACTTCAAAAGTCCCTTTTATATTTCATACAATGTATAAGCAGAGAAAAAACTGACTAAATACAATTACCCAAGCCCTTCGGGATTTTTCTACATTATTTATGAGTTTGTCATTATAGCTTTATACTCAGCCCGCGTTGTTGAGAGGTATAAAATTGAATAATTCACCCAACACACGTGTTACACGCACTACAATAGAAAAAAACTAGCAATAAAATGTATCGATTATTAATTAAGAGTCGTAGGTGTATAGTATATTACTATACACACCAGGGATGGAAGGAAGGAGAGAAAACAGTTTTCTGGTATAGTAACATCAAACGATCAGGATGCGGCAGAGAAAGGGAAATTTGTTGTTGTTGCCGCAGTAAATAATCCGCAAATAATTGAAAAGCAGAATAGTTTCAGAAATGTCAACTTGAAAAGGCTCTCGAAACGGAAAAGGGGGAAATTTTTCGGGATAAAAAAAAGAATCGATTTTCGGACGAGTCAGTTAATTGTAGTCGTTTATTTAAGCATAACAAAGCCGGTAAACGAGTTGCTTTTTGTATGGTGAATGATTGCCGAGTGGTTTGTCGCCGTCCTACCGCAACAGGCTGGCAGGCAGACAGCCCCTTTATCTCATTGGGCCTACTAAAATTATTTCGTTTGCATGCACTCTTTCTAACTGCTAAAAAGCTTAAGATCCTAAAACTTCTTTGTTTCGCTAAACTTGTACACTTACGCCTGTTGATCTTTTTAACATTAATCTTTTTTCCAGCTCGTCCTTCGATTACCATTATTAATAGTTGCAAAGGTAATTGCAGTGTAACATAAAACTTAACAATTACAGAATACAATAGACAGAACAACTGGGTTGCGACGCTGGAATGTATATATTTATAAAACCCTTCCTATATATTTAAATAAAAAGAAACATAAAAGTACATATTTTCTTACGTTATAAAATTACAGCCTATACGCCATAACGCTTCCCCATCTATAATTATATAAGGGAAACAATATAGGGGTAAACTCTTCCCCTCCTATATACTTTAACTGTATATAAATCAACACCGGAAACGTAAACAGTGGCCCTAGTAGTACGACCTTTGCAAATAAGTTAAGATCTGATAGATCTTTGTAATGGTTGTTCAAAAAGAAATGAAAGAGAGAACGGGGCCATTCAGTACTTGTCTTTTCACTGGTGATGGTTACGTCATAGTAAATACTCTTTTTTTATTTCTTTGCAACACTTTCCTTTTAACAATAGAGAGGTAGAAACTACGTATAATAACAATTTCGAGAGCTTGTTCATTCGATCCCGCATAATAACAATAACAATCCGAGTACGCGCCATCTTATTCAAATTTAGAGCAATTTTTTTCGTAGAAAAAAAATAAAAAAACGTTTAAAAAATGTAATTCCATTGTTACCGTTCTATTGGTATAAATTTGTATCGCAGCTGGCACCGTATTCAATATAAAGCAGGGTTAGACGATATAAACCCAACTGTAACCTCTCCTCATTAAACACTAATTAAACATTTAATTCGTCGAATCGGCTCAACAAATATTGACATTTCTACCAATAAAATACACCCTCCTCTCTTCTCTCTCCCCTCCCCTTTCTTATTCGATACTATTCTTACGAGTTCTTTCACCCACTGGTGGCCAGGTGAGCTTTTCAGCTCAATAAGCCGACCCTTGGCACTGTTGGATACAAGCCTGATATGTTAATCGGGGTAGGGGTTTAATCAAAGGATTTTCCCCCTCGGCTTGAGAGAATTATACTGGAAACCGATTGGTAAAAAGAAAGAAATTAGTAAGGAGGTGTGGAAAAAGAATTAAATATTTTCTTTTCCATGTCCAATTTTCCGCAATGCATTTGTAAATAACCTCCCGAATAATCTGTCAACTAAAATTCGTACAAAAGGATCAATAAAACTCTTATTATTTGCGACTGGCGCGAGGATTGAATATAAAGTGCTGTTTAATGGCCTATACTGACTTCACGGAGTTTTAGTTTTCAGTCGATTTTCCTCCCAAATAGCGATATCTGATAGAATGCGAAAGAGAACAGAAAACCTACATATTATACTACCGACCATTTTCGACCAAAGAGAGATTGGCAAATCAACGAAAAAAGTTTCTTATTTAACCGATCTCAGCAGTTTAATAATAGAAAATATGCTAAACTCACCTCTACTTGTCCAGCTTCTTAATTCATAAACGAAATCCCAAAAATTTTAGGAATTTCACGGTATGCGTTAGATTTAATCAAGACAAGCGTACGACTTCGCACGAATGTTGGACCGTATTTGGCGTCGGCTGCTAATGGCGGTTGGATATACTATCGTAATTCGACAAGAAACTACTTTCTTATTCAAATTTTTGTATTGATGCTATTAATATATAACTTAATTTTTATCTCATATATAATTACCTATATCAATATGAAACGGTATAAAAATTATAATATTCATGCTAGAATTCGAACATAAATTTACGATACAACACCCGAACTGACTCAAATAACGACATCTATCGTTTTTGATAGTAACAATTTCATACTTCACCTATACACTGAACATCAATAAATCTATATTGAGTAATCAATCACTTCTTATACACGTAAAAGATGAAAATAAACAATCTTAACGCGTATCCAAATATTTAGTGAAATTGTGCTTAACAAGAGCTTTTAAGTTATCATTTATAATAGTGTTTTTCCAGTTCAATTCGCAATTATCCAGATGATTATCAAAGTCTATCAGCCACTTGGTTGCGTTCAAATCAATGAGTGAATTAAAAATAGTCGATAGCTTTACCTTGTCCTTTTCTTTTTCAATCCATCCGGAGCTGAAAATTATTATTTCCATTAAAGTCATAGTCAAAAAGTGGAGCATGTACTTACCGATTTTCATTTTTCTTTTTCCAATCCTGACCATTAGAGCAGGTGTAGACATCAATCATTTCATTCTTGTCAAAGTCAATAGGTTCAATCGCCGAATAATTAAGCATGACTAGAATTCCTTCGTTTTCATTGTTTTCTCTTATTTTCGAGGCAATCTTAGTCGCTAAAGGGTTTAATCTATTTTGATGTCAAATGTAAGTTAGTGGAATATTTATATGATAAATTCAATTACGTTGGATTGGAAGCCAATTCGTTTGCCTGATAGTACCCATACATTGTATAATTATGCCTCTTGCAATAGCCTTCAATCTGTGAACATTAATATTAGCATTTAATTTTGAAGATTATTGATCGATAATTTTTAAAAAATTATTGCCAACTTGTGTAAGTGCGACTTCCAACATAGGCGATAATTGAGGATGTATATGAAACAACGGAACACAATCAACTATTTTACGCTGCTTTGTATTCCCTTTATCGGCTATTAAAACTCCATTAATTAATGAATGAGGATATTTTGCAGCATGGAGAACCATCTTAAAATAAGCCTGTATAGTAAATGTTAAATCCGGCTCTGCCATTTTTCTTCGTTCAATGAAGCGAGGTAACACATAAGAGGTCAATCTTGAAGCCGATAAATTATGAAGGAGTTAGAACCAGTCTATAATTTACCAGAATTCATGAACAACGCAATACCGCGGTTCTCTTTTTAAAGATAAACTGGTCATATCGCAAAACCATAGGTTATAAAATATCTTCTCAAAGAAGCTCAAATTGGTTCAAGAACTTGGTGTACTAAAGAGTAAATGTTATTTGCTATATGCATTAGTCAAGTGTGATAATACTTAGGGCTTAATACAGAAGATTATACAGTTATCAAGCTTAGACGGGCTACCCTATATCACACAGGAAGTAAGAAACCGGAAACAGTATAAGAGCACACGTGAAATCTTTCTTGCTTAACGCGATAAGAAAACTCGTGTTAAACAAAAATGCCGCAAAACGAACATATTGAATTACATAGAAAGCGTCATGGGTATCGGCTTGATTATCATGAGAGGAAGAGAAAGAAGGAGGCTCGAGAAGCTCATGAAATCTCCAAAAAGGCAAGAAAATTAAGAGGCATCAAAGCTAAACTTTTCAACAAAAAGATGCACGCCGAGAAGATCCAAATGAAGAAAACAATTAAAAAGCACGAGGAACGAAAAACAAAATCCAAGGATACAGATGAAGTTCCTGATGGAGCTATTCCAGCTTATCTTTTGGATCGTGAGGGGCAACAGCGAGCCAAAGTGCTATCAAATACTATTAAACAGAAAAGGAAAGAAAAAGCTGGCAAATGGAACGTACCACTTCCTAAAGTACAAGGAATTAGCGAAGCTGAAGTGTTCAAAGTAGTAAAAACCGGTAAAAGAAGGAAAAAGTCTTGGAAAAGAATGGTTACCAAAGCTTGCTTTGTTGGCGAGGGATTCACAAGAAAACCACCAAAGTTTGAACGTTTCATCAGACCAATGGCATTGAGATATAAAAAAGCTCACGTCACTCATCCAGAATTGAAAGCTACTTTTCAATTGCCAATAATTCGTGTAAAGAAAAATCCATCAAGTCCGATGTACACAACCTTGGGTGTTATAACCAAAGGAACCATTATTGAAGTAAATGTTAGTGAATTAGGTCTGGTAACCCAGGGAGGAAAAGTGGTATGGGGCAAGTACGCCCAAGTGACTAATAACCCCGAAAATGACGGCTGTATAAACGCCGTTCTATTAGTATAAACTGCAAAAAGAGTAATCATTTTTTCCTTGAATCATACAATACAAACGTAAATACATTATCTCGTTATTTCGGAAAAAAAGGCTTTTCTCAATATGAAAAATATGAACTACTTGTAAATATGTAATTTCCCATATTATAAGAGAGTCTAAAACCACTCAAAGAAATTGGCTAAAACTTTAAAAAAGATCTATAAAATAGTACGGCTTCTAAAAGATAAAAGATAATACAATTTAATCCTCATGACCTATTGAAAAGCTGATTATGCAACTGAAATTTTATTATTCCACTAGGTAAAATTCCCTCAATAGCTCTGAAATAATAAAAGACTCTATCTTCTTAGGAGATGAAAATAATAAGAAAAATTTCAAAAGGTAGCATCAATTATGTTATCTTAAGTAACATTTACTAAAGAAATATTTGAAAAGCCCACTTCTTGGACAAAAATTGTACAAAATATCTAAAAGCGTATACAGTTGGTTATATGACTGCTTAAAATGATTGTCAAACAGAACCACTAATTGAACGATCCGGCAAGTAGGTGAAAATCTAATTTATAGGGAATTCGGCAAATGTCATCCGGGCATATATTAGATCTGCAGACCTAATTTAGACACTCGAGTCGTACTAGCCTAGCCAAGAGCAATCAGTAATTATGAGGATCATAGACAAGATTCCGTTCATTTTCGGATGAATAGCTGATCATTCGTGTAGAAAAATGAGTTCGGCTCACGAGTACAAAAGACACGAATTCCGGTGTACTAAAGAAAATTACATTTTTCTAAATACGTGTCTCTCGCTACAGATGTCAGAATGATAGAGAAAAAATATCCTACTGGAACAATCGAGTACAGAGAAAAAAGTCAGAATAAAGACTTTTTGTTATTATTTAAGAGTATTGTAAAAAAAAAAAAAGAAGAATCTACATTCCAATTTATATAGATAACTAAGTTGATTGAGTGGCATTATATATTGCCAAAAAAATTACATTATTTCCAGGTCAATCCAACATAGACGAAAATATAAATATTATTATACGGCTTTTTCATCAGTGCTCAGCATTGTTTTGAGTTTGATTCGATCGTTTATAATGCAATTTTTTCATATTTCTTTTTTTATCCTATGACGAAAATTATTTCAACAAATTTAAGGATTTGATGAATTACATTGAGGAATACTTTCGAATTGATTATTGGATTGACTATTATTCATTTTGTCATTTTACAATTTATATATTATATAGAAAAATATATCACTCATATATCTCGTAAATAAGTTACGACCCAATGTTTGGCTGGAAATGATTGTAGACTTTTATGCTTGTATTAGAAATATATATATATATAAATTTATACATCATGTAAATACAATGTATAAAATAATTAAAAATTTCTAATTGTTTAAAACGAACTTATAGTATAAAAAAAATTATGCTAATTAATTAGAATTTTCATTGTCGGAGTCGTCTGGTTCTGTAAAAACAGATACACTCCGCGATGAACGTCTCCTTATCAGGTTCTCCTTAAAATCTCCTGTGGCGACTATGTTAGATTTTGGCGGAGATTTTATATTAGCTTGGGACATATGTAGAACACAATATTCTGACCCTGAGAAAGAGATTAGTCTATGTAATAGAATGAGGTTAGAAAGAGGATATAATTTATTTCCTAACCTTTTGCGCTCGTTTTTTTACACGGCTGTTTTGCTGCTGTGCGGCCTATGCAGACAGGTCTAGTTGGCGTTCGTCTATTTATATATGTAGGGGTATGTAACAATTTGAAAAATGTTAATATTTCTTAAATAAGACAGCTAACCCTCTGTTAGCAACAATCGAAATATCTGCTAAAGGCGATCCTGGAACACCGTTATAGACGCTATTATTCAGATTTCTAGCAGAATTAGCCAAGGAATAGCGGCTTATAACATCTCTTGGTGATAAAGGCGTCGTTGGCGTCTTCGGAGAATTTAAAGATGCCCGCCTTGCCTGTAAAATGATATATCACTTACAAATCTCTTGACATAAAATATTAGACATTCAATCAGTTAAGAGAGAAAAAAAAAACAAACCATTGAAAGTCTACTTGGTGTTGCAGGTGTATTTGGTGGATCACACGGTTGCTCATCTGCCGACGAGCTAACATAGCTGTATTTTCTTAAAATAGGTTCTAAATCCTCTGGAGAAGAATATAAATAAAAATATGAAAATTTATCCAATAAATTCTATTTACTTGGATTCATCTTTTGCAGTAAATCATTTAATTTAGAAATGTCATCAACTTCATGTTCAATCTCTTTTACGTCTTTTGTAGAATTATCTTTCTTGCGTCTTCTTTTTGCTCGACAAATTTTCACAAGAAATTGAATAACTAGAGATACTGTAGGTAAAAGTATAGCGAATATAGCATTTGTATAGACAAAATCATCGATAGAGGTATAGGTGTCTATATATATATATATATATATATATATATATTTATATGTATATCAACTTGGTATTTACTTGTAATTAAAGTTATAAATACAGTGCCCATGGAGAATGATTCTAATCCACTCTTCTCGTTTAATGTCAAATAGGCATTAGTTGGGGCTAATATCCATATTAGGAATTTAACAATCAATGGCAACTTTAAAATAGAGGCAATGGCCGAAAAAGCAAAAAAATATAAGCAATGAATAACAGAAATGTTAAGAAGGTCCATTTTCGAGCCTAAATAAAGAAAAAAAAATGCGCAATATATAGCATGAGAACAGATAACTAACTTTCTATTTTTACCCGTAAAACCAATAAATTGAGCAATCCATCCTAACTTCGAATCCATATTACTAAGAAAAGAAGACATAGTATTTAATACAAAGGTAACGGAATCATTTATTTTTTGCAGCTTTTCCAAAGTTTCCTCGAAATATTCTGTATTCTGTTCATTCATTTTCAATAAACGTTGACTATCATCATCTGTAAAGAAGAGCGTAACACGAATAAATGATTAAGGAATTCTTTAAAAAAGAAAATGAATTTATCAAGTTATCTTAAAGGAACCAAATCTATCTTTCTGCTTGGTATGATTAATTATTTATAAATATTGACTGTACCGCAATAGTCAATGGCTTGGGCATTTGCAATAGTTATGAGGTTTCGGAAACAGCATCTAAAATTGGTTATTTTAGCCAGTATATTAATTATTAATTTGACTTTAGTTGTTATTTCGTATTGGTCAATTATAAGTAACAATTGGATATCAAGAAATGGCAGTAAGTTATCTAAAGTCGAACAATTAATGTTGTCGAATTAATTAAATATTCAATAGCTGTAGCTGGTCCATTTCAATACTGTACTGAAGATCTTGGATGTAAAAAATGGCAAAATATCGATTATAAAATACAATATATACAAGCATTTCTAATCATAAGTTTAATAGTAAGCATAATCAATGTTTTTGTCGCTGCAACGTCTTTAATATGTTATTCGACAATTCGGAATCGGAATGCTAATGATAAAGAAAAACAAATAGAAATATGTGGAACAATAAACAAAATTTTCTCAAGAATGCGCTGTAAATGCTTTAATGAAAAGGAGAAAAATTGGGTAAAAATAATGAAATACAGCATACAACAATAATAATTCTACATCATCATTACTGCTATTATTATTTAACAATAGTGCTAATTATGTTTTCGTTGTAGGTGCCATCTTCATCAGTTAAAGTGATGATATTATCTACACTTTCAACAAAATTTGGTAATTAATATATAAACAATTAATTAGATCTATTTAACGAAACTTTTCTTTTTAATTACTCATTTTTAGTATTTATTATACATATGTCTATTCATTACTTCTGGAAATCATTAATAGATAAGTCAGAAATAGGACTAGTACCATATTTTCTTATTTTTCCATTCATAATTGTTTTGATGGTGATAATATTGAGTCTAATTCTAGGAATGATAACCTTTTTTTGTTGCTATTATCATAAACATGACCAAGATCAATTACGGGTAATAATTCTTTCTAATTACTTGTAATATATACTAACCAAATCTCTTCCAGACATCACCTGCCTGAACTCTTATTTCAGCTAAAGCTTTTATAATATCCTTTTGATTATCTTTATGCTTGTCCTCAGTGGTAAGAAGTTCTTTTACGAAAGAATCTGCAACAATAACGTTAAAAATTGTACATCATTAGTAAATCATTAAACGATTGAAAAGGTTTTTTACAATATGTGTAACAGACCTAATTTATCATTTAAACTACCAGTTAGCTCCATAAGTTGTTTATTACCATTGGCGATTAAAGCTTTTTCCCTTGTTAAATCTTTTAAATTTGACGCCAATTGGTGATGAACGCTACTTTGGGCATTTTTTATTGCAAGATGTTGTTCAATAAGAGATTTTTGATTTTGTTTCATGTTACTTAGAGTATCTTGTGTTTGCTGGGCTAAATTTGATTGACCTTCCTTTATAGAATAAATAAAATTAGTTTTCTACTGCATCAATATTTAAAGACATAATTATATACTTTAAGCATTTTCATTGCCTCCATTTGTCCTTGCGCTGTACTTAGTAAATTATTAACAGTATATTCAGTTTTTAGTCTAAATTGTTGCTGACGCGTCGCGTAGCAGATAGCTCTAGCTCGATTCGAGACAATTTGATAGGCATTCCATGTTGTTGGTTCCATACTCCTTGTACAATCGGCTAAAGACTGTATAGAAAATTTTTACCTATGAAAACAATAACTAATTGTAAATAGTAACTTCTTATTATACCATATCATCAGTACATTCGAAAGTTTGTCTCTCCTCCGTTTCCGCTTGACAGTTGTATAATCTGACAGCGAACTTTCCAAGACTCTCTTCTGATAATCCAGAGCATGAACTTCTTAGACTAGCGACAACCTAATAAAGTATGTACACAACCAAATTATACTTATTTGCTTCAAATGTTACATAATTACAGTCAACTATAGTCATACCTGATGATGGCACAGATCTAAAGGTGATAATTTTTCAGCGAATTTTGCTTCCGCTAAAAAACCTTCATCTACTGTTTTTAATTCAAATTGAGTGGGTTTATTTTTAACAGATTCAGGCGCGGCATCAACTTCTTCATTATTTTGACTACGCGAGAAAAACCAGGCATTTGTATTACAAAATTGAAGAGATATTATTAAAAAGAGAATTTCTTTCAATCCAAACAGCTTCATCTGTAGAGTTAATCGTCGCTTGATTATTTCAAGTTTAACTAATTTCAGTTTGCCTCCATTAGTCACGTGACTTTTAAAATGACATAATAGAAATGTCTCTATTGGTTAGTTATGTACGCTTTAACCTATAGAATAGTTTATTACTAAACTGGCCTTGACATTAATGCTCTTTAAACTGCTGAGTAGTTTAACAGATTATTGCACTTATATTATTTGTTTATAGAGAGAGACTACTTATATTCGGAAGGAAATATGAAAACAATAAGTATTTATCAATATAAAAGGTTTATAGAAATATTGCACACATATAAATCTACTAGATGGCGTTGTTTATCCTTTAGAGTAACAAACATCAGAATACTTTTTAAAAGAATTAAATACACATGCCTTATTTGAACTATTTAGAAATGACTGATCTTCACAATACATCTCCAATTCTACATTTCAATTATTGTTTTTGATGTATAAAAAATAGATATCCATTTAAATATAATCTCCAGAAACAATGCTTATTATATGCAATCCAAGTTTGAACGTTTGTGTATTTGACACTCTGATTATTACGTAACAGGACAGGGTAACAACTTTGAGAAAATCAAGATGCAGCTATGAATAATCCACAATCAGTTGCTTTTGTTCACTTTTTTTGAAATGTAAAAACATAAATAAACAAATTTTTCGAACAAATTTGATGATTTATTTTTTTTGTCGTTTTTCTTTTTACAACATTATTTAACAGAAAAGTTTAACTTGTATTTTCCAGACGAGATCCTATCTGGAGCACCAAAAAAAAGAGAAAGAGAGAAATATATTCAAACCGCCAGAAAAGTTGCTGATCCGTTTAACTCTCCTCTACTGCTATTCCAACCTTCCTTAGCGTTTGGGCTGTAATATCGGGCTCTTATAGTTGCTTGTGAAACTCTGCGACTGTTTAGAAGAGACATTTGATTCATGAAAAATAGTTTTTTCAATCCTTTCCTCATGTCCGGTCGATAGATAGCATAAACAAAAGGGTTACAAGCGGAAGCCATGTACTGCAAAATCGAGGCAGCCGTGGAAACTCTATTATCTAGACGATACTATAAAAAAAGAAAAAAAACAATTAAATTATCTCTTATCTTTAATTAAATTAATAAATACCTTGATAACTTTTAAAAGCTTTGTAACGCAAAAAGGTGCCATAAATATGAAGAAAAGAACAACGATGGTGAACAGAGATAGAATTAATTTTATGTCTTTATGAGCCCGATTTTCTTCTAATCTTTTTGAATTTTTTGTAAAGGCGGCTTTAATAATCGACGAATAAATAAATACTAGTCCGACAAATGGTATCGCGAAGCACATGGTAAAAGCAGCTATGACGTAGATAACTGTACCTTCCATATTCCAGTCTATTGCGCAAATAGCCTCCCAGTAATCGTAATGAACCCATCCTTTAATTATCGGTGGTACAACCCCAAATGCAATACCTTGGATCCAAGACCAAGATATAAATCCGTAAATAACGTATTTTGTAATGAGATCCCTATGTTGAAATAGATAAACGATGCTGAAATACCTATCCACTCCGATAAAGAACATAGTCATCATTGAAGCTATGATGAGACAGTAGTTAAAAGAGCAAACTAATTTACACCATATGGATGGAATTTCCCTTACATCACCCGTTACCGTTATCACTGCTGTTAGCATGACGAGAACTGCATTCAATATGTCTGACATAGCTAAATTGATGATTAATTTATTCGAGTATTCTTTTCTCAGAGTAGTCGATTTCAGGATTGCCAAAATTACCAAAATATTCCCAATTAAGGCTATCGATAGCACAAATGCAATCGATGTTGATACGATTATCGTTTCTAAGACGTTCCGTCCCTCATATACGTATGTCTGATTCTTCATTTATGAATTACTATACTTGTCTAGACCTTTAGGTAGTTCGAAAAAGAATTTCTGAGTCAACTTTTGATGCTTTGTTCTAACGAGCTGAGAGTTAATTTAAAAAAAATGACGTAAATTATTAATTGATATATAAGTGTATTATATTTTTATATACTAAGAATATATAGTATATAACATACAATTACATGTATTTACATAATTATTTTTTAATAATTATATATTTATATATATTAGTATATACTGTAGTTTGATTTTAATGTATACATATATATAGATTTATGTATATATGTCTCATATATTAATATATTAATCTTAATAGTCTAAAACATCAATGCCATCATTTACAGATAATAAAAATAGATATTTATACACAACCTCCAATTCTAACTATTGAATAAAAAAAATAAAATTTAATATTATATAATAGGCGCTATTCTATTTTTAAAGGCTTTTCCGCTTTTATACTGGTACAATGTCCAATTTTTGTTTAAGAAGTTTCTCTTAAAAAATAAAGTACTTGTTTAAAGTTGTAAACTCTTCAATCAACAATATAATCAATCATCTTGACCAATGAAAGCCTTTTTTTTATCGTTAGAATATTGTTAATTTATTAATTCCTTTTTATTTTAAATACTATTTATTCTACTTTCATTAATGAATTGTGTACACAAGAAGAAGAAGAGGAGGAGGAGGAAGAAGGAGAAGAAGCAGTTGGAATAGAAAAAGAAGGAAAGTGTAAAGTTTATCGTAATTTGACACATTTAATCTAATAATTAGAGAGAACAAACTATTTAATTTTATAATAAATAAAATATCTTTTCACAGTTTGTTTGAACTAATAAGCCTGAAATAAACGCTGTATACATACGCCAAAATATAGATAATCATTGTCTAAAATATTTAATTAATCTAACCAGAATATTAAAGAGCGATAGTCTTCTATTTATCCTATTATAATAAATTTGTTGGAAACGAATTGGTAATGTCCTTATCCGTAATATTATAATATTTTCTCTCTCTCTCTCTTTCTCGTTCTTTCTCATTCTTCTCTCTCTTATATAATATATCTACTCAAAAGCCTGGGAAAAGAAGTTTGCAACATTTTTTATGTTTTCGTACCCCTACCGATGGAAATCTTTTAATCTTAAGATAAAAAAATTTAGGATAATGATAAAGAATGGGTTTCTAATCCCATATATTTCTTTTTGTTTATATCAATAATTATTTGTAGAAGATAATTATCCATTACCAGTTAAAACTTAAAAAGAATTCCTAACCTTTTATAAGAGGATGTTTAGAATTCCGAGGGTATTGCGATTTAATAAATATTCTCATAGTCAACCATTTGTTGTCGAAATAAGAACATTTGAAAATTTTCTCTTTCCTATATACGTGGCTAAGCCTGTTTCTCTTTAGATTGTCTTTTTTTTCCTTAAATTTTTACTCTAGGCTTTCTCCGCTTCCTCTCATTGTATTTAAAAAAAATTCCTTATACAGGTCAACCAATCACGTGATTCTTACAATCAAAAATATTAAATCAGTTTTTAGCTTTTTTACGTATTTATTAAAGATTATACTAATAAAATACTAATTAGATTAAAATTTGTTATTATTCTTAAATAATCTTGCTTTTGCTATTAAAAGAAATTACCTACACCTTTCTGATAGACCGGAGTCGCTTGAGCCTATTTCAGATAAGTACTTTGAAGGTGATTATGGGAATAGGAGGGAGGGAGGGGGAAGGGGGACGGAGGGGAGGTCGGTCGGGGTTGAAGTGGGAGAGGATATAACTTTCAATACGTAGAAAATTAGCATTTAAATACGTGAGTACAAGTTAAAAAGCTTTTTTTATTAAAAAAAAAACAAATGGCGTTACTTGGCCTTAGTAAAAAAAGAAATTAATTAAAAATGCTTATGATAGAGATATACAGCGTCTGTAAGTCTATAGGCAATGAATATGTTAGAGAAAAATGAAAATAAATAATAATATCCAGTTAATTTTTCCAGTTCCTCTTCTCCTTCCCGCTATCATTCCCCTTTGGCTCTGTTTTTTTTCATCTTTCTTATTTTTAATAAAAGGAAAAGGTACGTGGGCACTTTTATTCATTTATCAACGGTGGCGCTTCCCCTACAATATATAAGAACAAGAGCTGTGCGTCACATTCGACGCTCTTACGGTTTAAGTCTTGGTAGGAAATTTGGTAATAAATTTAGAGAAACTTACAGGTGTTTATTAATCTTTTAAATGTATTTCTTTTTCTATTTAAAAGTTATTTAGTAAAGAAATATTATAAGAATAAATAAAACGCGATATTTAATTTTTGCGTCTTTTTTGAACTTTCTTTCTAGAATTATTCTCAATGAAATATTTTTTCAGGCAGTAATTTAACTGCATCTATAGGCCTTTATTAATTGATTATGGATACTAAAGAATTTCGAATACGAGGAAGGGAGATGGTCGACTATATTGCCGATTATCTGGAGACGATTTCAACTAGAAGGGTTCTTCCAGAGGTAAGGATATTTAAAAGTTGAATGATAAAGTTAGAAAGTAGAAAAAAAGTTTAAATAGAATCGAAATGTAAAGGTTGAAAGAATCTTATAGATTTAATATCTAGGTTCAACCTGGCTATTTAAGATCGATGTTACCATCAAGACCGCCAAGGAATCCGGAAAAATGGGAAGATATTATGAGGGATGTGGAAAAAGCCATCATGCCTGGGGTTTGTATAGACAGTACGAGTAAATTTTGAACGTGACAGCGCATTATAGAAATAGCTAACCAGGAAACTGAAAAACGGAAGATCTTTACAACAGTTCTATTTGAGAAGCAATTGTGTAAACGCTCTTATTCACCTTTTTGCTTTCTATATTTATTACAGCCACTTAATTTTTTCTTGTCGTAAAACAGCTTTTCTTCTAGCTTTTCAGCTATATATAGATTTTATAGATATATCTATTTTTCACTGCGCCATCTGCCGTTGCGTAATAAAACTTTATTCTATTTTAATTATGTAAATATATATTTAGCTAACCCATTGGCAACACCCACGCTTCCATGCTTACTTTCCAGCCGGAAATTCTTACCCATCCATCCTTGGTGATATGCTAAGTGATGCCGTAGGATGCGTCGGTTTCTCCTGGGTAAGTGACGCCTCTTAATGTCATAGCCACAGATCGCGAAGCGAATGTGCATCGGACATTTCGATAGATTGATGACTGGTCCTATTAATTATTTCTCTCTTTCTTGTACAGGCAGCTAGTCCAGCCTGTACAGAGCTGGAAATAATTGTTTTGGATTGGGTCGCAAAAATGATAGGCTTACCTAAATGCTTTACTCATGATAGCGGTACTGGAGGAGGTGTACTACAAGGTTCAGCTAGCGAGTGTGTACTTGTTAGTCTGTTAGCCGCTAGATACGCAGCTATACATGATCTTAAGAAAAAGTTTTCATTCGTTGACGAGGGTCTTCTGCTCTCTAGAATGGTTGCGTATTGTTCCAAAATGGCTCATTCCTGTGTTGAAAAGGCGGGTATTATAGCTATGGTCAAAATGAGGGAATTGGAAACCGATGGTAGTTATTCGCTAAGAGGCGATACTCTGGAGAAAGCGATCGAAGAAGATCGAAAGAATGGTCTTATACCATTTTACGTGTGCGCTACCCTAGGTACAACTTCTGTCTGCTCTTTTGATAATTTACCAGAATTGGGTAAAGTTTGTGAGAAGGAAAATCTTTGGCTTCATGTGGATGCCGCCTATGCGGGTTCGGCGTTTATTTGTCCAGAGTTTCAATCTTTATTAAAAGGTGTAGAGGTAGCGTATTCTTTTTATTTGAAATAGAATATACAATAAATTAATTGTTCATTTTAAAGACTAAGTTATTAACCAATTTTATGCATTATCCACAAATAGAATGCTAATTCATTCAATATGAATCCGAATAAATGGATGTTAGTGAACTTTGATTGCTCGACAATGTGGGCCAAAGATAAAATGGTTCTCACTCAGGCTCTAACTGTAGATCCATTGTATCTCCAACACCATCATTCAGATAAAGCTGTTGATTTCAGAGTGAGCGTGTGTTATAATAATAAAAATAGGTAATTATCTATTATGAATTGTAAACGACCAGAGTAATCTCTTTCAGCATTGGGGTATTCCATTAAGCAGACGATTCCGGTCGCTCAAGTTATGGTTTGTTATACGTTCTTACGGAATCGACGGTTTGCAAAAATATATCAGAGAAGTATGATAAAATTTATCTTTCTTAAGATATACATAAATAAATTATAATATCTTTGAATAAATTAGCTAAATTTTATTCTATATAAAAATATAGCACTGCAGATTGGCAAAGAAATTCGAGCTCCTAGTTAGAAAAGACGAACGCTTCGAAGTATTGGGAAACGTTAGAATGGGCTTAGTATGTTTTAGGTTGAAAGTGAGTTGTAAAGAGGGAAAATTAAACATTTCTAAGAAAGTATATTGTATTTTTAGGGTTCCAATATTAGAACCCAAACTCTTTTAAGGGCTATAAACATGTCCGGTAAACTGCATATGGTTCCAGCTCTGCTTAACGAACATTACGTAATTCGCTTTGCGATTTGCGCCCAAAACGCTTCGGAAGACGACATAATCTTTGCTTGGCAGGTAAACTGCGTCACGGATTTCATCCTTCTCTTTCATAATATAAAATAAATATAAATAGACGTTTTATATTGATAGGTTATTAGCGCTATGGCCTCTGAAGTACTTGCTGCAGTTGATTCGAATTTGGAGAAGGAAGGTTTTGAACTGGAAAGAAATAACGTAGAGGTGAAAAATGAAAAGAATATGGACGAGAGAAGACGAGAAAAAGACGTTGATAAATATGTAATACAAAATATATTCCAATTAATAGTAATATAATAATTAAGTTTTTTCGTCAGTCTTCATCATCACCAGAACTTAGCGAAGAAGAAATCGAAGAAGAGTTCTTATACGATGCCAATATACCATCCATTCCAACTAGATACGAAGGTTCTGGGCATTCACCCAATCCTCTACGGCGTCGAAATATGTTAGTTAGAATGATTTCGGATCCAAAGAGCTATAATAGCAAGGTATTGAAATCTCTATCGCAAAACAATAAGCTTCAAGTACAGCCATGAAAATAATTTTATTTGTTTAAACAAATTACATCTATAAGCATAGATTGTCATAGTTTTAGAAGAAAGTTTATGAAGTTATATTTACAATTCATTAGGTAACAAGAAGAACATTAAAAAAGGTACGATATCACACAATTGATTAATGTTTATTGTAACATTGTTTTTTCTGATAATCGAAAACAAACAAACAAACAAACAAACTAATATGATACCTTTTTTTCTTTCTTTTTCGTTTATTTTTCGATGTTGTCCACTATTTAAATTGACATTTAAAAACGATCATTGATTAATTAGTGTTAATTTTTAAAGATTTAATTATAACGGTAGTCATCAGTTTTAAATATGTATAAGAAATATACAAGAAAAACGAAAGAACGACTTGAAACGTTTTAGCTACAATACTTTATACTGAATTTGTAGAATACCTTCTCCTAGCAGCAAAATGCGGTTAATGGCTTCGCGAATTTCCCCGTTTGAATTCTATTTCGTTGAATTTTGCAAGCAGGTCTACAAAAGTTCGAATAATGTTGAATCTTATCAAATTTGTTCAATTTAACAATAGGAATTTTTAAATGACAAAAATAACATTCGATTTCATTTGTACTATATATGTAAAGTCCATCTTATAAATAACTAATTCTCTTCTGTCCTGACAAGGTCATATCTCTACAGATAAATATCTTTATCAACCAAGGTCTTTTATTTTTAATATATCTTTGAAATATTATTACGTAGTATATACATATCATTGATAGCGAAAATCAGTTAAAGTTTGAATGGATTCATCGGAGATATTGCTTGTTTCGAAAATCGTTTATTCTTTTTACAATTTTTAGTGATCGATAATAAATTTAATTGATATTTACAGCTTCATTGTCTTTACATGAAAATTAGATAGAAAGCATGGTTAGCAATGAAAGAATGCCGGCGAATCAAGTAGGCCGTATCAAGATATGCGTATATTTTTCAAAATTGTCCAATAATCCGCAAGGAGCGTAGAAATAAGAATTTTTAGATACAACTGTCATCTCGGACTTATCATCAAACCATAGTCCTTTGCTTACTATACGTTTAATATAGGTTAAATTTCTCTTTTCCGGATAATCTCCCCATCTTGGAAAGTCACCGTTTTGAGCAGAAACCAATTTAACTCTTTTTCGCTCTAACGAAACGCACCACGAGCAATGCCAACCGCTTGGATGACTTTTATTACCAAAACTCCAAACTCCTATAAGGCTTTTTGACCCTTCATTTTTTTTCATGACTAGGTAAGCGTTTAACTTTGACGATTCCTTTTGCATATAATGGGGAGCTGATCGAATCCAGATACCATTTAGAGAGAAAACATGAGTCAAAAAACCGATGGTTGTCGCAGTGATTACGTGTGTAATTCCTCTACCAGCTTTATAAAAGAAACCGTAAGTTCTCCAACTCAAATTAATGCCAATTGGTTCGGGATAATCTTTATTAACCTTGAGAAAAAGTGCGGTGCTTCTCGTGGGAAGCTCATCGGCGTCATTCAACATGAAAATGTCATCATGGTCAAGATTTCTTAGCTGGTTTTGTATACCTTGTTTAGCTAAGTGATTCCTGAGGAGGTTATCAACAGCCCAGCCATTTTTATATCCCTCTTGAGGAAAATAATCGAGTAAAACGTGAACAATTTTCTCCCTATTGATAAATAATATAAAAGTGTACAAGTATATTTGTATCATCTAATTCGCTAAACATTTTTCGCTAATCCAAAAATCATACACTTACCTATATTTCTTATACTTTCCTCTTTTTAACTGATTATATAAATATAGAGGTTTCTTTTCACCATAAGCAGTATAAGTACTCTCTAGGATAAGAAACACATCAACAATATCACCCAATTCAGAAAATCTGGCGTCCAGTAATTCAAATTCAACACTGAAGGGAAAGGCGTTGACAATTTTTCTATTTTTCTCTGCAGCTGTAATATATTTCCTTCTTTGACTGTAAAATGATAAGGGAAAAGAAATTTATTATTTTGCATAAAATAGATATTTGAAAGTTGACCGTATATTAGAATACCAAACAGTATCCGGTATTGAACATGAAATACCATGCCAATACTTTAAGCAGACGCATATCTTTTCAATTTTACTCTTATTAATATCGCTGCCTTCTATTAAACACTTGGTCGAGTTCGTGACTCTGATAAAAAAATTTCTCTTATCATCCTTCACAAAAGTTTTTTCTACTGTGTAATTTTTAAGTATGTCAACTAGAGGTTTATAAAGGTATGATATTCCAGTGTCTTCATTATCAATATCGGCATAACTTCCATCTGAGTCTTGACAATATTTTAAATTAGACGATGCCGGATCATATCTAAGAGTGTTTGTAATTATTTCCATATTATTTAACGAATTTTTATCAGTATTTATATTATTGCCAAAAATTCTGGATATAATCGAATGATGTTCATTAGCATCATCACTCTTTTCTCCATATTCATATAAAAATGAATGTTGAAAGGCAACCCAACAATGTAGAACAAACGCAATCAATAAGCACACATAATAAAACCTCAAAAAATTAGACCTAGCCATAGCACAAAGATATTTTTCCACTTTTCTCTCTTTTCCCTCCCCCTCCCACTTTTATTTCTTCATTACTATGTTAAATATATCATATTAGCTGTATGAAAAGAATAAGAAAATATAGTTATGCAAAGTTGTAATTGTATTATTTTATTCGCTATTTAATATACAGTATAATATTCAATATTCATTCATTTATAATGAAGATGGATATTAATTTTTTTTGCAAAAGTTCGAATTCAATTCCATAGAAATTGTTTTTAAATTTGTAGCAAAAGAATTATTGCGGATATAATAAGTGATGCCATAGTTTTCATACCTTTTCAAATTTATGTCAATTCAATCGTATTTATAAGCAGCACCAGATGTGGATAGCGTTTACAATTTTTATAGAGTAGAGGAGCACGCAGCTGCCTATATATGGAAAAAATAGATAACATACTGCTCCTTCGCATCATTACGTTCTATGACTATACACAGTAATTGTGAATAAGATTAATTCTCTATAGCTTTAGAGTCTCTTGCTTATCAGTCATATTTTATTAAATGTAGGTAGAGTCAAGTAAAAACGGCAAGAGTAATAATTTTCAATACTCCTTGAAAGCGTATTGAAACAGAAACGCAGTTCTTTTGATACTATTAGGCTTCAACATATCATACTGTATACTTTTTGAAATTGAACGCTGAACAGTTTATTCAATCAGTGTTTTTGACATAGAGATTATTTCTAAAATTCTATTCTATTAGCGAATTTATTATCTCAACTTAAATACTTACTTAATCAATTAACTTAGTATTAATCTTCGAAAACATCGTTAATCTCAATTGGGTGACAAATTTACTTTAACACTAGCTCAGTCTGCCTCGAATGAGTAATCGATTCATATTGTAAAACATTGAGCATCAATGGAAATATTGAGCATACAGAAAAATGATCGTGCCTAATTCAAAATTTCAATAATCTGAATACAATTTAATCCTCATAGAAAAAGTAACTATTTCCTTTTTTTGTAGTTATGGATTGCTAATTATCTACTATACCTTTACCAGTTTACGGTAGTAAATTCTAATATAGATTACTGTAAGAAATTCATACTTAATAAATATCAAGGCCTATCTATTTTAACCAAGCTGACTATCTTCGCAGAGTGTTTTTTGCCTTAGATAGCATATAAACAGGTAGAGAGTTCGCCATAAATATATAGATTAATTCTTATTTAATTACAATTTAAAAAGGTATTTATTACATATTGGTAAAAATTTCTTTGTTTATTGCAACAAAGAAATATAGATTTTTGATTCTAATCCTAAAAAATAGAATTGAAAACTTCTGCTAAATTGTATTATAACAGGTAATATTTACACCTAGAGTTGATTTGAATATTTAGGTATGCTAAATGTATGAAATGGCTGACTTAATAAAAAATAACTTACTTTTTTAATACAGATTGGTACATTAAGAAAGCAAAACAAATACCCGTTAATCTTCTCTTGCAGTGCTATTCAAGTTATTGATCAGAAATAGGAATATTTTACTTTGTAGCTAAGCAACATTTACAGGTATTAAGCTTTGTTTATAGGGAGTAATTTATTATTATTACTATACATTTCAGCAGATGGCATGATTGTTGCATAAAATTTTTAAAATACAGAATAGCAATGAAATTTAAAAACCTATTAGGTATTGCTATATTTTTCACTGTTTGCCTTCTTTTTCTACAATTCCTAAGGTTAAAATCACATACAAAGCTCTATCTATCATCTGGTGAAATTAATGAACTTGTTAAAGATGAGCCAATTCGGTTTACACCATATAATGTCAGAAGAAATAGAGTAATTAATTATACCAAAATAGATATAAAAACAAAATATTTAGAGAGTAAGAACTTGAAGGAATTCAAGCCATTTGAAACGAATGTTGACGAAATTCATTTTAAAAGTAAACTCCCTCCCATTCCTGATGGTCTCAAAACCTCTATGTTGAAGGAGGATGACACAATATACTTTCGAAATATTAACAATACAGACTGTTATCTAAGAGGTCTCAATTTAGAAGAGAGTCTTAAACTTCAAACTTGCGTTTGCATTGATAATTATTACGGAAAACATTGCAGTATTCCAGAAGCGATATGGTTTAGTGATCTACCAAAAAAGTACATATCCAAAATAACTACAAGAAAATCTAAACCTAGACGGATTATTGTTGCTTTTCCATTCAATATGGAGCTTGAACTATTGAATGCTCGAATTTCGTTAACTTATGACTTTGTAGATGCCTTCGTTATTCTCGAGTCAAATTATACAGGATTCGGTGATCGTAAGCCACTATTCTTGTATGATGCTTTACGTCAAGGATACTATCAGGAATTTGAAAAGAAGTTGGTTTATGTTCATTTAAATTTTTATCCAAAAGAGGCAAGCGGCAAAGCTGGAGGCGATGGTTGGATTGCCGACGCTCTGTTCCGCAACTATATGGGACAGCATGGCATGACAAAACAACTGAAAGGATATCGTCACGACGATATTCTATTGATGCATGATGCTGATGAACTTATCATGCCTGAAGTTACCCAATTCTTAAAATTACACGATAATTATCCAGAACCATTTGGAGTGAACCTTAAGTGGAATATCTATGGATTTTTTTGGCAGGGAAACAAACCTATTTGGCATATTATGTGTGGTTGTACAATGGGATTTTTAGCGCATGTTCTTAATTATAAAGCCTACGAAGTTCGAACAGCAGATAGAGCTATGGTAAGGCATTCCTCAAAGTTAAATTCGTATTTGAAAACTGGTGTTAACATTCGAACTTGGGATATCGGAAGTGAACAGTATCCAGCAGGATGGCACTGTTCGTGGTGTGGGTCTCCTGAAACAGTAAGACATAAACTAGAATCAGCAATAAATGCAGATTTTCCCCGCTGGGGTAACTATCCAGAGAAAAGAAAACTTCCATTCATCAAATCATTAATAAATAATGGCATTTGGTTCGATGAGCAGAGCAGATTTACAAAATGTAATAACAATTCTAAATTCTATGCACCACCATATCTTTTGAGATATCGCGAAACCTATAAATACCTTTTGGAAAATGTATAGTAAAGCTCCTCAATTTCAAGTTGACAATTGTCTTTTAATAACTATATACTTAAGTATAAATGAGTTAAGATAACAATTTATACTAATCTATGGTCCAATTCAAAATAGGCTACATAATCCGTGAATAACATATTTTATTGATGGGGTCCTTAATTATTAAGTTTAATTTTCTTCTATTCTTCAAAAAGATCTATTTTGAATATTATATTAAAAACGGTAACAATGGAATAGATAGAACAAATAAAATAATTTAACCTTTTACTTTTTACTTTAATAGTTTAATGTAATATTTAAATTGTCACTAAGATTAGCTTTTAAATCTTATTTTCGTCTGGGATGTGAAGAATTGACTCTTGAATGATAAATAAAGTTTATTGATTTTTTAATACTTCTTCAAACTGGACACTATAGTTGTATATCTTTTCACAATTCCCTTTACAAAGGCTCAAAACTCTAATAAAATTTTCATCTGATAATAAAGCAACTCTAGTTTTACCTATAGTAGCTGCTCTTGGTCTCTCAGTTAAAATAGCTAGTTCTAAAGTTTTCAGATAAGATTAAAGAAAGATGTTCCATTTACAGTTCCCATTTATAGTAGTATTTCGATTTATCCACAATGTATCCTCCCAGTTCAACTCTACTTATTTCTTTTTTTTCCTCCTTTTGCTAAAGTTAATTTATTACTGATGACATATTTCTGTTGTTTAAACCTGGAGATGGCGCAATTAAAGTAATATTTATCGGACTAACTACACAGCGAACGGAACCAGATTCAAAAAAGTATATTTCATTAGCTTTATCGCCTGGGTAGATGATTATATTATCTTCTTTGAATTCTATAGTTCAAAAGGCGTAAGATATATTAGTTCTTTCATAGGGAGTTAATTATATAAGAATTGGAACGTTCTTTCAGAAACTTACCAAACTACTTTAGTCTATTTTCTAGATCTAATAACAATTTTTCTAAATGTCAGATTATCCATTGTTCATAAATTACCAGATCTATTAGAAAGAATATTCATAGCTCCGTAGACATTATCAATTACAGCCACTTTACCGAATAAAAACGCCATTTCCATAAACCTTTATAAGTTTAAGACAAAAATGATTGGGGAGCTTATCACAGTCAATGCTCTTCTTTGTCTGATAAACTTCAAACTCTCTATTCTTAAAAACAAACATATACTCCCCCACATCACCTTCAAGGACAAATATTTCGTCAGCCCTATTCGCTTTTATTTCAAACTTTTCATGTACAAGTTTATCAATCTGTTTGCCATCCAAACGTTTCAAATAAAGACATTCAATTAAAAAATGTTTTATTCTCTTTGCTTTAAGGATTTATGATAGAAAGGTGCAGTTTCACTTTTCTTTTTATCGGATCATAAGGTCAATAAATTTTCTTTCGTCATACTTTATATCATTAGATACTATTCTATATGAAGAGCTTTTGTACATAGAATAAAATGTAAATCAGTTAATATGAACAACATAAAACTAATATTTACTCTCACAAAGATGAATCATATGAAAAAATTTTCTTAGCATTTATCAACATCATCTAAATTTAAATTTGGAACAAAGAACAGTGTTCTGACAATAAATAATGATTATATTTTTTAATTGAAAACATTTTTGCTGACAGTAATCTTATTAAGAAAACATTTTTTTATTTGATGTATTATGTATTAATAGAGCTTTATTTAAGTGTTATATTATTTCTATTTCAACAAAAGGATCAATAAACTTTTCTCAACGATTTAGAACAGCACGAAAAACAGAGGAGATCTTTCCAATAGTCTGCTCACAAATTAATTAATAAATTGATTTATTATATCTTCAGAAATTGTAATTCTTTTGAATTATATAATTATATTCAATATTTTATAATGCTCTATAAAATGTAAAATGTACTTAAAAACGAAATATGTAACAAGCTTGTTAGAAGCTTGTCTATATTCTTGAAACGCTTTAGTGAATATAATCATTTCATTAAATTATCATTCTGATTTTTTTAGCTATTAATAATATATTAACAAATAAAAGTTTTTTTAGGCTATGTTTTGGACTCAATTGTTTGTTGCTACGTTAAATACTGAACGCCCCTGATAAATGTCATTCATTCAAATAACATAGCTCATTAAGTTTTATTTATAACCATCAGTTAAACAATTGAGGACGATCTAAAAATTGTATTGAACGATAGGAATTCTTAAATATATGTATACGTATTGACCGTACTTGCCATTTTATGCGGAGTAATTGACAAGAACTTTTTAGTATCATGCATTACACGGATAAAGTCGGTCTAATTTTCATTTTTAATTTCTTCCCGTTCAGTTTGTATTCTTTTTTAAATATTAACCTAAATATAATCGATATAAAACTTTATAAAATTGGAAAATCTTTCAGTTTATTGCGACGGTTCATTCGACTGTCGTACAATAGACGGAAAGACATATTGTGTTTATGACGAGTATGAAAAATCTAAAGATGCTCAGTGTGAAAAAAGCGAAAAGACCTTACCAATCTTTAAAAATTATGATGAATATAAAAGAGTATTTGATGAACTATTAGTACCTAACGTAGCTTCGAACAAGTTTGTATATCGGCTTAAAAAATGATCTTTCACGTACAGTATATTCAAAATTTTCAGGTATTTTACATTTCCCATTACATATTCCGGTGGAAAATGGATTTGGATGGATTGCACTGAATTAGATTCATCTTTCACAAATACTTTTACCAACAGTTTACCTTCATCTCCTGGCGATAAATGTGCTAGGATAAAAATGTCAGACCCTGATCATTGGTATACGGCAGACTGTAATAATGCTGAATCATATCCTCTCTGCGTAAACGTTGATGAAGGAGCGTGCACTTACCGATATTATGCTGCAGGAAAAGAACTTTGTCTTATTAATAAAAAGTTCACAGATTATGCAACAACAAATTCCAGATGTAATAACTTGCAATATTCACTTTTGGAAGAAGATTCATCCTTCAGAGCTCACATTCTAAATCTGTGTATTATGAAAGGAAAAACTGATGAAGATGTGTAAAGTATTATAATATGAGAAATTTCTTGATACATTCCAGATCTTTCATTTTTAGATGGGAGAAAAATATAGCCAAAGATAAATTCTATGTAAATATTAAGAGATACTCTGGTGTTTATAAATATGTCACAAGTCAAATGTAAGTTTATTTGTAACATAATGAATTCGATTAATTTTCATACTGTATTTAGATCTATAGGATCTGGGTCTGGGTGGGACCCAGATGGAAATAAGGAGTGTGTGCTTCACAAATTAGAAGACAAAGTTGAAGACAAGGACTGTACAGAAGATTCTGTTGCCTTTTGTGCGAGAGACTACAGTAAAGTTTTTGTATTAAAAAAGTAAATTAGTGTAATATTTGCTTATTTTAAAGCCCCAACAACTGAACCAACAACTGCACCAACGACTATCGAAACAACTCAAACAACAACCATACCGACGACTACACCGACGACCATGCCAACGACTAGACCGACAACCTCACCAACGACTATCGAAACAACTGAAACAACGACCATGCCAACGACTAGACCGACAACCTCACCAACGACTATCGAAACAACTCAAACAACGATCATACCGACGACTACACCGACAACCTCACCAACGATCATCGAAACAACTCAAACAACAACTATACCAACCACCTCTTCAACTGCAGAGCAAACAAGTCAGCCAGTAACCGCACCGTCATCTACACCAATATCAACCAAATCAGCAACAATTAGAAGTAAAAACAACAATATTTTTTAACTTTTGAAATTTTTATACGCTCTTCTTTCTATTAGCAACAACATCGACAACGGCTCAGAAGTTTACTACAACATCAGGTACAAAATCATATGCGTGTTGTTATGAGACTTTTTTGACAAAAGAAAATCTTTTCTATTAACAGCCTCGCCAACTATTACTGAGGAAGTAACACGTGAACAAACAACAAGTAAACACATATTTAAAAGTTGTTTTAATTTCTGAAATGTTTCCTCCACTTTAAAAGCAACGTCGAAAACAATTAACATATCGACATCAAAAGCTGCAACTACTAAAACGACAGAGAACTTCTCAACCAAGTCAACTGAAGAACCAACAACCGTGGCCGATGGTAATATTTTTATCATTCATTTTTAAAAATGCTTAAATTAGCAATTTTCCTTCTTTTTTTAATAATTCTATTCAAAGACCTGACATTTACACTTTATAATCCTTCATTAAAGGAAACAACTAAGAAGACAATTGAATTTATTAAATTGTCAATTATGCAACCTGGAAATAGTTTCATTGCGAATAATCGTATTTTTTAAATGATCCATATTTTTTTCGGTAAATCTGTAAATATAGGAATACGTTTACACTTTAGATACTACCCAATCGAAATCCGATACAACGATTACTGACGATTTGAAATTAGAAACTACAACAGTGCAATTTAATTCTTCTAAATCTACAAATGTTACATCGATTTTGTCGAGTACTTCTACGAAACAAGAATCATCGATCCTTAATATCCGAACAACAATAACTCCAGAAGAGATTACTGAAACCGTTGTAAAACCTTCAGATAAGATAGAATGTCCTTCTTTAGAAATAGAAGGCAAACACGTTGCGATTGAAAATAATGATAGGTCATATGGAACAGTAGTGACATATCAATGCCTTCCCGGTTATAGTTTCAAAGATAAAACAACCTTCAGAAGTACTGAATGTATCGGCAAAGGTACTTGGAGTACGAAGGTGGAGATTTGTCAAGGTAAACAAACTCGTTGTATCATGTCTTTTCACGGCTGTTGTGAATTAATCGAACATGTAATTCAGCAATATTTATATAATATTCCTACGCAGCTGTTCAATGTACTAGTAATAATAACTTTCGATCTCATATTGGTTCCTATGATAAGATCGAAACAATTCATTGTGATGGAGACAAAAAAATGCACTCTGGAAGATCCAAAGCAGAAGCTAGGTGCACACCGAATGGTAAATGGAATACACATCTGGAATGCGTAGGTTGGTATCTTTAATATTTAAATAGTAAAAAATTTGTGTTCAAGTCCATGAATGTATACGTTAGATAATCCTTGCGGACCTATTCCTTTTACTCCAAAATTATTAGTTCGTATAAAAAAAATGTCTGGCTATGGAAGCGAAATAATATACAAATGCCCAGAAGGTCAAATATTTAATGATGGAACTTATAAACAAATTTCCAAGTGTAATATTGATGGCTGGTCTGTGATAAGTTCAATTTGTATTCGTTAGTACTTAATATAATAGAATATAGGTTGATCGACCAAAAAAAATGAAGATCGTTAGCTGTCAAATAAATGAATTTGACAAATACTTGTCAGAACATTTTGTAATATTGCAAACAGACGAAATCAGGTTCAAGGCTATTCATTAGTATTCTTATATAAATAATTATTTTTTAATAGTTCTATTCTCTCTCTCTCTCTCTTTGTAATTATCTATTATTAAATTATTGATAGACCATTGGAATTGTTTTTGACTATTCAAGTCGTTTTAAACTATAAAACATTAAAAAATCATGACAGTCGTTCACTTCTATCAAGATAATAACAACGATCAACCTAAACTTTCTCTTCAATTTCATTTCTTATGTTTGTTTTATTAATGTAAAATTTTTATGTACATTTAGCCGACGTTTGCAAAGCTATACCAGAAATAATTAATGGAACTAGAAGCGGAAATAATACAAAAATTGGTTCTATTGTGAATTATACTTGTTTCGATGGTCTTCGATTTGAAGATGGTTTAACAACAAGAAAAATTTTTTGTACAAACTCAACGCTATGGTCGAGAGATGTTACAGATTGTAAAGGTAACTAGAACTAGAAAAAACAGGGCTTTTAGACAGTTTATTTACCAGAATAGAGCTCTAATAATATTAGCTTAGTTGTTTGAACAAAAAAGTGAATATAAATCGTTAAGAAACTTTCGATTTAGCGTTAAAGATTTGATCTTAATAATCTGTTCATTTCAATATACTTTCTTGGAAAGAATTGTTGTTAACTATAATTGAAATAAGAATTCCTTTCTAACTGAAGCTATTAATGGACTTTTCCTTTCAGTGAGATGTGTTGCAGCGCCTGTATTTAATAATACAGTGCCTGATAAAACATTGACAGACATTGGAACAACAATAAACTATAGCTGTAGAAAAGGTTACATTTTTACAGAAGATTCAAATTCAATTAAAAGTACAAACTGTAATGAAAGTTTAAGTTGGACGCCACTAAATATAGCTTGTGAAAGTTAGCTTTGCTACTGTTTATACTAATTAATTAATGTCCAATTATTGATATTTTTTTTGAACTGTTTTAGTTATTGTTTGCCCGAAATTACATATAAAATATGCAACTATTAGTACAAACTTGGCTACCTATGGAACTACCGTTCAAGTGAATTGTATGGAGGGTTATGTAATGTTGAAAAAATTTCAATCTTTAAATATAACATGCATTGAAACTAGAAATTGGGATATACAAAATCTAACTTGCAACAGTAACTATTTATTTCCATATTATTTCTATTAAAGAATTTTTTATGATCTATACGAATATCTATTTCTCTCTGTTTTAGCTGTTAAATGCCTGGAACCTCCTACGGTGAATAATTCGGTTATTGAAGATAGAAAACCAATATATTATTACAATGAAAAAGTCCATATAAAATGTATTACTGGCTTCGAGTTTAGTGATATTGGAAAAGACGAGGTAAACGCAACCTGCTCAGCGGTGGCTACTTGGATAGGATTTAAAACAAACTGCTCAAGTAAAGAAATTGTTTGATTATATGTTTATTAACTAACCACGTAGACATTTTGAAAATATATACTATAGGAAATCCTTATTCTTTATAGAAATTCAATGTCCTATTCTTCCTTTGTGGGAAAGCGCGGAGATCAGCTCAAACAAGAGATCTTTTGAAACGGTAGTAAACATAACCTGTACTCATGACGATAGCATATATCAATTATTAAAATGTGGTGAAAATAAAAAATGGACACCTGATTATCGAAATTGTCCTGATGCTCGAAAAGAAGAAGTAAAGCCTGCAGAGGCTGAACAAGCCGTTGAAATAGGTTCACTTGCTATTGGCATAATGGTGAGTGTATTCTCGCTAATAGTCTTGTTCGATGTGGTTACAATATGCAAACCAACCAAAACAAAGATAAAGATACATCCTAAAAAGAGGAAAAAACCTACAAAATAATTAGTATCTTTCAAAGGAATTTTGAAACTACTTGTACATTTAATCATAATAATTTTTTAATAGATAAATGATAATAAACTGCATCATCCTTACAGCTACATATCTATCTATAACGAATATGAATAGACTGCATATTGTATATAGGGAAAATATTTTGTATTATTAAAAATGAATCAAAATATAAATCGTTTAAAAGTAATTTAAAAGGCTTGTGAGAAAAAATCTTTACTTAAAACTTGTATAAAGAATAAGTTAATTATGTTATAATATTTATAACTTTAAAGTAATCTTTTGTAATGGTTATTTAAAAACGTATAAAAATCATTTTTCAATCCAGATGTTGAAAGTTTTGTAATTGGTTCAATAACCTTTTCAACATCTTCCGCTGTATAGCCGGTTACTCTTTCGAATTCGTCGTACCACCAATTCTTCGAACTAGCCTTTCGCAACATAATGTATAGTGCGGAAGAGGCTATTTTTGAAGGGGCGTAGGTAGCTATATGCTGATCGGTAGTTCCTAAATCTATTAGATATCTTGAGAAATTTTGCATTTTATCCTTAAAATCAATTCTTGTTGTGTGAAAATAAGCTTCCAAGAAGCAAAAAGGCGTTGGTCTAATGAGTTGAAACTTCAATAGTCTTAGGATAATACGCTCCATTCTATATAATTGTTTTAGGGTGAATCTTTTGGAGGGATATCCTATCAGAACTGTAGGATTTGGAACAATTACCTCTTCAAGTTTAGCAGCAATCAAAATGCTTGCCAAGGCGACTAAATCGATTCTACTTGAACTAGTGGAACGTTTCTGCAAAGTTCTATCTAAGATATTAACAGCAGTTTGCCTAGTAACGTCGTTTAATTTTTCAATCCACATTACTTCATACATCCAAAGAACAACTTCAGCTCTTTCACGACCGTCAATACAATTTTTTTTTAATAGGAAATTCACTTTAAGAGTATTTTTCTTTTCAGCTAGTTTCATATTCATTAAAATATTCTCAGTATAGGAAAAATCTGCTTTTGACTTTTTAATTGGCTTCGAAAGAGACGCTTTAGGACGATTCTTTAATATATTCACACTAAGGTCTGCTAGAGGAACTCGGGTAGCCATCTAAAACGTCTTCTTCTTGTTAAAGTTAAAAATTAAATATAGCTATTATAAAAAGACTTGTTTCCCTTCAATCTTTAAAACATATAAACACTTATAACAGCTCATTATATTCAATTATTTGTTACATGTTTATCTCCTAGGCCTACAAACAAATTATTACTCATAGCAAACAATCTATTAAAAAGCAAAGTAGAACTCCTGTTTGGTATTTTTTTATGATCATGATGTTTACATACCTGAATGAATATCTAATTTGTTAACTAATATAAAAATCTATTGTTCAATTGTACTTACTTCCTTTTATTTATTTTATCAACAGGAAAAATTATGCAAATGAGTATTCTACGTTAAAATCGTTAAGTTCGCATTGACGTTACGTCACGCCATCTTCAGTGTTCTTTTATCCCTTTATATTTTATGTTTGTGTTTCTTTTCTTTTAGGGAGGGAGGGGGGAGGAAGGGTAGCGAGGGTAGGGGGTGTCTAATATTGTTGAATAGGCATACAAGAAGTAGATATATTGTTTTAGATTGTTTGAATAGTGTTATATTTAATATTAAAGAGTCATAATCAATTAGAGATTGAAAGTATAATAGATTATATATATATCTTGTAATCGATATCAAAACGACTTCACCTCCTACGAGTTAGCCATAGCTACAAACTAATAAGTTATAAGTGAGCTAGTTGACTATTGTCTAACTACAAATTACTATTAAATTGATAAACAACGCATTTGTTCATAATAGTATATAGATTTTTTTGGCGAATAATTATTTTATAATAAACGAACAAATGAATATGAATATTTTATAGAAAAAAGCAGAGTATTAATTAAAATACATTTATTTCATAACGAAAACCGTTTTTCCTCCAGTGGTGGTATAATTAGACAAAACAAGATTTAAAAAATGTATAATCCAGATGGCGTTGCAGGTTGATTCAGTTGATTTTTTTTTTCAAGCTCAGTGACTAAAGAAGATAAAAATGTGCTCACAAAATATCTTTGATTTGTCTAGTTCACAACAATTATTACAACAAGAGGTCAACAAAGTGTGGATATATTTCACATCTAACTCCCCACTCTCTCAGAACTTATGCGGTGCGGGAGGAGGTATGGGAGGGCCCTTCCTGATTGGTGGTGGTACTGGTGGGCCTTTCTTCATTAAACCAGGTGGTAGAGGCGCTCTCGGATCTACAATTGGTCCGCTAAAATTACTCTTTTTATCATCCGAATCCTTTTCTATAGCTTCGGTGTCTTCTTGATCTTCGTCCTTTTCTAAGAGACCCATCTTCTCACCTACCCATTTAAACTTAGCAACGATTTCCTCTTGTATCAAAGAAAAGCACATTGACAAAATAGCCATACCAAACAACATGTAGATAGCAGATAATACCATTTTATACTGATCTTCGGCATTTTCAAAATTTGCAGAACCGGGCACAACATCGCCGAAGCCTATAGTTGAAATCGTAACAAAACAAAAATAAGAAGCCTTTAAGGCGTCCCAACCCTCCCAAACACCAAACAATAAGGATCCCATAAAAATGTAGCCAGCAATTACAGCCATGGTAATAGTTAACGGAACGCTTATCTTTTCATCCTCATCTTCCTCTTCGTCGTCATCCTCTGGATCATCGACCACTTGTCCTCCTGGGCCAGCATACTGCTTTTTCCAGGCCTCCGGTGTTCGTCTACCTTTACTGCCAGTTTCAGATTCATTTTCTTTATCTTTATTCTTATCACCTTTCTTTCTACAACAACCACAACAACAAATCTTTCCATAAACGAATCTAAATATATCAGCCATAACATCGCCTATGTTAGCCAAGCAGAGCAACATCAAAGGAATTCCAAGAAGAGCGTAGGCAATACAAACAAGTCGACCCCAGTAAGTCTTTGGAGCTATATTCCCGTAACCTATTGTAGTAATCACAGTAACTGAAAATAATAATGCTCCTGAAAAAGACCATCTGTAACCAGGACCGTTTGGTTCACCCATTGCAGAGCAGTTTTTACCATCGTAGTTGAGTTCAAGAACATGTTTTCTAAATCGTTGTATAATTTTCACAGTAGCTTGTGTTGCCTCCTCAGGATTTTCTTTAATAATTTGAGCTATTTCTATGATTTTTTGGACGGTAGAATTCTCAGCAGGCAAATATTTTTGTTCAGCTTTAAGGCATTCAGTTTTCTCATTGTGACGCTCCAAATGTTCAAAAATAAAACCACCAGCTACTGAATATGCAATTACCATACCGCATAGTCCTATATGAGAAAACATAAATTTTAAAACTTTCTTACAGCAGTTTCTCATCTTTGCCCTCTTCATCTCCTTTAATTTCTCCTCCTCCATTTGTTCTTCATTTCTTTGAGAATCTGCTTTCATCATGTTCAAAGCTGTAAGTGACGCAAAAAACTGACGCTAAGACGAATAATGTCTATAATTGCAGTTCGAATTTATATCAAATACTGTCGAAGTAATGTATAGGTTAATGTAGCCTTAGTGCATTCTGGCTCTTATAAAATAGGACATGTTGAATCATTGAACGCTTTTTGTTGATGACGAATTGAACGCAAACCATAGCGACATCAATCTTTGTATTGAATTATCAATTGTTGCTCGTGTCACTGCATTTACTGTGTTTTAATAGTCTAGATACATAATTAATGCATTTTTGTAAAAATCATTAATATGTCATTTTTTCTGCAACTTTAACTATAATTTCAAAACCAACAATAGATTTTATTAAAAAGACGAGACTAAAAACAGCCATATTGCAACCATCTTTTTTCCTATGTCGATTAACATATTTTATGCATTATTCATGAGTTTTTCCAATTATAAACCGATCTATTAAAACGTCAGATACTACAGTAATGAACCATCTTTTCGTTTGGCACTCTAAAGATAGATTATCATAGAGAGTATATTCTGAAAAAGATTGAAATTCACTACTTCCTAAAATAAATATTCATTTCTTGTTTTTACATTATGCACGTCTCATTATATATTAAACTTGCTAACATTTTTAATAAATAGGTATTTTTTTTTCTTTGTAAAGAAGGAATCAAGAGTTAAAGCCATTGTAAAATAATTGAATTTTCATATCCAGCCTTTTGTAATCTGGCCCTAACAAGCTCCAATAAACTTTAGAGAAAAGAATAATACATAAATCATTGTATATGGACTTTTAGTCTTTTAAGTATCTTTTTTTTCTCTTATGAATCGAACGGTGAAATACCATGTGTTGATAAAGAGATATCTTTAAGAGAAAAGATATTTTATTAGACGGAAACTGTGTCCAAGACTAAGATTCGTGAAATACTATCTATTTAAAAGCTGAGTGCTATATACAAACAATGTTCAAAAACATGTCTTTTGTTAATAAATCAATAGGCGTCTCTTTCAAGGATAACTGTAAACAAGAATATAAAAAGAAACACATTGAATATAATTATTGAATTAATACCGTTGTTCTTAGTATAAAAGATATAGGATTATTTAACGTTTAAACATTTATTAAGCTCATGAAAGATATATTTTACAGTTTTTAAAGCTTTTTCCACACCAAATCCTCTACAACTCTCCTAATTTTCACTCAAACTCTATTTTTAGGGAGTAACTAAGAAAATGATTAGTTGAGCGCACGCGAACATCAATCTACTTCCCCTTCTCACACCTTTTCTCCTGCCTTTTCTTTTTTTTTAAAAATACCATCCCTATTAATCATTAAAAGAGAAACATTTGGTATATTAAAAAGTTAATTATTTTATTTCTTTCAGTGAATATCGATTATATAATCCGGCTATGACAAGTTGAAGAATATACAATACAGTATGTCTATATATATATATACTGTAGATATAGCTACATAATATAAATTCTCTTCCCTATAATAACAAATATTGAGAAAATTATTCGACAAACAAAACAAAAAATGCGATATTCTTGAAACAAAACAGACAAGCTAAAACTAAAAGTCTAAAAATGACCACTTTGAGAAAAGACCATTGGGATCATTTCGGCATGATTGAATCATGACTATTTGTCTTCCGTTTGTCATAGGATCCGTAACGTGAACCATACAGGAATTAGTACTTTTATGTATAATGTGATTTTCGTTTGTATGTGACCACAATTGATTCTTATCATTACTTGAACAAGGTTTGACCACAACGTAAAAATCATCTGCCGATAAGCATTTTTCTTTATGTAGTATTCTGTTATCAGACGAAAAATGGAATAATTTATCTTGAGAAGGATTCTCAAATTTATAAGGACATCCACCAACATCTAAACGATTTAAACCTCTCTTTGTATTTACGCATTGACCATTTTCCACTCTCATAACTCCGTATTTGTAGACGTCGTTTGTGACTTTTAAATAAGGATTTCTATGATCTTTACTCTTGAAAAATGTTTCTATTCCCTGACATGATTCATCCAGCTTGTTTGTTCCAGTTTGTAGATTTTTTAAATGTGTACTAAAAGCTTCTCTGTCGGTTAGGTTAATAAACCTACCATGATAATTTATAGGTGTTAAATAACTTTCTACGAGAGTTTTGATATCATTCGGATTTGTTTGTTTCCAAAGATTTCTAGTAAAATGGGTTGCTATATGAGAACATTTTGCCTTGATAATTCCCTTTGCGCATATCCAACTTTTTATACTCAAATCTACTGCTTTGGCGATCTCTGTTACGTAGGATTTTCTATTCACATTCGATAAACGACGCCATAGAGTTGGCTTAAGAGCGAAACAATTCATGTTAAGAGCAAGAGAGGGCGCTGTTAGTTCTGAGTCGTCTCCTCTGGATGTAACATATCTTATATTCAGCCTTAAAGTTACGTACAAGTAGGCTGCAGGATCGATTTTCTGTTTAAAAAATGTAATTAATAAATAACTATTTTAACGAGACAACATTAACGAAAAAAAATGATGGCTTACTTTAATATTCATTGAAATAATGTCACTAATAACATTCGTATGCGGTATAACGACAGATTCTGGAGAAGACTGAACTGTGCGAAGAAGAGGTAATAACCATCCTTTGAGTACAGTTGTTCTAGGAGAAAGGAACACAAGAACGGTGCCTCTTTCCTGCACTGTTTCTCGACAAGTCCAAAACTGATCCTTATTACATTTCAAGCTAACACATTTAGGACAAATCTTTAAAAAATAACCAATTTCCCTAGTGACGTCGCTACCGTCTAGTAAAAGAATCTCTTTAATGTAATTAACATCAGTAAATTTGAGAATACTGAGTATCGTCATTTTAACGTCGAACCATTCGTTGTCCCTAAATAATATAACAATTGTAGCAGACTCCTTGTGTTTATCGTCATTTCCAGTTTCATCTTTGCATATTTTTGGTCTTGTATCGTTTAGTTTATTCAATCTTTCATATATTAATTCGTCTGGTCTTGTTAAGTTTCCTTGTTCACCGAAAGGAGATAGTCTTTTCTTAATATTATCTCCGTTTCTAGAATTTATCTTATTTATGCTCTGTTCTGTTTCCTTTTCCTTTTCTCTTTCATTATTTAATGAAGATTCTTGACTAATTCCACCTAAATTAATTTCTGTAGCGGTATTCGTAGTTTGTGAGCCGGATAGTTCTTTTACGCCAAAATATCCTTTGGAAAAGACCTTTCTGACGATTTCTTCTCGAATGTTTGGTCCTTGAGGCTTTTGAAAGATCAGAAAAACGAATATTACTCCAATTAAGATTCCAATTAAGCAAAGATCGAAAAATGAAATTCTCTTATATGCCCTGGTCTTACGCATAGTGTGCCTAATGTCACGTTTTTTCTGATTAAAACACCCTAAATAATAAAAAAAAAACAGTAGTAGACAGTAATATAGCGTTAAAGTTGTAAATCAGTCAAGCGTGGTAGGTCAGTTGAACATTCTTCTTCTCTTTTGGTTATTCGTTATTCTTAAGAACGCAAACATTTGCAGCTTTTTTTTATCTATTTTTCTCTCCATATACCCTTTATTAACAATATTAAACAATAAAAGAAACTTCTTCAATTGGCCTATTAGCAATTTAGATTACCATAAGTTGGTAACAAAATTTGTTCAGTCATAATGACATGTACTTTGCCATATTTATTTATATTTGCGTGGTGAAAATGTGTTAATTTATTGATATAATGAAATTTGGTCAGATTTTAGACCTGAAAACAAGTGTTGTTTAGACGAAAATGATATTTTCTTTATATGATAAGTATGTGAAATAGCGTGTGCTGTCTATTAAAAAATATATATAAAGGCGTTACAATCTCATTAAATATGAACTTGAAGATGAAGTGCCTAATTGTTTTAGTAGCTCTTACAACCTTGGCTATTGCCAAACCAGCAGCCAGAATTGTTGGTGGAGAAGATGTTGATCCTCCAGGAAAGTACCCATGGCAAGGATCTCTACAAAGTTTCTCTGACTTCCACAGTTGCGGCACTGTTGTTATCTCAAACAAATATGTTTTAACTGCTGCTCATTGCGTAATTAGCCAAAGTCCAGCCACCAGAAAGGTTGTTTTGGGAATGCATGACAAAGACACTCGTCTAGAAGGAAATCCAACAGACTACAACATCGAAAGAATTGATAACCATCCTTTGTATACTTCTGGACCCCCAACTTATTGGGCTAATGATGTTGCTGTTTTGACCATCGAAGGAACTATCGATTTGACCGATCAATATGTCAGCGCTATTGGCATGGCCGATGAAAACTCTCCAGATTTCTCTGACAATGAAGATTGTCATATTACTGGATGGGGCAGAACCCGAGGAGGTGGTCCTTCACCAAACATCCTTCAAGAAGCCAACATCGATGTTCTTTCTCCTGCAGAATGCAGAGCTAACAGACCCGGACAAATCTATGACTACCATATCTGTGTTGGAAAGAGATTTACTGCCGATCAAGGAGCTTGCCAAGGAGATTCTGGTGGTCCTTTGTCCTGCCGTCACAACGGTAACTGGGTTGTTGCTGGTATTACTTCATGGGGAAATAGTTTCTGCGCCACTACTCAAGCCTCTGTCTACGCTAGAGTTGGATTCTCTGGAATCAGATCCTTCATCAGAGAAATCACCAATATGTAAAGAGAAAAAAATCAAAAGTATTAGCAAGCGCAATAACATTTGGTTTAATAAAATTTTAACCGACAGATGGTGTTTTTTTTATTATTGTTTAATGAAATTTCGGCCATTAATTAGAATCGAAGAGTTCATAGATTATTCCTATTGAACTTTGGCCAACCTTTAGCAATTTAGATTATAGTTGCAACAGAATTCCTGAATATTTTATACATAGCGGCCGCAAAAATTATACGAAGGGAAAAAGGAGATTGTAAAAATAATCAAAAAGCGTGTACTCTCCATCACAGGTAGGAAGAGTAACTTAACAAACGAGATGATGTATTATAACAGTTTATAGTATATAATCGAGTTAAAAAAGTCGGAAAGTCGATCTTGAAAAATACCCGCGGGCTTACACCTGCCCCCTTCTGTTTATGCGAGCTCCAAACATCTCGCGTTCTCATGCCAATATACTTTTAGGCGATATTTTAACGGGCCATATGTTCCATATGTGTACGTTATGTGGAAATAAGTTGAATTAATTGAAAAACGTGCGAAAAAGTTCTCAGATCTTTAACTCATAAATGCGCAAAATCTGACTTTTTCATAAATGTCTCTCTTTTTTTTTCCTTTAAAGTCTTTTTTCTCTTTTAAGAATAAAGGTGGTTTTGATTTAGTTTCAATTGAAAGAAAAAGAATGATTTAAACCCCCTCTGTCTTCCCTCTATTGTGTAGTGGGGGGACTCGGAGGATATTTGCCCGCAGTTCTATAACTCATTTTTTTGTTGTCTTTCGGATCCAATCTGCTTTAGATGACCCGCTGAGAAGGCAGAATGGACTTCTTTTATACAAGGAACATGTTGGCAAAATCTGTTCGAAATGGATCGCATAAAAAAAAGTTTTTTTTATTTATTGCACAAGTAAAAATTTCCTATAAAAATAATAGTAATAGTAACAACAATGATAATAAAGAGAGAGAAAGAAGGAAAGAGCTCGCGAGAGAGAGAGAGAGAGATGAATCTTCGAAACGGAGAAGAAGAAAAAAAGAAATATTGCATGATTTCTTTTAAGAAGATTGAAAAAATTCGTAACATAAAAGTATGGTTCAAGGCATACTTTTCTTTCTTTTCAAATTTGAAGAAAGTATAAAATTGAATAAATATGAACAATAATACATATATAAACAATACGCATACAGTATCAGAATAGTAATAAAGATGTGTATGAACAAAAAAAAAACGTTACCAGCCAAAATCGATACCAGTCATAGCATAGAATTTATAATTAAACGGTTTATAGAAATCCCTGAGTCGTTCAATAACTTCAGTGTCGATATTCGGATGAGGTCGACCTTTGGACGAATGTAAACACCTAGCTTTTTTCTTCAAACAGGGAAAACCTTTAGTATGATTAAAGTAGAAATGTTTTTCATGGATATAGGGTTCCAGTCCCAAATACTTTTCAATCTTAGCTAATTCAGCTGCAGGTTGGGAGACGAGTTTTTCGCCAGAAACCAAGTGTATTTGCTTATCCGAAAAATACCTTCGCCATCTAGCTAAGTGTTTGTAGTATAAACCGATTTTGATGACCGCCCACGACGCATTTACAATCTTGGTATCATTTAGAAAAGCTAGACGATCAAACGATTTCGTATCTTTACCCCACCGGCTTGCCAACTGGGCGTAGTCGCTTATCGCCCTTGTTACAGGATCCCGAACGACCAATATCAGTTTTGTTCTTGGCGACATTTCATAAACTTTTCTTGGTATAGACGATTTTATAAAGTAGCTGGGCGTCTTCTCAACAGTCAACTGACCGTCCCGACTAGATGGCATTTGATTTCTGTAATGAAAGATAAGATGAGAATTGTTAATGAATTCTCTCGTCGGATTACAATAACAATCTATTTCTCTAAGAATTTGAGAATTTAATGATTCCTTGATTCATAGATTAGAAAATACCTTGCTAATCTCCCTCTAACTTAAATTAATCTACTCGACACAAACTTTCTGAGAGGTGTCAAAGGTTACACCAGACGTAGCTAAGCCTTTTTTAAGATTGTCTATTATTTTACCTTCTGTTTTCTCTCTATTTCCTCCTCTCTCTCTCTCTCTCTCTCCTTCCCCGCACTCTCTCTCTGTCTTTCTTTACCTTTTTTTTACCTTCTCTTTACTTCATTAACCTTAGTGCGATGCTTTTACGTCTCCTACGACATACAATACTTTTTTTACATAAAAAACTAGCTTTCTCCTTAAAAAAGAGAGTTGTAGTTCTCTTTTTCACACAATTGTCATTTAGTAATTGCTTTCTGTGAACTTTCAAATATGTCTATAAAAAGAGAAAGAGTAAACGGATAAGGGAAAAGACGAATTTTGTAATTGTTTACTCCTGCCATAAACTTATCGTAATTGCAAACAAAGGACGAGTAAGTCCGCGTGAAATGGCATCCAAATTGAAAGTAAACAAGGTTTGTCCTTACATAAGCGTGTTTTGACAACGAAATAGTCGCTTCTGTGTATATAGAGAAGGGGAGGGCATCCCAATGGCAAACAGCAATTATTGCCCACCACTATTGTTTTACGTTTCGCTCCAGCATCTGGCAGCGAGCGACGGCAAACAGTAATAAAGGCAAACACTGCAAGCTTGAGTAAGCATGCGAGAGAACGAACATTAGTCGAGTATACAAACGTTCCAATTGATTTTATATGATTGCCTATTTGAACGTTAGTTTTCCTTTAACCTTCTCTTTTTCTATTTCCTATTTTTGGTTCTAAATTCATAGCTACTTGAGTAATAATTCCAAGTATCGTTGTTATTCATCAATTAACAAATGGACAGACATAAAAAAAAACGAATAAAAAGAATCTAGGATAAAATGAAATAGTAGTATAAAAAGAAAAAAAATAATAAGAGAGAACAACCAAGGGAAGAGATCGTGGCGCAGATGACTAATTTCTAATGTCATCTCTTGGGACATGCTTTGTTGGTCAGTTTAAGCTAATGGACGATTTCTTCGTTATATTATGAGAACAGTGTGTTTAGGTAGAAAGAAATGCAATTATTGAAAATTGAAGTAATTTGATATAAATAAAGAGTAAAAGAGAGAAAGACCACTCCTAAAACTCTTTTAGATTTGTATATATAACAAAATATAATAAATAGAAATTCGCATAATATTTGTTAATTAATCCAATAGGTTCTTTTTACTAGTTCAATTATATTAATAAATTATTTAAACATAAAATATGGATTTTGCTGCCAAATAAAGAAGTAAAAATATTTTGGCCATCCAGCTACCAAAATTGTTTTCTCTTTCACCCTTCTCTCTATCTTTTTATCTCTTTCTCTCTCCCTCCCTCCCTCCCTCTCTCTTTCTCTTTTTCTCTTTCTCTTTCTCTCTCTCTCTTTCTCTATTCTATCCTTTTTCAAAACTATCTCATTATGCGCTTGGTTTCTCATCTAAATAAGAAGCGTGTACTCTGCATATATGCTAAATGTATATATTCTATATATATATACTGTATACACTAATAAAAATCCTTCTAGACGACTTTAGAGTGGAAATATTTAGGGGAAACAATAACACTTATTATATAATAGATATATAAAGGGTATATACATACACATTGCATTTACCGTTTCTCCAAGTACATACATTAGTACATTGATAACGTTACGTAATAAAAAGTTAAACGGTATTTTCTAATGTATTAGATATATATTTTATGTTAAAATGGCCACCATCGAACTCTTCTGTCTATATGAACGGTTTGTTGACTCGCTTAAGCCGGCCGCCAGAGAATTAAAATGTGGATTATTGATGATTTGTACGGTATAGATTAATGTGGCTTTAGCGTTGATCCGTGTCTGATAAGCATTAGGTGCCCGACTGCGTCTAGTGTTGATGACAGGGATTAAAATAATAACAATAGCATTTCGCTTATAACTCAAAGTTTTACAAGTCTTGATTATAGCTGCGGAAAAGGGAAAGGGAATGATTTATTTGTCTTTATTCTACTCTACAGAAGGAATCGACTTTGAAAACTTTTCCCTATTATATTATAATAGAGAATCAATTCTTATCCATTCTACTCTGTCAAGATATGTTATGTAACAAAAGTATTATGTTTATTCTAATCTGTAGTGTAAAATAATCGCAATTTTCGTTTACATTAGCTCAAAATTTATATACATATATAAGTTTATATTATCAGATTAAGTTTTATTGATGTAAAATATTCATCATGATAAGGGAAGAAGGAGGAAAAAGTAGTCCTTTTTTTTCTATTAATTGAAATAGAGCTTTTAGAAATTTTCTTTGCTTTGTAATTTTTTTTTTGTACAGCTCAGTTTTGTATAGTTTGATAAACAATCTTACTCTGTCAAGTACATTTCTTTTATAAACAGTTCATTGGGTACGGTTTGTCTAAACTGTATAGATTTTAACAGGTGGTAGTAGGACGTGCTCTTTTTTTCTTCCCCTATTATTTATTCATATGTGAGATATTAGTAATTTAACGTAATACTATTCTTAACTAATCTATTAACTACTCATCTTTTCTCATTGCCTCTCAATCAAACTCTAGGAGAAAGAATGTTTATATTATAGCTTAAATATACTGTATATATAACCTCTATAATTTATACGTTCCTATCCTGCTGGGTAATGAAATACCTATTCGGCTATTACTACTCAGGTATTTTAGTCATGTAATAGATATGAGAGGTTGCTATATGAAGAAGAGAAAAGGAAAACCATTAAAAACCATTTTCCCTTTCACTATCTTGTTATATTATCATTGCTATTGTTTTTTTAAACTATTTATAGAAATAACAAAGGAAATTGAGGAAGAGACGTAAAGCTAAGTACATGACAAACAGTATAGAAAACGAGAACTTAAAGTCCCTAGCTCATTCATTCATTGTAAAAGAGAGAAAACAAGAAAAATTGAAGCCTTTAACCGCTATTAAATATCCATTAGAATGAATAAGAATTATAATATTTAATAACTGCTAATAAGCAGTTTGGTAAGGTAAGCAATTTTCTATACATTACAAGCTAAAGCGTATTAAATACACCTATTAACTCAGATATACCTTGTATATAACATATTTATAATTATAAATACATATATAAATATATATGAACACATATATATACATGTATTGTGTATGAATAAAGTCCACCTGTGACTCGTTTCAAAAGGTATAATCAATAAATTATATACGAACTGCACGCGTTTAGACACACGACGTCAGGTGAAATACAATAAGATCGTTCCATAATAAATTGACTCTTCTTGCCTAGCGTCCCTTTCGTAATTTTTTTTAAATAGATGTCCGAACGACCACTTTTCCTTTCCCGTTTCTTTATAGTTTTATTATATTATTTTTTTCAAAATATGCACAAGCACACATAACTTTCTTTATAGTACGAAATTCAAACGGTTTCATTGTTTACATTCGCATATAATTAACCTTAAAACGTCCCTACCCCTAGGCTTATTATAAAGAGTACGTATAATATAGTGAAAGGAGTTTTCAATTGGGGCTTGCTTTAATCAGATAAACTCCATTTACGTAATCTTGTATTCCTTGCATAATTCTTAATTAATGACGAGTTGTGAATGGGTCTAGTTTGCTAATAGAAATTCTCTGTATAATGGTATCAACACGCTAGCAGGAGAGTATATCATTTCAAAGCTGAACGCACTCACCTGTACCATTCTAAGCCGAGATGGTAATTTTTATCAAAGAAATGAACTTCCGGTCCTGGAGCTTTGATGTTGGGATGTTGGCGTAGAAATTCTAGCAAAGCTCTAGTTCCGCCTTTCTTCACTCCTATGATTATTGCCTGAGGTAATTTCTTAGCCGAGCTCCTCTTTTCGGTTGGTTTCTCGCCAATTATCACGTATTTAGCAACTATAAGAAGAAGAAATGACAATACGAGGAGGATAGCGACTCCGATTTCCCTTTCGCCACACAATCTCTTCGACATCTCTTAGTAGATAAACACCTGTATTTTCGTAGGAGGCATCTGTTCCAACGATAGTCACGAATATTTTCTCCAAGATTTATAAATAATCGAACGTTGCTTGTTTATAAACAAAAGAACAAGCCAAGCTCCCTCCACACCAAACGGCGATCGACCGTCGACAGAAACGCGTGGCGACTTCACCATCTTTGCTGATTGGCCATTCTAAGCTCCGCCTTATACACAGCTGTTTGCCGCAGTTGTTTGGTTCAATCAGGCTTCCTCTTTAAAAAAAATGCCTACCTCCCTTCCCTTCATCCCCTCTTTCCCTCACTAACTTTCCTGAAAGGCTTTTTGATTTATGATCGAAAAATTCCCATCCCCTCAGGCTACTTTATTCATAAAAAATCGTTTTGACACGATCTTTCTCTCTCTTTCAACAAGAATATATAATTAAATTCAGAAATCCCTTTACGCAATTATACTATTAGTAAGTTCAACTGTTTTGATAGATTACCTTTGTTTCTACAGCCGTTTTACAAAGCGTAGACGCAATATTTCTATAGATAACAAATTCCATCAGTAATTGAAGCCTTAATTAAAACCAGCTGTTATATGTGTGATTAGCTGCAATCGGTCCATAATTGGGTGTATAACCGAATATATTTTAAGACGTCGTCGCATATCTTTGGCCCTAGTCAGTTTTTTTGCAGGAAATGTTAATACTCTACTGTAAATGTTTGCTCTTTTTTTCTAATAATCATCGCACGTTTCTACGTCTCTTCTTTTCCTCGTTTCGGTTGACATCTTTCACGAAAAATTGCAAACATGAGGTGACGCCGCAATTTGTCTGTCCCTTGACAGACGCACTGAGAAACGTGTAGTCGCATTTGAAAGGCGATTACTAACATTTATCATTCGAATACCGAGAGGACGATGCTCGATGTCCTAATGTGATTACATTTCGCTTTTTCTTCTTTTCTTTATCCGGTATTCACTAGGCTTATACGTAATTTCTTTTTATTCATATGCACTATTCACTACTTCCGAATGTATGCAGGTGTTTAAAAGTTGATTAATGATAGGCAATAAGCTAATTACTCGGCACTTGGTTTGCGCTATGTTCTCTTTCCTGTCTGTTGGCAAATTTTTTTATTGACGAGCTACAGCCGCACGTAGACGATAGGTGGTGTCGCGGTATCATCAAATTTGAAGTGCCAAAAAGAAAAAGAGAGAAAAATCCTAAAGATGGAGCTTCGAATCAATTTTTTAATCGTAGTAGTAGTTGTAAATTATTTGCTGTCTTATCTTAATAATTTCCAGGGTTTCATGAAAATACTTAGTAAACTTTTGAACTTTTAAGACTTATAACACGAATACACTCAAATCCATTCCAAAAGCTGTTTTTCATTAAGTTGAAATCGAGGTAATCTGAATATTATCCTCGGGATAAAGGGTAGACATTAAAAATAAAAGTTGGTATAATTTTTCAAGCAAGGGTCGCATAATAGGTTTCAGGACATTTTTGTAACGAAGCACCTATAACCTCTCTTTTTTTTATTTTTCTCTTTATTCACCTTCCCTCTTTTACTATTATATCTTTTTTTTTCACTCCATACAGAGAGTTTTATCGTTCTTTAGACTATATACGATTTTTGAACAACTTCTTCCTCTTCTTTCTTATTTTAAGCTTATATATATATATATATATATATATATATATTTATAAAAAAAACTTAAATTTCATATTTACACTTTTAAACCCTTCTCTTTATATCTTTTTTGTAATATTTTAGCAGTTTATTGAATTTTCTTTTGTAACAAATGGTTGATTGTATACTCTATGTAAATAAGTTTCAGTAACTATCTTATGCATTCCTTTTAAATATATATTTACAACTAATAATTAACTTTCATCTATATGTTACAATAAGTAACGATTAAACTTCAAATAAAGAAAACTTTGACCTATGAAGAAAGAGAGAGAGATTGAGAGACAGACAGACAGACAGGCAGACAGGCAAAAAAAGAAAGAGAAAGAAAGCAAGAAAGAGAAAGAGAGAGAGAGAGAGACAGAAAGAAGGAAAGCATAAGAATTTATTCTTGAGGAGGAATATCTGCTATTTTTTTTAACCATAAAAAGTACTATAAGTAATGGAAAAGTGAATGATCACTTAACGAATATCAACCATTTATGTTTTTAATAGTTGAAAGATTGTCTTAATTGAAATAGATGGATGGAGATGAAAGAAATAAAGAAAAAGCCATTTTTTGTATAAACAATTAGACAGCTCATAGGCTTTATGAAAAAACAATCCAGAGGTGAAATCGCACATGATGAAGGTCGCGATTTTTTCTTGAATTACCTCAAGGTCACATATTCTTATCAAATATTTAAAAAGCACTTACAATGCGAATAATCTATTGCTATATCTCATATCTTTCCGATAAAATCATTTTCTTTTTTTCCTCTTATAAAGTTTGTTAAAGGTATATAAATCATTTGAAAAATCTGTTATCTGATTGACAATATATCCTTCTCCAAACAAAGTGAAGTTCAAGCCTCATCTTACCTTATCATTAAATTATATATGGATACACTACAAAAAACTAAAAAGGACAGGGTAGTTCTCATGCTTGAATTTTTTATATTATCTATGTACAAATCTACAACGACAAGATTTCGAACTAAAAATAACATCCGTTTTCCCGTTATTAAGAAATAATTTCCTATTTTAATGGGTTTCTAGTGTTGAGTTATATGATCCAATAGATGGCGTAAAATCTTTTTCTTTTTATTTGAAGATTGTTAAAGAAAATTATGGCGAATTGAAAAGATATAAAAAACTAAAAACTATTACAAGAAGAAGAAAGAAATCCCCTTCAACTAAATTTATTGGTTCAATTTATACGTTTATAAATTGATAACTGCATCTCTTATCAGATCTTAAATTACGGTACCATATAGCTTGGAACAATAAGTATCTTTACTCAAGTAAAGATATGAAAAAAAGTAAATTTCTTAGATAAAATGAAAAATAATAATTATTTAGGTGCAAACACACCCTTTATTCTCTCTTATTATATATTTCTTTCACTATCTGTCTCTGTCTCTCTATCTATCTCTCTCTATGCCTCTGTCTTTCTTTTCCGCTTTCTTTCTCTCTTTCTTTATTTTTTATTTCTTTCTTTATTTCTTTTCTTACTTTCCTCCTCCTCCTCTTATTCTCCACACTCTCTTATAATTCCTCATACTGAAGCCGCCAGCGACGAAATACACAAGAGATTTTTATAGGACTACAAATGTTCATCTGAATCAATATTTTCTTCACAGTTAAAACTTGTTATCCAATAGCATATTTTCCAGGTCAAAATAATTATACAAGTTAAATTTAATTTACGTACAAGTTTAACCTACAAGTAACGTTTTTATTTTAAAGTTAAATAAATTTTTTCCCCTGTTTAAACTAAGATTAATTAAAAAAAATTAATTTTAACCATATTGTTAATTAATTTGTTGATTAAATTAAAAAATAAAAGAGAAGGAGGAGGAGGGGAAATATTAAAAGTTAATTAAAAAAGTAATATATAAATATCTATATATATATATATCTACTTTATTAAAACAAGACAAAATACTATAAAGTTTCTTTTGTACTAACGAAAAAAGAAAAAAATTATGTATATAAATTTTAAGTTGGTAATACGATTGATAATACTCGGATTCTTTTACTTAAACTCTGGTATTGATTAAGGACGATATTATAGAAATACGCTTAAAACAACGATATCATTTAAATGATGTAGGAAATTTTCTATTGCATTTTTAAAACCAAAATAAAAAAAAAACAGTTTTAAATATATTCTTTTATTTCTTTTTTTATTTAATCTTTCTAATCAAGTCTGAAATTATCACTAAGCTTTACAAATATAGAAACCAAGGCTATAGTAGGCCTTTTAATAGACTAGTATGTTAGAAACGATTGTAGTAGTACGCCTTTAAAAAAAAAAGATTGAGAAGAGAGAGAGAGAGAGAGAGAGAGAGAAAGATTAAATTAGGCTATATTCAATTCAGACATGGCTAAATATCAAATATTACCATTCCTTTATTTCTTTAATAGTCTTTTATTGGTAGTAAAGAGTGGAAAACGACACTAATCTAATCTAATTTATTAAGTATTTGAAAATCCATTTAAATTTATAATTTGAAGTTCTTAATTCTAACATAAGAACTATCGTAAATCGCTTTGAATATTACTCAATTCAAAGTTTCTCCCTTAATTTTTTATAGTAGTTTTCTTGTAGAACATACTTTGGCTTTCAAATACTTTTGTAAAGATATCGGCGAACGTCGTTACGCCAATAATACGAGCCAGTTGTTGCAGATTCTCTAAATATGCTTACTTTGGTACAAACGTACTGAGAACAATGTTAGAAATATTTTAGAAATATTTCAAATAGATGTATATATATATATATATATATATATATATATACTAATATATTAGTATATACTGCATTTATATATATATCCATATATACAGTATATATATATATTATTCATGATAATTTATTAGTGTGATTACGTAATAAAACATTCGATCTTTTACTTGTTTATATTAAATGAATATTGTATATAAATATATCCTATTCGGTTTTATTTTTAGTCGGAAATTAATTTTCTCTTTTCATTTAAAATTGATAAACAAGATGAATTAAAATTGTTTACTATTGTTTGTCAATATCGTTAAATCTCTAGACTAAGCTTTACTCTCTTGGGTTATTAGTTGTAAGTTGTTTACTCAATATTTATTATATACATAAACTGGAAGGAATGCAAGAGAATTACAGTAATATAGTTACAGTTGCTGCGCGCTCGTTTGCCTACTATAGAAAATTTTCAAGATTCTAGATCTGCTACGCAACTCAGCAAACTACTCACTAAAGATCTTTATTAAGATATCGCCCAGGCCTGAAATAAATATACATTGGTACAAATATACAATAAACCAAGTATGCCTTCTATGTATAAATTTATACACTGTGCACAGTTTACATATATACTAATACAGTATATATACAGTGTATATATATATATATATATATATATATATATATATATATATATATGGATTAACTGTATGTATACGTAAACTTTAGTCTTAATTCTCGCAGCGGTGTAATAAAGTTTATACTAAGCGGATTAGCGTGGATCTATTTTGACATTTTACACCTCACCCCGTAGAAACGATTATAGGCAGCTAATTTCTAAAGGTCATCAAGATAAAATCATAATAAACGTAATATTATACGAGTTTTCTCAATAAATTCAAACAAGTTTTATTCTTTAAAATATATAAATGACTAAGAAAAAATATTAATAAAAAACTAACTTCTTTAAATCCAAGTCAAATAATGATATAGACTTTTTTCTTTTAACAGAATAAAATAAACAGAAAGTAGAAAGAAAATAATAAAGAGATATAGATATATAGATAAATATATAGAAAACGAACAAGGATTGAGATTTAAAAGTTATATGGTCTATATATTTACAATTTTTTGAACGAGTGCAATAAACGTCTATAGCTCTAGTTAAACGCCTTTCAATTAGGTAATAATCGAATCTTTGATTTATTCATGCAAAGTGAAATGAAAGAATGAATATATATACAGTAATTTGTAATGGAATATATTACAATTAATTAATTAATTAGTTAATTACTAAAAGAGATTTAAATAGTTAAAACGTTGTTGTCAAGTTAATAATCCGTAAGCGAATAATATTGTTTAACAAAAGAACTTGTGTAGAAAGAGACGTGACGACGCATATAAATTGGTGTAGGTCATAATAGTATACGCGAAATATATATTTTCAGTCAATATCTAATAGAAAAGGTAATAAAAACCATTTTTTCGCCCCCTCCTTTCTTGGTCCAAAAGAAAAAAGACCATCTTTTAAAAATAGAATAGAAAAATAAATGCTCAATATTAAAATTGGAATTATTCATTTCAATTTACTTTATAATCTCCTGAGGAGTTTTTAGACGAATGAAAAACTCACCAAATTTTCACCCATTATCATAAAAACTATATGAAATTTGATTAAAGTTTACTTGCTGCATTAAAGTATCATAAATATTCATTTAAAAAAATGATGTTGTACTACATAGATCAATGGAATCGTACCACATTTCAATTTAATTCCCAAAAAAGTTTTATAAAACATATACAGTAATATATTATATAAATATATTCATGACTCGCATGGTGATTGGCCAATTTCGGAAGTAAGGCCTGAAGCGGAGAAATGTTTGGGTGCCATATGCACAAGTGCTGCTCTGTCTGCGCATGGGGAGAGTATGCACCTCTCCGCCACGGTGCGGATTCTTTGCTTCCTAGCAGTCATGAGATTGGCAGGTAAAACTGACGCATGTTTTCCTTTAGTAATAGATTAGACTGTAAAAATTCCTAGGCCGGCGGCCCGTTTTTCTCTTCAAAGGTGATTTTGATTAACTGACTGAAGAAATTTTTTCTACGCTCTCTCTTTCTAAATATATAAATATATATATATATATATATATATATATATATATATATGTGTGTGTGTACGTATGTGTGTCTGTGTGTATTAGTCTGTATGCAGACATACATATGCTTATATAAATTCTAAACACAATCTTAACTATATAGGAAATGTACGTAAAGTTCTAAGCAACGTTTATATATAATTTATCATTTTTCCTCATCTTTTTACCTTTTATTTCTATAAGTTTTATTATATAAAACGTGTTCTTGCCATTCAAACATACAACTATCAATATTTTATATAAATTTGGTAAAATATAATACATTCGATGTTTTTCCTTAATAATAAGATTTAATATATATCTTATGTATGTATGTTTTCTTTCACAGAAAACTTAAGTTTTCAACAAATTTCAAACTTTGAAGTTTCTTTTAAACTTTTGTATCATTTCCGTATTTCGTTTACACTTATCTTTTCTCTCTCTCTCTCTCTCTCTCTCTCTCTCTCTCTCTCTTATTCTCTCTCTGCTTATCTAATTCTCTTCTTTCGTATTGCTTTTCTAGCCTTTCATCTAAAGTCTCCCACGCTTATTTGACGACATTAAGCAACATTTTTTTTTTGAGAAAGTTTTTCTTTTCTTCTTTCAATCGACTTCTTCATATTCTCTCTTCTCACTCTCTCTTTCTCTCTTTCTCCCACTCTCACCTACTCTCTTATTCGCTCTTTTTATATTGTTTTAACTTTCTATTATGCTATAAAATTTGTATAAAAAAACACGGTTTGATAAACTAAGGTGCTAACAACGGATAGCAACTCCAGTCGTATTTTAATGATGAGAGGGAAATGTTTCATTACGAAATGACCCCGTTTAAATTCTGGGCGTGTTTGGCCAGAGTATAGAGATAACGCTGACATATTGTTTATAAAGTTTTTATGCGGATGCAAGCCGCATAGATTTTTAGTCGGTAGTGATTATATAAATATAGCTTAAGTATATATAGTAAACTATATTTATACTATATATACAAGGTATTACCGTATTTTCATATATATTTTATTTATAAGTTCGACTACGTTAGAATCTGTATGTCTGAGAACATCTTAGCTATTAAAAAGCCGTATAACTGTCGGCCTAAATTATACTCTTTTCTCGAGGCAAAATTATAACCGGCGACCTCTCTTTTTTCATTTATTTTTTGAAAATAAACCAGATAAACTATATAATACCTTTACTATCCGATAACGCATCATATGCAGAGAGAACTAGAGAAAAAGTGAGATTAAATTTACAGACCCGGCACAACAGGTTAATTAAAAAAAGAGAAAAGAATTTTTCAACTGAAAATTTTATTATTAACGAAGGTTTCAATTTTCTTTTTTTGTTTTTTTTTCTCTGCTTTTTTTTTGTTTGCAAGTTTCTATCCCCAGTTTTTGAAGCCCTGAGGCTTTGGCCATGTGTAGGTTTTTCTTTGGCAAATGGAAATGAGATAAGGGGGAATTAGAGAAGTAGAAGACCGACGAAATCTAGAGGGTACACCCGCCTTTCGATATTTTGTTTGTAGCTTAAAACCAACGTAGATAAATAAACAGTTTGTCTGTCATTTGTTTGCCTTTTTTTCTATAACCCGTAAATAGAACAATTGTTATTTTAATATGTCCCTGACGCTTTTGGGCTATTTACAATTTATAAACAATGCAGAGGCGTTGAAAAAATGGGAAATATAAATATTGAATGTTCATTAAGGTGTTTTTCTATAATAGTAATAAAAAAAACGAAATTTTCTGTCCAGACATGATTAAATTGATTATACTTGTCTATTTCTTTAATTATAGTCTCATTTGAAGATGAAGAAATCTCTCCTGAAATTTTGGATAGCTTACATTTGGACCTTTTCGTTGTCACCGACCATACTATGTACAAAAATTATGGAGAAGAACTGGATAGTTATACAGAAACGATAATAGACTATGTAGGGCGTCTTTTCAGAGATGCAAACCTTAAAGTTGACATTGAAATTAATCTAGTGGGCAAATTGCATTTTAAAAGCGTAAAAGATGAGAGGAAGCATCTTATACCATTCCCCGAAAATATGAATGACGCCCATTATTTATTGGGCGCCTTCTGTACCTGGCAGGGAAGCTATCTGAGGAAAAAATATGACTATAAAGCAGCTATACTAATGACTAGGCGTGATATAACAGGAGGAAATGATTTGAACACTTTAGGAGTAGCCAATAAGATGGGAGCTTGTTCGGATAATATGGCTTGTGCTATAATTGAAGATAAAGGATTTAGTACAGCCTTTACTATTACACATGAAATAGGTCATCTGTTGAATTTACCACATGATGACGATAGAGATAACTGTAAAGGACCCACACAGAGGCGGATCATGTCGTCCTTACTCGATGCATCTGTTGATATATTCTCTTGGTCTAAATGCTCTGCTTCTCATGTTCGGAAATTCGTAAAGAGCAGCAAATCGAAATGCCTTCGAAAAAAAGCAAGATCATATAATACAACACACACGGGCAATATGAAACTTGTGCTGCCCGGCGAATACTACAACGAGGAGAAACAATGCTCTTTCTACAACAAATCATATTCGTCCTATTACACAACTTCTTGTCGACAATTAGTTTGTAGGTCGCCTACGGGTAGCTTAGCAAAACTGCACTTCCCAAAGGCCGATGGAACGCCGTGCGGTTATATTGAAGGATTGATGTGTTATCGTGGCAGGTGTACGGATTTTAGAGATCCAATAAAACCTTTAAACGGTGGTTGGGGACGCTATAAAAAAGTTGGAACTTGTAGCATTCCTTGCGGTGGCGGAATCCAATATGCTGTCCGAAAATGCAATAACCCTATTCCGACACACGGTGGTCGTTACTGTTCTGGGAGAAGGGTTAAATTTTGGACCTGTAATAGACAGGTGAGTTGTTTGCTTTCTTTTATAAACATAAGATAGTTGTAAGTGTGAAATGAAAATGTAGGAGGTGACCGAGGGAGGGGTAAAGATCTCTTTTTTCTCTTCAAACGACTTTTAGCAGCAGGTGATCCTATTAGAAAAATAAACTAATAGGTGGAAATATTTTGAAAAGCAACAACTTAACGCTTTAGCAGGTTTATAGTTGGTCCTATTCCACATATCTCTGTTAAAACGGTAAAGAGAAGGAGAGAGAGAAAGACGTTCTCAACGAGAATCATTTCTCTCCATCACTTTCTCTCTCTCTGTTTTTTAAATTATGCTTCTGAAAAAGTATCTGTTTCACTAAGAAATTTAAAAAAAATGATCACGTGATCAAAAACTTCCAGGCATGTAACAGATTGATAGCAAAGTTACCGAACCTAACGCGACCGGTGTATGGGGAATAATTTAATTTAATCGCAAAACCGCTATTTAACTGACATACTAACAAACAAGACCGCTTAGGATAATAACTCTAGCTATTTAGTACAATGTTAAGAATAAAAGAAAAAGCAACGAGTTTTGACAAATAGTATAAACAATTTACTACGGGTAGTGTTTGTTAGTGAAAGCCGATAAGTCTGCCATCTATTAGTCGTTTAGGCTGTATAAACCCTGGACTCTAGCCACACACATATTTGATTGAAAACCGAATATTTCACAGGATAAATTTCTTTCAGTAACATATGCTTTGCACCCGTAAATTCTGTCAGCGTTTTATCTGCACTTGGTGACAAATCTCTTAGGAGCTTTGAACCCCTTAAAGGCGCTTTCTTATCAGATTTACCGTGCAAGCAAAGCCAGGGCAATTTCAAGTCATCCATTGACTCAGTTGCCTCCTCAACTGCCTTTAAAATTTCAATTCCCGTTCTAGCATGAACTTTACCGTGATAGTTAAGAACGTCCTCCTTGTAAGATTCTACAAGATCTGCGCTTCTAGAGAGGTCAGAGTAATCGTTTCTTGGGAACAATCGGGCCTCGGGAGAGAAAAAAGAGAGTGCTTTTGAAAAGGCTACCATGGCTGCATTATCCATTAAAGAGCTTTTTGATAAGAATGGTGATAAGAGAATTAGGCCGGAGAAGAGTTTTGGATCTCTAAGTACGGAATGCAGAGCCACTAATCCACCAATACCTTGGCCGATTATAAATAATTTCAAATTGAAAAAATCTCGCTTAGCTTCGTTGCTATGTCTCAGCACATCTTTAACAACATTCAAAAAATTACCAATCATACCCCTAGGCAGGCCTTCACTTCGTCCATGATACACGAAATCGTGCCCAATCACAAGGTGACCTTCCAATGTTAAGCGTTGCCCGATCTCTTCCATGTAGCCCATATGTTCACCATAATCGTGGCAGAGGAAGACAACCGATTTTGCCGGTATAACTGAAGGTTCCATTTTTATAGAATATAGGTTTATTCCATTAGTTACACTTTCTCTGTAGCCACTCTGAAATTTGATTCGCTTGTTAAAGCTTCCTCCTAACGACACAGTGAATGATGTCTCCGATGATGTGTAACTAACATTATCAGATTTCTCAACGTCCGTCGCAGTAATTTTTTCATCATTTTGATGATTTTGCTAAATGTATAACATAGGATATAGAGTTATAAAATGGAAATAACTCAATTATGACAATTACTACTTTTTCTCTTTCCGATTCAGAAACATTAGCCTCCAATAGTGTATTAGTTTCCTTTTCTTCACTGGTAGAAGTCTCGTTCTTGCTCACTAAATCATCATTTACCTAAGAAAAAGCATAAATTGATAATCAATAATAAGAAATTTTAATTAAAAAAATTTTTCATATCTAAGGATTATAGGAATATAAGAGGGACGCCATCTATAGGGATTATATTTGCACAAAGAAGTATTACCTTATCAATTTCTCTAGAATTCAATTCTTCAACTATTTCCATTTGTTCTCCATTCTTTAGTTTATTATTTGGATCCTGTAATAAAAAAAAATAGGATAAATTTTAAATTAATTTCTTTCTATTTGATTGAAGTTTAATAGGTGAATAACCTCGTGAGTATCACTTGGTCTTTGAGTATAGTTATCGATCTCTGTCATTTCGTGCGTGTCATCGAGTATTTCTGTGGTTTCTTTTCCGTCTATTTCGGATTTTATGATTGTTCTTTTAACAACGATTCTTTCTTCAACGTAGCCTTTGTCCGTATTATATTCCGATTCACTTTCGCTCAGCTTAATAGCCAAATGTTGTTCATGTGTCTGATAAGATTGAGCTATATTTTCGTCATTTTCATCGTTTGGTGATACATTATTATTTAATAGTAAAGCAGTTCTTTGCTCCACATGTGCTTCGGTTCCCTCGTCAAAAGTTGATATCAAGTGTTGCACGCTTTCATTCGTAAGACGCGTATGGCTCTTTGTTATTGTTTCTTCATATTCTACTGTTTCTTGCAAATTGGTCGCTTCATTATCAACCTTTGTGTGTGTTACCATTGTAGTATTAAAGAATGCTTCATCTTTTTCTGAATATTGACAAGTTATTTCGTCTTCTTCCTTATTTGATATTTCATGATGATCATTCTCCTTACTCGTTAATTCGCCAGTCTCTGTCTTTTCGGGTATGAACTGAGATTCTAGCTGAGTAGCTAGATCCTTGCTAGTATCTTGCCTCTTGACTTCCTCCTCTTCCATAATCGACAAATGACATTTAAGATTTGGTATTGTATCTTCTATCCTTTATACTTTCTTCAGTAGCCCATATCGAAGAGTCGATTGTAAATAATAATATATTAGGCCTACTTTTCAACCGGTTTTTAGTCCCTTTGGTATCATATTGAATTTGAGATGACAATATGAAATTTCAATGGGTTATATATTGATATATAAACTTTCTTTGCAGCCATGTGAGCCAAGTATTAAGACTTTTCATCAAAAAGTCTGTTCTCAATATGATGGAAACACTTTCAACAGGACTGATGTTAAGCCAAACGTCAAATGGCAAGCAAAACTACCCGTTGTCGAGTGCATTATAAAATGCTATCCAGAAGGGAATTTCGATAAGTTACCTATTCTTATCGATGCAGATGATGGTATACCATGCAAAAGAAATGACCCAATAAGATCGTATGGTAAATGTGTGCAGAAGAAATGCGAACCTTTCGGCTGTGATGGTAAATTTAATTCAAAGAAGGCCTATGATCAATGTGGAGTTTGTGGTGGAAATAATGATACTTGCGAATGGAGGACTGGAATGTTTAAAGATTATGTAAGAGATTACCAGATGGTTACTATTATACCAGTGGCTGCTAAGAGTGTTAGGGTAGAGTTAAAGAATCCCAATCCACCTGGCCATTGTCCTTTTTTGTATTTGGGAGTTAAAAAATTAGACGCAACAGCTGAAAATAGAGATATGTTAAATATGGGCTATCTAATATCATCAAAGGAAAAAAATGTTCCTTTAGGTCCCCACGCATACTTACGCTACAATAGATCATGTAATGATATAGCTGAAACTATAGATGTTGTGGAAGGTTCCGTTCCGGAATCTCTTGAAATATACGTTTTGGGTTATTTGGGCGAAAAGGCAACAGTAAATTATAAAATGATCGAACCTAAAGAGTTAACATACGCCTGGGGACACGAACCTGAGTGGTCTAATTGCTCTGATCTATGTAGGGGTATTCAAAGTAAAAGAGCCATCTGCATTCTTACCGATACCAAGACAAGAGCCGCCGAAAATTATTGCCTAAATAAAGATTTAAAAAAGCCACCAAATAAAATTAGAGAATGTAACAATAGAAATTGTAAGGTTAAATGGAGAAGACTTAGGAATGACCGGTCAATCTGCTCTGCAGCTTTTGGGCTAGGTGAAAGAAGATTAAGATTCGAGTGTGTCGCTATGTCGAATAATTCACCTGTGCAATTACTACCAAATGATATCTGTTTCAAAGAATTAGGTGAACATCAAAGACACGAATCATGTTTCTCAAAGTGCTCATGGCAAAGTTCAGAATGGTCTACATGTAAACAGGAAACGTGTAAAAGAGAGAGAAATATCTGGTGCGAAAGAAAAATTTGTAGCTGCAATTCAGCTTGCGACACAAAGCGAAATTCTACAGAGGTAAGTTTAAAATTCTTCACAGTATTGTTAGCTTTTAACAACAAATGAATTTTGTCTTTAGTGTACTGCGAATATGTGTACGAAACAATGTATCAGAACCGAGACTAAAGATCACAATTGCTATGATTTTCATAAGCCTAAGACACAAATATCTTGTAGAGCTAGAGAGTGCAAAAATAAGGAGCAAGGTAGATGGAAGACGCTTTCTTGGTCGTCTTGCAGTGTTACCTGTGGTATCGGTTTTAGAAGAAGATATATATTATGTCAGGATATGGGCGGAAGACGTAGACCTGATAGATTTTGCAGAGCTATGCCTAGACCAGAAGATAAAATGGAATGCGAAGAATCCCTTTGTGCCCATTGGTCCGTGAGCGATTGGGGAGAGTGCGATTCACCTTGTGGTTCGGGAAAAGCAAGAAGGGACGTTTCTTGTAGATATGATGATGGTTCGTGGGCGCCCCATGATATGTGTATTGTGGAAAGGGAGCCCTCGTCAGAAAAAAGTTGCGATAGAGGCCTATGTGGTCAGTGGAGAGCTGGGGCGTGGTCAGCTTGCAATGCAAATGATTGTGATGAAGAGGGTACTCAAACACGAGAAGTCAAATGCACTGGGGGCGTAGGATGCGCAGGGCTGATGCCAATATCTGAAAGACATTGCATTAAAAAGTGTGATGACGAATGGCTGATTGGGGAGTGGTCAGAATGTTCTAGCAGCTGTGGAACAGCGTATAAAACAAGGAAAGTTTCCTGTCCCGGAACATGTTTGAAGGAAAAGCCTGCTGAAAAATCCCCTTGCCACTTTGGTCCTTGTCCCATTTGGACTACATCAGATTTTTCTGATTGTTCCACAACTTGTGGCAAAGGGTATCAATACAGGACAATCTCCTGCAGGAATCCACATAATGGTCAGATCCTAGAGAACAATTTATGTGCTGATGAAGAGAAACCATATCCGCGAACTGCATGTTTCCGACCATGTAGACACTACAGACGGAATAGACAGAGATCGAAAGCCAAATGGAAAGCGTCATCTTTCTCTTCGTGCAGTCATTCTTGCGGTATGGGAATACAAATCAGAGCCATTCATTGTGTTCGAAATAGGAAAAATGTGGATTTGAGATTATGTAAAGAAAGTGAAAAGCCCGTAACATACGCCTATTGTCACCTGAGGAGATGCTTTCAGTAATGAGGGTTGTTGGGTGTGTTCTTTGCAAAAATGAAATATGCATAAACATCATATATATACTGTATATATATGTTTATGCTTATAAAAAAAATGTTTTTTTCAGACTCGAACAGCGACCAAAACTTTAAAAAGGGAAAGATTTCCTTCTTTTTTCTTGCAGGGAGGAAACTTTCAAGATAATTTTTTTTTATTAAACATTGTTTAAGGAGCGCACCTAATATGAACTTACCACTTTTTTGCAATCTTTTTTTAATTTCTCCAAGTCGTCGCTAAAGGAATTCCACTGATATTTTAAGTGAAAATGTGTGGATAGTAGTCAAAATTAGTCAGACTTTGTCTGTAGATTAGTGCCATATGGGAATTATAGTTGGTTTATGAACTTAGAGACTGTACTTAGGCAGTTTTGTACATATCTTTTTCAAATAATTTGGCACAAAAAAATATTGTTCCAATTTTAAGGCTATGTGGTGTCCACTCTCTTTCGTTTGTATCTTCTGTTTCGTTTCAAGTTACAATAAGAACTTATTCTGTTAATTATGCTTCTAGACGTAAGTAATTTCTTAAATACAAGATATGAGTGCAATAAAAATCTTTTTCATAGTTGAAACAAGCTATTAATGTCTTTAAAAATCTTTCTAACCGGCCGGTTCCGACTCTTGCTCGATTTCTCGATACTTCCCCAATAACCATTGCTTCCAAATGGAATATTCTAGATGTTGAACATACTAAAAAAGTACATTTTGAACAAACGTTCTTCAGTACTCAAGAAAATAGCTTTATAAGTTCACCGCCAACGGAAGTTGACTATACTTCACGCGTTTATTCTCCATCAAGTAAACAAAGCGCGCTCTTATTAAACAAAAAAGTTTCTGGCGAAGATGAGCAAAGCTTCGAAATTTGGAATGAAATTGGACTAAAAAAAGTCTATAATGTAAAGAAATTTGATCACGGTAAAGTTCATCCACCTTCAGCCTATATTGGTAGTATAAGATTCTCTCCTGATGGGAAACATATCTTATACATTGCTGAGAAAAAGCAAAAAGAAGAAAAAAATCCATATGTTGATAATGAAGATGATAAAAGCAGAAAAAACTTCGAATTTCAGGAATCATTCGGAGAACAAATGGGTTCTTTTAAGCAAACAGTTTTGTGTATCTTAAATATAGAGACTGGGGAATGCAAAATTGTTGATGTTCTTCCATCAGCAGTCACAATAGGAATAGCAGAGTGGAATTTAGATAATAAAAGTGTAATTTGTATTGCATGGAAAACCCTACCTTATAAATTAGGTTTGATATATTGCCCTATGAGATGCAATTGCGTTTATTCTATAAATCTTGATGAAAATCGAGCCGATCTGTTGTTTGAAGATGAAAATTTGTGCACGCTTTTTCCCAGAATCACTAAAGAAAAGATTTATTGTCTCCAATCTAAAACTGGAGGCGAACACTGCCGTACGGCCCGCCTAGCTGAGATTGATATCAAGTCAAAAAGTTTAAGAGTTATTGTTGATGTTGTTGATCAACCACATAACAACGGCTTTCCCGGTCTTTCTCCCTATGTCGTTCCTCCTTCAAGATGTTTCTCAAAAAATGGCGATCAGTTACATTTATCATCACTTTGGGGTTGTGATGAAGCTCTTTTATCAATTAATTTACAAACACGCTCGGTTAAGCGAATCCCAGCCCCGGAAGGCTTCTCTTCTGTCAGCGTTCTCGATGTACGGGATGACGTCTTACTATGTATTTGTTCAGCTATGAATCAAATCCCGGTTTTGGGAATTTGTAGAGTAGAAGATAATGAATGGTCACTGATAAATCCTCCTAAACCCCTAAATTTTACTGTAGAGCGTAAAACATTTAAAGCTAAATTCGAAGGAAAAAGTTTTGCTCCTAAAGAATTTAACGGCTTACTCGTAAAGCCAGAAAATTTTGACTCGAAAAGTACTCCCTTAATTCTTTCCAATCATGGAGGTCCTCATAGTTGCTTCACTACCGCGTACAGAGAAGTTACGGCGGCCTTGGCTATTTCGGGATTTGGTGTGCTAGAAGTTAATTATCGGGGATCTCTGGGTCAAGGAGAGAATTCTATTCGTAGTTTGCCTGGTTTATGCGGAAAACAGGACGTTCTTGACATTAAACAGGCTTTGGATGAAGTCTTGAAGGAAGACGGTTTCAATAAAGAAAAGCTGTTGGTAATGGGTGGATCTCATGGAGGCTTCTTAACAGTTCACTTAATAGGCCAATTTCCTGATTTGTTTAAAGCAGCCATTTGCCGTAATCCAGTTATAAACATCGCCAGTAAGTAATTCCTAATAAAAGCCAAAAAGCTATGCACTTAAATCATAATATTTACAAAATTGTTTACCAGCTATGGTTCATTCATCTGACATTCCTGATTGGACCTTTATCGAAACGGGATACGAAAGATTTGATTTTAAAAATTTAGGAGATCCAGAAGTTTATAAAAAAATGTTTGAGTGTTCTCCGATTAAGTACGTCGATAATATTCGAACGCCTCTGTTAATCGCATTAGGAGAGAAGGATAGACGCGTTCCCTGGCGACAAGGTCATGAGCTGCGAAGATCTTTATTGGCCAGAGGCGCTTGCGTCAAGTAATCTTAAATCTATCAATCCTATATTATTTATAACAACTAATTGCTTGTTTCAGAACTCTTGTTTACCCTGATGACTGTCATCCTTTAGACTCTGCTGACGCTCAATGTGATAGTTTTGTACAATTTTACGATTGGTTTTATCAGCATTTACAATCGTAATCCGAAGCGTAATTGAAAACAAATGTAACTTGATTTAGCACTTAAGTTTGAATTCTTTTTCCAGATTTTCTTAATACCTTTTTTTCTGAAAATATATACTATAATTGATTTTCGTCAATACAGTTTCACAGTTGGATTCTTGCTATATCTTGCATTGTTCCAGAAACTCTTAAATAGTAGTTTTATTAATATTTCCCTTCGGTTTATCAAATTGTTATCTTCAATATTAGTTCAACTGGTAAGGCAAACCAACTGACCTCTTAATGCTATTTATTCGTTTTAATCTAATGGGTCATAGAGGTTAGGAAAATATGCTGCGTAAGTAGTATATACTGTATATATATTTTAGGATATACTTTATATATAAATATACAGTATATACTGTATATACTGTATATCATAAGTATACACGTATATAAATAGTTTTTGAGGGCGTTGAAACGTTAAGAGAATTTGCAGCACAGTATTTTTCTTACTCCGAACAGTAATACATATATAACCATCGTAATTCCTTGACCTATTTTGAAATGTACTTAATGTAACTAAGACGTACGTAAAACTTTACGATAAAAAAAATAACCAGAATACTTCTTTTTTAGCATAGAGATAAACTGGTAAACTACTCCAGTAAACTTAAAAACCATTCCCTTTTCACTAGAAAAATCATAAACAAGTTAGAATAAATGAAAATTAACAACGATTTTCCCTAAACCTTTCATTCATATCCACATGTTAGGTATTAAGGCAAAAAAAGACATTTTTTTTCAGAGCACTTGCTGCACTTTCCTTTTCATGTTTACGTTTGAGGAAGGTAATCTCTCCTTTGATAAGCAATATCGATTCTTGTACATCTTTTGCCATTTATTATAATGGTAATATTCTTGTTATATACTACCTGCGTCTACTCTCGTTTGTTGATTCATTATTAATAAAATCATTATATGATCTTAGCCATATCTTACTTTGAACTTTAAAAACATAATATCAAGAGCTTAATGGTGGACGCCAGACGTCACCTCCACTCGTATTTTTTATGCAATCGTGAACATATTAATTCATAATTTGCTTTTAGTCAGCGGTAGTGTTAAATGGGAAGTGGATTCTGCAAATCTTCTGTAGATGGGAATTTAAAATATGGGAAATTTACAGAAAATAACCTAAATAATTATTCATCTGGAAATGGAACATCTCATCACTTAATTTCCATTGGAAACACAAACAATCAGCCTGGTCTTGAAAACAAATCTGGTAAGAAGATATAGAACTGATTATGTATAAAATCTTCTAAACTTAATGATATCTTAACAAATTTTATAATTAATTTCATTTGTATTCCAGACACGGAAGCGTGTGAGTATGATTTAACTTAGTAGAGGTAGAGATAGGTAGAAAAAATTGCGCATGCGTATGGCCTGTGTAAATTTTCACCTATGAGGCTAATTACCTAAAACAGAAGTCTCATTGAAAACCACTTACTCTAAAATTATCTCTCAACTAAAGATACATAATTTAAACCAATAAAACTATCAATGGCGTCATATTTAGTATAGACTTTATTATATATAGACGTATAAATATGTGATGACCTTGTATAACTTTCAATACAAAGATTGAAAAAGTTAAAATAGACTCTATAAAGAGATTATTACACGTTTTACAATACAAATTCAGATATAAATCAAACGACTAATTGTAGGTAAGTTATCAAAATCTAACTTCGAAAAACATGAAAGAATTGTGAGAAGCTGTTATACAGTGGATAAAACCAATTAATTTAAGCAATTTATTCTTTCCTTACGCAACTTTTGTAGAACGTGCCTTGTTAAGAACATTTTACCTGAGATTTCTCTACATCGTCACAGTCGTATCGATTACCTTTTTTGATGCTTTTGCGCACACACACACTCTCTCTCTCTCGCTTTGCTTTGCTTACTTTATACATAATATAATATATTAGCATTTGATATGTTTATTCATTATTTATAGCTCCGTTGGAAAAAACGACCCAAGAAGACTTTCAGTATGATATAGTCGTCATTGGGGGAGGGTCAGGAGGTCTTGCATGTGCAAAGGAAGCAGCCACTTTCTCTGCCAGAGTTGCTTGCCTAGATTTCGTTGATCCCTCTCCTAGAGGATCAGTTTGGGGACTTGGTGGGACATGTGTAAATGTTGGTTGTATTCCCAAAAAATTAATGCACACAGCGGCTTTATTGAAAGATAAAGTTAAGGATTCTGAGAAATTTGGTTGGTTGTTCGAAAATGGTTCTATCACTGGTCACGATTGGAAAATTTTAAGACAAAGTGTTCAAAATTACGTTTCCTCTTTAAATTGGGGATATAAAAAGGCGCTAAAAGACAAGGGAGTCAAATACATAAATGCTAAAGCAACTTTTATTGACAAACATACAATTGAAGCGACGAAAAAAAATGGAAACAAGGAAAAAATTACGTCGAAAAAGTTTGTTTTAGCAACAGGAGGGAGACCAACCTATCCAGACTTCCCTGGAAATGAATTTTGCATTACTAGCGATGATCTCTTTTCTCTAAAGAAATGTCCTGGAAAAACTCTGGTAATCGGAGGTTCGTACGTGGCTTTGGAGTGTGCAGGATTTTTAGCTGGTCTGGGCTTAGACGTCACTATTTATATAAGATCCATACTATTGAGAGGTTTCGACCAACAGATGGCCGAGCTGATAGGTGCCTACATGAAAAATCACGGTGTGAAATTTCGACGACCATGCATACCCAAAAAAGTGGAACAATTAAAAGATGGAAATTTAAAGGTTTTTGCATTTAGTGAAGATGAAGAAATTATAGAAACCTTTGAGACTGTATTTGTCGCTGTTGGAAGAGCCCCCTGCACATCAAATATAGGTTTAGAAAAAGCAAATGTCCGCCTTCAACCTAAAACAGGCCATGTTTTGGTTGACAATAGGGAGCAAACTAATGTAGAAAGCATCTATGCCATAGGCGATATATGCTACAATAAACCCGAACTAACTCCAGTAGCCATTCAGGCAGGTAAAATGCTGGCTCGACGTCTCTTTGCAAATTCTAAAGAAGTTGTAGATTATGATAATGTACCTACTACGGTTTTTGCACCACTTGAATACGGATGCATAGGGCTTGCTGAAGAGGACGCAATAGTAAAATTTGGGGAAGATGATATCGAAGTCTATCATCAATATTTTGAACCTTTAGAGTGGACGGTTGCAGAGAGAGATAAGAAATATTGCTATGCCAAACTGATATGCCAAAAATCAAAAAACCAAAAGGTCGTAGGGTTACATATAACAGGACCAAACGCAGGTGAGGTTACTCAAGGGTGGACGATTGGTATGAGAATGGGAGCAACGAAAACAGACTTTGAAGAGACGTTAGGTATACATCCTACATGCTCTGAAGTGTTCACAACCTTATATATAACAAAAAGATCCGAAAAGAATCCTGCAGTAACAGGTTGTTGAGGTTAATACCGCTATTCAGGTTTGTCCTGTATAGCGGTCTAAATATTCTCCCTCTATCCCCCGCTAGTGACTTAAAGCAATGGCGTCTATTAGTTTTCATAGATGCCTCTTATGACAGACTTTTCCCAAAACCGAAAAAATCGGCGGGATAAAGCTTGATGCGTTGTTTTAAGTTGAGCTCTTCACTTGTAGATTAGATTATATTCCCTCTAACTATGCACCTAATAATACTTCATTAACCCTTTTATCATATCTTTCATTATTTCCTCTCTCTATAATGAATTCGCTTGAAAGATTTGTTAAAGTATTTACGATATGTAAATATAGCAAAGTGAGTGTATATACAATATACGTTTACGTGTTAAAGCTATAAATATTGTATATTTAAATATATATTTTTCACATAATATAACTCTTCTCCCTAATTAATTATTAATTGTGTGAAGAAAAGCCGATTGCATAAATCTATTACGTATTTTACTTGTAAAATTCTCAGAAATAAAGGAGAATAAATACACTATAGCTAAGTAAACAAAGTTAGTATTATTTTGTAAATACAAGTGAAATTAAGAGTTATAATAACAATTTCGTGGTAAAATACTAAGAAATAAGGTATTATGGATAATATTTTACATTAATTAGGAATATGCTATAAACTACAAGTAGTAGGGGGAAGGAAATAAAGAAGTATAATGAATAATTAATAGAACTTTGTTCGAAAATTGCCACAAGATGGCGAGGAAGAAAGAGAAGAAAATTAGTCTTATAGAAGTAAAAGGACGTATATAAAAAAAAAAAATTCCGCATTTATTCAGGTGTTAATGAATACTGTTGAAAAAAAATAAAATTCTTGAATGATCCAGGCAAATATCGTGCTCTCATGCTCTTAGTACGTGTTTAATGTATTTAGAGATTTATAAAAATATTACTTTTTCCTTTCGCAGCGTTCAATCTCATATAATACACTGTATACGTTTTATGTTAAGTGTAAATATACAGACGGAACTGTGCTCGAATGTTTCATTAATTACTTTTTTTTGTTTTTTTTCACTATCTAATGATTAAACAACGGAGAAAATCAGAACAAATGTGTTATTGATTACAAACAAGATAGCTTTTCACTTGCCCAATCCGAGGAGAGCGTAAGCAGGATCTATAGAATATCTTCTTTGAAAGTGAATATATCTTGGATAGGGTCTTTTGTATGCCCTCTTCGCTAAATCGTTATCCTCCAAATCCTCTAGAATCTTTCTCTTTATTAACTCCAAGTATCCATCTTCCTCCACTACACTACGCCTATCTCTCCTTTTGCCAAATCCGGCGAATTTCATGGCCGCGTCCATTCTTTTACCAAAGCCAGCAAATTTCATAGCTGCGTCCATTCGCTTACCGAATCCAGCAAATTTCATGGCTGGGTCCATACGTTTTCCAAAACCAGCAAATTTCATGGCTGGATCCATTTTTTTACCGAAACCACTTAACTTCATTGCCGGGTCCAAACGTTTCCCAAAAGCCATAAAGCGCATGGCCGAATCCATTCTTTTTTCCGTATCCTTAAAAGGACTTTCGAGATCGCTTTTTTTTTCTAAGAAAAAAAGAAATCAAGTTGTACTTGAAGTCGAATATACATAAGAATATTGGGCTAATCATCGTCTAACAAGAGCTTAAGTCTTAGTATGGAAATATTCAATCTGCTTTCCATACTCAAGACACTACCCTGAAGCTAGTAACTATAAGAGCAAATCAGCATTAGTACTTTAATTCGAAACTAAGTTTGAATGAATATCTTTGTATAAGTCATCTAAGTACAGAAAATACGGAAGCTTTCAAGTGTGAAATTTTAATTGTCTTGATGTAGAATCAGTAACAAGAATCAAGGTTGTTTTTTTTTTTTAGGTTGCTAAAAATAATATCAAAAATCGGCTTCGTGTCTCGTAATAATCAACTTAGCGAACAATTTTACAGGGAGCTCGCAAGAGTGTGTCATTATCCAAGAAGATGTATGAACGTGCCGGCAAACTCAATATTTACTCCCCTCAGGTGTTCATTATTTAGCGATTAAGTTAAATTGATTAACATCGAAAAAATTGTAATAAATAGTCTATGACTTTTCGAAGAAGTCTTAAAATATAAAAACACTATGTTAATTTATTCTATCTATTGTATTACAGTATTTTTGAAAGTAAATACCTAAGTCAAATACGCTGAAATTAAATTTTCTCTTTTCAGTTTCAAAGTGAAAAATCTAAACACTTAATTAAAAAAGAAAATGAACAATTAGAAGGGACGATCTCCCAGAGCTTCTTCATCTCCCTAATCGTACTCATCTACGTTAAAATGAGCCTCCTTAGTTCAGACAGTCTCTCCCATAGGTATTCATTTGTCCGTGCCTCTCCATGCATTCCGCAAGATCGTTGGTGCGTTTTAAGTCAATTAGTAAATGACAAAAGACTTTCGAGTGTGGGCGTAATTGAATAGATTAAATCATACTGAATAAGAAAGAGAAGGTCACGCTTTCGTAAATTTTTACTCTTTCCAATTAATTTTGGTAGAAAAAAATAAATAAACTTCCTAACACGCTATAACGAAGTGGTGTGATTATGATTGAAAATTACACTCTTCTTTCTTCCATAATGTAACTGCGACAACAAAATTTATGATTTATATAATTTTTACCAGAGTAAGATAAAACACTCCAATTAAATTTTACCAATAGCTAATATAAACTTACTTAACACACTTCTGTAAAACACTCTTAAACAGCGACCCTTTCTAGATTGATAAATAGTGTAAGCGACACTTTTTGGTAGGAAAATAACGAGAAAATGATTACACTTAAATCAGTAAGCGATGTGTAATTTCCTAACAAGTACAACGAGTATTCTTTAGTTTAAACTACAGGTAGAGTTCACGTACTGCACCTTTTACAAAAAAAATAATAGATTAAAAAACATTGAAGAGGGAGAGAAAGACTGGAGGGGGAGGGGAGGGAGTTTAAAAAAAAAGAAAAGAAAGACATTTTAAAGATACATGCACAGATAAATGGATAGAGATTAATAGATAGATAGAGAGAAAGAAAGAAAGAAGAATGTAAGTTTGTATTTAAACGCCTACGTAATATCATAGTTTTAATACAAAATTACAAAATTTCATTTTTAGTTAAAATTAAAAATGTGCTTATTGAAAACGAAACAACATTAGAACATGGATGTAAAAGTTTACAATTTGAAAAAGAATTATGTTCCTATTGATATGTTCGAGCGTTGATTAAGTTATGATAAATTTTCGATATTAGCTAATATACTTTTGTCTATCTTTTGATAAAAAATTCTTAAGAATGTGGAGGAAAGTAATCGATGACCGCCTGACTCCAACCGACTATTTACAACGGCTAAACAAAGCTTATTGACAAGAAATAATAGGCAATTATCGAAAATATACTACATAGGGGAACCGAATTACCGAGTTAACGTGTTTATTTTTATTCGGGCATACTGTATAAGGACCCCATATATTCTAATAGGTGTTAACTCTCTTACCCATTATATTAGATATAAAAGCACTTGAAAGTGAGTTCATTCGGTAAACTTTGGCAAAATTTTTTATGTAGAAATCTATGTTCTCTTACCTTCGGCCAATACTGCTGATACTGTCAGACAAAAGCTGATAAAGGCTATTCTCATAGCCGAGCACATGCCTATTTGGTCAATCTGTAGAAGAAAAAGTTTTTAGAAGAATATTTTTTTAAAGTTTCAAATATTTAACTTTGATATAGAAAAAAAGTGCTGTTTATATAGATTAGCTGTAGCGCGCCTAAATAGGAAAATAAGAGTGAATTTCACTAAATATCACCTCTAAATTTCCGGTGCTTACTGGTGTCATGTAAACGCTAAGTCTTTCCTAATTCTTATTGTTTAAAATTGGTATCAAGTTTGCCGTTATCCCAACCGGAAAAAATTCTCATTATATTGACTATACGGTTGGCTTGAAACGATAAAAAATCCGATAGTCGATATTCATGAAGCGTCGATTTTTGAGGACGTCTTAAAAATCCTACCGGATGTATAAAACGTGCTGTCGTTCCGTACTTAATGTCGCTTCATTAGATGCCCTAGAAGCTACCGCAAAGGTTTTAAGAAAGTTAAAGATGAAAAACTACGAAACATACTCAGTCAAAGCTATTATCTATTAATATTGTTTGCCGGAAAACAAATTCATTCTCTACCTATTGTTCTTGTAAAAAACTTAACAGTTGTTTGCGTGATCATTTAATTTCTAGGGTAGTTTTGTCGTTTGTTATCTTTACAAGAAGATGCCGTGGGGAGACGCCAAAAGAATATTGGTACAGCTGTAGGCGTTCTCAGACAGATCAACGGCTGTCATTCAAATTCAAATAGCGTTGCATAGACCGTTAAAAAAGTTAATGATGTATACCAATAGCGGTTTTTTGCCACAAAAAAGAAAGAGAGCAATGCTAATAGAGACATACACACGATGAACCACCAAAACTATTGCTTTTCATAGATGTAAATACTAAGGAAATGTTAGTTGATACACAATAATAAAAAAGTTAAGCGGTTTCTAGAAAACGAAATGCTTAAGTACAACTGAAGAAAAATTTGCCATTTAATATAATAGGAACAGGTTCTACTCACCTCCGTGCCAAACCGGCAGCAATCGAGTGCAAAGGCGTTCGAAGCAAGTGCGCGACGCAGTTGTAGAAATTTATGACGTCAACCTACAGTCATCCAATGAACGAACTGGAAAATTGTTATTGCAAAATCAAAGTATCTTCAAACCAGACAATTTATAGGGGCCAAACTCGTAAATGAAGTAAAGTTTTGTTCTTTATATAGGACTTATTTGAAAAACTGTACCACTTACTGTATTAATATCACCTCATCATAAATTTCTCTTATTTATTTACCATCCAATAATACCTTCCTTTATTTTATCATCAGCCATAAAATGGAACAGTTCTTAATAATGGGTTATCATTACTTTTTTGCTTAGTAAACTTTTCTAGGAAGATTTATTTGTTGTATTATCCTAGGCGCCATCTGTCCCCAAACGCCTATCTCAATTTTAAAATCCATCAGTCAACGAATGTCTAAAACAAATTGTTCCATACTTTTTGATCACTCCATCTCTTTTCCTGGAAAATATTTCATTATCTATAGTCCGAGTCCTCCAATTACTAAAACAGAAAAGAAAAATCTTTATATTGCTCCTAATCTTTCGCTTATTTTTATGTAAAAATGTATTTTCCGAGTATTTATTACTAAGACAACTTTTGATTTTTTATGTTTGGTATTTAAAAGAAATATTATAATACAGGTCAAATTGATATTTAAGTTCATTGGCTTTCTGAGACAATTACAGTTTTTTCCCTATACTATTGATTGTTGAATTTTGCCTACTAAGGGGAAATTTCGCGATCTGATATCAAGTTTAATTCGTAGTTAATTTTGCTACACATTTCCTGAAACTTGTTAATATTGTAATATATAATTTGTTTAACACATGTCTGAAAATTAGCAAGCCAATTTAAAACAAATATAAAGTGACAAATGATGGAAAGGAAAACATTAGATGTATTATCGCTCGGCTTAAAAATTACTTATACTATTGAGCTTTATTATTAAAAATACACAGATGTACATAATATAGATCTAGCTAACAATCATTTCTAGGAAGCTATTTCCTAATACTTTATAATTAGAAATAAAATAATAAAGGATAACGTCTTAAGAAACACGGTGAAAATATGAAATATCTTTTTCGCCGACTACAGACTGACTAAAATAAGGATATAACGGCTCTGATAGAAACTTTCTCCGTACGTTTCTCTGAAAGCCTGATACATACGATCTGACATTTACATCATACTTGGACAGCTTAATTTTATAAAATAGAAGTATATGACGAGCTATTATTTCGTTCTAAATAACTAAAACCCGGGCTTCAGTCAGACCAGAACTCAACCAAGAATAGGCCAAAATCTATCATTCGATTTTATTCTATTATCACTCAGCGATAAAATAATATTTTAGTTAGAACGAATAACACTTGATCGAAGAAAATAATGCACTTTTTGCGAAAATGTTCAATATTATTTCGTAATAGTATGTATTTACAAAAGAGATCTTTAACAACAATAAAGTCATGGAGTTTCGATACTGATCCTTTCGGATCCCTAAGTTTGTTTAGTAAGAGATTCGCTGATGTTTATATAAGGACTTTAGATCCTCAAGCTTTTCCGCAAATGAACAAAGTTTTTATCGATGTTGTATCCGCTAATGATATGAAAGAACTGAAAAACCGAGAACTCGATTTAAATGTATCTATGAATAGCAAATTCCGGCTGAACATATCGACCGAAAGTGAAATGGAAGACAATTTTAAGATATTAATACGAATGCCAATAAAATTCGGTTAGTCCACATTATATAGTCATAAGAATTAATTAATCTTATTAATATATCATTCTTTCTTAATGAATATATGACTTATTTTATATAGAAATTGAGGCGTCAATTTGTGGAAATAAAAAAATTGAAATAGCTGATATAGAAAATTACTTAGTTCAGGTTACAACAGAAGATGGAGATTGCCTACTAAAAAATATAAAAGTATCTAAATATATCATTAAAATATAATTATCATATTTGTATTGTATGTTATATTTTTAGACAGCCGATTTGAGCTTATCCAGTATTCGGGGTAACATCCATTGTTTTGGAAGCTTATTAGCAGCATCAAAGATTCAGACAAAAAGTGGTGTAAGTCAACATGCATATAACTAAGACCTAATACCATTTAATTCTATAATAGGATGTAACTATAGGGAAATGCTTGGGTCCTCAACTAAACATTAAAGGAGAAACGGGAAAAATTTCTATTAGTTCTCTCTATTCAGAAAAATCTTCAATCAATTCACAGAGTGGTGACATTCAAATTAAACATTGTCACAAAGATTGTTCTATTACTAGTAAGGGGGGCTCGATCCAAATTGGTATGTGTTTCTGACGTCATATAATCATGCTAATATATATATATATATATACTGTATATTACATTTAATATATAAAAGTAATATAAAAACTTAGAGGTAATCAATTAAACGAAGAAGTACTTGTAGTAATTTATAAAAAATTGACCTTAAGTAACAAAACTCTTCTCACTATACGATATATCAATATAAAAGTACATTATAAAAATAGCCTTTAATAGGATTAAAATTTTCAATAAATTATAAACGATCTCTAAATAATTAATTGAAATATAATTTTTGTTTCCTCAGGTTGCCTCTCCGGAAACTTAAAATGTAAATCAGAAGGCGGAAATTTAGATTTATACGTAGAGAATACGACAGAGAGCGAATTAGCTCTTGTTGGGGGTCAGTTTTTGATTGTTATAGTTTGCTTCAGCCTAATTTCTCTTAGAAACTAAATAGATTTTGCCTTCAGGATTGAGCTTGTGATCGCTGATTTTATAAAAATATACTTTCCTTTCTTCCTATGACATTTCTTCTAAAAACACAGTTTGACTGATGAATTCATTAGCCCTTAAATACGCAGCATATTTATCTTGTGATCATGAGCTATTATTTAAATTTCAGAGTGATTTCGAATCAAATAGCTCTCTTGTAAACCTTGCTAATATGTGTATAATACAACTATTTAAGCCAACAACCTCTTTTATGTTTACCTAACTCTAACAACAATTCTATCCTTTTCCAGGGCATGCTAACCTAAAATTATCTGAAAAATTAAAGTCGATATTGGATCTCGAGGCAAAAGACATCAACATGACCGAAAATATTCCCTTCATACCTCTAGAGCAGAATGTCTCCCACCCTAAAGTTGTAGGAGTAATCACTGATGAAGAGAATATAAAAGATGATCATTTTGTTCCTAAGGACGTAAAAATACCGAAGAGTATTATTAAAGCACACTCGGCCTCAGGAACTATTTCAGTTTCTATTCAAAATTGGTTTCAGTCTTTGCAATTGAGTATGCTAGAGAAGAAACAAGACGATTGATATACTCAAAAATGCTGATACGTTTTAAGCTTTCTCAGACATTTGTTAATAATTAGAAATAATAAAAAATAGAATTAAATTTACATGCTAAGTTTCATAATCAAATTTTTAACTACTTATTTCTATGGATTAGATCTATTTCTGGGAAGAAATACTTTATTAGTTTATGCAGGCAAGATCAAAGAATACACATTCATTTAAATTTACTTCTACGACACTGCAAAGTCGGCAGAATTCTTTACGTTTAAGAAGTTTTTCTCCCGTGGGAAAATGTCAAGAAATGGGCTTAACTCACAACCGTGATAAGGAATTATTTATGAGATAAGAAACTTGGAAAGACAAAATAAAGCGATCTATTGAAATCCCCACCGGTGATTATAATTTGATTTATTAATTAGTAATCATCCTAATTGATACCTTTAAGCCTCCTATTGACTTTATACCCTAACCCAACTATTTTTATTTACGAGGATCAATGTTTCTATTTTAATCTATCTAAACATAGCTACTCTAAGTAAACTAATTGTTATATAAAGAATGAACTAAACAGAGAAAGACTATTTTATAGTATCTTAGCTCTTCTCACTCAGAATGACAATTGACCTAGTGAGTTGTTAAATCACGTTCCCACTCTCGTCCTAAGTTAATATTGAACTGTTATTTTATATATACCTTTCATTAATGACAAGAGTTTCAAAAAATTTGATTGAATTAATCAGAATCGAAATAATTAATACACATATATCTTAAATTATGATATTATATAGCATCAAGATGGTTCTAGGTGGCACTAAGGGTTATCTCTTTATCTTGTGAGTAGTGTCAGCTTAAAAATTCATTTCATATTATACATGCATATAATATTTCACTTGAATATAAGAAATGGCGAAAAATAAGACCAAAAAAGCGACTCTTATGAACAGCGGTTATAAACCTCTATTAATTTGTAAGCATTAAATTATTCAATCAGAAATACTTCGATGTATATCAACTGCTTATTTTTTTTTCAGTCTCATTTTCTATATTTTTCGTTCTTGTAACATTCATTTTATGCTTCAGCCAACAGTTAAAGAATGGTTTTCGGTACCAAAACTTTAATCTTACCTTGCATTTCCAACCTCACTATTTATCCGGAACGTATATTATCACTTTCTATGTAGGGGCCATTTCTTTCTTTGGATCTATGGTTATGGCTTTCTTGGTCTACTGGGCACTCTCTGATGCTGAAGATAACTTAAGCGAAAGAAGGAGAGGATTCCTAGTTAGTTGAATTTGAAAGTTTTACTGAGGGAGATTTTTTTCTTCTACTATTTGCTCGCTAATAACTTAATTGAAAGTCTATTTTAATTTTATAAGTTAAGATTGAAATACACAGTTGAACGTACTTTTCTCATATGAAATTTATATCGTATTCATAGTTGGTCAAAAGCTTAGTTTATTGTGAAAGAGACATTAAAATGGCTTAGAATTATGAAATTCAAGTAGATATTCTTTGACTCTTAAATATTCTAGAAAATATGATTCATCGTTTAGACTACGGTGTCCAAATTTCTTGTGCCGGTAGAATCAGCCAAATAATACTTACATTGTATCAAAAAAAAGATACAATCACTATGTCTGATCTACAAATATGTAGTTTAGCTTACGAAGGAAAAACTCAACTGTTTCAGCAGATTCTGAATGAAAATCCCCAGTTGGCTGTTAAAAAAGATCAGGTATATAAAACGACTGGGCGATAATTCAGACTTAACTTGTTTACATTCTTCTCAGTCAGGGCGAACAGCTTTACATTGGGCCTGTTCCGGAGGACATCACCGTATAGCTGAAATCTTAATAAATAACTATCATGTTAATATTGAAGAAGGAGACGATAGTGGGTGGACACCTCTGATAATTGCTGTTTCTGCTGGTAGGGAGGAAATTGTTGATTTGCTTTTACAATGTGGAGCAGATGTCAACACTACAAACAGTACTGGGCAATGCTCACTTCATTATGCTGCTTCAAAAAATCGAGAAACAATTGTTAAAAAGCTAATTGAGAGAAAAGCCGATGTCAATGTTAGAGATTGCGTTAATAGCACTCCTCTCCATAGGTCAGCATCTAAAGGAAATTCAACAATAACAAAACTCCTTATTGAATCCAGAGCAACACTGAACCCTCAAGATACGGGTGGAAATAGTCCGTTACACGCAGCTTGTGAAGAAGGCCGCTCAAACGACGTAAAACTTTTAATTGACGCTGGAGCAAATCCATATTTAAAAAATAAGGACGAACAGACACCGCATGACATTGCTGCTAAGAGTGTTATAAACTTACTTAGTTAAATCTTTTACTTGAATGAAAAATAAAAGCGAAAAGTAACTCTTTTTTCTTGATCACTTATAATAACACTTAGTACGTGAATACTCGACTGAAAATTCAATCGCACCTTAATACAGCAATTTAGAGTAATCAATATAGATCAAACTAGTTTTTCTGAATTGTTAACACAACGTTAAATAACCTTCGTCGAATTGCCATATTTACATAAGACCGAAAACGGTAGTTTGATCGAGCGACAGTTTCCATTCAACTTCAAAGTCTTGCTGTATATATTTTCGGAGAATAACCTTATCAATCTATATTATGGCGGTTTACCAAGAATCTTTGAGGAAGAGTATGCTAAAACGACTACGTGAAGATGTTTATATGAGTATTTATAATCAGCCAAGGAAAAAGACTTTACCACCTATCAATAAATCACCGAGAAAATCTAAGAAAGTTTTCAATTTAATACCAAATTTAATAGTTCCCGAAAACCAAGAAGAAGAAAATTTCAATACGGATAATGATTATAATCTTTCAATGCTTCGAACTTTATCAATGTCCTCCGCTTCTTCTTCTGCTTCAAACGTCACACAACTTAAAAATCTTGATAGATTAGAATTTCAAAGGTAAAATCATTCTATACAAATTTAAAGGGTTTAACGAAATATTGACTATCTATTTTACTTTATGAAATTGATTTTAGGTCAAATCTCAGCCGACATATATCGGTTGATTCTTCAAACCACTCAACCCTAAATCATAGTTTAAGTTTGTCAAAAAGGCAACTTAATCGTAGGAAAAAACAGCAAATGTTGGGGGCAAAATTTCGCAGACTAAGTCATTTTCTTGTTGTATTATTCAGTGTTTGGAAGCAACATAGAGAGAGGTACAATATTAGTTTTCTTTTTTTGTGCCAAATACCCTAATGTCTTATAATAAAATATTAATGAATCATTTTTAAAAGAGTAAAAAAATTTATGGAAAATAATGTGGATATGGTCGATGTTGAATCCAAAAAAGATTTACTCTTTGACGTTACAGCATTTAAAATTGACAGCCAATTGAGAGTATCGAACGCAACTAGGAGAATATTGGCGAAGGATCCAAGCTCTAGAACAAAAGACGAACTTCATTATGTTAGCTGAACCAATTTTATTATCGCCTTTAAGGTCACTTTTATAAAATATATATTTGATGCAGTTGTTAGTAGCCTTAAGAAATTATGAAGCTATCTCTGAATATCCTGTCAGAATACAGAAAATGATGGCAGCAAGAGCTTGGTATGAAAGGTTATTAATTTTCTTCAATTAAGGACAGTATCCATCCAACTATTTATTTTTTAATTAACAGATACGATTCAAAAAGAGTAATTATACGTCAAGGTCATGTTGCTAAATGTTATTATTTTATTCTATCAGGATCGGGTAAATAAAAAATTATTGTCAATATTTTCCCTATATTAGTTGATTTATGAAATAAATTGCTATTTAAAAGTTGTCGTAACTAAAATGGAAAATGAAACCGGACATTCCAATACCGTCTGTTTTATAAATCGGGGAGATTGCTTTGGTGATATTGGTATTGCTAATCAGGAAAGGCGTTTAGCTACAGTTATCTCAAAAGAGAGCATTGAACTTTTAGTATTCGATGATGAAGATTTTGTTGAAATATTTATGAGTGGTGGCTTAAAGAATACAGACGATCCATTCTTTAGGTATGCATATATCAAATTGAAAACTATTTACTTTTTCTTATTATTACAACTATTTTCTTCAACCAATCGACTTTATAATTCCTCTTACACTTTTTGTTTGTTTAACAGTAGTGTCGATTGTTTGAACGGATGGCCTGTTCATTTACTTGCCGAAAATAAGCATAATGCTATGTTGTCTTATTTCAAGTTCGTCAATCTCGTATCGAATTTTATTATACTATATAAATATAGTTAATTTGTTTCTATTTCCCGATAATTCCCGTTTGTTATCGTATTTTTTTTAGAAGAAAAACCGTTCTTATTCACGACAGCAAAATCTCTGATTGGATTTGTATTGTGAAATCGGTACAATATTTTGATTGAAAACTCTATCAGAAATATACTATTTTTGGATTTTAATTTTACACAGGGCAGTTGTACAGTATTGAAAAAATTAAACCCAGTGACAACCGTTTTTAGAAGTAAAATACAAGCCAAACCTAGCATAGGTAACATCTATAGCAAATATATAGGCCTAGTAATGGTAAATGAAATCTTCAGGGGATAGCAGATCTGTCTTAAGCCAACACAAGCTCCTAATAAACCAAGGATTTAAACGGCATGAGGATTATTTGGAGAGAACGATTAGCCTTAAAAATAGGATAAGGAGCTTAAGAGATCTCGATATTCCATGGTTGAAAGCAATGGTCATAAGAGAACAGGTAAAATTAACTTTATTTACCAATTTTCATACCTTTCCAATTGCATCAGAGTGCTAAGGCCGTGATCTCAAGGGACGGAAATGCTTTTCCTACGCAGGTATAATTAACATATTAACATGTTAAAGAACTATTGAAAATTGTTTTAAAAAATATTAAGGGTCCCTTTTTGAGTCAAACTGGACAGAGGAAAGAAGCGAATATGTTGGAAATTTTTAATGAATCAGCTAGTCCTGAAGGAAGTAAGAAAACTCTCATTGACTCACTTAATAGTCAATACATGAATGTGGGTATCTTATACACTTTTCTTTCTTAATGAATTTATTTGTTTCCTTTCCGAAGTCACAGAATAATGATGATAAGGATAGGGCTACAGTGTTCGTTAGGGTTCAAGTATTAACAAAAGGGAATGTTTTTGTAAGTGAATTTAATAATTCAAGTATAGTTTTTAATTAATAACTATTTAAGGGTCTCGCTGATCTTATTCACGGGGAACAGACTAGTCTTACTTTGGTTAGCAATGGAACAGAATGCATTTTAATTAACAAAAGGTTTTATATGGAAAATTTAAATCAAGCTCTCTGGAGGAGGCTTCGAAGAGAACTCTGTCCTTATCCAACAGATAATGAGCTGCTAGAGGCTTTTTATTCTTATATGAAATGGCGTAAGAATAAGAAAAAGGAGTTTCAACGAACTCTGCAATTTATCAAAAGATAATAAAGTTTAAGTTATTTTGAATATTCGAAATAAATTTGAAACTAAATTAAATTAAATAAATAATAATCAAACATTTTACAAGTCTATTCTTTCGCTCATAAGTTTTTGTCACTATTTCAATATCTCCAGTAAGAAGGAAATATAAGTAGATGGATATTGACGAGGCATTCGTCAAAATTGGACAATTTGGCTCACACCAGAAGAAATTATTTGCTTTACTAGCAATACAAAAAATATTTCTTGGCTTGCAGATGGTTTTATCAGTCTTCTTAGCTTCCGATTCAAATTTTAAATGTTATGTAAAATCCATTAATACAACAGTGTATAATGAATGTCCTAAAACGGGAACATGTGATAGTTATACTTTTATAAATAATGAATTTTATTCTATAGTTTCAGAATTTCATTTAGCTTGCTCAGAATATTATAAATCAGCTTTAGTTCAAAGTATTTTCATGTTAGGAGTTTTATTGGGTACAGCAATTTTTGGTATTTTATCCGACCTTTATGGTAGATTACCGATATATTTCATAGCTAGTCTCGGGTTAGTGATTTGTGGGTTTTGCACTGCTTTAGCGTCTAATTATACGCAATTCTTGTTTGGAAGAGCAACTGCTGGAGCGTTTGCTGGAGGTGTCTCACTAGTTAATTTTATTCTTATTTTGGAATTGGTCGGGCAGGACTATCGAACGTTTTGCGGTAACGTTTTTCTGGGCCTATTTGCTCTTGGGATAACAGTATTGGCAGGAATTGGTTATGTTACACCGAATTGGAGATTATTATGTTTTTTGACTACCTTGCCAACTGCCTTGCTCCTTACTGCTTCTAGTTTCATTATCCACGAATCTCCCAGGTGGTTATTTACACAGGGTAGAGTCGCAGATGCTGAAAGAATAATGCTTAACATGGCAAGGGGAAACGGCTTGAGTCTTTCGTCTATTAGATTAAGAGATTTAGTATTATCTAAAGCAGATAGCAATAGAAATTTGAAATTGTTAAAAGAACCACTGTTGCGGAAGAGAGTTTTTGTACAGATGTACTCGTGGTTTGTCCTATCAACTGCCTATTATAGTATTACTCTTGAAGAAGGTCAAATAGGAATAAATAGATTTCTAGGTTTTGCTCTAACAGGTATAGCCGAAATTCCAGGCTTAATAGTCGCTCATCATTCCATGAATTATTTTGGAAGAAAAAATACGCTTAGCGGTTTCGCTGTAGCAACTGCTGCCCTCTGTTTTTGTATTATCCTCATTCCATATAGTTAGTGTGAAAATATTGACTTCATCTTATTATTCCCTTATTAATTTTCTTATTATTTAGTGTAGAACTGGATCTTATCCTCTTTCTAGTATCAATAGTAGCTAAAATCACAATTTCAGCTAGTTATGCAACAGCTTATATCTATTCTGTCGAGTTATTTCCCACTGTAGTTAGGTAATTGTGTTACTGTTCTTTAAATAACAATGTTTTCTAGTACTTTTTTTAATCTCTTTAAGAAATAATGGGATGGCTGCTTGCTCAATAGCAGGAAGAATAGGTGGAGCCTTAGCCCCTTTTACGCTTTCCTTGGTATAATTTATTACAAAATTAAAATGTTCGTGTTTACTTTATAGTCAACTTAACGTTTAGGGACAAGTCTTCTCAGAATTAAATTACATAATTTACGGTCTCTTTTTAATCTCTATTTATCTATCGAACTTTTCTCTTCCGGAAACGATGAATGATCATCTACCTGAGACAATATCCGACGTGTTTATTAGTAATTTGAAGAGGAGTTATTCCTACTCTCAGTTACATTCTGACAGAATACCTTTAAGAAGTAACACAGAAGATTTAATAGATAATAGCAAAGTGTTACAGAGTAATACAATAAAATCAAGAGATGTCTATACGACCTTCAAGAAGACAAATACGCCTTGGCAGATCTCTCAGTACGTAAAGGACACAGGTCTGATAAAGCAGAATTTCAGCTATCCTTAGCAATTTTAAGAGAAAATGTCGTAAAATATGTTAATAAAGTGAATATTATCTTAGATGAAACTATTATTTAGCAAGGCCATTATTTATTAATCCTATATTGTATATTTCGTCCTTTTTAAGGACATTTTCACTTGAATAGAAATAACAAAAAGGAAGTTCTCCCCATAAGTGTTATTATTGGGCTTGTCTATCATTTAGGAGCAAGTTCTGGTAGTTCTCTTCATTTATGACGTAAATTTAAAGAGTATAAGAGAGAATCTTGGGCCTACAAAGATACAAATCTATTCTGTAAATCGAGACTTGAAACTGATTAAAAACACGTTGATACCATTGTTTCCCTACTTCGTATTCGGCTAATGCAAAGCGACGACCGTTTTTTAGTTGATATTTCTAGAAATCACCATAAAATAAAAATTAATTTTTATAGGAGATGATTAAGAATTAATGTACCAGTCTTTTAAATTGAAGTGTTTCCCTATGAAAAATAGTACTTGAAAATTCTTTTCACATCTTTTCAATATCATATGTGTAATTTAAATATGTACGTTCTACATATTTTACAATCTAAAATCGAATGAAAGAGTTTTGTTAAAGGGAATGTCAAGTTCATCGACCTACTTAACGGACTAATGAAAGCGATAACAAATCTTTCGACTTTTGTAAACAAGATAAATAATAATCTATATAAGTAATTGAAATAATTATAAGAAATACATTGAGGACGTTGACAGGAGTCGTAACATTAGAGAGAAATGAGAGATAAAAAGGTAAATGAGGGAATCATTAATTCCCATTTTGTAAAAAGTTTAATAAAATATACTTTTTTATAAGAAAGGAACAACAAAAAGCATTAATTTATCATCAAAAGATATAATTTTATTGCGTAAATTTTAAGTCTGTCATATACTTTAAAGGTAAAAGTTTTGTTTATTTTTTTTCCTTCTTTCTTTCTCTTCTTCTAATAATATATAATAATAATAACAATAGTAATAATAATAATGATAATAATAATAATAATAATACAATTAATGACTTTTGGCCCAAAAAAAAAAAGAAAAGAAAGTTTACAACAATATACATAAAGCTCTTTAATACATTCATGAACAATAGACAAGTTTTTTCTTTTTAAACGATTATACAAGATATGAACACAGTTTAAGGACAAGCTAATAAAGACTAGCTAAAAACTTCGCAAAGAGACATTCATATATGCAAATGAAGAGAATTTTTTTTCGTCGACCTAACTTTATCTTCAAGGATCGGTAATGCTGTACCTGCACAATTCTTCCATCTGTTCATTTTGTTTCTGTTTTTTTTTTTTAAGTATAAAAATAGAATTTGATTTTAAAAAAAGAAAAAAAAGGAAAATAGAGTGGCGCCTCTATTTTTTTCAACCTACTTGACAACAACTGTTGAAGGCCAAAGTATGATCGGCGTTTCTTATACATTTTGAAAAGTGGTGCATTATTCGGCGGCCTCTCCTTGGATATTTCTACAATATAATAAAGCAAATTACTCAATTAGAAAACAACAATTAAGAAAGCCATCTTCCATTTCCCATTAGGCTTAATTGTCACCAAACTCGGTCAATGACTTTTGTTGTAATGCAATTTACAGGAAAAGTAAATTAAGTGTATCCTTACCAATAAGAAATCTCTTGTCTCTGAATTGTGTGGTCTATTTACGTTCCTAAAAGCTATTTTATCAGCATAAAAAGATACTTCGCAGAGGAATCCCTTAACCCCAGCCAAAGTACCTAGCATGCAGCACGACCAATGCTGAATTGGAACCTCTGTTGACGTATTTTATTAATAGAATTGGACAATATTTTTCAATAAATTAAATACAAACTATGAAAATATTTATATAATTGTGACGATGGATTTGCTTCGCATTTAGGACGACTCTTCCTCTCCATTTGTACAAGTTCATTTTGACTACGATTTGGGTAAGTATAACTGAATAAATAATCTGTTGAAAATGACAAAAATCATGATAAGCGTATACAGTATATCTTTAAACATCATAAATATTCATATATTGTAATTAATAAACAAATCTAGTGATATGTAAATATGTATAGAGTATAGTAACTATGTTTATATATATATATATATACTGTATTTATTAATATTAATAAAGGATTACTAATACTATATTATAATATATACAAATTTATATTAATATATATACATATAGAATGCCACTTGTAGCTATTGTTTTTATATCGTAGTATTTTGACATTGCTTACCCTCGAAAGTTGCATAGAATGCTCCACGACGAGAGCTAAGTTCTTCAAGGCGTATTTGACAATAAGCTGTCGATAGGACGGCTAGGTATACGAAGTAGTAAGACTTCATGTTGAATCTTCTTTAACGTACTACGGCAAGATCGACGCTTTTATGAAGAAAAAGAACATCGGCGCCACATCTATCATACGATCTTGTAACCAATCATAATTGAGAATCGAAATAGCACCACAGTTCATTAATATTCATTAGGGCTCGTGTCAAACCGGGGAAGCGATAGGCCTAACATTTTCGTACTCTCTTTTAGCATCAAAACATGTAGTTTTTCGCCAAATCAATATATTGTAACAATCAACACTTACTTTATTGACACTTTTATAGGCTTATTTAAATTCCGGTCAATCTTAATCATAAATCTATATTCCTTAATAATATCTATCTATAAAGGGCATTTATATATTTTTTATTTATATAATATTTCCTTTTAAATGAAATTAATAGGAGGAGAAAATAAAATAGAAAATGCTTGAATGATTTTTATTATTCGTGTAAAGGTGTGATATTAATCGTGATTAGGCGCGTCTAAACGGCTTAACTGGATAATACAATTATATGTTGACATAATTTTCCATATCGTTCTGAATAAGAATAACCGTTCTTAAGAACCCCAATAGAAGTGAAATAAAAATCGTTTTCATTTAGTCTCAAACTCTTGGCCATGAACGACAGACAGAGTAAAATTACTTTACCTAGAATAGCTCATTCTCCTATAGAGGAGGAAGATGAAAATTCATCATTGTCCGAATCGTATAATAATAGTAATAATTTTAGGAAATTTTCAAACTTTTCTGGACTTGCAACTGCCAGAAAATTTCGAAGAAGGAGTAGTGTTGAAGATTATCACAAGTCGAGGGAAATACTTATTCTCAACGCGAAGAAAAGGAGAGAGGAATTAATGCATAAATGGAGAAAAGTTAGTCATTGGATAATTATTCTATTTACTTTGTGGAGAGTTCATGCTAGAAAAGTTAAAGAGTTTATGGATTCGAGTATGGAATTATTAGACGCTAAAATAGATGCTGATCTATTGTTTGACGTAACTGAATTTAAATGTCATAAGCAGGCTAGAGTGCCCAAAGAAGCAAAAAGAATATTGCAAAAGCGACAAAATGAAAGGACTGACGATGAAATGCATTACGTAAGAGATAAGAAAATTATCTGAAAAATGCATTTTATCTGATATCTTCTCATATGTTAATTTTAGGTACAAATCGCTTTAAGAAATTATAAGGCAATAGCAGATTATCCACCAAATATGCAAAGGGTTATGGCCAAGAAAGGGTGGTATGAAGTGTACGAAGGGAAAAGAGTAATTGTCCGACAAGGTCACCCAGCAAGATGCTATTATTTCATTTTATCTGGTTCAGTTATAGTTTCGAAACTAGATCCCGAAACGGGTCTATCGAGAACTTTAACGTTGCTACATTCGGGTGAAAGTTTTGGTGAAATCGGTATTATTCATGCAGGAGCCAGAACAGCGTCAGTTGTCAGTAAGGATACTGTCGAACTGTTGGCATTTATTGATGACGTATGTATTCGCACCAAAACAATAGGCCTATCATTTCCCTGTTGTTTTAAAGGTTTATTTATGAAATCCTCCTCCTTAAGAGACCACGTCATTCTTTTAAAAAAGCAATAGTACCTTCTTATGGAATTTTTTTTCGGAAAGAGATATAAACCTATAAGAAATTCAATGTTTTTAAATTTAATAGAAAGTGTTGATTTAACTTAGGCTACATTTGGTAACAAAAACAAGGTAATAAAATAGAATATAAGAATTGACGTAATTTTCAACAGGTCCCGCCCTGTTGTTTTTAGTATAATTAAGAATTAAATTCAAGGTTGAACGTTTTTTTTATATATATAAATTTAGGCCTATATAACGTTATATTCATTCGTTTCTCCTCTTACGTTCTACGGAATATGTCCTACTAATCTATAAGAAAAGTATTTCATATCGTAATTTACTGATTAGTAATCTGTTGTTATTTATTTGTTTGTTAAAATGAGAAATACACAGCTTTCTTAAACTTTTTTCTAGGACTATGTTGATATCTTTATGTCCGGTGGATTGAAAGACCCGGGTGACCCTTTTTTAAAGACAGTACCCTGTTTACGTGGCTGGCCCTTACACTTACTGAATGACAATTCTGAAAAGTGCTTTCAAACCTTCTACAAGTAAGGCTTAAGTAATTTATTCAGTTTTTCTTTTTATCAATAACTTTTTGTTCTTGTTTCAAAACTCAGAAAAGGAGCGGTATTAACTAAAAACAGTACAGAATCAGAGTGGATTTATATTGTTAAATCAGTAAATATCTTTATTCTATACGTTGAAAGTAGTCTTTCTTGTTTCATTTTGGTTTCTTTCTTGATGGACTCGTCTCAAGTCTATTTATAATTTTGTAGGGTAGATTAGCTATACTTAAAAGATTGAATGAAGTCCCTCCAGAATCATTAGAAGATGCTCCAGTTACTACTCAAAAATCATGCAAGCAGTTACTTTTGAATGTTGACGCTCACGAAAATTATTTACTTAAAAAGATACAAAATCAAAATGATAAGTTATTAAAAACTAATGGAGGTAAATTTAAAGGACTACCGGAAATCCGAGTTGAGACTAATGGAATTTTTTACAAGAATAACCTTTTCGACAATCGTCCTAAAGGTTCGCCGTCAAAATCCAAAAGAATGCCTAAGTTATCAAAAGTAAGTTGATATTGTCGATTTACGTGCCGATTAAAATTGAAATTCTATTATATTCTTTAAACAAACTCCCCTAGAGTCATTTAATGCGCTTAGCACAAGAAATACCACAAAGTATTCCGGAAACGGATGAGAACGAAGAATCTTACGTTAAGTATCAAGAAGAACTTACAAAGCCGATAGAAGAAGTCGGTCCAATTTTTGTAATAGTTCAAATTTTAACTAAGGGATCAGTCTTCGTAAGTAGACCTATACAATCAAGGGTACTAAAATTTCCCTGGATTGATTCAATTCTTATAGGGCTTAGCTGACATAATTTGCGGTGATCAAACAAATTTTAGTGTCGTCAGTAAAGGGGCCGAATGTATTGTTGTAAATAAGAAATTTTACATGGAAAATATCACAGAAAGCTTACAAAGGTTTCTAAGAAGACAGGTTTGTTTTGTTTTTGAATAAATTCTCTCTTTTTCCAATTAAATAAAGGCCTATGCTCTTAATAAAAAAGATCAATAAGGTTATCTATCATACGATACTTAGTTACTCATTCTAAAATCCTAACGTCAAATTCGTTCACTTAGCTCCTTAACTACTAATTCATTAAATAAAGCACAGATGGCACCAACGTACTTATATTCATTTCGATCCCTCTACAGGTTTTTCCTTATCCTACCGAATCAAAAATGCAGGACGACCTTTCACTTCATCTAAAATGGGAAATTAGAAGGAAGAAAATTTTGGAAAATACAATTAGGAGAATTAAAGGAAGAAGAGTCGATGTGCATAACGCTAGATCAAGACTTTTATTAAAATCAAATGATAAATAAAACAAAATTAATTACGCTCTTCCCATTAATTTTGCCTCCATCCAGTTCAAGCCTTTCATAGCTACTTCGTAACCGAAAAAGCATGCTGCATTAGCTGGGAAAGCTCTCAACAAAACCGGGGTTGCTCCCTTGTAAAATCCTAGAATTCCTTCGTTTCTTATTAATTCCCTCAAGACACCTCTGGCTCCATCAGGATACTTTCCTTCGGGAGCTATTTGAAGGCGCGACTTGAGCACATCTGGAGGCAAGGCTACAATCCAATTGACTATTCCGGCCATTCCTCCGGCAAAGAGTGTACGCAATACACTAAGACCACCTTCAGATCCTTCGGGTGTAAGAAGTTTTTTGAGCCATTCATATGTCATGAAATAGACTCCAGAAGCTGGTATATCTCTAGCTAACGTAGCCATTGAACCTCTGTAAATCGATCTAATTCCACCTTCCCTATATAGTTGTTTAGCACAATCAATAGGTCCACTATATTTGGCAGTTGCTGCATTTTGTTGAATTTGCAATAGACACTTGATTCTTTCTCCAGGGGCCATAATAGTGGTGGAAAAGACACCGGCAAGACATCCAGCAGTGAATAGTTGGGGATAAGTTAAGGGTGTATTTGGATCTTTTTGTTGCAATTGTTTGCCAACATTAAATCCCATAAATGACACAGCAAATATCGGAGCAACTCCAGCAATAGGAGCTGCCATACCCTTGTAAAATCCTCGTACTCCCTAAATATAAGATTTTAACATTAATTACCAATGTCTGAGCTCTTACATATCTGAAACATATGTCATGAAATTATAACCTCTTTAACAAGTATTTTACGAGCACAATCCACAGTGCCAGAATACATGGGCACTTCGCCCGGTCCAGGAATGGGCATGGTCTGCAGACGCACCTGTCCAAAAATAGTCAATGAAGTTTTGTTATTGAAATTTTTCATATCGTTTAAAATACCCTTTACCTTCATTGTATCAAGTGGGTGACCTGCAAGAACCAAGCACATACCTCCAAACCCACCAGCCAAAAATCCTTTTATTGCACTAGCTTCTTCAGGCATTTTATTATATTGCGCCTAATTATTGAACTTGAAGGAAAACCCGCTAAATTTGCTGAGGCTGAAATATTGTTTTGGAAGTTTAAAGCTTACGCCCAATACAATAGTTCGATGATTTGAAGTTTTGTCACTCTGGTAGCAGATGACTTTAGAAACGTCTTTTAGCTTTTTTCACTTATCACAAAGTCAAAAGTTGAAAAGAACGTCTTGGCGATAATTCACAAAAACAATGTTCGTATTTTCTGCAATTTTACATTAAGTCTATAATGCAAATTACGTTTTAGTTCGGAAAAAGTTTTGCGTCGACTGTTGATCACGTGATGTGGTTAGCGTGCGAAGGTTTGATTATCGTTGGGAAATAATGGAAAAATAAAATAGAAAAATATACTTCCCGCCTAACTCATGGAAAAGATTCTTCGAAATGAAAATGATATTAGCGGTGGGATAGAAAATGTTGCTGTCCCTCTCGAGGATAAGGAATATTTGAAAAACTGTTCTGATTTCGTGGTATGTAACAAATACAATATTTAAACATATCTATATTAATGTGAACAAATTTTTTATGTAATTACGTAATAACGTATCACGAAACGAATTCAGGATAAATCTATTGATGATTGATAAAGCTATAATATACAATATGCAATGTCGAAATGAAAGTAAACAAATCGTAATGATTAAATCATCGACCAATTTCCAGGCTTCTTGTTTTCCTCCATTATATTACTTTGATAACAAATCACCTGGACGATGTATAGCTTTGTTTCTTTCGCTTCACTTAATTTTGTCAATTCGTAATTTTCTTAAGGAACAAGAGTAGATCAAAATACGATATCAAATATACAGTATCAAATTCTTTTGTTATATTTATAAAGATTCTCCCTAATTTGTAATGATAGGTGCCGTTTCAAATAATGACAGAAAGGATTGTAATAGTTGAGAAATTTTAGATTATGCTAATGCGCTTACTTATTACAAATTCCGAAAAGAAATGGAACGACTAATTATAGATGGTACAAAATATCAAAGATGAAGGAACATCTGCTAATCTATAATACAGATTTAGTTTTAGACGAATAAAGTAATTAATCTACCATAAAACAATACCTAACTTAACATGCTGGTTTATTTTATGACAGTTAAGCTGTCCATAGAGATCAGTTCTCTTAGTAAAAAGTTTCTATTTCTTAGAATGTTGTAATGGAAGTATAAGTAACTTCTCTCTTTTATCTTTTTGCAGTATTCTTTACAAAATATACCAAGTTTAGAATTTCAAGAGAAATCATGGGCTGAAGAACTACAAGGTTGCGAATGCGAAGCGGAATGTAATAGAGATACTTGTTCATGCGTTAAGCAGTGGGGAGCTAATTATAACTCTGACAGACTGTTAATTGCATCCTCTGATAGACCAATTTTGGAATGTGGGAAAACGTGCTCATGCTCTTCAGGAAACTGCCAGAATAAAGTGGTTGGAAGAGGCGTTAGATTAAAGCTTCAAGTCTTTAAAACTCCAGATAAAGGGATGGGAGTTAAGTGCTTAGAGAGTATAAAGAAAGGATCTTTTGTGAGCGAATATGTTGGTGAAGTAATAGGAGTAAAGGAAGCTAAAACAAGAACAAAGTTTATGGCTGAAAGACCCTCTTACTGCTGTAATTATATACTTGGCGTTAGAGAAAAGGTGAATGGTTCTGATGTTGATACAGTTTCATTCGTAGATGCAATGTATGTTGGAAATGTCAGCAGATTTATAAATCATTCTTGCGAGCCCAACTTAAAAATGGTTGTTGTCCGGCATACTAACTTGATCCCCAAAATTGCTCTGTATGCCTCCAGAACTATCAATGAAGGAGAGGAGTTAAGTTTCAGTTACGGACCGTCTTGTAATAAAGCTATTTTAGGCTCAACGAGATCATGTTTTTGTAAAACTGACAGTTGTTCTGGTTATTTGCCATTTGACGATTCTCTCATTGAATCCAGTGATTGATCTTGTTCAATTCAGAAGACTTTAACAATAATTTTTCAATTAAATAATTTACTTATTATATAGTACAATGTCCTGTCTATGTGGAACTTCCTTTGAATAAAACGATGTCTCAGCAATCAATTATGAATCAATATTAATCATTTTTTAAAGAAATTGTTTACTTTTCAATGACTTATCATGGGATTGAGATTTTTATTTAAATAAATCCTTAGATGGTGTAAAAAGCTTTGTAAATAAAAAATAAGATCGATTGAAGATCAATTTTCTGGCTGGTGTAGAATAATTATCACATTCAAAAGCTTATCAGCTACCCAATTAACTCAACGTCAAAATCGTTCAACATTACATTTCTTTACTGATTATTAATAAACCATTTGAATAAATATTCTATTTAAACAAAAGCAACCATTGGTATTTAAATACTTCTTATCTAATGGAATTTTAATGGTAATAGAAAACCAGACGCACTATTCATTCTATGTCAAACACTTGTTTGTCCGTACAAAGCTTTTTTGTTTCGTCAATGTCCAGGCCTATAGTTTAATTCCATCAATCAATTCGACTTTCCCTCTGTTCCAGTATATTACTGAAGATCGTATTGAACACATTAATTGAGCAAAGGTATACTCTTTTATAATATTTAATGATATTTTAAACTCGAGTGCAATTCTAACTTATTTAAAGTTTAATTTATATTCATGAGCATAAAATATGACGTTAGCAGAATAGCTTCTTAGTTTCTCTATAAATTGGAGAATAGACTGGTAAGAAAGTAGTCGAGGATTAATTTTTTTAGTGAATGATACTTGAGAAAGTAGTCGTCGCGTAGCTACACTGTTGTGCTAATTTTAATAGTCTCAGTTTCCCTTAATGAGAGTTGACTAGGTAAGATAATAACTTTTTAGTTAACATTGTTAATATAATACTGTATTAATTAAAAATGTTTACTGTTAATATGTGATAGACGTAAGTTAATAAATTAAATATTATTAAATATAATCATGTAATCGTACATCAGTAATAAATAGGCCTTTATGTGTTATTTATTAACAGAAAATAGCTTTATATTGCGATTAGAAATCGTTTTTTTTTTACAATACTCTGTTAACATTCTCTATATATAAGACGTATAAACAGGGATTAGGATATGAATAGATTAACAAAGCCTAGATTCCTACCAATTCTGACACAAGCTGGTCAGAAGAGAACTTCAAGTGGAGTTGAAAAGGCTAATTTGAAGAAGAAGAAGAAATCAAAAAGCAAGAAGAGGAAAGAAGCTGACGATGTGAATATTATCGAAAAAGCTGATGTTGTAGCCGATAGATTATCCTATACTTTAACGTTCACGTCGGATTGTTTGCCGTCTATTTCATTGAATAACGCTAGAAGCTTGAATAGAGGAGCCCAACGAATTTTAGAGTTTACAATCGAGAGCATCAAACACGGAGCTAAGACGAAAATGGATAAGATAGAAATGGCTCAACGACAACTAATGGCTGACTTATTAGAACGGTATCCACACCTAGAAAAACAAATTAGCTTAAGTGTTCGCAAAAATCGAACTCAAAACCTCTTATTCAGAGACGTAATGCTTGAAAGAAAACACAAAAGAAACATACCGGCAGTTCAACTGGAACCTCTCCCCGAAGTTCAGCAAAATGGTCTTCATCTGCTAGGCAAATCAGTTTACAAACCAATAGTGGATGATAGTAAACAAACGACTAAGCAGAACAAGCAAAATAACAGTAAAGTAAAAATTTCTCCAATTTGCTCAACAAATTTTGGATTAGAAAATAGGGATAACAATCGATTAGGAATGACTCAGAAGACTTTCATTAATAATAGAACCGACTTGGAACGGCATATAGAAAATTCTGCAAACAAGCACATAAAAACATTTGCCTCTCATATTCCTAAAAGAAGCAAAGCGGAAGACAATATTCTGTGCCTAAGGGAAACTCTTGCCCCTTCAATTTCAAACAAGCCAATACTTCCCTCCATATCGACTATAAACAAATAGATTTTTTTTCTGCTATAAATACAAATTGAATTGTTCTCGCTGGAGAACACAACAATTATAATATTGAATACTAGTATTCAAAATATAAAATTCAATTCAATTGTTTTCATTGTATTCTGCTAATTCTCCTTTAATTTAATTTATAATTTCGCTACAGAAGAATAGAGGTTTTAACAGGTTACAACCCATTCGCATATACTCAAAACTTTCTTATGTAACAAGTTTCCCTAATTAATATTCAATCGAAAGATATAAGATTAAAAACCTTATTGCCAACTTATCTTGGCCTTAGTTTTTTACACATGACTTTGAGATAGTCTGGTCAACTTTCGAACAGATATACACCCACACATACAACACTATACTCTCTCTCTCTTTACCAAACCTATATTATACATTACGTTGTCTATCCTATGTTGGTAATGAATCAGCATCAGAGTATTGAACCCTGGAAAATGAGAATCCTTTTGCTGAGCTGCCGAAGAATTATTCTATATTATATAATTTCTATCAAGTTTTGTATATGGCATAAGATAATCATATTTCAGAAACCATTCATTTACCTGACAATAATCGTCAATATAATAAAAGACAAGACTAGATACTTACATCTTTTATCTTGTAGCTTTGATTTTTAATCGGGACAGAATAGGAAGCTAAATATGATTTGTTTCAAATCTATAAGAAAACGGGTCAAAAACAGATTAAGGAGGCAAAGTTGTCCATAAAAATAAATAGGGAATATATATTAACAATTTGACTCAAAGTCTCTATTTATACTGTTGTTATTTACTAATTAAATTATCATATAAGGTTACAATAGCGTTATTTCTTTTAGAATTTACCTTTCCAAGAGCTCACGATAAGACTTTTAGTACATTAATAGAAAGTGAGAACAATCAAAGGTTAGGTTAAAATATCAAATTCAATTAAAGATAAATATCTATTATTAGCATAAGTATCACTAAATGATACTATCTAAATGAAATTTTAGGTCTATTTTAAGACTTATGATTAATTTTTATTAAAATCATCTAACCAATTAACATTTTGTAACAAGATTATGATTGTTAGAATAATAATAAAACAGAAACGTTTCGCTCTTCAATCTGAAGATAAGAACCTTTTTTACCACCTAGAGTCTAATTATCAATATTCATTTGCACAGAGCAATATATATATATATATCTGATTCGTATACAAATGATGTATAAATAAATTAAATATATAGGACTTTCTAGATATTTCTTTTTTTTTTTTGTAGGTACAACCTTATTTTTTAATGATTTATTTAACATACAATATTTTATAGATTATTACAAGAACTTTCCTTTTCTTCGGTCTTTTTTAAAAGATAGATGACGTAAGTGTGGAAATTCAAAGAATAAATCCTTATTTAAGTAAACAAATTCCATTATAGTACTATCAACATAAAGTAGCATTCACTTTTATTTTGACATGGTTGCTATATAATCTACAAGATCCAAAGAATTCGCTGACTATACGCTTTTCCACAGATCTTAAGTTCGTATTAATTTATAAAAATGTTGTAGGCATTAGCTTTTTCCTTTATTCTATTCTGTTTTTTCTTTTTTTTTTACATTACACACTTTACAAAGATCAATATTGTTTTAACTCAATTTAAATACTGTTTAATATAAGGCTCTTTTTTGTCCAACAATTTGAGACAAATATTATCTAAATAGAAAAAAAGGATCGTAGAGACTACTTTCTTAAATTAAATATTTAATATCTACCAATTACTACCGGATTATAACTCTACAGGTTTCAAAAGCAGTTTCATTAGTCGATTATTCGATATATATCTTATATATATATATACTTTCGTGGAGTATATTGCTTTTTTTAGAAGGACTTTTTTATAGGTTTGAATTTTACATTGTTAATAACGTTTTAAAGATATGAATAATTAAATATTTTGTTTAATTTGCTGTTTTTTTTTGTTTCACTAAAAAAAATACTATGATACAGAATATTGTAATCGGCAAATTATGAAAGGCTCTTTGTCGATATATCGGAAATATATTATATACTTTTAATTTATTCAAACAAATTGATGCATTTATTGTTAAAGATAAAAAGAAACTTTGAACCTCTTTCTCTTTTTTTAAATGCCACCAGTTTTTTTTGTTAGTATACTTTTCAAGCAGACGGTGACCAACTTTTCCGGTCTAATTTTTTGATCGGTTACTTACCGGTCAGCAAGGATTTTTAATACAAGATTACTTAAACAGACAATCAACATCCGGTACTATGCAAAAGTCAAGTATAATTTGAAGCGAAGTAACTTAATAAGAAAACTCAAATTATTTACATATCAAATGGTTAAAGAAGTAATGCAGAAAGCTGCAATAGTGTATGTACCGTATAATAGTCTTTAGTAGGTCATCATTCAAATTTCTTTGCAGTTAAACATTAGTGAACTTTCCTCTGCGACTTGTCGCAACTAGTTCAAGTGGTTGATTATTCGAGTAAACAATTTTATTCCAAATTTGTTCTCTTTTTTTTTTTAGGTAAATGTCAAGTAAGAACGAAAGCTCTCTGGAATATCATACAAAAATGACACATCATACTCAGGAGAGTAATAAAGAAGCCGTCCTTTCCGCCCTGAAGGCTCTGCAACTTCGAATAAGACAATTAGAAAAAGAACGAAATAGAGCCGAGGAGAATATTCAAGTCCTCTCAACAGAAAAGGAACATTTCAGAACTGAGTCACCGATAGAAGTAGAACCCAATCACTCAGAACATTTGGAGTCTCAACTCCACTCTGTAGCTGATAGGTGTAGAATGCTGGAGCAGCAGTTACAAGATATGAGGAAAACTATGGAAGAAGCTCAGCAAAAATCAATTCTAAACAATGATTATCGCTTTGATATTCATGGAACCTACGAACCCCGACTCAGATTTGAAGATGAAGAAATAAGGCAGGAAACTATTAAACCAGATAGAATTCCTGCTGAAGAAAGTGTTCGAGTTAGAAGACTAACCCACGAGCTTTATGACGAAGAGCCAATAGAACCTGAGCGAATACCTGTCAAAAATAAGTCGAAAAAGCCCAAAAAAAAAGTCGATAAAGGCCACACCTCGAAACCAAAGCACTATCATTTGAATATGTCTCAAATTCCTTTCATATCGGGAACATCAACAGCTGATAGTTATTCAGTGCCAGCAAATATACAGAGAGTCTTATCCATGATGAAATGCCATAATGAGACACTATGTAAATCTTCGTCAAGTGCAAGCTCGACAGAGCAATCTCCCGTAGCAGCTGTTTCATCTTCATCGTCTTCCAGTGACCTCGACAGTTTATTGGCCCAGTTGCAGGATGAATTTGGACAAATATCTTTGGAGCATCAGCAGGTTTCAGCCGAAATGCTCCGAGCCATAGACCCTACCATTCAGTGTAAGTTGGAAAAGGAAGCTGATGAACTATTAGATAGAATGGAAAAAAAAGGTGAGCAAATTCAACGCCTGAGATCGTATCAAATAAAGCAACAACAAAAGTCTGTAAATGGAGAATTTACAAAAAAGAAAATAACTTTTAAAAACCCTGGAAAGGTTAAAGTAACAACGACAGTCAAGGCTTGTGGAACATCTACCAAAGTCAGGGAAAGGCCAAAAACTGCACCATCAAGTGGAAAAGATTGCTTAAAAGGCTTGAAAAAGATACAACAAAAATTGGGAAAAAACGACTTAGGTTGGATGTAACTTTCAAATATGTCCTTGGCAAATATCAATTAACTAGTAAAAGCTTTGATTTTTATAATGAATAATTAGGAGAAATGATCTAAATAACTACTAACAATTTATTAGAAAAAATAACATAGACATAGAATATTTATTTTATCGTTCTATTCTTGTTGATCATCAACCTTTACTTTTTTTATTTCTGGTTCTTTGTCCTGTGCCACTGTTTCTTTCTCCTCTTCTTCTTCCCCTTCTTCTTCTTCTTGGCCTTCTTCCTCACCTAAATCTTCGATCTCCTCTACCTTTTCAGTATTCGCAACTGCATCCTCAATCTTTTCAAAAATTGCTCTCCAATATTCTCCAGTATTTCTTCCTACTTTCTTTCCTTCTTGAGTGGCCGTTCCAAGATGTTCGTAAAGTTTATCCTCCACCTATTTTATTTCAACAGTAATGCTATAAGTTTATTTTTTCAAAACGAAAAAGATAAAATTTAGTACCATTTCATCATCTGATAATTTCCGAAATAACCCTTTGCACTCATCCCCGTCGAAAGACTTAACCATCCATTCAAAGAGATCATGAACATCAGTGCATAAGTAAATGCGTCCCTAGAAAAATGATTAGTATTTTTTTTATTTTTATAAATAAACGACTTGATGATTTTTGTTATTTACTTACACCGATACTTAAGAAAGTAGAATAATGCTTTAACAAAACGGGTGATATAATTCGCCATTTATGTTTTGACTTTTTAAAATGTGGATCCGGATATAAAAAGAACATTTTTGAAAGCTGTCAGTATAAATTAATAAATAAATAGAACAAGTTTTAGTTGAGTCTTACTTGATTTTGTTTGAAATAATTTGGCAAATGTTTCATAGCATTTGTACGTATACATGCAATATTCTTAAATTCATCAGGATGATGGGATCTTAGTGCTTCAATACGCTGTTTAACATATTCCGAAACTTTTGCGCGTATTTCGAGTCCAAGAATCAAAGATTCAGTAAACATGGGAGATAATACCTCTAAAGGAAATTAGTTTTTACTCTTCTCAGTTTGGTATAGAACTATTCAATGTTACCTAATAATCCACCAAATCCACAACCTATATCTAATATCTCTACCTTTTTAATTAAGCTTGTATTTTCCATCTTTCGAACTTCTTCTAAAGGAGGAACTTCGGGATAAAGCTTAGACCAGTCCATATCATCTGGAGTATCTGGACTGAATACAATTCATCTTAGAATTTTAGACAATAAAACTTATTTACTTTTATAAGGCATGACTTACGTGTCGTAATAGTTATGATTTAGAGGATTCACATGTGCTCTCTGTCGATAATGTTTTTTTCTGGGAAACGGTTTAAGCTTTCTTTCTGGTTCTCCCTCCATTACTGCTTGTGAATATTTTCTCAATAACTAATTATACTTAAACTTATAATTCGGATTATAGACTCGAGAAATTAGACGAATTTTTTCAGATAAAACTGCTTAAGAGACCAACGCCATCTAAAAGCATGGTTCTAAAATACACTCTAGGTGGCGCTGAAACTAGCTACTTATGGCGCTAAAAAGTTCGAATTGAGCTTGGATAAAAATTGAAAGAAACGCAATAAATTTCTTCGATATCGCTCATATAGACAATAGAATAAAATTCAATTAAGACTAATTAACTTCATTTTAAAGAATTCTTGTAAATTTTTTTTATTTTAAATAAAGTTTATTAAAGAAAATACAAAACGAGATTATTCTATGTGTTTGTGGAGACGAGTCCGGCAGGTCCATAACCAATTTGTTGTCCAGCTACAGCACTTTCCAAAGGTTTAAAACCCAGTTCGTCAACAGGTATGCCAAACTGAGATAACTTTGATTCATACGTTCTCAACAAATCATTATGGGCTTTACAGACTCTTGCCAATTCGTATTGCAGATCTTTAATGGCAGAATTCTTGGAATCAAGAACATCCTCAAGCTTACGCGTAACAACGCTGAGAGCTGTAGGATCTAAATTTGACGCAGATAATACTTCGTTCAGTTGTGCTTCCTTTTTCTCTAATGTGTCGGCTAAAGCATTCAACTTCTTTTCTAATAGTATATTCTTGAGATTACTCTTCTGTTGAACTTCATGAATAGCTTTGATGAACTTCTGATATAGTTCATCTCTCTCGGCTTGAATTTTACCAAATCTTTGTTCAAGGATTTCCTTTTCTAATTCTAACTCTTTATGTTCTTGTTTCAGAACTTTTAGTCTGGCTTTAGCCGAAGCAAGAGAAAGCTTATCTTTTTCATAATTAGCTAACTGCCTTCTTAGCTCCTCCAATTCAACTCTGGCCTCCCTCAAAGGTTCTGTTAACCGTTTGTTTTCGGCATTTATTTCATTCATCTGTTTCTCCATTCTCTCTTCTTTCTTCTTCATTTCTTCTACTTGTTCTTTAAGGGTATTAATCAAGGCAAGATTGTTCAAAGTGATATCATTATAGTAGTTTTTAATATCACTAAACGCCTTTTCATGATTCTTCATCAAAGTATTAATTTGAGCATTCTTCCTCTCTTCAATCTCGTGAATTTCAGTTTTTCTTCTCAAATCTAGCTCTTCTCTCAACATTCTCATTTTCTTTTCGTATTTGGCTTCAATATCTTTAACTTGTTGTTCATATGCTTGACGTAAATTTGTAACTTGTTCATCATTCTTCATTTTTAAATTTTTCATTAAGTTCTCGTGAGATAGCTGCTGTTCTTTTATTTCAACTTTTAAGTCTCTCTTCAATTTTCTCAAGTCAAATTCTTCTTTACGATGATCATCCTGAGCCAGTTTCAGAGCTACTTTGCTTTCAGCTTTTAGTTCAGCCACATTGTTTTGATGTTCGTATAGCAAGTGTTTTACTTTTTGTTTGTATACTTTTATTTCAATTTGATGCTGCTCTTCAGCATCTTCCATTTCTCTATCCTTATTACGTAATTCAGCTCTTTTTTCCTCCAATTGTCTCTTTGTAATTTCCCAAAATGTATTTACCTTATCTCTTTCTAATTGGAAATAGTTTCGTTCTTCTCTTTCTCTATCCACCTAAAAGATGTTTAAAATTTTTATCTTTCCTATTGGTTTTATTTACAATAATGTTTACCTCTTCCTTTAATCTAGTAACCAGCTCCTCTAGTTGTTCTTTAGTCATTTCTTCTGTTGAAATACCATCAATAACGGCTGGAGTCTTCTTAGCCGACTTCTTCTTCCCCTTCTTCTTTCCACCCTTTTTCTTAGGAGGCATCTTTTCTGGTCGAGGAGTTACCAAATGCTATACAACTATGGTTGCTATGTATCCGACAACTAGATGGCGCTTATATAAATATTCGATAGAAATATCTTTCAACTTGTTTTCTTAAATTCTCAGTTTACATATTATGCGCAATAAATAATTTTTCAAACTAATATAGACAGTAAAAAATATTTTTTTATTTAAAACGCTTAATACGAAATGAATTTTAGTATTTACTTCCGGTTCCTGTGACACTTTTTGATTTCGTACTAAAAAGATAAAACTTAAAGGTTGACATATACACAGTCTAAAAATTAAACTTTTTACCGTTTAATGGTAATGTCAGTAATATTAAAATACTTTAAGAATTTTATAACTATTTAAAATTGTACTAAATCGAACCATTAGCTTCTTTTCAATGTCATTAGAGGATACAAATTGTAAACAATTTTTTTTTCAAAACAATAAGAATCAACACTTTAATGCTCATTTTAAATGTGCACTTTTAGATGTTATAATGCAAATAGTCAACTAGAGTTAAAATTGGTCAAAAGTCTTTTGATAATGCATAAATTAACTTGAAATTTGACAATATACTATTTAATAAATGTATTAACAGATCAACTGATACTTGAGAGAAAATGTTTCTGCGAAATGTAATGAGAAAAATTGCAAGCCAAAAATCCTTGAATGGTTTGGCTATAAAGAAAAATTATTTTGGAACAACTTCTTCACTTCTAGATGATTTTTCCATAAATGCTAATGAAAAAACAGGTATCTCAAAAAGCCTCAAAGTTTGCAACTGTTCTGTAGTTTATACCATTCTAAATTTATCTAGGAGTGTCGGTTATTACCATGTCTAAAACCCCTGCAAATAGTCTCAATCTGGAGTTTATTCAGGAACTATCAATGGCTATTCAAAAGCTTAATATGGAAAAGAGTTGCAGAGGAATTATTCTTACATCAGTATATTGTTGTAAAAGCCCATAAAATTTATCATAGAGTCTGTATCTTTTTATAGAGTCTTCCAAGTATATTTTCCGCTGGATTAGATATTTTGGAAATGTATCAACCAGAACCCGATCGATTAGAGAAATTCTGGACAGAATTTCAAGAGATATGGCTAGCCTTGTATTCTTCGCCTAAAACTGTTATGTCGGCTATAAACGTATGTATGAACATTTTGATGTTATTATTGTAACTAGAATTATATTGTTTATAGGGTCATTCGCCTGCAGGTGGATGTATAATTGCATTAGCTACTGATTACAGAATAATGAAACCTAAATTTACCATTGGTCTAAATGAAACTATGTTGGGTATAGTTGCACCTTTCTGGGCTGAGGATTCTATGAAAGCAGTTATTGGTCAAAGAAGATCTGAATACAGTTTGCAGTTGGGAAAACTTTACACTGCTGAAGAGGCATTACAGGTAGATTTAATCATGACATTGAACTCTCTTAAGCTAAATATCTGATTTTAACAGATCAATCTAATTGATGAAATATCGGATAATCCATTACAAGCTTGCGAGGATGAAATGATGAATTGGCTAAAATTACCCGATCACGCTAGAACCTTGACGAAATTTCAGAACAGAGGACATATTATTGAAAAAATGAAAAAAGGTCGTAAAGAAGATCTTGAAAAATTTGTTAAATTCATACCAAGAGAAGGGATTCAAATGGCTTTGGGAACGTATTTGGATAATTTGAAATCTAGAAAGAAGAAGTAAAAACAAGTTATTTCTCTCAGTGATTTTCAATATGAATTGTAATCCATAATTAACAAGTTAGAAAATAGAAAGAAGAAATTACCGAGCAAGCTCAAGTTCATTATATTTAATACAGAGTTATACATGATTTCATAAATAATCTCTTTTTCTAAAATAATATTCGTTGAAATTTCTTGCTTTGAAAGGGCGATGTTAGCAGTATTCACCTTTGAGATAGACTATATACGAAAAGTGATACGGTATTTAAATATATCTTTCTATACATTTTAGATGGCGCTAATAAACTCTTATAAAAATATATCAGCCTATCACCAATTCACATGGTACTAGGGCGATAATAGGAATGTTTTAAGAATTTCTCATGTATAAGATAGTTTGCCTACACTACTCATTCGGTGGGATAGTGATTACGGAAATTGTTGAAAATGTTTAAATATACTCTAAAGAAGATAAATAAAATAGATATTCAATTAAGACAGTTAAAAACTTGTGTTTCTGACGTTGAGTTAATTGTTAGAAAAATAAAATACAATCTCGAAGATTACACTAAAACAACATTTTTCTATCTTGGAGCTCAAGATGGAATACTTGCAGAAAACTTAATTAATTCAGGTACAGTTTATATGTTTTTAAGTTTTTAAACAACTTCATTTATTTAATTCATTCAGGATGCAAGAAAGTTATCGTTACCGAACATAAAAAAAGTAATGAAGAACATCTGAATGAAATTCAAAATCGATTTAGGGAAAAATTTCTACGATTTACGCGTTTTCCTAATTCAAGAATCATTGAAGAATATAAATTAGATGGGTTGGAAGAGAAAAACTGGCACACTCAACCAAAAGTTGCCGTAATTCTTACTCTTTTGACAAATGATCGTTCAAAATTATCTTTAAATTCATATTTATTACGTAAACAATTTCCCTTTAATTTTGGTCGAACACCTATATTTCTATTGACTGATAATACGGAAAGTAAAGTTATACTTATGAATGAAACTAATCTGCAAACAGAGAAGAGAATACCATCAAGGGCTCTGAGTTATATGTTTCTGTATGATAGAACTCTCTTAGCAGAAATACCTAGACTAAAGCCATCTCAAAAGTATACTAAACTTATTAAAATACAACCAAAAAGCGATCTTGTTGATCTTCTCTACGACGAAGATAAATTTAAAGAAGCAGAAGTGTTCCTAAAGCATTTCTTTAACAAACCATACGAAAGAGTTATTCCTAAAATTGAGAAAATATGCCCAAATTTAGGATCAGAACTGATTGACATGAATATAACAATGTTAGATAGAGTTAAGGACTTGGATTTTCGAATTATTGGTGAAATATTTCGCCTAGTTGCATCAAATGACAATTATTCAAGAAATATTATTAGAGTATTAAGCTCAAGACATGAATTTTAATACCATTAATATATTGAAAAAATAAATTGGCTTTCACTTAATTAAATTGATTTGTAAACACTTTTGTTAAGATATTGAATAAGTTATACATTAGTTCCAAGCTATCAATCATTAAGAGTATTCGCTCATGAAATAAAAATGTATTGAACACCAAACTGAACATCGATTTTTTAATTCTATTGTACTGTTATACTGCGTAATGTTTATATGAAATTTTATTTTATTTATTTATAATATAACAATGAAATATTTAAAAAATTAGAAAAGTTGCCCAACGCTAAAAATCAATCGAAAATATTGACTTTTTATTATTTAATATGGCTTGAAATGTAACAGAAATAATTAAAATCTAGAGTAAAGCTCTTGTTTAGGGGGAAATAGTTCTTGCTTCAGTAAACGTGTAATAATGATATATAGTTCGACCTTATGTATTCATCCGCGAGTTGGCAAATTGAAAGTACTTAATAATATAGCATTCTTTTTATTTTTATGTTCTAATAATGATAGTTCTCGAAAATGAAGATCACGTTTTGGGTGATTCTTCCATTCTGTTTAGGCCAAGTGTTGAATTATTTCAATGCTTTTCAAGGAAATAAACATGGTCCGTTTGAGCGAAAATACAACAGTTTTTCAGAAACTGAAAGATTGAAGATGGTAAACAAATCCAGAAATATGTTTTATTTTGCTTACAATAATTATATGGATCATGCCTTTCCTCTTGATGAATTAGACCCGATACATTGCAAAGGTCGAGGACCAGATAGAGAGCACCCGTAAGTAACAAAATTATATAAAAAGAAGAATCAAGCTACTAATATAATTAATTTCCAGAGAGAATATAAACATAAATGATGTGCTAGGCGATTACTCACTAACTTTAATAGAGTCTTTAGGTACTTTAGCTGTAAGTAAAATATTCATAGGTAAAATTGCAATGTAATGATTTCCTTCCAATTAATCAGGTAATGGGCAACGCCTCAGAGTTTAAAAGAGCAGTTAACTTAGTAATAAAAAATGTTTCTTTTGATAAAAATAGTACTGTTCAGGTATTTGAAGCAACAATAAGGATATTAGGATCTTTACTATCAGCTCATATGATAGCAACAAATGAAATAAAGCTATTTGATAATTTGAAAATAGAAAATTACGACAACGAATTGTTAAGTATGGCTCATGATTTAGCTACTAGGTACATATATATATATATATACAGTATATATTCACATTTCAATTCAAAATGTCTTCAAGTACTAATGAGCATCAATTACTTAGATTATTACCAGCCTTTGAAAAGTCACCTACAGGCATTCCTTACCCAAGGTATAAGATATATTAGCTTAATTTGAAGAGTCAAGACTTTAATACCTATCGCATTTCGTTCATAAAGAGTCAATCTACAATTTGGAGTTCCGGAAGATTCCGTTAATACCACTTGTACTGCTGGGGCAGGGACACTCTTATTAGAATTTGGAGCTTTAAGTAGACTACTAAAAGATCCTGTTTATGAGAGCGTTGCAAGACGATCAATTGAGAGATTATGGACACTGAGGTCAAATGTTACTGGTTTATTTGGTATGTTTGAAAAATGAAATATATCCTTTTGGAATAGGTAATTAATTGATGTTCCCTTTTCTTGCAGGTAGTATAATAAATATGCAAACGGGGGAATGGGAAGAATCAATGAGTGGGTTGGGAGCTGGGATAGACTCTTTTTACGAATACTTACTGAAAAGCTATATATTATTTGGCAACGAGAATGACTTGAAAAAGTTTAAGGAATCATATGAAACTATAAGGTTCTATTTACGAAAAGGCAGGCCAACATGCAATAGCGGGTGGGGTCATCCGCCACTTTACGTTAATGTTAATATGAAAAGTGGAAAATTATTGAACAATTGGATAGACTCTTTACAAGCATCCTGGCCAGCAGTTCAAGTGATATTTGGAGATGTTGATGAAGCAATATGCACCCACGCCTATTTCTATGCAATTTGGAGAAAGTACGGTGTACTACCAGAGCGTTTTAATTGGCATTTATCTGCTCCAGACGTTTATTTTTATCCACTTAGACCCGAATTCGCTGAAAGTACATACTTACTCTATCAGGCTACAAAAAATCCATTCTATCTTCATGTTGGTAAAGATATTATAGAAAGCTTAGAGACTCATACTAAAGTAAAATGTGGCTTTGCAACGGTTCACAACGTTGGTGACAAAACGCTGGAAGATCGAATGGAAAGTTTTTTTGTATCAGAGACTTCTAAATACCTATACTTGGTTCGTTTGAATTCTTTTTATATAATGTGCCCTCTGGTGTTTATATTTTTAATAATAAAAAAATACAAGGATCAGAAGGTTTTAAAAACGTTAAAAAAAAAGACGTTAAATGTACGTGATCGCTGTATTTCGTCTATAGCTATTTGACGAGTCCAATCCAGTAAATATCCGACCCACCGATTATTTATTTACTACGGAAGGACACATCTTTCCAATGTCAAACGAACTCAGAAAGAAAGCTCCTTTCGTTGAAGAAAAACAGACGAAATCTAGTAAGAAGTCTACTGAAAAATCTCTAGTAAAAGAAATTAAGAAAGACGAAGACGAGAATACAACCACTAAAACAAAGGACAAAGATTGGAAAGGCAATTTAAAAGCTTGCAAAGAAATCGATAATAAAAATCGTTTGATAGCTTTTTCACCTCTTCCAAAATTTGAAAATTCAAGTGTTTACGTAAGTTTACTTGAAGATTTTTTTTACGAAATTATAGTAATACTAATTAAACTTTTATCCACAAAAATTACTAGTGTAATCGACCAGAAGTGAGTGAAAGAAAATTTTCACTTCCCATCTATGAGCGTTACTTACAACAGATAGACGCTATTGTAGGAGTTGAACCTGTTCTGTGATACTTGATTTACATTGCTCAAATTATAAAATATACAGTAATACAGTATATACACTATAAATTTATATGTTTATATATATTTTATTTGTTTAATACAAGATGAATTAAGCATCATCTTCTATTCTGTTGGTTATCGCTGCTCGTAATTTATCGCTATTAATAAAATTATCAACATATGATTTGTAGTGAGGATTTAACAAATATTCAGGAATTCTTTTAAGTACATTTTTCTCTACTTCGTATGTCCTAGTTTTTAAAGAGAAATAATATCAGTCTTTTTTATATCTAAAGATATAAGCCTACCTTAGTCGGCACATAGCGGCTAGTATTGGTGATATTTTCCTCTCCAAATGATTCGATAAACAATTGTCAACGTATAATCTATTGACACATATTTCGGTTTTGGCATCTGCCAGAATCTTTTTTACATCATCTTCCAAAACTTTTCGATTTCTAATAGAACTTCTAATTAAATCAAAAGCTAATTCGGAGCGTGCCTGAGAGGCAGTTGATTGTAACAAATTAGCAACAGCTGTGAATTGTGACAATAGTTCTTGGTCTAAATCTACATTGAGAAGGGAAAAGAATAAGTCAAACTTTAAACAAACATCGAACTATGTTCAACGGATGATATTTTATATCAACCACAGATGGCAAACGTAAAAAGAAAAAAAAGCAAACGATATCTTACGTAATACATTCTCTTCAGTTAGTTGAACTCCTTTAAAGTTAAGTTGAAAGCTATTTTTAGAAATGGAATCAATCGAGAGTCCACCAATTCTTGAATCGATTAGCAGAGTTTTAGGATTTTCCGCTAAAAGTGTAACAGTTAAATATATATTAAAAAATTATTTAGTGGTATTATTTACCTTCATTAGATATAGTAAGCATAAATAAATCTGCAACTGATGCTATTTCTGAGCAATTAATTGATCCGTTTAAAGTCCATGTTTCTCCGTCAACTTCAATAGCTAATGTATGTTCATATCCAGTGTCAATTAGACAGCATACAGAATTACCATTCTTTAATTTATTTAAAAAAGAACTTTTATGGACGTCTTTGGCAAATTTACGAAAGAATGGTAAGGCTATACCATAGTGATGATCAATGCCAAAATGTAGATTGCCATACATACTGTAAATAAAAATAAAAGATATAATACAATATATCTATTCAAATTGCAAACGTCTTATTCATTACCATTCTTCAATTGATATCACGTTAGATAAGAAAGAAACATTTGTATCTTTTCCTTTTTCACTATTAAACAGTTGACTTGTTATTTGAAATGCTCGTTTTTTGAATTCAATACTCTCTGGACTAATAATATGCAAATGAGTAAAAAGATTTTGCTAATTAAAAATACTTATTGTATTTTATTGCAAATAATGTTTAGAGTTGGTTTACTTACCTATTTGTTGTCTTAAATAATTCTTCTCTGAGGAATCTACGGGTCTTTCTCCTTGTTTCGTCAGTTTTTATATCAAATAACTTCCTTGTACCGATGGCTAAAAATGAATATGTTTCACCAATTTCAGGGCGAAAAGGCGGCTTTGGAATAACCTGTTTAAACCTAATTTCCTGTTTAAAACATTTAAAAACACGAAATGAACCAAATCTTCTAACTTGGAACCTATAACAGGATCGAAGACAAACGGTAGTTTACTTAATCTTCTCAATACACCCATCCTAGACTGATGCTATTTACTAATTAATCACTTCGTTACAATTCATTTCAGTTTTATTTTATCACCTATCGTACGATAGGTCAAAGTAACCTTTATCATCTGTCCTTCAATGTACTCGATATTGATAATGACGCGTTCATCATCTAGTTTTTCATCTCTTGATTATTTTTAATATAAACATACCAGTTGTAATTCTGTCTATACAACTACGCTATGCGTGTAAAAATGTTTTCCCTAAGGAATGCGTTTGGCATTATGATAAGAAGATAACTAAAGTAATCAGCCTTTAGTGATTTCGAGATAGTCATAGAAGAATTTTCTTTGATATGGACTACAAATATCTGTGTAACAAATATTTCGAATTGTTAGGCGCTAAAAATATTCTATGTAAAGTGTTTTTCAATTGGATAAAGCTAAAGCGAATCAGCGTCCATATTATAAATCAATCGTCACCGAAATAAATAAAAATGGCGGTGCTGACGAAGAAGACTTTATTCTATCAAATAATTTTTATTTTATTTTTATTTGTTACAACTGCGTTTGGTAGAATTCATAAAATCACAAGTAAAGTGAGTAATCGATCTGATACATTACTTGCTTAAAATATCTTTACACTATTTGTTTGTTTTATTTAATTTTTCCGACAATAAGGCTTTTGATGAAAATCATTCTGTTACAACGACACTCACCACTTAGCTATTATAAAATTATATATTTTAACTAGTTGATAAAACTAAAATATATGAATATATTGTCAAAAATCGCGTTGACAATTACAAATGGTCCTATGATTGTGATGGTACAATAAGAGTCATAGTCATACGATAAGCCATGTTCAATAAAATGTTTTATTTTTTGTCGGAATGATAAGTTTAAAATTTGTATTTTAGCATTCAAATGACTGCAAAAGAACTCTGACAAGATTTGGATTTCTGAAAGATGGATTCCTTCACGTTAAGTTTGATTTGCTTCCGAAATATAATATGGAAGGTCGAATGGGGTTTTTACTTACCAGACATCTAACATCAACTAAAAGTGGAGAAATAGTTAGTAAATATAAATTACAAACTAATTAATTAACAAAAAAAAAACCAATATCTAAACTCTTTTATTTATCTTCATCAGGAACAAAAGATGTCATGTGGAACTAATGAAACAGTAACGATTCCCTAAATTTTCTTTCATATACATAAATATTTGACATATTTATTTATTATACTATAGGGTGGTAAAAGTATGTGCTTTAGCGAGAAGATTCCCCAGCAGACAAATTCTTCGAAACTATGGTTTTTTGAATTTCATAAAAAAGCGTAAGACATTGAACATTGATAACATTATTTATTAATATTATTTTTCTTCTCAAATATTTAGATTACGAATAGACAGATATGGAAATAATTTTAATGACTTATATATAACAACTTGGAATGAAAGCAAATTTGAATATAATTGGAGAAAATTTAACATGAATACACAAGAATTAAAGAATTTAAGTTGTTCTGCTACACCAAGTTTGTATATAACTTTTTGAAAAGCAATAAAATCAATAAATCATTTTTTACTATCAGCTGCTGTGAAAGATGGTATTTGTAATAATAGTATTCCTATTACTGATGTAGAATTACATCCTCAAGTGCAGGTTGGCTAAAGTGTTATATATTTAGATAAGGCTTTCTTATTGCATTTTTTTAAATGTTATACTTTAGTTTCTCATACCTATTAACGGTAAAGGGGAAGGATATTATGGTTTATACTTTTGTAATGCAAGAGATATATCTGTTAACTACACGGTTGGTATATTATAATAATGTATATTTATTTTCGATTTAAATGAAAATTTAATTCTTTCTTTAAGGTTTATTTGATTGAAAAGAATTCTCAGGGTTATCTTAGTGCCAGTGAAATTCCCCTGCCCACAGAATTCTTTGTCTTTAGTGCTATATACTTTATTCTTTCAACTTTTTATTTGATCTACTTGAAACGATCTAAGTAAGTCATTGACTTTGACGTTCAATTTGATATAATTTTTCAAAAATTAATTCCACCAGGGAAGATGTATATAAAATTCACTACTGTATGACTGGACTTGGCTATGTAAAATGTATTGCTATACTATTCCATGGTGTACGTTTTAAGTTTATTGTCTTTGAATAACATTAATTATCCGCACATCTATATATACTGTATATAAAAAAAAGCATATTGTTTTTTTTTTCCAGTTAAACTATCTTATCATCCTAAGAGATGGACACCAACAATTAGCTTTTTCCGTCCTATATTACATCACTCATCTGTAAGTAAAGCATTTTTTTAATTGTTCCACAAGCGGATAACACTTTTAATTCTATTAGGATGAAAGGAATATTTCTGTTTGGCACTATAGTGTTTATCGGTGCTGGTTGGACTTTTATCAAGTTTGTTCTGTCAAATAGAGAGAAAAAAGTTTTCCTGATCGTTATCCCATTACAAGTACGTTTTTGAAATACAATCCTTAATCGAATATGGAAAAGCACTATAAGATATTTGCTAACAGATACTAAATAATTTCGCCTATATAATGCTAGAAGAAACCGATAAAGTCGATGATAGCTCAAGAATGTGGAAGCAAATCAGCATATTTGTCGACTTATTGTGTTGCATGGCAATTCTCTTTCCCGTTGTCTGGTTTGTTAAAAATAACATAACCTTTTGCGCAAAAACGATTTTAAATAATATATACTAAAAAATTATATTACGATTATAGGTCTATTCATCATCTAACTAAGGCAGCAAAGACAGACGGAAAAGCTATTATCAATTTGAAAAAATTAAAAATGTTTAGAAAATTTTACCTTTTGGTAAATTGAACACTTTTTGTTTTTTTTTTAAAAGCTTATATTTAACTTGTTGTTTGAAAATTTTTTCAGGTTATCTGCTATATATACTTTACCAGAATAATCGTTTATTGTCTGTTGGTTGTACCTTTTAGGCATGAAAAATGGATTTTTAATTTATGCAGAGAATTGGGCACTTTTGTTTTCTTTATTATTACTGCTTATACATTCAGACCGACTTCGAATAACCCTTACCTGCAGGTAATAAAACAGAAAGTCATATGATTAACATATCATTATTACAATATAATAGTGATAACGGTGGTTTTAAAAAATAATTTTTATAGGTGCCTGATGAAGAGGAAGAAATGCAGGAGGTGTAAGTAAAAAAAAAGATATATTAATGATAATATTTAACATAAAAAAAAATTAACATTTTCAATGATTCTTATATTATTCAATCGAATATTCAGATTGACAACACCTGGCGCATATGACAACTTAAAAAAAGTAAATATCAAAGAAAAATCCACAGACGATAACGTTGAAATAAAGCAGAGGGAAATTTCTCATGATTTAGACTAGTCAATAAAAAGAAAAGGAAAAACTTTTGATACAAAATATTTAAAAGAAACAAAAAATAAAAATTAAATATTGCATATTTTTTATTTGTACATAGAAAGTAGTTATTTTAATTTATGTTTTTCAAACAATAAACTCATACTTTGACGACAGCGATTAGAAGCTTATAACGGATAAGTTATTAATATTCATACGAAAATATGCTAATAACCTCGTGAATGCGCTGATCACACTTTAATAACTCAGATCCGCGGTATTTTCAAGTTTGCCTTTTTGATCGCTGCATTTGTGCGGCTAGATTATTCGAATAAAATACAGCTTCATAATATTTTTTGGAAAAAGAGCATAATAATAATTTAGCTTCAACTTTCATTTTTCTTTTTGGGAAAAATATATGAACATGATGCGTTTGATGACTTTTGAAGCAATTGCTGCTAGAGAGGAAGAATCCGTTGTATTTCACTATCTATCATCAATGGGTGAGTATATATAAAAATAATAAATAATAAAAAAATACTAGGCATTACAAGCTTTTAAATTTAAACTCTAATTGAAATAAAAAAAAAAAGAAACTTTAATAGTGAATTACTCATTGAGTTCAATTGTTCAAAAATAAAAGTAAAGGGTAAAGATGAATAGATAATATATTTTACGAATGAATATTGATGATCGCATTTACTAAAAATTTAACAACAGTAATTATTTGAATGGCCGATATTATTTCTTTTGATAATTAAGAGAGATTAACTAATTGATACACGTTAAGAAAATGATTACTTCATAGTTGAAGTTATTTGTATTTAAATCACTTTAGTAAACAACCGTTATAAGTGATATCAATAGTTTGTCAACACATTCTACATCAAGCTCGTGTCGAATTACCCTCTATTTCTTTACCGAATTGTTTGCGTCGTGCGTTTCGTAAGTAATGTATTATTGTACGATGACGCCCTATAAATATTTTTAGAACAATCAAAGTGAAAGTCGAGAAGCTGCTACTTTTTACACGACGGAAATCGAGCAATCAAGCGTGTTATTAATCAATAAATAAATTTGTTCATACATTTGCGCTGTTGATTCGAATTCTTGGCTCGAAAATATTTCGCGGGTTTTCTTCTACACTTACGTCATGTTGATTACCGAGTATTTGTGTGAATTATTAATAGTTATATTCTTTCAGTGAAATTGAATATATGTTTGATAGAATAGCGAATATTTTATTCAATTTGCAACAATAAAGCAGTATAATAGGACAACTGAAAGAAAATAGTCCGCGGCCCACTTAGATTTAAATGCGCATGCGCAGTGTAGCAGAAGTATTGAAGGGAACGTTCAGCAGTCAGGCGAATTTTCGCTAAATTTGCGGATAATTTAATGTTGACACAACGTCCTGGCCACTAAAGAAGAGTCGGGAGGTCTTGTAGGGACGATTAGTCCCCGCATTGGCCATCTACATAAAACTTTAAAGCAGGAATCTCGCTTAATTCACGAACGAGATGAGAATGATGAAGGTACGGCTTTTTGGTCGTTGACCTCCCTTAATCGACTCCCTCTTGATCTTTTGCTCTATATATTTTTTTTATCTTAAGACGTTTGTCCGATTATGTTTCCAAGTGTTCATAATCTATGCAACGACAGAAAAAGATCGATCGATGCCAATTTATCATTTATGATAGCGTAGAAAGCGGACACCGCAAAACTGTTGCAATACTAATCAACTAGCAAAATTTAAAGCCAATTCTGCACTATGGACAGGCTATATTGAAAAATAATCGAAAGATGCTAAAGAAACTCGGAGGCAACCCGCGGAGTAGCTAGATCCGCTCTTCGTCAGATAAGGCCAGTTGTCTTTTAGGCCTTGTCTATTCAGAAATTATAGTTACGACAATTATGTCTGTATAAGTTGTTCATTGTCATAGCCTTGGTACTAGGCCTTCCGTAGCGTTCATTCAATTTTATTTTGCAAGGTCCATATGCTTTGGGAGGATTTTTTTCATTTTTTTGTTATTGACTTTTGTTAAACTTCTCTATTATTCATTTGTACTTTTTTAAACAATGACCTCGACTACCAGTACAATATATAGTATAACTAATACGGGTTTTAAAATGCTAATTACTACAGGTGCCGGTAGCTCAGAAGGTATGCCTGCATTAAATAGAAGCTTTAATCCCGTTCCCGAAGAATTGTGCCCCATTTGTGGAGATAAGACTTCTGGCTACCATTACGGCCTCCAAACTTGTGAGAGCTGCAAAGGCTTTTTCAAGAGAACTGTCCAGAATAAAAAAGTCTATTCGTGCGTTGATAATCAGAACTGCCCGATTGACAAGACTCAGAGAAAACGATGCCCCTACTGCAGATTTCAAAAGTGCCTAAATGTTGGAATGAAATTGGAGGCTGTGCGAGCCGATAGGATGAGAGGTGGAAGAAACAAATTTGGTCCTATGTATAAAAGAGATAGAGCTTTAAAGCAACAGGCATTACGTCAGCGCCAACAGCTCATGTACGTTCAACATTCAACGCCCATGGATCAAGCTAGCACTCCAGATATTAAACCAGATGTATCCAGGCTCTATCCTCCCGTTCCAACAAATATGGCATCAGGACCAACGTCCGCCTCGTTCTACGAATCATCCGCAAATTTCTCCCCTACTGGTTATCAGCCTCCCGACATAACCGACCTACGAATGCCGTCGCCAAACGTACCTGAGATAGTTCGAACTTTAACTCAGGCTTGTTCAACGTGTGACGGTGAAGAATTGAAAATTAGACTTGCCAACACAATTGAACAGGAAATGATGAAATGGGTTTCATCAAGCTCCTATCCACCTTTCGTCAATGAGCAAAATGACTTAAGTTGCGAAATATTACACCTGTTGTGCAGGCTTGCCGATTTGAGTTTATTTCATTTAGTTGAATGGGCAAGACAAGCCATCTTCTTCCGAGATTTACAAATCGATGATCAAATGAAGCTTTTACAGACCGCTTGGTCTCAATTACTTGTCCTTCATTTCCTCTATCGTCAGATTCAAGCCGACAAGCAAGACGAACTCATACTAGTACATGGTCACTCGATTTCATTCGATTTCATCCGGCGGGTAGGTTTAACAGACTGGATCGCTATTTTAACAAATACTACAAAGAAGCTTAGAGCCTTGAACATTGACGAACAAGATCTCGCTTGTATTAGATATTTAGTACTCTTAGAGCCTGACGTTGCTGTTACAGATGAAGCTAAAATAAAGATAGAAAATTGGCAGGACCAAGTTAGCAGAGGATTACAAGAATACACAATTAGTTGTTACTTCCATGCCCACGATAAATATCAGAAATTAATCCTCATGCTACCTGAACTTAAGCAACTGGCCGTTAGATGTGAGAACTACTTGTATAAGCGTCATCTAGATGGTGATGTTAAAGAACACAACTTGCTTATGGAAATGTTGCACTCTCAGAGAAATTGATCTGTGAAAAATAGAAGAAATTATGTCTTTCTGAATGGGTGAGAGAGTGCTCTTAAGAGTTTTTTCCTTTATTTTGTGCCATTTATTTTTTTCAATTATCCGATCCGTTTTGTTATTTTATGTACTCTTATGTTAATTATGTTTTATTTTTTTGTCATTTTTTAATTGTCAACACATACTTTACATAAGTCATTTTTATTAAATACTGCCATGTTTAAGCGGCTGTCGTATCTCATGGATAATGTTTTTGTTTTTTCTTTTTTTTCGCTAAAAAACAGTGGCCATATGTATTTAGGTATATTCGTATATATTCCCACATATATCAAATCTACTTTCACATTAAATAAAAAAACGTATTATAAACAATAACATAATCTCATAAATGTATGAATATTATATATATATATATATATATATATATACTGTATATAATATATTACAAGATATTGTAAATATTTTTATTTATTGTATATTAAACAGAAAAACAAAGAAAATCCATTATAAATCTTATATCAGCATAAATATAGATTATATATAATATGCAAATTAGCATTATACACGCATATATATATATATATATTTATTTATTTATTAAAGAAAGAATGTCATGTTATATGCATATATTGTACTTTTTTAGATCAGTTTTTTTTATAAAAAAAAAAATAAGAACATTAGTGTAAAAATTATTTTTGTTGCTTATGAACGAAATTTTTTGACCAATTTTTCTCAAATTTGTTAAATGCTTTATATAACTTTTTTCGTATATCCGCAAATATACATAAATACATAACTTTTCAACAGAGAACGTATATATACATATATATATATTTTATAAAATAAATTCATTTCTATACATTATTTTTTATCACAGTGCCCCGTCTGGCAACACACTTATCATGACAACACACAGCACGAAATTAATCTAAATAAGTAAAGAAAAAAAAATATTTAAATTAATAACAACTTACACGCTGTGCATAGATAAAAAGCAGTCAGCAAAAATGTCGGTTTTGTTCTTTACTTTTTTATGAGATTCATCAAAAAACATTTTTATTTATATTTTTTGTTTTTTTTTTTTAAGTATCTTTTTTTTTAATTATTATTTTTACTACCAAATTTCAGTCTGTGCAAATTAAGTCTTTTGCATTGATTTTAAGCTTTTTTTGTTTTTTTTTTCTTTTGAATTTTCAATGCTTTATTTCGTTCTTTGCCTAATTTTATTTTTCATTAACTTAATTTATCTTTTTTTCTTCTTATTAATATTCATGTCCTAATAGAATTTTTTCGCTTGTCTTCCTCGTTTTCGGAGTCTTTGTGCGATAAAAGTGTATCAATTATACTTCCATTGTTAGGCCGAGTTTCGCCAACGTGTTGTTCGATTTTTCCCTGTTAGATGTTTTGTTTTTAAAATAATGTAACAGTGTTATATTTCAAAGATTAATTTCCAAAAGGAAGATAATAATGTTAAGAAAACTCACTCTCATATGGTATCTATCATTTTTCGGCCACGTTGACGAACTTCCCGTTGTGCAAAAAGATATCATGTCTGCTCCTGAACTAGAGTGTCGACTGTGACCTGTGCTGTATCCAGAGACCTAAAAATATAGACAGAAGGAATCATTATTATTGATTTATTGGCTGTTTTAGGTAAAAAACGACTAAGGAAAGTTTAGAATATAGATATTAGAATAAAGGAGAGAAAGCTGTGTGCAGTTCGTCCGATCCAAAATAGGCCTCAATTGAATTTGAATTTCAAATAGTCATTGCTGTAAGGGACTATAATTCCCCAAACTACTTCAGTTTTGCTTTTAAATTTGTTGATACTTTAATCTCATCAGCAGCCCTTTTTGTTCCTGTTCACTCACTCATAGAATAGGGGAAAAAATTTACATTCAACGCATATTTCGGGATCTATTCCAATCAAAGGAAAGATAAAAATCATGATTGATAGACGAAACACAATTTAGCCATTCTGTTTAGGACGAACTATACCTTCATATCTACCTGACTGCCGTGCCTGGAATGACCTTTACCAACTCCCCCTTCTGGTTCTTGACTCATGTGAACATGATTACCTCGGGTTAAGCTACCGAAACCCGAAGATAGTGAAGCGACACTTGCGCCATCTTCTGTCTTCGATTTGGAATCCGTTACATCGTTGGTCTGTTCAGGCTCCTTACATATAAAATTTGGAGTCCCTTCAGCGAGTTTCATGCCTAATTTAATGCAGAGAAGAGTGTTATCAGGGCGTTTCTTAACATCGTACGATTTGAGTAAACAACGTTTTCGTATAGGTTCGCCATTTTTGGCATATTCAGCAAGATCTAATTCCACGTATCCTAATTTTTTATATGACTTCCCTCCCTGTTCATCCAATCGAACAGATATTCTTACCAGATATGTTTTTAGGACGTCTGTCGAATTATTCGCTGTCATTTTCGCGGTGAAAGTAACATTGTGATTCCAAGCAATTTCGTGATTTTTTACTTGAACTTTCTCTGAAATATTATTCTCAACGCTTTTACCATCAACAATTCGAACCTTTACGAAAAGTGTGCCATTTGTTAAACTGACTGATGTTGCTCCTTCTATTGTTAAGTCAATGTCAAATTTCCAACGCTTCTTTTTCGACATGAAGGCCATCCACTGTAACCAACCCAACAATATATATTATAACAAATGTTATTTATAGCAGGACTATAAAAGTCTCAGTTATCTCAATTTTTTTTTTGCCTAGAGTCCACAACAAAAATGGTTAATTGATACAAATTTCAATCGCAATAATCAACGGCCATTTATGATTATTGAAAAGCATCATATAGAAAAATGGTAATCTGTAACTCAATTTCCGAATCAGAATTGATACTGCAGTCTAGTAGTGAAAAATATTCCCAGAAAAAATAACAAAATTTAATTTACATTTATACCGGAAGTATTCTACACGTTTTCAACTTCCGTCGATACTACTAAGGCCATCTACAGTTTAAGAGAAGTGAACCAAGTTTTTATTTATTATTTAAATATTAAATGTAACGAGTAGACAATTCTTTTATATACAGACTGTACATACACTTCAAGTTGGTTTTCATACCTAATACCATTAGTATTTTTCTTTTTTAAATACGAATCATTTAACAGTCTATACAATACAACAATAACAATTTTATTTTACTATATTCAGGTTACTATTCCCTCCTCATCTACAGCTTTCATTTCAACATCCTCCGGTACGTCTTCAGTCTTACTTAATAAATCTCTATCATCCTTTTCGCTGTGGGCATCACTTTCTTCGCTATCATCATCCTCCTCATCATCGCTATTCTCACTTGTTCTAGTAACAGAAGGTAATTGTTCACCAGTTACTAAACATCTATGCTGAATAGCTTTTTGATACGCTTTTCTCATTGCCCTCATATCTTTACTTTTTTTGTTTTCATTTAATTTAACTTTATCTAAACCAGAATCAACACCTAGAGGTTCTAACTTAGATCTTGGCAACCATTGCCATGTTCTTTTTTTATCAAAAAATAAAACTAGAAAGACTCTTTGTTCATACTTATTTTGTAATGCTAAAACTCTAGCTGGAGGAGGGGGAATAGGTACACCATTGTGTAGGTAACCATTTCTTGGCATTTTTGGATTTATTATGAGGGCGGGATACCACGGATAACCGCGGCATTTCGCCCATACCAGATCTAAAGGGTGCAGCTCGATCAGCGAGTCGACATCTTCTTCGGGATCTGCTGAACCTGGAGTAACACCCGCTACGAAGCGCATTCGCGGTTGACGTGGTCGTCTTGAGTATCTGTGGCCGACCTCCTGTGAAACGGGGGGAGGTGATGCTATGTCCGATTCCGTTCCGCCTATCCGACCGTCGTCCGACACCTATGCATCAACACGGCCTTTGTTATATTTGCGATAAAGCGTACTAAATTTTAGCGATATTTAGCGATTTTTCAGCTACGGACCTCGGTTTCATTATCGGTCGCGCTGAGAATATCGCGTTGGCCTCTGTATTGACGGAAACTATCCTTGTTCAACATCCACGGCTGCGGCGAGCTGATTGAAGGGGAATTCGGCGTGGGAGACGAAGGAGCCCTGGATGGGCTCTTGCAGAAATTTGATTGAGGTGAACGAGGAGTTCGAGGAGTGGCCGGAGTTCTACAAGGAGATATTGACTGACTATTCGGCGGAGTCGTGCTTTTCTTTCTGGTAGTTCTCTTGCCGCTGCGACCCCTTTTCTTTTTTGTCTTTTCAGGAGTGGGCAGAGGAACCTCAAAACCGGTATCGTCGCAAGACTTATCTTGATTTTCTTTGTCTTCCTTTTCCTCCGATTTGGGTTTCCGCCGACTCCTAGTTGATCTCTCCTTTTCCGAATCAGTATCTTCGGCCACTAATGTTTTATCTTCCTCCTTATCCTCATCACCTGTGATTTAAGCGGTGAAAGCTATGTGATAAAAACAAAAAAAGAAGAAAATTTTTTAACTCATCGTAACTTACCAGAAACACCGGGACTGTAAGCGTCATCATCTTCACTGGAATCCGATACTCCATCAGTTGAACGCCTTCTTTTCTGAGCTGCCATAGCCCGCCGTAATTTATTTATTTCTTTTTTAACTAGTTTGATCTGTTTTCCCTTTTTCTCTGCATAAAAAGAGTTATGAATATTTTTGAATTATTTTATTCATTATACGTACGGGGTTTTGCTGTCCACTCGTCTAATTTATCTAAAAGCATATCCAATTGTCGACTCATTGGTAACTTTGATCGAGCTTCTGCGTCCAGGACGTCTATTTCTTCCTGTACAGGACTTGATGGAGGACTGTTCAAGTGTAAACCAGTAGATTTGTCGTAGCCGATTTTAGCGACTTGTCTCTTTGCTGCTCTTATAACTGTTCCCCCAGAGTCCCTTAATTTTAACGCTGCACGATAGTAAATAGTATATTTATCATTATACGTTGTACAGTTTTTGATTATTAATGAGAAATCTTCTTCAAAGTCATCAATACTGAGATAACAATTAGTTTCAATCTTTTCGTGCATAGTAGAGAAATCCATGGGTTTTTCTATGAGCTCTCTATATTGAGGGGCCTCTTTTTCGGAAACTGGTTCAGCAAAGAAAGAGTTTGTATCTAAACTTTTTAATCTGTCTAAAATTCCAAGTAACATAGTATTCAGAGGTTGCATCCGCAATCGAACTTCTTTCTGCTTAATTTTTATTAGATCTCTCTTAATTTTTTCTCGTTTTCTTATCAACTCAACAAGCAGGCGCGCCTTTTCCAGATCGTGTCTAAGTCTCTGCCAGTACTTTAGTTGTTGTTTCATCTCTGCTTCCTCTGTATCGTCGTCTTCTTTCTGATCTCTTATTCTGTTCATGTGATTGCTCTGTAATCTTCTTAGGAGAGGCACACCATTTCTGCTCTGTCGCTTCAAGGTCCAATACCCAAGCAGTTTTTGCATGAATTCTTTTTTGCCATGAACATTAATTTTTGATGAGATAACAGAAACTCTTTTTTGAGTTAAAACCGGTATTGAAATAACAGGTGCAGCAGCTCTTCTCTCAGCTAAAACTTTTCTAGCCTTTCGCATTCTATTTCGACTCTTTGCCTTTAATTGAGCAGGTGTTGAAGGAGTTGCTTGCCGATCTTCTTCAGAAGATGCTCCATTGTCAATCATTGGCATGTTTTGACAATCGGCTGGTGAATGAACATCGCAATACGCTGTTTTGCGTACGCCAACCGTTGTGTTCGAATCAGCGGACTCTCTTACAGGTTCTATCTTCATATACAAACCAGCGTGCTGAGCGCAGGTAACATGGAAGGCGGTATAGCAGTTGGTTTTATGGCATTGAATACAAGCACCAATGTTACGTTGCTTGCATATATAGCAAGTTAATTTCCATCTGGCTGGTGGAATTCTATCTATGCTATCTATTGGTTCTAGAAATACAGTGTTCGCAAATCCGATTTCCTATTTGAAATAGAAAGTTCAAGTTAATTATTGCTATTAACAAAAAAAAATACACTTACGGGAATCCATAGAGCACAAACGACATGAGCCCATCGTCCATCATCAGTTTGCTTGAATGCTCCTCCTTTATTCGGACAAAGGCAACATTCAACTGCTCTTGATGGACTTTGTAAGCAACGCCTACACAACCATTGTCCTTCCGGAATGTATGGTACACCATAACATTCCTGATGAACAGCAAGGTTGCACATATCGCAAAATAGGATCATATTCATATTCTGACATTCGCCATCCAGACAAATGCAGCACAAAGCATCGTCATCAATGTCCTTTTGATCACAATTTGAATTTTGAAAGGCAGCTTCCTTTTCAAATCTGTCAATCAGCAATTCAAATGTTTCACGATCAATTAAAGAGACGCTTTCATTAGCTCGAGTTTCATTAATTAATTGTAGCCAAGCAAAATCCTAATAGATGAAAAAAAATTGATTTTCCTCAAAATTAAACAAACTAATTTAGAATACTACCTCCTCATCCATATCGTATTCAACCATCTCATCAAGATCTTCTGGCGATTTTTCCATATATCTGTTATTATGCTTTAGTTAGTGATTTATATTTTTAATAATGAAAATCAAAGTACCTAAAGTAAGCTTGAGTCCTTGAGGGTGCTACGCAAGGCTGATAGTTTTCTATAATTCTGAAAGAAGGTTCAGGGAGTCTTATTTTCTCTTTTTCTTTTTCTCTCTTCTCAGCGTCACCCCCTGACTGAGAACGCAACATTTCCTTTGCTTGTTCCCTTTTGGCGTTGTCCATGTTATCTATATTCTCTTGCGAAACAACATTTAACATTTCGTATATATTTAATCGATGGATTTTTCCATCCAGTTCAATTTCAACAATTTTTTGAGCATCAGCATAGGTCAGTGTATCTCTTGGCTGGGTTATTGTATCTGGAGAAGTAGTAAGCTTCTTGCTGTTCTTGCTTTTTCGCGAAGGTGATGGTGAACCAACATTTTTATAGTCATAATGAGTGCTATGCATATGAGATGTTATTCCTCCATAACTCTTATATAATTTTTCGCAATCTTCAAATGGACATTTATATGGTGGCTTGGTTTCTTTTAGATTTGCCAGCCATAAATCTATGTCCAGAGAGCTGTTCATATTTGCTTCTAACGAAAGATATATAAGAGGCTATAATACAACTCGCATACCTCCTCAGCTTCAGAAATGCTTTGTAAAATTGAAAAATTCTTTGAGTAAATCGGACTGAATCGATACCAACGAATATTGTCTTATTGGAAAATTAATCAATCGAATTTTTGACTAATTTTTTGAACAAATCCAGTAGATAGAAATCTGTACTTGCAATATGTAGATAAAAATTGTGTATAACAATTCTGATTTTGTTGAAAAACAACCTTTATCAAAATGTTGATTGTTTGACCGCCATATTGGAATGGCAGCGGCGTTGGTGAGGATCAGGATACCTGTTTTATATAATGAAAAAAGGCGCGTGCGGTATTGCTACATTCTGAATGGACGTCCATTTTAGCCAGAACAAGTTATAATCGGACAAAAAATTGATTTTCAAATAGTCTCTTGTTAGACACTTTTTTCAAATAATCGTTTCTTCTGAAATAGTGCATAATATAACTATTGTCTTAAACTTAAAAGAGTTCGATTATTACACGCACGTTTAATAAATATATACTAAAATAGAAATATCTCTTTAACACTTGCGGATTAACTGATTTAGTTGAAGCGCAATTTAGTATCACCAAAACTAAATACGCAACCCTGGGTAAAACTTCGACTGAACAGTTAGGATAAGTTAAAATAAGCTTTAACGATTTTCATTCATAAATAGCAATAAGTAATTCATACTCTTATTTGTCATTATTTTGATCAAAACTTACTATTAATTTCTGTCATTCATAATAAATAATAAAAAATAAATAATTGTTTGAATTATGTTGAAAATCAATTAAACTAGAAATAGATAAGACTTAATCAAACGAACTAAACTACAGTAAAGTTGTTAAAATATGTGAAAAGGTAATAGTAGAAAATTAATTTATTATATTCATTTAGAATATTTAATTCGTCATATGTTAGACGGAATTTTATCTACAAATAGATCTTCATTTAAATTAATTAATTCTGAATAGAAACAACAACAACAACGAAGTTTTCAGTACAATACGATAAATACTGGAATTTTTAATAACAAATAATAGCGTAGTTATCGCTATTTAACCATATTATAAAATTTAGTTCGTTGGGGTTAGGGGTTCTCTAGTACAAGTAAATACAAATGAAAAGATTAACTTATAAACAGAACTACCAAAATTATAAAACGAACATATATTGAAAGATTACCTAAAGAGATATACGCACCAAATATTTTCTTACATAAACGGAATACTTTGTATGTTGTATACTGTATACTTGAATGCTGGCTTCGTTTGAAAGGATAACACAGAAAATCGGTCATGTGTATTCTGATTACTAGGTTAATTAAAAGAATTTTCATTCAATTTCTTAGATCTTTATCTAATTTACACAATTCCCTGAGAATTATTCTTCTTTAACATATAGCTCTCTTCTTTCTCTTATGAATAATAAAAGAGAAAGAGTTAGTTGATACTTGATAAATCTTATTTGCTTTAAATGAAATAAAGAGAGATTCAGTAAAAACTAAACTTAATACACATGGCTTCTATTTTAAACATATTGTAAAGTTTAATGTATTCTCTTCACCTAATTTAAATATGTACCAAGCCTTTGTCTAGTAGATAATAAGAGAGAATTTACTAGAAGATGTTTCAAAGAAAAAAGTATAGTATTTTATTTGGATTTATACAAAAAAAAAATAGGGCAAAATGCATCATTTAACATGAAATAAAAAAAATAGCATACATACACACACACAGAAGAAAATATGTAAATACTTGAAGAAGAGAAAGTACAAACAATGAAAAAGAGAATTAAAATAAGTTAATAAAAAATAAACACGAAAATTATGGTCAAAAAATGCTATTTATATGTATAAATCTTGTTTGTCATTTTGCTTCTTTTTAACTTTTATACACAGGACCAAAGAAGCTGCTAGAATTATTACGGATCCGCTAACAGCGTATGCTATTAAGTATTCTTTAGTCTCGTCAATAATTAAACCTGCTAAAGGTGGTCCGATTACGTTACCAATTCCTTGACACATATAAATCAAACCTGTAGCCCATGTAACGTATCGGCTGTCCAATATAAGAACAATCATTGTCAAACTTAGTGCGTAGTCAGCACTCATGAACCAGCCGTAGCCGGCACAAGCGAATGCTAAATAATAAAAATTAGAGCAAAAGGGCATTGTTATTAAAATCAATCCGACCATACATGTATAAATCATGTATAGACGGAGTATGGATATACAGTTTTTATCGGCTAGCCATCCAACGAATATTTGGCCAACTGTATTGCAAGCGCCAATTACTGGAGTTAAATAGGAGGACGCAAAATGACCAAATTTAAACTGTTCGACAGCCATTTGCATATTGAATATGTAGGGAATGTCGGAGGCCATGTATACCAAGCCAGTACATAAACAAAAGATAAGAAAACTGGATTTGAATATATTTGATGGAACTATCGAACATATTTTCTTTTCTTCCTTAATTGGCTCTTCGCTATCTTGGCTTGATAATTGAGGGCAACTTGCCCACATTCGCTTCGATGGTAATACTAACGTTTTCAGACCTTTTTTATCCAATGTTTCTAACGATTGAGTACATGACGATAATTTGGATTGAACAGTTTCCGATGAAGTACTTTTATGAAGTTCCAAAGGTCTATAAAGGGCACCACAAACGCAAATATTTAAAAGAACTGCGGCTAAAATCAGCAAACATCCTCTCCATGAGTAAGTTTCTATAAGAAAATTACAAATTGGAGGTCCAATAACAGTTCCAAGACCGGAGCCGGAAAGAGCGATTCCAGTTGCGGATGATAGTTTTTTATCAAAATATGTGGAGATAATAACAACGGCTGGTACGTAAACAAACGCTAAACCCAATCCAGAGACAAAGCCATAGGTAAGGCATATAAAGAAGAAATTGGACGAAAAGAAAGCTAATATGAACCCAACTGAGGCGACGAAACCACCAAATATTGTTACCTTTCTACAGCCAAATTTATGTGTAGCCAAAGATGAAAGTGGTGCGCAGATTAATGGAACAGATACGAACAAACTATTGGCCAAACTTGTCCAGGCGTTCGAAGTCCCTAAAGAATTAATAAAATATAAATCATCACTGTCTTACTTAAAATTGTACTTGTACATACCTAAAGTTTTTGTCCAGATGTGTTCAAACTGTCCTACGGAAAAGGCAATTCCATCAGCTATTGTAAATAAGACGAAGGACGCAAAGACTATTATCCACCCGTAGCCACCGTCTTGCTGTATAGCGTCCTGTAATAACAAAAAATAAATTATGAAAATTAAAAAGTCAACTGAAAAAGAAAATTTTAATATCACAAAAATGAATAGGAAAATATAGTTAAAAAAAATTCCAAGTCTCAATCGACTACTTGAACTTTGAATTTTTCTCACATAATTGGAATCAGAATATATGTAATAGTTAATGAGATTAAAAGAAAATTACCTTACAGGTCAAATAAGAATACATGGAAGACGTAGTAGATAAGAACAAATCAAAAAGATATGTTTAACCTTTCAGTTTTTCACGATTTGCTTAGCAATATTAAATCATAAAGATCGTTTTAGAGTTTGATAGTACTATGATAAGGGCTTTTACAAAGCATTCAATGAGGCGATCTCCGTTTTTAACCAGATGTTCGTAATCTACTTTCTCAGTACAAAGTTACCAATCTTGACCTATTTTATACCTTATAAGGTTATCCAATTACAAGATTAATAAGTATATATACTGTTTATAATAAAACAAGGAAATTCAGAGCTCTTATGTTATTCCTTTGGAAAACATGAACGAAGCCTCTGGGCCTAAAATGTAAATATGCTCTATATTTTTAATAAACGTAATAATACATAAAATATTATATACATATGAATATGTATTAATAGAAATTTTATATATATTATATTTATATATATATCTATAACAAAGGCAAGTCTTCTTTGACTTTTTCATAAAAGCGTTATCTATTCAATTCTCTCATTTAAAGGCTTCTGGTCGTATTTTTAGAGATTATTTTTGATAAATATTATCGTGCAAGGTCAACAGTAAAGAAGAACGAATGGTTATCGCTATTTGAAGAAGTCACTGATCTGACAGCGTAATCATGTATGATGTAGAAATCACAGTAAAAGATATTAAATCGCCTTACTATATGAACATAAGACATAGTGCTAATATAAACACTGAAAGAATTTCCTTCTCATTATTCATACATTGATTTTCCCTAAAAAAAATATCTATTTACAATTTTACAAACCTCGTCCTGGATTGTTTGTCAGTCCTTTAAATCATCAGGGGAGTCCTCGTTCGAAAAGAGCTTTTGACTCCTTATAGAATTCATAATGGGGGAAAAGGCGAATCAATTCAACGTTGCGTAATAAAATGAAAAATAGCACAGCTGATCAACAAATGCAGATAATCGAATATCTGGATAGGTGGCGTTGTTCACAAGAAAAAATTTTTTATCATCGGCCATTTTGAAGGTCAATAACTTTTGGCGGTTTATTTCAAACAGTGTATAACTCACATTATAATAATTACTTAACTTTTCAGTTTTTTGTGAGAGTAAGTTACATTTTTCAAATATAATATATACATATATATATAATAAGTAACGCATATGAACTACAATATGCAAATAACCCTTAATGATTATCTCTTATTACATAACATGTTAGGTTAATAATTGAGATTAATTTGTTTATGATTTAGTTTTTAAAAAATTCTCAATCAAATTACAAGGTTCAAGTGGTTTTTTTCAAAAAAATAAAAATCTGAACAATACTTTATTAATAATGTAAATTGGTACAAAGAGTTGTTCGTTAGAAGGATTAAAATGTATCAAAAAAGGTTTAATCGGTAAATGACATATCTTTACTGCAATTAGAAGGCATGCTGCTTTTATTCAGTGTGTTGAAGTAAGAGTGATTAAGGGCGTCCCGACAGTTGATTCTGTCTCCGGGATTGTAAACAAGCATCTTATGCAACAAGTCCAAACCTTGTTCATTCAAATGAGGACATCTATCCGCAAGGACGTCTGTATGCCACTTTGGAAATATAGATTTGTAGTCAGGAAGTTCTTCAACTCCCGGCCAGGAATCATTTGTGGGTGTCGTAAGTGTTCTACAAATTTTCAAATAATAATGATAAACAATGAGACGATTAATAATAATTTTTGTAAGGAATTTACCTAAAAATTCTTAAAATCTGGTCAATTTCTGAATCTCCCTGAAACAACGGTTTCCTATTTGACATTTCCGCAAAGATGCAACCAATTGACCACATATCAACAGGAGTTGAATATCTGGCAGACCCAAGTAAGACTTCTGGAGCTCGATACCAAAGGGTTACTACTTCGTGTGTATATACTCTTACAGGAACGCCGAATGCTCTTGCTAGACCAAAATCTGCCAGTTTAATTGCTCCATTTTTATCGATTAAAAGATTTTGAGGTTTTAAGTCGCGATGAAGAACTCGTCGTTCGTGACAGAAGAGAACACCATCAAGAATTTGGTAAAGATAGCTCTGAACAAGATCGGGGGGAAGGAGTTCGCCTTTCGGAAGAGCATCCATGTATTTCTTCAGATCCATAGTCAAATATTCAAAGACCAAGTAGATTTTATTTTCCTCCATCAAAACATCTTGTAAGCTACAAGAAATTAAATGTAAACAACCAATCGAGGTCGTAAATTATCTCAAACGTAAAGATATCGTAATAGAATTTTTTTTTAGAAGTTAAAAAGTATTTACCAAACAATGTTGGGATGTTGCAGTTCCTTAAGTAAGGAAATTTCACGAATAGCGGTACTAGGAACACCTTCGTCCTCATTTTCCAGCCTAATTTTTTTCAATGCAACAATTTCGTTTGTATGTTTATGTTTCGCTTTGTAGACAACCCCATAGGTGCCTATGACAAGAAAAAGTTGGATGAATATTCTCAAATGCTTGAATTTTTTGTAATAAAATTGTTATACGTACCCTCTCCAATTTTCTCGATTTTAGTGTAGTCGTCTATTATTCCTGACATTTTTTCTCTTCCAAATATTCTTACAGGCTACTTTCACCTCTCCAAGTGATAATTTTCGGCTATTTTGGAGTAGTTAACCAGAATATTAATGTTAAAATAATATAACGTTGAGTGTGGGCTCCAAAATTTTTGAAGTTGCCGACTGACCAATCACGCTACAGCTAAGTGGAAAAAACCGTATCGAATCAGAACTTAGATCACAAAAAAAACAGAAAAATTTTTATATATTCTTACACCATTAGAAATTAGAATAAATTCTTATTTTTCCTAATTATAATTCGAAAATGTTAATATAATTATTCAAAAAATAAATCTAACCACAAAACTGGTAATCTCAGTAGCTCGGAATTTAAAATGGATGCGAACTCAAATATCGACTCAGCGGCAAATTTCACTGAAAATTTTTCCAAAGAAAATATTAACAATGAAATTAGAAGTACAATTGACACATCGGTAATTTTATAAATTTTTGAAATCCAATGATGTCTTATTTAAAAAAAAATTGTTAAAAATATTACTTTTTTTTCAATTTTCAAACGGTTCTTTAATTTCCTTTCGTAAACATGTTGGTTCTTGTAGTGTTTCGAACAACTTTAATAAATTATCATTATTCATTATTATTTTTGTTACTGATGAATTATAAACCCAAATTAATGTGTTAATTGCTTACCATAATGACGCAACAGAGCGAAGAAGTTACTGTTCACCACGAAAAGGAAGAGACTTCACCTTTAATTTTACAAGAAACGACGTTTGAATCATGTATAAGATTTTATGGATGCCCCATTTTACCTCCAATTGTGAGTAATTCATTATCATATACTAAATGCTTTCAAGTGCTTTCGACTTCTAGTTAAGTCTCAAGGATCGAGAAGAAATGCTAAAATATAAAGAATTGGCAAAAACTGCCGAAATAAATTTAAGAAATAAAAGACGTAAGAAACTTGTCGATAAAGTAACATCGGTTTTAAATACTATAGAGGTCGGTACTCATATGAAATTTGAATATTTCCTTCAAAATTTTATTCGTTATTGAATAACAGGAAAGAAAGACAATTAAAACCTTACCCATAGAAAACCCTTCTGAGAGTTCTGATACTGAGAGTACAAGTAGCAGTGCACCAACAAGGACAAACTCAACTATTTTAAGCGACGAAAATGAAGATATTACTAATCCTAAAACTGAAAATTTAATGTCATCTGATAGCGGAATCTCATCTAAAATGCGTACAAATGAATCTAAGTCTCTAGCCAGTACTGGAGTAACACTATGTCCTGATTTAGAAGGAAGTGCCTTGCTAGCAAATGTTTCGTTACACGATGAAACGGCTTCTACGGTCTGTAGTGATAACGAGGACCAAGAAACATCTAAGAGCTTAATGATAAAACCACTTGAAAATAAAACCACGGAAGACGATGAAGAAAGTAATCACTCAACCGACTCAAAAACAAGCTATACATTAGAATCCCCTTGTGCAGCTCTGCAAGAGCAATATGAAAAAGGTCTCGTTTCTGATAATATGGATCTGGAATTAACTCACAGTTTTAGTGAGGAGAATCATAAGAGAGCAGAAAATGAGGATCAACCGACAGATTGCTCTGTAGAATTGGATGAAGAAGATGAAGAATATGTTATACCCTCGATACCTTTAAACGAATTTGAAAAACCTCAAGAAATTGTTTTAGAAAACTCTGAAGTAGATTCAAATGGAAATACTTCGAGTAATGTTTTAGATGAAGATGAACATAATAATTTAATGTGTTTAGCAGAAATGTATGCCAACCAGGAAGCGAAAGATGACAGTGAGATCTCCAATAGTGAAGTTACAGTTGATCAACCAACTTGTATCGAAAAGCTAAATGAATTACCTATCGAAAATCCAAAAAATACTAGCGAGATTGTTGCTTCAAGTGATGTAAATATTGATGATGTTGAAAGATCTGAACAAATGGCAATAGAATCAACGAAAATTGAAGAAAATGCCACTAAAAAGAATATTCCTAATTTATCCGATCAATCTCCTTGCTATCGCTTGCAACGACGGCAGTTGCTAGAGGAGGAATCTGAAATGAGGAAACAACATTTAAAGAGATATTTAGAAGAATTAAGTCGAATGCCTCTGCCAGGAGATGAAATTGTAGTTGAAAAACGAAGCGTTGAAGATCTAGTGAACTTTTTAAATTCGAAAGTTTTGGATCAAGATTTAATAAATCAAAAAGTTAATTTGCGACGACTAATTGATGATCATGACGAAATGATAAGTACTTTATCGAAATCGGAAATAAAAGAATTAGAAAACTCTCTTTTTGAAAAAATGAAAGAAAGATTATTGTCGATGAGAGATGATTTTGTAACAAGTACACCAATAGAAAATACTCCCGAAAGGCCTACAAATACCTCGAACAGACTTATTTTATCTGAAGATGAGCTCCATCGCCGTTTTTGTAAATTTTCTGCTGTTGTTAAAGGTTACCTAACTAGAAAGTTGTTGTATACTGAAAAGGTTCAGGGCTTATTGTGCACTGTTAAAGACACAGCAGATTTTGCTCTTCATTTTGAACAAGATTCTACTTTAAGAGAGCCAACAGCAGCAGAAAGAATGCTGCAAGAAAGGGTTCTTTCTCAATTGACGGCCGCTATGTACAATCTGCACTATTTGTTTATTGAGAGTTCGCCAGCTGAGAGAATGAAAACCATCAGTCTTGACAGAGAAAGAAAATTGTCAGAAAAAAAGAAACTAAGTGAGAAAAAATTGAGTACGGCAACTATAAAAAGACGATCAAGAATAGAAAGCCGAGAAGGGAAGAGTGTGAAAAGACCCAAGGCAATATCAAAAACTTTAAAGCCCACTTTATGTAAAAGTCCGGAAAAATTAGATAAAGAAGCTTTAAATAGGTATTACCCAGCCGTGAGCATAAACATATGTACTACATTGATTTTTATTATAGGAGTAAAAAAGCAGCTACTATGAGAGTTCAGAGAAAATTATTATTAGATGAAATCGAAAAAGAGTGTGCTACTTTAGCACAAACTAAGAAAAAACAACCACCATCTGGTAGGCATACTTGGAATTTTTAATTTTATTTCTATTTATTCTTCGTTTGTTTAATCTAGAAAAATCTGCCAAAAAATCAATGACGAGAAAAACTGCGTTGACAACTAAGCCAATGGTTAGACACATTGCTTCTGCGAAACGATAAATAATCTGGGAGAAGCTCCTTAAGAATTTTTAAGACATCATACTGCCATTTTCATTTTCAAAACTGAGATTATAGTTAAAACAAAAATTGTATTAATACTAATAGCTTGTTTAGTATATTCTTTATGATTGGATAGTTTAAACTTTCGAATTTTAAGTGTACGAAAATAGATGGCGCCACATTACCAACCGGCCATGTTGTACAGGAAGCAGTTTACGACGACGTCTGCTTTAACGTAGAACTGATTGGAATTTTGTTTCTACATTCCATTGAAAATGCGACAATTAAAAGGTCAAGTTAAGGAAAGCCGAAAAGAAAAAAGACAGAGGCGGAAAGAAAACCTTGAAAACAAAAGTAAAGTGATTTCCATAGTTCTTCCAGTTATTGTAGCCATCACTGCAATTTGCATCGGAATCGTATACTTTGGAACAAGACCTAAAGCTATTGCTTAACACGGCTCAAGTTATTTCCTCAATATTATTGACATCTATTTTAAAAAATAACTTTGCAGTTAATAAATCTTTAAAAAAATATAACAATCGTTTTGACTAGATTTTAAAAAGTTGTATAAATATTTAGTCAAACTGCTGAAGCTTTGGCGGTAGTTTGTAAATCAAGCAATTTTTGAACTGTTCGACACAATTCTAAGGGTTCTTTTTCTTCTAAAATCACAGACGCGGGGCATATAAAATCCTGTAAACAGAAAGTAGAACTAGAATTTCTTAGAAAAATAGGTTATCTTTAGGTTCTATGACATACCTCACTAACGCCAATTCTACGGCATGCGGTTAAAAAACTATTGACATTTTTCTGGCACTTGGCAGTTGGTAATTCAGTGTCGACGACAGACGGAACGTGAACACGATCAATTGAATGAGGCCATATTTGATTGGCTAAATGGCATAAAATAACGCCATCTCTTAAGGCTGCAGTTATATTTTCTGGAAGTTTACATTTTAGGTGTTCCTCCATCATCCTTCGAGTTCTATAAAGTTCACTCTGACGTAACACAGCTTGTTTTTCGTGTCGTTGTATTGTGAAATTCGAAGGTTTCCTATCTTGATTTGGAGATGGTGTTTGATCTTTGGATAGCATTTGCGTATGAAATCCATTATTATTCTCTGGCGAATAATTTTTAACCGGGGATATCTGATGAACGTTTGCTGACGATGAGTAAGCAACAGATCTTCTGTTTACAGAGGGAGAGGTTTGAAGATCTGCCTTGTACGACGGTATTGAACTTGCAGAGTTAGACGAAGACTTGCTGTCATCGTGGAATGAGTAGGTAAAATTCCTGTGACCGCTGAATAATCAAATATTTAGAAAAGGTATAAATTTATAAGTCGGTAAGTCTAGGTATACTTTTGCATATTTGGACTATTCTTTGGTGTGGAATCCGGTGACGTTTCCGGTGTAGTTAAACCAGAAACGGAAGAACTTCGGGAACTAGAAAGTTGGGAAACAGTCCGCGGGGGAGGTTGAGGTCTGGCAGACGAAGAACTTCTTCGAACCAGCTCAGGCTTCCTTTGTGTTACAGGAACACATTCGGGTAAGGAAAGACTGGATATTTGTGATTGCTGTGAAAGACTGGATATCGTCCTGAAAAAGTTATATAAATTGATTGTTAACAGTTTATCGGTGTATCCAAGCTCTTACTGATAACAGATCAGTACATTCTATAAATGCAATATAATATATTGCGTGCTATTTATAATGCTAATAATTTTATAACTTACGGGAATGAACTTGAATGTCTAAATTGTCCTTTGTTTCGGCGTGTTTCCTCGCCAAGTTCCCTCTTTCTTTCTCTATTAAGACTTTTTACAATATGCTTCCATCCTTTTTTGGCAATGTCCGCAGGTGGTTGTTTTAATGGGTTAAAATTTAGATTAATGCATTCAATATTCATCGAAGCCATTTCGAATGGTAACTTTTCAATTCTATTCGATGATAAGTCTAGTTTTGTTAACTTTAGTAAGCTAATTGTCACAGGCAGTAGAACAATCTTATTTGATCTTAAATTTAATATCTTCAAGTTCTCACAATGCTTTATCGTATCAGGCAAAAACGATATTTCATTTGATGAGCAATCCAAGTAAGTCAAACTACTTAAAAAAACAATCTCTTCTGACAGAGACACTAAATTGTTGTTCGACAAAATTAATATACTTAGGCACTTTAGATTTCGCAAACAAGTTTCCGGAAGACAGTCCAGTTTGTTATATGATAGATTTAAGCTTGTTAAACAATCTAACAGGGAAAGATCAGGTAAAGACCTGATATTATTATGTGAAGCATCGAGTTCTTCTAAATATGTGTATTCTAATATTTTTTTCGGCACTTCCGTGTACATGTTATCCGAAATATCTAAAACAATCATGATTAACAGTTCCGTAAAGCTGGTAATTGATAGATCGCATTCACTTACCACATTTTACCGTGTCTAACAGATCTCCTTTTTGAAAAATTTTTGGATAGTCTATCAATTTTCTTCCATTTAATTTGATTTCACCAGTTGAGACTGCTTCTTCATAAATTTTCTCAAAATATCGATTCTTTTGATGATTCGCGCCCGTTGGCCGACGGCTGGCAGCCATCTTTGTTTTGATCTAAGCGCATGCGCCCAAGTGATACAAAATTGCCTGTATAACAATAACGGTGACCAATCACCATCTACCACTAATAGAGAACTAAAGATATAAAAGCCTATATTCGTATTTTGTTGGAAAAAGTATCGAAAAAAACTAAAAAAGTAGTATTTTTCCAAAAGATACACTATGTCAAGTTAAGCAAAAGTGTTTTTTTTAAAATTTATTTTCTTAATATTTGCAACAAAATGAAAAAGAAAAGATAGAAATAAATAACCTACTTAAATAAAAATAAAAAATGTAAGGAAAATATAAATCAATTAAGATTAGTATCTTTTTTTTATTTATATTAAAGATTTATTTATTTTATATTCTCAAACGTTTTCAAAAAATTTCGAAAAGTGAATACTTCCGTTAAATCTGTTGTGTCTTTTGTTTTGTTTTGTTCTCTTCTGTTTATCCATTTATTTTATATTATATTTATATTTTTATATTTATATTTACACGTGTAAAGAAAAAAACAAAGACTTTATATTTTTTTCTAAAACTCCATTCCAAAAACATTTTCGCCAATCTTCACAGCATACAACACCGTCATTAAATTTCAATAAGGGTTGTATAGAATTTGCACATAATTTGCATAGTATAAGTCTTTCTTTAAATATCAATTCTGGTTATATTTTTCTTGTAAAAACTGCTTTCATCTCGAATTACCAAACCATCTGCCATTTTTTTTAAAAAAAATAGAATAAACATAGTTTTTAATAGGAATGATTTATTTCTTATTATTTTATCTTTTTAAGCCTACCTGCTAATCCATCATCTGTTATGTTTATTGAATCATCGTAGATTGGAGAAACTCGATCTACAGGCGCAATGAATAATCTTCTTCTGGACTTTGACTTTGTAAGTCCTCTCCCTCCCTTTCCAGTTGGTGGCCTTCGCCATGGTAATCTAAACTTTTTAACTGATTTAGGTCTGATCGCTGCTGCGGCTGCTGTTGCTGTTACTGCCGATGTCGTAGCAGCTATTGCTGCTGTAGCTGTCTCATTATTGACAGCTGACTCCTCGTCAACGTCAGCCATAGTTGGTTCATCTTCTGCCATTTGTCGAAAATCGAAAAGTGTATTCTTTTTTTCAACCTTGACTTGTGCCGGTTTGGTAGGCTGTTTAAGAGTTCCCTTTAGTGGTGGAAGAGTTTTTGGCTTTTTAAATGGCTTCTTCTTCGCCGTTGGTTTATTAGATTTTTTCTTTTCCGTTTTAGGCTCTTCTGCAGGGGGTGGTGGTACAAGAGGTGCAGCACCTTCAGTCACATCCGAATGAACTTCTACTTTTTCTTCTATTGGTGAATTGTTGGATTGTTCAACAGCCTTCGACTCCAGATAGGCTACATTTGAAGCCGAAGTCATGGCGGCAAGTATCGAAGATCCTTTCGGTTGAGACATTGAAGCTTCGACAATAATTTCATCTTTTTCATCTTCCAATATTTTATCAGCGGCTGTCTTGTTCTTCTTCTTTCGTTTGCAAAATTTCCATATACAAACAACCAACACCACAACTAGTAGAGCGGCTAATATAGCTGCTACCGGCACTGTTTGGATAAATATTATTTATTAAGTGGACGTAAGATGTCGCTACGTATAATTAGTGTTAAATGAGACGATTAGCTCTAATCTTATTACAAGGATCAATTGAATCGAAATGGTAAAAACAAAGCAATTGTCTTTCCTCATAATATAGCTTTTATAAAAGCCCTTTATATCATTCATGACTGTTATAGGAATAGAAAACAATTAAATTATAGGCCTATAAAAACTAACCGGCCCATGGATATTTGCAAACAAAGATCGTGCATATAGGCTCCACTCTTTTGCCACCTGTTGAAATATTTATCGCTTTAGATAAAGTTTCAATAATTAATGGTCCTCCCTCCCGCTTCATTTATCTTTTTGTTTAAAGCTTACCTAAGATACAAACGTGATCTGCATTTTCTTCGTAATCTTTGATACACGAGCATTTCCCATCCGTTGTACATTCAGCATTAGGATCTAATTCCAAACAAATTGAAGAGGAATTGCAGAAAGTTGAATTCAAGGGTAATTTTTCACAAAATGAACCATTCTGATTTTTAGTTGGTTTATACGCCTTTTGACATTCACATACACCGTTTATACACTCCGAATTTTTCACTGGACAGGCATGTGTCGAATTGCAGTATTCATATGTTAAAACATTTGTACATTTGCAGTTTAATAAATCATTTGTCTCCTGACAGTCTCTCCGGCAAATACATTTGCCATTAGAACAGCTGGAATTTGAAGCAAATGGAAAACAATCTCTTGCTGTTTCGCACGGAATATCTTTCAATTTCTTTCGATAGCAGAATTTCCCCGTCGAATCAAATATATAACCTTTAATACATTGACATTTACCCTCCGTACATTGGGCAAATGTTGATAAAATCTGACATTCAGAGTTTTCAGAACAAGTTGAATTTTCAATTGTCCTCCTTAAACATTGCGTTCTCTCTTTATTCGGACTATGTGTTTGCGGACAAACACAAAATCCATTGAGACAAATAGAATTAGGTAGTGTTGCGCAATGTGAGTTTTGATAGCAGTCGAGAACATTAACTTTATTAGATCTGCAGGTGAGCCTATTAGCGCTGAGAGCATATCCAGACTTACAACGACACTTTGATTTAGAGAGGTCACATTCGCTATACGATATAACTGAGAGGCAATCTTGATCTTTTTGACACCCAATAGCCGGTATTATAATACGTTTACAAGAAAAGTCTATAGTTTCATAGCCATGTCTGCATATACAAATAGAATCATTACAATAGGAATAGGTGATCAGGGATTGGCATATAGCAGTACTAGTACAACTGGCATTTCCCGGTTTGGCCCTTATACACGAATCACTTGTTGGATTCCAATGTTGATATATACAAGAACATTTCCCCCCGTCACATATAGTATTTGGGATATGTTGACAATCTTCATTAACCGTGCACGATGAGTCTATTGTCTTCAGCTTGCATTCGCTACCTATCTGCTCATAGGTTTGTTTACATTTACATTTATTTTCCGAACAAATTGAGTTCGGTAGTGTGGAACAGTTGCTAGAGTGAATGCAAAAATCTCCTAATGCCCATTTAGAGCAATGCGTAGAATTATCCATTCTAAAATCAGGTAGGCACCTGCATATGCCGGCAGAACAAATAGCATTTGTTAAGCCAAGACAATCGAATGTACTTAAACAATGTCTAAATAAAAGTCCGCCCAGTTTGCATTCTCCACCTTCCGCGTAATAGCTTGTTGCGCATATACATTTATTGTTCGAACAAATTGAATTTGTTATTACGGCTGAACAATCCTTATCAACTAGACAATGATCCGATAGGCTCCCTATTAGAGATAAAAAAAAGTGCATTATTTCAAAAGCTTAAAAAAGACAAGTGCAAAACTTACTCTTTGAACATACTGTACCAGAGCTGAGGCTCTTGTAACCGTCGTTACAAATGCAACTATTATTGAAGCAATGGCTATTAGTAATTGATGTTGAACAATCAGCATCATTTCGGCATCCACTATCACCAATTTTCAATTTTTCACAAGAATTTCCCACACTTTTATAGCCTACTTTACAAGCACAACTTCCCGACGAACACTCAGAATTCCCGCCTGTGGCCACCTCACATTCGGAGGAAGATGTACAAGAATCACCAAGGTTTTTGATTATACAACCATTCAATTCAATTTTATATCCAATTTTGCAGACGCACTTCCCTTGAAAACAATAAGAATTTGAAATGAGTTTACAATCAATGTCGGTCGAACATTGATCGTTCAATTTCCTTTCTTCGCAGATTTTTCCATTTATAGTTTTATAACCGTCTAGACATTCGCATTCCTTTTTAGTGGAGGAACATTTAGTGAAATTCAAAACAGAATTACAGTCATTATTCTTTGTACAGGAGTCATTTAGAGTTCTTATCTGACACGATGAATTCGAAGCGATCGGGAAATGTCCAATTTTACATTGACATTGACCACCAGCGCACTCGCTGTTAGCAATGTGGACCTGACATTCTGTATCTGTTGTGCACTGGTCACCAGTTTTTAATTCTTTGCACTCCTTACTCAGAACTTTATAACCGAATTGACAATGACAAAAGCCTCCGTCACAAGTGCTATTAGTTATAACAGCATTACAGTCGGTATTCAAGGAGCAGGAATCATTTAATTGCCCTTTACAAGAAAGGAAAAAAAAGCATATTGTATATTAGGTATATTGAATTTTTCGTATACATATATACTGAATATATATATATATATATTTCCTTGAATGTAATTAATATGTAGTCATTTGCAGCATTAATACGTAAAAATCATTAAATAACTATAGTTGGTCAATGGACTGAAATATATATATATATATATATATAAAGCGTTCGAAGACAGTAGCACATTAATAAAATGAAATGTCAAATAGAAGAAATTAAAAAAAAGACAAAAGAACAAATTACACTCTTTGGTTTTAGTAGGCGAATTTAATATTATGTTTTGTCTTGTATACCAAATCAAGCAAAAGATAAAATCTATTCGTGCAGCATGAATAAATCATACCCATAGCGACTATACTGCAAAATAGTGATCATGCAAAAGCATAACTTGAAAGGGAATTTACTATAGGTGGGCATTGAAAAGTAATCTTCATGCAATTTCCTTACTTATTACGCATTCCTTTCCGCTATTGAGACTTTTAAATCCGAGTTTACAACTGCAAACGTTGTTTAGACATGTACTATTTCCAACTGCAAAGCTACAATCTGGATTTGATTTGCAAGAATCGTTAACTTTTCTTAATGTACAATTAGTTAAATTAAGGCTTGTATAATATCCAGTTTTACAGGAACATGTTGAATTAGCGCATTCGGTATAGTTAACCGCATTGTTGCAATCGGTGTTCAATTTACAAGAATCACCAATTTTTCGAAGAACGCATGTCTCGTTAATTGAATTAGAATAAAAACCACTCGTACATTGACAAGATGAATTTGAACATATACTATTATTAACTGCTAAACTGCAATCGTCAAATGTTGCGCAACTATCACCAATTTTCCTTAGGATACAACTAGAATTCTTTTCATTCCTATATCCTTTAGAGCATTCGCATGTAAAGCTAATACATAGGCTGTTATTAACTGCTTTGTTACAGTTTTCGTGATTCTTACATTTATCGCCTATTCTTCTCATACTGCAAAATGATTCATTCCTTTGACTGAATGCAGTGTCGCATTGGCAAGATCCATTATTACATAAGCTGTTATTAACTGCAAAGTTGCAATCATTTAAAGTTTTACATTCACTCTCAAGTTTTCTTAATGAACATTCCGTATTTTGTTTAATCGATAAATATCCAATTTTGCATTCGCAAGTTTTATTTGAAGAGCATATACTATTTTGAACGGCAAAACTGCAGTCTTCTGATATAGCACAGGAATCACCAATCTTTCTAAGTTTACAAAACGTTCCGCTTGATATTGAATAAAATCCAGTTGCACATTTGCACACATTATTTAGACAAGTAGAATTATCCACTGCAAAATTACAGTCATTCTTCCACTTGCAAGAATCTCCTATCTTTCTTAAAGCACAGTTCGATAGTTGAGAATTGGCAATATAACCGATTTCGCATGAACAAGAGCTATTCGTACAAATACTGTTATTTATAGCCTTTTGACAATCCGATTTCCAAAGACAATAGTCTGAAATTTTCCTTAGAATACAGGAATCGTTAAGACCACTTTGATAAAATCCTTCAGCACAATGACAGGTAGTATTAACGCAAATACTGTTGTTTACAGCAAAACTGCAATCTTCAATATTCTGGCAAGTATCGCTAATTTTCCTCAGAATACACTTGGTATTTTCTTCATTCCTGTAACCTTTGTTACAAGAGCAAATATTTCCCAAACAAATACTATTATTAATAGCAAGGTTACAATTTTCTTTAACTTGGCATTGATCTCCAATTTTTCTCAATGAGCATATAGAGTCGTTTTTCTCTATGAATTCCGTTTTACAGTTACAAGTATTATTCAAGCACAAGCTATTGTTAATCGCAAGACTACAATCTTGTAATTTGGTACACTTATTTCCCAATTTTCTTAAAATGCACGTTGTATTGGCGTTAATTGAATGGAATCCTAGAAGACATTCACAAGTTCCGTTATCTGAACAATGACTATTTTCAATTACGCTATTGCAGTCTTCATTTTTTGTACATTTGTCACTTATAGTTCTTTTAACGCAGCTGGAATTTTCATTATCTGCCCGATATCCAGTAACGCAATTACATGTAGTATTTACGCATGTACTGTTTTGAACTGCAAGGCTACAGTGTTTATCTTCCGAACAATTATCGTTAATTTTCCTCAGATTGCATTGGGTTTTGTCAATGTTTGAAATAAATGCAGTATTACAATTACAAGTTGAATTTGAACATGTACTATTAATTATAACTGCGCTGCAATCATCAGAATTGGAGCAACTATCGCCCACTTTTCTCTTGAAGCATTGACTTCCGTTTGTATTTGAATAGAAACCTGTTTGACAGGTACAGATTCGATTTATTGAGCATTTACTATTAGATATTACTAGCAGACATTCAGCGTCTGATGCACAGCCATCGCCAATAGTTTTTTCAGAGCAGCTTTGATTTTGAAATGGTTTAAAACCTTTATCGCAAGAACAACTTCCATTTAAGCATGAGGTATTGAGTAAAGACTTTGGACAATTTTCGTCAACTGTACAAAAATCACCTAGCTTGCGCAAAACGCAATTAGACGCCGTAACGTTTTTATAGCTGATATTGCATTGGCATTTACCAAATTGACAGACAGTATCATTCATAACTGAATCGCAATCAATATTCGAAGAACAATTGTCATTCAATTGCCTTCTATGACAGATAGTTAGGAGGGTATTTTCGTAATGACCTATATTACATTTACATTTGTTCGATTCGCAACTGGAAAATTGTACAGATGTGGAGCAATCTATACTTTGATCACAAGAATCTTTTATCCTGTAAGGAACGCATTCCGTATGATCCAGAGATGAATAAAATCCGATTAAACAATCACATTTTGATGTATTGCAGAAGCTATGTGAAACAGCGAAACTGCAGTCCGTATTCAAAGTACAGGAATCCCTTACTTTTCCTGAAATGGTAAACTATATGCTAACAAGCATAATAACTTATCAAAAATGTGCTCAAAAGCTCTTTTCCACTTTTTGGGGGATTTGTGACTCAAAACAGGAAATAAAAATAAAAAGAACCCACACACATCTATGTAAAAAAGTAATTGACATGAACTTATAAAACGTATAAGAACTTACGTTTTATGCAAGTGTCCAAGGCAGCATTAACGTAGAATCCGGGGTTACAAGTACATTTTGAGCTTGTACAATTGCTGTTGTTGAACGCAGCACTGCAATCGATGTTTTCAACACAAGCGTCGCCATACTTTCCTGAAGGAAAGTTATAGAAATTTTTTAAACGTCTTCTCAATTGTGTTTATAAATTATTAAACTTTACTTTTAATACAACTGTTTCCGTCTGAGCCAACATAAAAACCAGCCTTACATTGACAAGTTGACGTTTTGCAGAAAGAATTATCGACAGCGTCTCCACAGTCAGAATTGATGGAGCAGGGATCTCCCAGACGTCCTATATAATTAGTTATTAGTATTAAAGTGATTATATAATTGCTTAAAACTTACTTAGAGTACAAACAGTATTCTTATCATTCACCATATAGCCAGATAAGCATTCGCATTTATTATTCTTACAAACAGAGTTTGATACAAATTCAGGACAATCACAACACCAACTTGATCTACACTCTGTACCTATCCACTTTTCTGAGGAAAATATTAATAGAATATTTTTCATTATCATACGATTAAACCTACTTTCGTCGTCTTTTGAGCCACCACAATCCGAAAAGCCATCGAGTACATATGATAGAGTTGTACATCCTCCACTTGAACAGGAAAATCTACCTGGAGCTGTACAGGGACTTGAAACTTCATCGTTGTTATTAATACAATCTCTTACTCCATCATTTCTCTTAGAAGAAGCAATACAAACATTTGTTTCGCACTCGAATTCATCAGCTTGACACGCGCATTTTATCGTTGGAAGGAGGATGACTAAGGAAATAAATGATAAGAAATTAAGTTAAGTTATCTTATAGAAAACAAAATCAACTTAATAACCTTTTACAAGTAAGATAAAGAGAAAATTCTGAAACATAGTCGACGGCGACGTCGCAAAGAAGTTCTTTAAAAGTCCAAACACCTCCTTCTAAGATAATGTTGTCTGAATAAAAACTCAATGAGAAATAATTGGTGAAAGCTCTTTGAATAAATCACATAAAATTGTTGAATAATAGACACCAATTATTGAAATCATCAACGACACGAAACGTTCAGCGTCGCTTAAGCGACTGACGTTTCTTTTTCTATTATTTCCTTTTCAAAACGCCGACTTTTACCTAAGCGTATAAAACACTCGATAAGTTCTTGTTCAGCCCGATGAACATTTGCTTCTTTGTTCTTTTTTTTTTGTTTTACTGTTCGATTTATAAGTAGGCTTATAAACTTCTATAAATCTTCATAACGTTTTTAGAGGGCTTATTAATTAGGAATATAGCTTGTCAAAGAATGAAAGAAATTACTTTTGTATATGAGCTTCTATTTGTTACTAAAGGTACTAAAGCCAAAAATCTTATCATTCATTAATTTACTTATCAGAATAGGTTAAATAGAATTCAAAAAATGGGATTTAATGATGAATATTCTGTAAGTAATTCATAAGACACAAGCATAGTGATATTACAGTATAATAAATGCAACTTAAATTTGGGACACAGTGCAGTCAAATATTCTTAATCTTCTATCTTTTGTATTTTGTTTTATTGTTTTTGTTCAAAAAAACAAAATATTACCACATGAGTCAGTTGTACACCATGACAACCGTTAGAAAACTTATAACGAATCATGACTGTGACCCACAAATTTATGATTTTAAATTATTCATTTCAACTCTGTTTTTTTTTCTTTCTTTTGAATCTTATCGTAAGCTTGAATTAAAACATTATTTTATAAGCCTATAATGGACCCATAATTTAGATAAAATATGATTTCGTTAAATTTAAGTTATCGTGATTAACGAACGTAATTTTTAAATCATTAATTTCGTGTATTCAATCTCCTTGACTGAGGAATTCAACAAACTGTCTTGCGAATTATCTTGATAAGATAGAGTGAAAGATATGAAACATTATGCTTGGCCTTAATTATTTTTAATCCAATCATGTAATATTGTCTTGTAGGTTGGCAAAAAAGTAAAGTTCCAGCACTGGTATCTAATTTCTCTATTTCAAAAGGCATGCATCTATTAACAAGACAATTAATATTTAATTATCATTTCTTAATTATTAAAAATAGAAGGCATTTGAAATAGGACCATCTCCCTTTGAGATTATGGAATTCTTTACAGTGTAATCGACCTGTACTATGCTATCATTGATAAACGTCATACCCTCAAAACATTTGTTATCTTCAAATCTTATCATCGATAACGAAAGAAAAGCAAAATATAAGCGAAAACTTTTACTCAGACATTTGACCGACGAGAAAAGAAGTTGCACAGGTTTAAACAGAAGATAATCTAAAAAAATTATCTATGTCGGGTAGCTCTGGTATTTCGTGGGAGTCCCTCTCCTTGAGTTTTCGGAGTGGGGTGGAGACATTTGCATCGGCTGGAGGATCGGGAGTTAAATCCGTAAAAATCGGTGCGGCGGATATTACGACAATTGTCGCCTACTTCGTTTTTGTAATGGGAGTCGGGCTTGTAGTAAGTAGAGCATGAGTGCAAATAATAATAATAAAGAACAATAAATAAAAGGAAAAGTCGAGCCTAATTAAATTTCTCATTTTTGATCTTTTCAGTCAATGATCGGAGTCGATACATCGTCGGAAGAAGGCTATTTCCTTGCTGGTAGATTTATGACGTGGCTGCCCGTTGGTGCTTCTCTCTTCGCAACAAATATAGGTTCTGAACATTATGTTGGCTTGTCGGGCTCTGGGGCTGAAGCTGGTATCGGTGTTGGTGCATTCGAATTGAATGCTCTCCTTTTACTGCCACTATTGGGTTGGGTATTTATTCCAGTCTATATGGCATCGGGAGTGGGTACTCTACCAGAGTATATGACCAAAAGATACGGTGGACAAAGAATCAGAATGATGTTATCAGTTGTATCTTTAGTTATGTACATATTCACAAAGAATTCAGTAGATATGTACTCTGGTGCTTTATTTATTCAACAAGCGATTGGTTGGAATCTTTACCTTTCGGTTGCACTCCTTCTGGCTATGACAATCCTCTCAACTCTCACTGGAGGATTGGCTGCGGTTATCTACACGGATACCCTCCAATGCGTAATTATGATTTTAGGAGCCCTGGTTCTATTCATTTTGGGTATTGTTAAAGTTGGAGGATTTGAGGCCCTGTATTACAAATATCCGAGAGCTGTTGCGGAAGAAACCGCTCAGTCTATCGCGAAGGGTTACACTAATCTCACCTGCGGCCTTCCACCTAAAGATTCTTGGCAAATGATGAGAAGACCTGGCGATCATGAAATGCCATGGGCTGGTTTTGTATTTGGTCAAACAACATCTTCTTTATGGTATTGGTGCGCAGATCAAATGATGGTACAAAGAGTTCTCGCCGCTAAAAATTTGTCACACGCTCAAGGTGGTTGTCTATTTTGCGCTATTATCAAGATAATCCCCATGTTTGCCATGGTTATGCCTGGTATGATTGCCAGAGTTTTATATCCGGAAGAGATAGCTTGCGCATCGAAAGAAGCTTGTCAAGAGTTTTGTGAGAACGATTACAGTTGCTCCAACATTGCTTATCCTAAATTGGTTTTGGGACTTATGCCAGCAGGTTTACGAGGTTTCATGATTGCGGTTATGCTTTCAGCCACAATGAGTGACTTGAGTTCAACATTCAATTCGGCCAGTACTTTATTCACAATGGATCTCTACAAACACCTCAGGAAGAAGGCCGGTATCAAGGAACTTATGATTGTCGGTCGTATTTCTGTTGTTTTAGTCGTAGGTGTTGGTATTGCTACGATTCCTCTTATTCAAAAGTTGCAAGGACCTCAATTATTTACATATATCCAGTCAATTACAAATTATATCTCTCCATCAATCGCCGCCATTTACCTTGTAGCAATTCTATGGCCGAGGTCAAATGAAAAGGGAACATTTTGGTCATTGACTATTGGTTTTGTTATTGGCGTAATTAGAATGATTCTGGGTTTCGTTTTCCGGGCACCAAATTGCGCTGAAGACGATACCAGAAATCCATTTTTCAAAATACATTACATGTACAATGCCATTGGTATATTTTGGATTGTAATCATTATAAATGTGGTACTAAGTCTGGCTACTGAAGCACAAGACAAAGAAAGAACGATTAGAACTATGTTCTTCACAAGATACGATAGAACATTGAGATCGGATGAAATCCCTGAAGACGATGAACCAGTATCTAATGTGGTCGAAAGTAGCGGAATCGTTGATAAAAGTAAGTGATTCATTTTTGTTACCCTATAACTATAATAAGTGGGAATATTTACTTCCTTTACAGTCGAAATTGATGTCAAACCAGAGAAATCTGTAGGCAAACGAATTTATGATTTCCTGTGCGGTATTCAAGATGAATCGGAGATTGTAAAAAGAACCGCAAAGGAAAAATTAACAACGTTGTTAGAAAGTACATCAATCAATCAGAAGAGACACGAAAGAGTCCTATTAAGTATAGGAATGATATTCACTGCTGTGATCGGAGTCTTCCTCCTTCTATTTTTCACAGTCCCTTTCGATACAGAAGGAAGAGATCCAACATATTATGCCTGGACTTAAAACAAACAAACAAACAAACTGTCTTTTAATGTCAACGGTAAAAAAAATTTATTTGTTTCTTCTTCTCTACATATACCAAAAAACACTGTTTAAATAAGAATCGCATAATATATACGCATATATACAGATATTATATACTGTATATACTAATTAGAATGATATATATTAGTATATATAGATTATAAAGAACCTTTTTTTACTAAAAGAAGAGTAATTTTGAAATGACTATCTGTTATATTTTATGCTTAACCTAAAAAACGTCCTCTTTTTTTATCCCTCCCTCCTCTTTCTTCTTTGTACATATGTACTGGATATATAATTTTAAAAGAGTAATGTTATGTGTTATGTAATAAAAGCAAAAAAAAGATGAAAGAATGTGATTAATTTGTACGATTTCAGGAATACCATTTTTTTTTTGATAAAAAATGTTACTTCTGAAAAAAGTGACATCAATTTACCTAGAAAATGTTCTAATTAGTTGGAATGTTATCAATAATTATCAATTTATCTTTATATAATAGAGCTTGTATATATAATATGCATTTATATATGTATGTACGAACATATATTTGATATAAATTCATTATTGTAGTAAAATTCATGAACTTTGTTTTCTAGACCTTAAGATTAAAATGTAAAAGAATGATGGTTAATCTAAAACATTGAAGGAATGCTAATTAATAGTTTGCAATCTGTAACATAGATAAACATCTTTATGGGAAATTTTTATCAAATGCTTTGAAAAGTGTTAGTAATTGGGACGAAACTGTATTCATTTTTTTATTTAAACATAATTACACTTGAAAAAACTGCGATAATTAACCCAAGCTGGCGCCAGATGGCGATTTAGTCGCATCTGTCAATGAATCGAAAATTATGATGGTGAATTTATAGTTAATTACAAAAATTTCCGTCACGTGGGATGTCAGTGTAAAAGCGAAGAATGTGTTCGTTTAAACAATAACGTCCCATTTTTATATAATATATATAAATATATATTTTATACTCTCTTTATCAAATTATTAAATATATAAATAGATATTAAAATGCTATTAAGATATCTAATTTCAAGTTTAATATTCCCTAAATATTATTATAACCAATAGTTTCATAAAAATACCATATAATAACTTCCTGTTGTTTAAAGAACTTCTCATAGAAACAAAACTTTAAGGTAAGTAATCATGACATTGTGAAAAATCGGCAACACCGATGGGTTTAACGTTAATCAATAATATCGCTAAAATCAGAGCTGTTTGAACGTTTCCATAGTCGCGATGAGGGTGCTTGTGGTATACGCTCATAATGAAAAGAAGAGTTTTAACCATGCCCTTCTCGATTCGGCTATTAGGACACTTGAAGAAGAAGGTCATAATGTTACAGTGTCTGATTTATATGAGCAAGAATTTGATCCGGTGATATCAAGGAAGGATTTTACTCCAGAATACGAGATAGATCGAAGAGAACATGTAAATTACGCTCTAGAATATGGAAAGGCCTGGAAAGAAGGTAGGATTGACAAAAAAATTGTGAGAGAGCAAGAGAAATTAGATGAAGCCGATTTGGTCATTTTTCAATTTCCTATGTTCTGGATGTCAATGCCTGCAATATTAAAAGGGTGGTTTGATAGGGTTTTTATTGAGAATTACGCTTTTGGAGAAGGTGGAAAATATTACGACACTGCCCGATTTTCGGGTAAAAAGGCTTTAATCAGTATAACAACTGGAGGAGGGAGAGGATGGTTCACGGATCACAGTCCAAATGGAGACATTAATGTTATCTTATGGCCTATACAAGTAGGTATAATTGACGTATGTCTCAAATCTATAATATTTTATCTCCTTTAAAGAGTATTACCTAAATGATAAGAGATATAGTATATCACCTGATCTTAAGGAGATTTAGGTTAGAATAATATATATATATCTATATTTATGCGTATAATTAATTAACAGAATGGAATTTTACGTTTCGTCGGCTTTGACGTATTGGCCGCCCAAGTTCACTACGCAGTTGAAACAGCAACTGAAAAAGAGAGGCAATTAATACTATCGGGTTGGACGAAAAGATTAAAGAGGCTAAGCGAAGAAAAACCAATTGAATTCGTATCTCTGTCACAATACGAATACGAAGACGCATCAAAACCAATACAAGGAATGCGATTAAAGGAAAAAACACTTGACCAGAACGCAGACTCTGGTTTCGGTTTAACTGTTGGCCAGCATTTAGGCAAGCCCATACCGCCAAATTCATTGATATATAACAATAAAGTTATTGAAAGCTAATATGCAACCCCAACTATACAACTAAACATTTTATAATATTCCTAAAATATTCGTACAAAAAAATGTCTAATCTCTTAAAACTTATCTATATAAATAATCACATGATAAAAAAATGTAGCTGTTAAAAAATTATTGTCAAAGGTAGAGAAGTAGAGAGAGAGTTTAAAAATAATCATCTACTCTTATTATTAGATTATTGGCTATATTGTTTATATAGGAAAAATATTGTTGTGCATATTGTATAAATATATATATATATATATTAGATATATTTTTATTCAATAATAAACTAACTCCATCTATAATACAAATTGAAAAATAAATAGAAAATATTGGTGATAAAAAGGAAAGATATTTTAATTAGACTTAGTAGAATATCTTGTAATATAAAGGGAAAATAAAATTAACATGTCACATGATTTTGATGAACTTGCACTATTTTAATTAACAACAGGAAATTATTGACAAAATCCCAACCGACTTACTTAGACCTTTAAGTGCATGAAATTATTGCTTTTTTAGCATAAAAAACACTTATTTAATGTCACCAAATCTTAATAAGTGTCAATATCTACATTTAAATTTAAAAAAAAAAGAAAAAAAGGAAAGAACTTCGTGTTTTATCTAATTTGGGTAAACAGTTTACTTTCTTAGTGACAATTACTCAATTTTCAATAGTTTAATTGATGTCTAGACAATTGTTCCTCTGTCAAAAATATTCTTTACTACTGTAAATACATAGTCAAATGTTAATAGTTGTTTGTCTTCGATTACGTAATTATCTTTGTTAATTATTTTATCCAACCACAGAGCAGATTTTTAGTTCAATCTATTGCGTATATACATATATAGACGGTTAGAAAGAGTTCAGATTGATAGTATGAGAGTTTCAATTAAGTGAGATAACAAGAAAGTTCATTCTCTGATTTAAAGAGCTCCCTTCAAATCAAAAGATAGTATAGAAAACTGGTAATTCTTCTTCATAAAAGCCACGTCGCTATAGAGATAACAGAAAAAAAAAGACGCCTATCCTCCGTCTGAGGGCGCTGTTTTAGATGAGGATAGTGTTCATCAAATAGAACGACAAATGATAGATAAAGTGGAAAATTACTCAAAGCCAAAAGACGTATAAACGAGGAACTTAGATTTTAATTTAAGAGATTGATTTGCAACTCAGAATTATGCAACCGTTTGTTATTGTTAGAAGACATAATATTCAAAACTCAATGGTGGATTTTGTTCTCAAAGAAGTGTCTTTACGGTTAAATGGTACCGAAATAAATGGCCGACTTCCTTCATTCGTTTGTAGAGAAACCGAAGGTCAAGTTTGGGAGAGAATAAGGCAAAAGTATGGATTTGATTGGGATGTGTATTTAAGGAAAGCGGATGATGATCAATTTTGGGATTTAGAAGTACGACCGCCAAATAGTTTTAATAGTTATTTAGAATTGCACTTAAAAGACTACGTAATCATAGTTACGGCCTAAACAAAACATACTTGAATACTCGTGTGGAAGAGTATTTGATTTTTACTTGAAATAAGAGAAATGATCTTCAAGATGAGGATAAATCAACGACGATTGGTATTTTCCCAAGATTATTTCAACTATAAATGTTTAACTCTCATTTGCATACATTCAGGATATTTACCTTTTATTTATCATTCTCATGTTCTTCTCATTATGTCTTTTCAATATTTTGTATAATAATAAATTATTCAAGTTTAATAGAAAAATTACAATTGTTCTTAATCTTTCACCATAAAAAAATGAGAATCTTCACTTTCCGCGTCTTCCAATATTTTTTAAAAAAAAAAAAAAGACGCCAAAAATCATTAATACTATATATATATATACATTAGTGTGCGAACTGTTGTAGTAAATGCTTTACGGAAGAATACTCAAAAGAGAGACAAAATCTGAGCTTTTTTTTTGTTTTTGTCTCTTTTTTTTTCTTTCACTCTCTACACCTCTTTTTCTCCTTCTTTCTTTCTTTCTCTCTTTCTCATTTTATCTCTTTCTCCCTCTCTTCAGTAATTACTAAAAGAAAACAAAGAAATCTCTCATTAACTTAAGATATAATTTTAATTATTATTAGCTGACTTTAAGAAATTTATAAAAATAATTTAAATAATTTACAAACCCCCATTCAACGAGTAGGCTGCTTGTAATATCTAACGATAAGTTTGTTATATGAAGTAGGTTATATCTCGGGTGAAAAGAATATGTGTGATGAGTTTCGCCATTAATGCTAACGAAAGAGGGGTTTTGCGCCACTCTATGTACTGTAATTTCAAAAATATATGGGTAGAGAAAAAGGTTTGCGTCAATTCTTTGTACAGTTAATCTTCTTCTAGTGTATGTGAATTCGACAAATAAGTATCGTTGATTTTCAAAAGAGTCTAAAAGATAAGATGAAAAAACTGATTTTAATTAGGAGAATTACCAAATTTTGTGTAATTACCGATACTCTCTCCGTTATCGTGGAATAGTACACCACTTGCTTCATCTCTACTGTTTGGGGAAACTAATAGTCGAAAAGGTTGGTGAAGACTCTCTTGCGTTGTCTTTTGCGGTCGCCTCATTGGTATGATTGATCCTGCTCTTACGTGCAGAGGTATTCTTGAAAATTTTTCTTGTTTTACACTTAGCAGTGTTCCACCTGATATTCTCTTTCCCTTTATAACGTTATATAGAGCTTGTTATATAATTACAGATAAGATAGAGATTAATCCTACCGTGTAAAAGTCGAACCAAGATTGACCCTTAGGTAGGTAAATTACATTTTCTGAGGCTCCTTCATCAAGGAAAGGAGATATAAGCAAATGTTTTCCCCAAAGAAATTGACGATCGATCGCATGAGTGACATTATCGTGATAGAACCTAAAATATTCATATAATTAGAAGATTTAAATCGTTTACTAATGAATAAACAAACTCGTGGAAGAGAGGACGAGCGACTGTTGAGCCTAGAGTGTGAGCTTGATGGAATAAGGTGTATAAATAAGGTAATAATGAATATCTAGTTTCCAGAGCTTCCCTGGATAGCTTTATAACATCACTTCCCAAACTACCAGGATCTTGATTCTAATAACGGGAAATTGATATTTAAAATAAAGAAGGGCAAGATTATTTTCTTTTACCGGCGCTTTCTTATCATTATGATTTCTAGCAAATGGATAAAAGGCTCCCAATTGCATCCAACGACCGCAAAGCTCCTTCGTTGGTGCTCCAAAAAATCCGCATATATCGGCTCCGATAAAAGGAATGCCAAATAAATTTGATTCCAACATACCTATTTTGAATGATAAATGAATTATCCTATAAATACAGTCATAATGTTAACCTATTATAGACAGTCTCATATCTTGCCATGTTGCCGAATTATCTCCCAACCATCGACCAGCAAATTTTCCACTTCCCGCATACGTCGATCGACTAATTATTATGCTTCGTTTGCCTCTTCCAACCGCTTTCCTTAAAGGCCTTGAAAAATATGGGGGAACGTTGATTAAGCAGGATTATCTAAGCGAATAATTCGTAATTGTTTGTGCTTACTCCAAACTAATTTCTGCTTGCTTATGACCGTACAAACTATGAACATCGTACATACGATATCTTCCTTGATCCAAAGAGGCTATTAAACAAAGTGTTTTGGCCGATAGTCTTTCTCGTTTGGCAACACTATCGTAACCATAAGCTGATTCTATATTTAGAATAAAATTACTTTAAGTTTTCTATATTGTCACAAAAATAGGCAAACTCACTAGGCCTGAATGGGGGGTCATCGTATTTGTTAACTGGGCATTTCAATGACCATGTGAAATTTCTACTCGGTGGCCAATTAAATGGTTTTTCTTCGTTGGTACCAAAGTTTGCCGGTTCATTCATATCCTTTAAAAAACAATTGGACTTGTTGATTAAATGCTTAAAAATAAAAAGTATACGAATTTTACAAGCCAAAGTCCATCGAAACGTTTCATATCTTTTACAAAATCAACCAAAAGTTCGGACCAGACATCCTTGGTTTTATTTAGAAAAAAATCGGGAAATAATACCTTTTGATTGGAAGATGACTAAGTTACATTTCTATTTTAACAAGTTATGTCATATACCTTCCATTCTGGCCAAACATAGCCCATCATATCAAGAGAGTTGGTTTCATTAAAATCATTATCGGGCATAATATTCCTATTTGGCCATTTTACGAATATATCTTCTTTCCTACCTAGCTCGTATGGTCTATAATTGTTAGCAATTTCTAGTGCAGGATCCTTAACAATTGTAGAAAAATGGTTAATAGATAGGAGGAAAAGACTGAATAATTGAATAATATACCAAGATTATGATTGTTCGAATCTTAGATTTGTTCCACAATCCTTCTAAGTAGTTAGGTAAGTTTTTAAAATTTTTATTATCTATCGTAAAGTCTCTTTGTCTATCCATGTAATCAATATCAGCGTGTATAACATCCTGTAAATGAATGATATCGATAGTACTTAAGTGGACGTTACTTTTGTAATATTATAAAATAACCAATGGTATATTATTGGCAGTAGTCCTCTCAACTGCTGCTCTCATATCTGATGTGTTTCTAAAACCGTATCTACTAAGATGAAAGCCGAGAGACCAATACGGTGGCATAAAAGGTCTTCCGATTAGCTTTTGATTAAAAATTCATCAACTAAAGAATTAAAATTTAAATAATTCATACTGATGTATATTGTTGGATAACGTTTTCGGGAGTTGGACCCATAAAGAAATAGAAATCAAAGATTCCACCGATAGCCCGATAAACCAGCATTGGCAGTGGTGTTAAAGTGTAATCTTAACAGAAAAGAGAAGTAAATACTTTAATCTTTGATTCATTAGGCAGGCCATTTAAGTATAAAAAGTACTTACCCATAGCATTACTATTTTTTAAAAAAACCCCATGAGTATTACCTATACTGTCTTCCATGCATTCGTAAAATGGATGGACACTATAGAGATTATATTCCTGTAACGTGGACAGATTAGATATAATTCTTTACCAATTATTTCTCATACCTTATCAATGGAAGGAGCTTGATCTCTGGTGAACATTGGCCAAGTCTTAAAATTCAAATCATGTTTTAATGACATATGGAGATTTTCACCAAATCCATAAACATTTTTTGACGGCAGTCTAGTAGCGATTTGTAATAACTGTTCCGAGAATATTAAATTGCTTATAGATGTATCCCATATTACTTTCAATGTGTCTAGTCTTGTAACTTTCATTTCAAAAGTCGAATCTTCACCTGAAAGTGTTACGTTGTATCGGGGATTACTAGGCATTATGCCAGATTGTAATTCTTCATATTCAAGTGGTACTTCGTATCTTTTATTAGTAGAATCAAATGGATAAATCTAAAGGATGAAAGAAAGAGGCGAAAAAGGTTGAATGTTTGAAAGTAATTATACAACATTACCTTGACTTGAAAGATATCATTAGTTAAATAAATAACATCAAGGATTAACCTCGATACATGTCCAAAACTGTCTAGTTTGTCTTGTAGAATATATCTATCGGTATTTTGATTAGGTTTGTTAAATGATAATCGGTCGTATCCCCATTCATTAGCAGGTGGGAAGAAACAAGCAGGAACTTTTTCTATATCTGACGGTGACCATATACAACTCCTGTTTAAGCATAATTCTCTGTTTCTCTGTTCATCTGGCAAGCAATCGACACGCTCCATCTCACGTCTATTGGGTATAGTTCTAACCTTTGGATCTCTTTTCCTTGACCAGTAAACAGCGGCTCCTGTCATGGCACCACATAAAAGCGCTACACATAAAACTACTACAGCATATTTTATCATTTTTCTCTTTTGTTTTTTCTTCTCTAAATCTCGAGGAAATATTTCCACTGAATTCTCTCTTCCTAAACTGGAGGATGTCGAATCTCTATTCATAGAAGCCATTTCTAAGATTATATAATGTCAAATAAGTTTAAGAGGAACTCTTTTCCGTTTCAGATCTGAACTTGCACTTGTATACTTTAAAGAATGATATATCCAAATGTAAGTTTTTATACTGTGCTCTACACGATTGCTTCTTAGATAATTAATGATAAGAAAATTAAAACTCTTATAAACAGTTTCTCAAGAATTGCATAACCTCGGTAAATTACGTAATAATTAATAATTACACTTTTTCATCGCTATCCAATGTATGCATCAAGCTAGTAACACAAGAATGGAAAAGCTGCTCTGTGCTGTACTTTTTTTTGGAATGCGGTCATTTAGGCCTATTATTAGATAATCCCTCAACAGATTAGATATTACGAGTTTTTTCAATGATATAGTTAGTTTTAGTTCTTCTTAATTGGATAATAAACAAAAACTTCAATCGTCTAAACATTCTTAGTATAATATTCTAAATTATTTTTCCAAATGAAACCATGTCAACTGATTATTTAAGAAGATAGATAGTAAATTTTTATTAATATATTTTAATGTTATTATCAGTTATGCTTCATTTATACCATCTAAAAATAATTATTAATATAACCTCTATCTATTAAGATATATATATATATATAAATATATTATATATTAGTTATATATATATATATATATATATATATATGTATATGTATAGGAATTTAATCGTTAAGACCAGCTTCAGGCACGCAGTTTTTTTTTTACTGAAGTGTCCTAGACGGAGACAGATTTAAAGGCTTTCAGTTACCTTTAGATAATAGATTACCTATAGCAAAGTAATATAAATTCAAGTATATACAGTATATAAAATATAACATATAATATGTTTATCATTTTCAGAGAATAAACGCCGTATTATTAAATAATAAATTGAGAAAATTTTCTTTTCTTATTCTAAACGAAAAAAATCTAGCAATAAAAATGTTACGTAACACTTTCTATATCTCTCTTACTTTTTTTAAGTTGTAGACCATAAAAATATTTATGAATCTATAAATAGTCGTTTAAGTATGAAAAACAAATATATAAGATAGGAAATATATATAAACTCCTCGACAGTCTGTTAAGAGTATCTCTATTCGCCATCCTCTTTTTTTTTATTATTATCATCTAAGTATACTACTTATTCTCCATCTCTATTGGAGGATAGAACTAAAAAGGTTTAACTGAGAGAATGTTGTTTCTTGAAAATATTATTTACAAACTTTTCTCAGTAAGATTTAATTACTATATTAGAATTCTATGAATGAGCCTTAAAGAGCAAATAGACTTGTAAGTCTTTCCACATTTAACCGAATAATGCAACGAAATCGAGTAATAATTAGATTAATTACACCGTTAATCTATTTAATTTAAATATACTATTGAATATAATTTACATATTAATAAAGCTTATTTAAAAAACAAAAAGAGGCAATCGTGCATTTTAAAAAATGTTTTCATATTTATATGTATATATGTTTATTAATCAGTTTCCCTATAGTTTACAACAGAGATTACCTGCTTTTTTGGATTATGACCTAAGCGGGATGACACTTATTCCTAGTCATAGCGGGAGAATATGTATATACGAGATAACTTACTGTAAGGATTGCATTGAAAATAATAGAAAATTTTACACCTTAGCCAATCAAGTACCGTTAGGTAGATTATTCACACTTTGCATTATCTAATAAATTAAACAATTCCAAGTATTATTTAATAAGATACGAATTTGGATGAATTTCAACAGTATTCTAGTGGAAGTTATACATATTTAAATTGCTCAAATGATGTTTTGGAGTCAACTACTAGAAAGAATTTTTGCTGTATTACTGCAAAAAGTTGTTGTTCACCCCCAACCAGAGCAATAGCTTCTATAATTATCTGTATAATGATATTAATATCTTTTGCATTTTCTACTTGTTTATTTATAAAATTCATAAAATACATGAAAAGTATAAAAAGAAAGCAAAAACGAAATTTCTGTAATAAGACTAGAATATCAAATAAAGATTTAAAGTGTTTAGAAGAGATTATTCAAGATGATCAACATCAACTGGTACAATTTTATTATTTATCCCTTTCACTTATCTAATTTATTCTATTTATTTATTAGATGAATGAAATTTCGCAATAAAAGAAAACTATATTAATTAAAGATAAAAATTCATTAAATATCTTATTATCTATTTGTTGTTTATAGTGTTTTAATTAATATATATTCCTTCTAGTTGGCTTTTATACTTTGATAAAATGTTTACTTCTTTATTATTATTGACATATGAATTTTCATTTAAGAATATATAATATTAACTATTTAATATTATTACTAACTATCCAACTTTTGCATTTTATTAGTTTTTAAATACGAACTAACAAAGACAGCATTCTTTTTTTAACGCTTTTTATACGTAAAGCCGGTATAAACAACCACGAATCTCATAAAATGGCTGCTGTAAGTCTATTTTTAAAACCTTATATAGTTTAATTAATTCGTTTAGGTATTAATTTTATATGCAAAATATATATTTAAGTTGGCGATTATCTTTTATTTTTACGTTTTGAAAGAAATAAACCCCGATTTTCGTTCAACTCTTTATTTCGTGCGCTAGGTTATGCCGGTAAATCCGAAACCCTTTCTAAATAATTTGACTGGGAAGCCCGTGATCGTAAGATTGAAATGGGGAATGGAGTATAAAGGATACCTTGTTGCTGTTGATGGATATATGAATTTACAGGTAAAAGTACGAAAATGCTTTGCTAAAGCAACGAGTTTTATAAAAGTTTTCCTATAGCTCGATAACACCGAAGAGTACATTGATGGCGTTCTTTCTGGTAATTTAGGCGAAATACTAATTCGATGCAACAATGTCTTGCATATTCGAGGAACAGATGAAGAGAACGAAGATGGGGAAATGAAAGATTGAAGCTACTTATTTTTTGTCAAAAATTTTGACCATGTTGTTCATTTGATGTATTAGGATTTAACACAAGCATAACTATTTCTTTATTTGGAAATTAAAATGTCTAAGGTGAAGCTGATTGCATAATTGCTTGGGCAGAAGATTCAGCATCCTGTACGGCGATTGCTAATTCTCTTGTAACAATAATTGCTGCTGCAAATAATCCGATGCTCTTGACAATTTGCCTGTGTAAATTTATATTTAATGTCGAACAAATAAATTACATATTTGCCTTACCATCTGAATGGATCTGTATATAGAGATGATACGGAAGAAATTATACTATTTCGCGATTTACCGGCCATTATAAACTTGAGAGTGAATATTTATAAAAAAAAAAGAAAGGACTTAAATTGCACGCTGTCCTTCAGTTGCAGAAAACTTTTACGTCACTTCCTCTAAAAAATATTTATTTCGGCTAATAGATGGCACTAGGGACGCCATCGATTTTATTAAGGCCTAATAATTTTTAAACTAGATGTAAGCGTTATCTAAAATATGTTGTCTAGATTATTTGTAGATAAAACAATAAATGCACACCTTCTGAGACCATGTTTACAACGTCAAGTTCCTGAATCCTTTATTGTAAAGTCGAATTTTTCTGAGGAAAAACTTAGGCCTACAATTTGTCTATAATTGCTAGTGATAAAATGAGCGTATTTAAAGCTGTTATAAAATCGATAGAAGAAAATGACTCGAAAAAGTTACATAAATTGCTTCAAAGGAAATCGACATTAAATTTACAGGATTTAAATGAGGCACTTCTTTTTGCCGCATCTAATGGAAAAGAAGCTTGCATAATAGAATTATTGGACGTGCAAGTTGATCCAAATTCTACCGACTTAAACAACAAAACTGCCTTGCAATTATTATTAGAAAAAAGTTTTAGTCCTTCTGCCAAGTGCGTTCGCTATCTGATTAGAGCTGGTTGTAACGCACCGTCAGTTTTACAACTGGCCTTACATATTTCATCGAGACGGGGATTCTCTGCTTGTGTTCAAACTTTACTGGATAATAGCGCACCCATAGACTGGCCTGATGAAGTTGGCAACACCCCTTTAATTTGCGCTGCTAAGGAAGGAAGAACAGCCATTGTTGATATTTTGTTAGACGCTGGGTGTGACGCCAACGCAGTGAATAATGAAGGCCAAACCGCTTTACATGTGGCTAGTAAGCGCGGTCACATAAGTACTGTTAGAGCCTTGTTGGATTTAGCTTCGCCGGATGTTTTGGATGTTCGTTGTGAAACACCTTTTCTTTTGGCGGCTAAATATAGTCATGCTGCTATCGTCGAAGAATTATTGGCTTCGGGAGTTGATTTGCAAGTGCAAGACAAGCGGATGAAGAGGACACCTATCATGTGGGCTTGTGTTGCAGATGATTTAGCTACGATTCAAATCCTTTTATCTTCAAATGTTAATCTGGAATCAAGAGATGTTGATTGGAAGACTGCTTTACTCTTGTCAGCAGAATATGGTAATGGTACATCGACTAATCTATTACTGCCTGTAACTGATATATCGGCGGTTGATGTTAGAAATGAGGGGGTATTGCACAAAGCCAGTAAAAACAAATATTTTAAATTACAACCATATTTCACCAAACTAGTTAAAAGGACGGAAGTAGATGTAAAAGCTGAGGGTGGTAGGTCACCCCTGATGTTCGCTTCTTTTTATTGCCAAATTGGTAAAATAGAATCTTTAATAGTCGAGGGAGCAAATCCAAACTTAACAGATAGGTATGGGGCCAATTCTCTAATGTATTCAGTTCTCTCTGGTGGTTACCGAGTTGAAGATGTGGTTAAAATGTTAATTAGGGCTAATTCTAATCTTGATATCCGATCGAATGTTCGAGGCTTAGCAAAAGCGTTGAATTTAAAAATGAATCTTCCACTTCGAACATTAACTATTGGAGAATTAGCTTTGTTGAGAGAAGAGTATTATGTGATACAATTGCTCTTGACATCTGGTGCTAATGTATGGAAGATATCTACTGATGATTTAATACATTACAATCCGAACTTAGGTAATGGTTTAAAGTATATTAAGTTGGTTGAGTGGTTTAAAAGAAAAGCTCCCGAATTAAAGGTACTATGTAGAAAAGTTGTTCTTCAATCATTAAAAAATACAACAATGATAAGAGAACTACCTGTTTCCGAACAAACTAAACGTTTCCTCAAATATCAAGAGCTTGATTCGGTCGTTTCCTTGGAGGAAAAAGAGAGCGGAAAACAAAATTACATTGTTCAGAAACGTTCTTCGCCACGTGTATCTATTAACAAGCCTTTATATGCTTCATCTATTATGAAATTATCCAAGAATAAACACTCAAGACCAGTTAGCATGCTGGAATTTCGATCACCCACAGCTAAACCTCAAGCACCACTAAGATCGTGGTCAACTTCAGCTGTTCCATCAAAAATGTCAAATCAATCCTCAAAACTGGCCGCAAATTATGTTAGTCCTTATTCAAAGGAAGTATTAATGAAATCTAAAAACAATCTATCACCGACGACGAAGAGCGTAAAGTTTAATTTACAGGTTCAGGAGGCAGGTGAACGAGAAAGAAGATTTACTACTGGATTTGGTAAATATTTGACAAAGACGATTTTCAATCTGACAAAGGCGGTAGGACACGGAAAGAAATAAATGATTTTGACAGCCTTAATAGCATAAATGTTTATTAATAATAGATAAATACATTACGCTGGTTCTTTTTCCATTTAATCAGCGACTATCTCAGCTTTATCAATCAGTGCATTTAAAAGAGAAAAAAACTAAAAAAATTTTTTTTTTCGTTCTGTCGCCATCATGTAGTGAGACTATATATATATACTGTATATATATATAGTATATATAGTATTTTTCACTCTGGATATTCGCCTTCTGTATTCAGTTCCTGCATCCGAATCGATTTTGGCCAATTATCAGATAACAAGCGGAATAATTCTGGTATATCTATATCTTCTACCCGTCCAGTCAAACTCTGGAATGATTTACTAAGAATTAATATTAAAAACAAATCCAATTTCATAATTAATCTGCTGGTGAAAGCTTTTTATAGTTTGATGAAAACGCCTTAAAACCTTACGAACTATGTACTTAATTAAACCCTTAGCCTGTCACGCAATATCGAAATATGACAGGAGTGTATAATCTGTTAAACGCCTAATTGTCCATCAATTCAGTTGAAAAATACAATACAGCTAGAGCAGATATAAAACAAACGCAGAGTAAAAAAACGATAGAAGCGTTCCTCTTACCATATTTAGCAAACTTTAAAAATATTTATACAGTATAATATATTTTTATCACCACTTGTGAGTGAATGGTTTGTTGAATCAAAGAAAATGTATAATAAATAATATCATATTTGATTCTACTAGTCAAACAAAAGGGTGCTTAATTAAAAGAAATTCGTTATGTGTCTACTTTGCTGCTGATTTGTAAATACTTGCCAAATCCCTGCCACAAAATTTACCAATTCCATTTATGTATACTGGCTCAAGTCCCCCGCAGCAAAACTGCTCTGGTTTACAAAATAATTCAACATGCTTTACTCCAAAATTGTCATGATGTTCTCTAGAAAAAAATCCTTTTTGGCAGCAAGAAGATATTTTATTAGCCAAGGGTTGAAAGTGTGTTTTGAAGTTTTCTCTTCCAGGTCCTCCTCTTGGTAAGATATAAGGACCCCATGGTAGTCGAAACTTTAGATTGAAGACATTTCAATTAAAAATCGATTACTTGTTTAAAATACTTACAGCCATCGACGTAGCACTAAACATTGCAGAAAGAGTTACAAGTTGAAACGCTGCCGTCATCATTTGCCTTCAAGTGAGCTTCCTCACAACCCCAGCGCCATCTATATTTTCCTAATTCGACGAGTAAAAATGAAAAGCGAGAAAAAAACTCGTATTTAAAGAAAACTCGATTTAGAAGTGACATGACTTTTAATATTAAATTTTATTGTATGAATTTCAAATTATAAACAGTCTATTATCCTTCTAAGTCTGATTGTGAAGGAAATCTTTTACGAATATCTTCTTTCTTTTTTTCTTTCAATTTTTTCTCCCTATATGCTTTTTTAAATTTTCTCTCTTTAAGTAGTCTAATCAAAGGGGCAGACCAATGCTTTTCCAATCTCCATCGACGCAAATGTAAAGGCCTATAATTTTCTACTTTATATCTCCAATCCACTATTCCTAATTCATTAGGATAACAGCGTTTTCCAGGATCACCTATATAGTAGTATAATGCATTATTAATACTGATACAATATCAGAAATCCCAACCTGTCTCCCCAGTATTCAAGACATTTACAGCTCTGTCTCTTTCACGAATAACCGTAAGTAGATTTTCCATACTTTCTTCTACCTATACAGGAAGTTATTTTAATGATTAATATAATAAATATATTTATATTCATTAAAAATATTACTTTTTCTTGTCTTTCCGGAGCAGGCATAAGGTTAGCTGTTCTTTTATATTCCTCTGCCATCGTCATAATCATATTCCTTTCTTTCAAAAGTATGTACCTTTAATTAGAAATATATATATATATTACAAATTTATGAGTAATATACTTCAAAAGTGGTGTTGTTTACCATAATTTGTGTAAATCTTCATTACTCTTTAATCTGAGTTCATCTTCTAACCATGGTCTGCCTTTCAATTATAAGAAATTAGGCCTTTGTATTCAATCGAAGCAAAATATTAATTTGACAACTTACCCACTTTGATTGTCGACTCATTCCAATTTTCTTTCGCATCAAAGAATTCATCTAAACCGGGAGGAGATTTTGCCTTTTCTAAAGCTTGGGAACTTGTAGAAAAGTACACCGAATTGTTCCTATATTATCGTTACGTTTAAAGCTTTTTGTAAAAATTATTCTTTAGGACAAACCTTAAATATGTTTTGTTTACAAATGTTCGAACTTTTGGTGAACTATTAATTATATGCGACGAAAATATTGTAAAATTATTGACAATACGACTTGAAAATGACGAAAGAACAGTTTTCGCGCACTTCATGGAAGCCGCCATCTTTATTTATAACGTGAAAGTACGATAGTTCGAGTCTCGTAAAAATTTATAAAACAAGTTTCATATAATTATAATTTTTACTATTATAAACTAAATATTTATAAAATTATTTACGAAAATACTTAAAATCGAGATATTCTTCACGTGTGTTTTTGCATCAGCCGGCGAGGTCAAAAACTTTTCCCTCTGTTTAGCGTCAGAATGGATCCAAAAAAGATGAATGAATTTGCTGGAAGGGTAAGGGCAGGTGGAAAGGGTGCAGGAATTGGTTTAGGCTTTCTAGCAGCCGCTGGAGGTCTTGCCTATACTTTATATCAATCAATGTACACAGGTTAGCTTAAGATATTATGGCCTTGTTCGTATTATGTTTTATTGCAACGTGCTTAAATGTTTTCAGTCGAAGGTGGTCATCGAGCCATTATTTTCAGCCGTCTTGGTGGTATTCAGAAGGATATCTATACCGAAGGTCTTCACTTTAGGTAAGTTAATCCATTTGCAGATAGTTTTCAAAGTCACGTAACAAAAAATTTTAGAATTCCCTGGTTCCAATATCCAATAATATACGACATCCGAACAAGACCAAAGAAGATTTCTTCTCCTACTGGCAGCAAAGGTAATACTAATTAACAATTTTAAATACCCTTATCTGATGTAACGCCTCGCAACAGATTTGCAAATCGTCAATATAAGTCTGCGTGTCCTCTCTCGTCCGGATGCAGCATTTTTACCCCAAATGTACAGACAACTGGGTATTGACTTTGACGAAAGAGTATTGCCGTCAATTTGTAATGAAGTATGTTTAAAAAATTGTTCAATTAATAGCCACGGCGTTGAATTATTGGATTTTTTTAAATTTCCTAGGTTCTTAAAAGTGTCGTAGCAAAATTTAATGCTTCCCAATTGATCACTCAGAGACAACAGGTAAAATTTGAAAGAACAATGGCTTATGTTTTGTTAATTTGAAAATAATATGAAAACAGGTTTCTCTAATGGTCAGGCGCGAATTGACTGAGCGTGCCAAAGATTTTAATATTATTATGGATGACGTTGCCATTACGGAATTAGCTTTCAGCAGAGAATATGCTGGAGCTGTTGAAGCCAAGCAGATCGCTCAGCAAGAAGCTCAAAGAGCTCAATATGTCGTTGAGATGGCTAAACAAGAACGACAGCAGAAAATCGTTCAAGCTGAGGGTGAAGCTCAGGCAGCATTGATGGTAAATTGCTTTTGTTACTATTTTACCCATTAATTTTCCTTATCTGATGATAAAAAGGCGAAGTTGATTAGAAGGCAATTCGGAACAAGTCTGTTCCAAACTATTGTGTTGAATGTTGGTAGAACTTTTCGAGAGAAAGGCTTTTACTGTAAGGCGGCACATAGAATAAACCACAGTCATTTGGCTCGCTTTTTATAGTTTGAAAGGGTGCTTTGACAAAGTGATACACTTTTTAAAAATAATGCTTTCTTCAATGATATTAATTTTAGTAATCTGATTCAATCTTCCTCTTGTTATTACGAAATACTTACGGTTAATTGAAATTAATTCTCATATTTTTTAAAACAGATTGGTGAAGCCATATCGCAAAATCCTGGATATTTGAAGTTGAGAAAAATCCGAGCATCACAAAATATTGCCAGAACAATTGCGCAATCAAAGAATCGTGTATATTTGAACGCACAAAGTCTAATGTTAAATGTTGGAGAAAAAGATTTTGACGAACAAGTGGATTCTTTAACAGCTAAGAAGAAGAGTCGTTATTAATTATTTGTTCGTGTTATGAATAGATATGTCACTGTCATAATTGACTAAATAAAAAAACATATTTAATAATTAAATATATTGACACAACGAATCAATATTAATAAATGAACAATGCGTACTTTACTTATTGTAATAATACCAGCGGGTCTCTATTGACGAGATTATTTACCGAATTATATATCACCACTAGATGGCTTATTCAACTTAATGCACTATTGTACGAAAGTTGTCTATTATTGATGTTATTTGAATTTATAAATTGAAAATTTTGTATATTTGGATCTTGGGATTCAGAGATTACGTCAACAATAACAAATACACTTTCGACGGAGATCTACAACTAAATTTTTAATTTCATATTAAATTCACTTTATATCGCTCAGAAACTCGCGCGGTCATGCAGGAACGACTTGATGTAGAACCGTTGTCCTCGGAGGCTGGTGAACTTGTCTTTAAACGTCATGTTTATATTTCTTATAACGATATATCTGGTGCAGGAAGGTAAAGAGTAACAATTGAAATATGACTGTAATTTGTTATCGTTCTTTCATCCATACAGCCGAGCACTCTTAGGAATTGACATGAAAGTAGATAGCTACGATTTATCGGTTATCGAATTAAAGAACATGAAACCAGCAACAGTCGAGGGACAGTTAAAATGTCAATTCGATATTCTCCCTTTACAAGTACTTAATTGCAAATATGAGGAGGTATATCTGAGAGGATACTAATAAAATTCAAAACTTATTCTCTTGTCTGTTTTTTTAGTTCACACTTATTATCATAAACACTGTCTTACCCTCTGATAAAGTTCAATTTGTGGCAAACAAAATTTTTGATTACTGCGTCGAAGGGTAAAATAATCGATTATGTGTTGGAAGGCTTAAACTGACGTTTTTTATTTGTTAAATCGAACAGAAAAGTTGAGAAAATAGTCTTGCTAAATGTTCAACATTTGGATTTAAGTGAAAAGGCCAGGAGAGATATGTATGAGAATTGTTTCAGAGGAGCCAATACTAGTGAGTTTATTTTACTGGAGAATAATTACATTTGAAATTAAATACTACTCCATAGTGACCGGAATGAAACCTATGCCTATGAATACTCCTATATACGATCAATTCCTTAGTACTTTCCTACAAATGACATCCATTGAAAATATTCCTACTGTACTGTTAACGATACCAGGTTTCAAAGCCTATCCTGGTGGCTGTGCGTGTGATGAGGACGGTTCAAAACACGCCATTTCTCTTTTCCAAGAGACTATTACGAAGTGTACTAGTCTCAAATTCAATTTGAAGTTATCCTGTTCTCTGGTAAAATTTCTGTTTGTTTCACCCAATTATTGTATAATGAATTTTATTTGACCATTTAAGATCTACAAGGAACGAAATGATCCAGACGGTAACCTGGCAGAAATGATGTACGCTTAAGAAAACAACTACTTTAAATATCCAAGTTATTTATTTTTTAAAAGAGTTTAAATGTTTGCGACGATTAATACATGTTGAAAAACTGCTCTCCTAATCTCTTTTATTGTTAATCGTTTCGAGTGTTTCGTATATAGCTTTTTCTACTTTTTTATACCTTGGGTCTTCTCCAAATGCATATATTTTGCAATCATTATTTAAAAAAGCCCAGCCTAAATTAGCCTTTGGGTCAGCATAAACCATTTGACCTCCTGCTCCCGGTGTTCCAAATATGTAATTTCCCTATTAAAAAAGGAACTGTAACATTTCACCCTAACTTAAACTATACAAGTTTGCTCACTTGTGGTGATTTTAATAGCTTGGTTCCTAATCCCATTGTTTGTTGGAAGAAAACGCATTGATCCTCCCCGCTAACTTCTGGTATATTCAATTTATTGATGATATTTGCTGAAATTATTTTCTTGCCATTCCACATTCCCCCGTTTGCCAATATTCCAAAAAGTTTAGCAGCAGATGTCGCAGTTCCGTAACCGTGTGTTGATGGATTCGGCGTAGAGGCAAAAGTTGGATTATTGACAAGATTATCCTTTAATGGGAAAATTTTCATTAAGTCCTACCAAATATTATTGTCAAATATTACAAACATCCTCATATTCCTTTGGGTTGATAATCGCTTTATAGGCCCAATGATCTTGATTAGTGATATATATGTAAATAAATTTCCAGTAATGGGAAACCTTGAATAAATCAAGATTGAACAATCGTATTTTCCCCATCTTTGCCACTCTATAGTATTCCTTATTAGGAAGTCCTATACCCGCATCCAATTCTGGTGGACAATAAATTTATCTATATAAAAGTAAATGCAAATAAGTTCTATACCGAGGGGAAGGGCAATTTCATCATGAAAAAACTCTGCTAAATTACGATGATCTGGATCCACCCTCCTCACTATTTGATCTAAATATAACCCAAGAGTGATTCCGTGATAACCAAATTTACTTCCAGGATTCCATTGTGGTTTTTGCTTAGCAAGTATATCGCCCACCTTTCCTGGTCGTTCAATTATATCGTAAATAGAGAATAATTCATCTATGGCAGCCAATCCAGCCTGAAGCAAAAGCTCATATTAACAGTTACCGGTTTCAAATAAACTCCTGAGTCACCTGATGACTGATTAACTGCCTCAATGTGATTTGATCTTTTCCATTTTGCGCAAATTCGGGCCAATATTTTGCGACACGTTCATCATAGTTTAATAGGCCTCTAATCAGCAATATACAAGAAGTTAGAAATAGTAATTAACCCATCATGTGACTTGCAACTTAATACCTATCTACTAGAAATGCAATTGTTACAGCAGCAAAAGCTTTAGTGGAGGAGAATAGACGACCTAAAGTTTGTTTTTTCCATTCTACCCTATTTTCTTCATCTAAAAAGTATTTAAATGCTAATAGAAATACTGCAGCATTTGATTGAGCTTACCGGCGTAACCTCCATAAACTTCAACTACAAGCTCCCCTTGGTGATATAGAGCAAAGCTTCCCCCGCGCAATTCACCAGACTTTAATAATTCTCTGAAACATAATGTAATCAATAATTGCATACACATCTGGAAATAAGCGTTTCATTTTCTCTCTATCTAACAAGCGCTTGTTTTATGTGGGGGTTTTTTTTATAATATTTAAAGTCTCGAGGGGGAGTTCTATGACAAAATACAATTGAAAGTTCGAAATAAAAGAATACAATGAATTTGATACCCGAATACATTTGAAACCCTTTTCCATTTAGGTGAAGAAAAACCTTCTCCCACTAACGGTACCGTATTGGTTGTCCAGAACCGAAAGAAAAAGAAGGATATGCATAGAACAATAAAGCTTATAACGTATACATAGGGCATCTTCTATACCCACGCCGATGCTCAACTTTCCGAATATGCCCAGCGCCAACTACAGTTGATCGAAGTAACTACAAGCCTAAACAAAGATGGCGAACGAAGGAGAAAACTACGCCAAATTAAAATATTTTACTTTTCCGCTCGAGTTTGATCCAAAGTAAATTAATTTCAAAATAATGTTATTATTTAGTAATAAATCATTATAATTGATGTTATAGAAATTTTCCAAATGATAAAATTTGTGTTGTATCGGTACTTGGTAAAAGTAAGAACGGAGTGGTTAACAGTAAAGCAATGTGTCTTCAGGAATTACTTAATCGTTGCAATGAAGGGGTTTGTGTAATCTATAAAATACAACTAGTTAATGAACTGACAACCCTAAATATTGTTTAATCAGTTGACATCTACACGTCTCGACTCATCTTTTAAGGTTGGTATTACATAGTGTTATTAAAGTTTCAGTATTAATTTACATTACTATAAATAGAGTCAAATATCTGCATTTTTCGATGAAAAATCAAATGTTATGTATGTGCATTTGCACTCTCCATTGGACGCTGATAAATTACAACTGATACTAAAGGATAATAAAGAAATGGTAAGTATTATGTTGGCACTTTAAGAGGTTTTAATTACGTAATTCATTAACGGGTGAATCGTTCCATCAAAGACTATTCGCGGTGATAGGCTGTAATTATTTTGTCGCAATTAGAAAGGTTGTTGCCAGACAGTGAAAGTATTAACTCAGTTTGATTTCATGTCGAGGCTGTTTAAGACTGGTAGCGCAGTCTGTGGTCTGTATTTCAGTCAGAAAGGTCCTGCGGTAAAAACATTACTAACATGGCGCCATTTCATCGTAACAAAAGAAAAGCGTCACGTAACAAGCAAGATTTCAAATGGGACTTGAAGTTAGATCCCGATCTTATCAAATGGTTTGGAGCAGATGAAGAATTGGAGAAGATCAAACGGGCGAGAAAATTGAGCAAAAGTAAACAGAATATCGCTATGAATCTTCATCTTCCACTCGGTGTTCAAAATAGACCATATTCAATGACGATTGCTTATTCGGAACTTAATAATGTGCTAATCGATGGTAAGGAGGTAACTTTGGAAACATCTAATAGAGGAAATAGCAATGATATTGACAGTATTTACGATGAAAATTTGAAACCTTCGAATATTCCCAATGATGAAACAACTCTATTTTGTCCGCTTCTAAAAGAGCTAATGAAAAGTGAAAAGATTAGCGAATTAGTGTCAAAGTGTAAGGAGGATATAACAAGATACGAAAGCTTGTTAATCAGTTTGAATAAAGATATACGAACATTAGAATTAGAACTTCGAACAACTAATATAACAAAAATGACAAGTCAAGCGTCGAAACTTTTACATTTGTCAAATACTCGTTTGTCATTTGTTTCAAAAGTTCGTCTCCACTATATATGGCCAATGTTAGATTGGCTTCGTTTAAAATCACCCGAAAACTATGAAACTATTCACAATTATGCTTTTGAATTTTTTAAGTAAAAATACTATTAAAAATATCTTTTTTAATTGAAATACTTTTTATAGCCGTTTGTCAAAATATGGGAAAAGGCGGAATATGAATTTTCTAAGGCCGCATTATGGTTGTTTTCTATTAGTCATATACTTTTAGTAAGTTCTTTGTTCGACATTTTTTTTGGATGAACAGTTTTATAATGTTTTGAATACAGCTTACACAAGCGGCTTCAACGTTTGATATGTCTTACGTAAGAACTTTTCGGATTGTCGACTCTTTAAGGTGTGAATTAATTGTTAAGAATTTATACTTTTAAAAGAATCAAATAATCACTTTATACAATTGTACTTAAATCCTTTTTTTATTATCTAAAATCTGTTTTATTCTCTTTTTGAACGTTAATAAATTTGTTAAAATAAATACAGGAGAAAATTGGGGTCAATAGTATCAGACGAATTGAGTTCAAAGGATATTAGCAAAGAATGGGCAAGTTCTGGTAGACTTTGTTCTCCTCGTGTTTTATTTACATTCGAAACTTGCAACATCGACCAATCGAATTGGGATATAAACAAGGCTAGACACGTACGTCAACACCTAGTTTTAACTCCTAAAGCTTTTTTATCCTTTTCTAAATATGTAGAAAGTTCCACCCTTGACACGACTTCAGCATAAAATGGAGGATTATATTTATGGACTACTTAGAAAATCTCGAGTTATAACGGACATCAGCTCAAACTCTTTATTCGCTGTGCCTATCAATCAAGAATTCGTTTATATTCACGAATACGGCGTAAAAGAGTCACCGCTTACAAATCTATCAAACCGTAGGCAGTCCTCTAGGAAAAAATCTCAGAATTCATTTGCGTCAGAGATCAGCAGTGATGAGAATTGTATTCACAAGAGTTTAGCGGATTTCGTAACAGAGCACGTCCACGTAGCTTCAACAACTGGTTTTAATGATAATGCTAGGAAGTATCAGGGAAATAGCTACTTTGAACTACCAGAATGTTCAAAGTGGCTTGAGATAAGCCAGTTATTGTACAATATTTTTATCAATGAAGAGGTAGCCAATATGCATAAAAACTATTTTGAAATAGAGATGAGAAAACCCCTCTCTATGTTTAGTTCATTTAGTAAAAATAATTGCGAAAGTGCTTATCCGTCGGCCGTAAATATTTATAAAGAAAAGCTACCCAAATACTACACAAAGCAAACACATGAGAGCAAACTAAATACTGCTATAGAATATATGAAGAAGACATGTCGTGGACCGGAACTAAACACTTTCTTACAGTAATTAAATTAAACTCAATGAAAAGAAATAAATTTTGTTTGTATTTGTTTTTTTTATTAGACGTTTAACTGACGAATGTACTGGTATGTGGCAAAAGGAAAGGAGGCTTTGCGAAGCCGTGAGTATTAGTGGAAGAGCGTGCAATAAGAAAGCTCATAGAAGCCCTGCAGATAAGATAACGGAAGAAAACAAACAATGGCCTGTTTCGGATCATTCAAACGATGTTCATACAAGAGCTTTTTGTAATTGTGGTAACACTTGTGCTGACAAACCAGATCCTTTTGATATTAAAGTAAAATAATATTTTATACTTTTTTCAAAATTGAATAATTGTTAATTAATTTTTTAATAGTTCGCTAACAAGCTATTTTATGATAATTTGGAGAAGAATTGCTGTCAGAGTATGGTTCATCTTAATCTACCCGTATTTCAACCATCAGTCACAGAGCCAAAAGTTTTTAAGCTAAGTAAGGCTGATGAAGGTGGGGAACCGCAACAAAATTTAAGCGAAGTTGATGCTTCTACAACCTATAATCTCGATTTGTCTCAACCGTCTTTATCAAGAATGGATGAACACTCTGATTTAGCGGAAAATCAGAACGCTGAAAGCGAAAATCAGAACGCTGAAGGCGAAAATCAAGAAACTGAATTTTTTAAAGAACCATCTACCAAAGAGGTTGAAAGGCAACATTCAACTACGGAATATCTCAATGGAATGTTACATACTAAATCCCCCGGGTCTCTACTTCCATTGTTTCCGAGCTTTTCTCTATTAAAAGTTGGTAATTACTCTTGGTACGATCCTAATGTCGGACTTCGGCAAACAGGATTTATTCAGAATTCTTTCCTTTGCTTTTGGGATGTTAGAAATCCCAGAGGGGCAGACCAAGCAAATCGGTCAACCGTTTGGAAAAATTATGGATCTTCCAATACGCATGAAGTTAAGCTTTTTTTAGGCAACGAATATGAATGCGCATTAGGTCATCGATTTTTTGCTCATCACCCGGAAAAGATATTCAAATCGCAAACTCTCAGGAAAGACAACGCTCGAAAAATATTAAATTCTGATGTTCCTTTATACTTTCCCTGCCCTTGCAAGTAAGTTTATACTGTCGTGCAAGACAATTATTAAAAAAAAACACCGTGATTATGATTAAATAACCTACATCAAATTCTAGGACTGAGGATTCCGGTAATGTTGCAGTAGCTCAATTAATGAGAGTTTGGGTTGCTATACCAAAAGCTCCCGTGCATGTCTCATTAAACCCAAGAATACGTCCAGGGCCTGAAGATGGAACACCTACTTTTGTTTTATCAAGAGACGGTCCAATTGATTTAACTCATGATGCAGTTTGGGTTCTTAGATTACCGTATCCTTTTTTTAATGGGCACTTTAGATATATTAAATTTATATTGACTATCTATTTTTTGCTAATTATTACATATTTTCCTTAACAAGTTTTTTCCTAGGCATTTATATAGTAGCGACGACGTGAATTATTTGTGCTCTTCGTCTACAATGAATTCATGCAGAGTATTGAAGGGAATGTTTAATATTTCAAGAATAGCGTAGTTAAATATTTTTCTTTACAGCTCATGTATTTCTTATCAATAAATTTTTCCAAGTTTTTGTTGCCACTTATCTATTGACCAGTTAGTAGATAGACATGCTAATTTTCTTGAATGTTCTATCTCCAAGGTTCTTCCATTGGGCGCAAGTGTATTGACAATTTGGTCCAGATGACCAAAGACCATTCAAGTTAGCAGCCCAGCAGTAGTTGAACCACCATCCGGACTTATATTGTTTGGCGCATGGGAAGCTGCTTGCATCATTGTCTTGGTCATATGTACTAAATTTCATGTTGTTATGATTCAAGTTGCCCTGTGGGTGCAAAAGAGCATCACCAGCATCTCCACCTGCATAGGAACCAATGGTCAATTTGTATTTCTCGGCTTCAGTATCAACGTTGAAGTCATTATATTCAGCAGTGTAGGTTCTATCGGTGTGATCAGTTAAAGAAACGCTCAATTTGTAGGTTCCTCTGGAAGTCCAGTAGTGGATGTTTTCTAAGCCAGCCCAGAAAGACATATAGTTTCCGAATCCATTTTTGTATTCTGCCCAAGTTCTGTTAAAGCTAATTGATCCATCCATTCTTTGTTGGATAACGGTTTGTCCCATATCAAGATAACATGTAACTGTGACCACTCTTCGATCAGGGGTGCTCAATCTGATTTTGTACCGTCCATCGGCAGATGAACCTTTGGCTTTTAGGTCTTTGCAATCATTAGCATCGATGGCTTCACCTTCTCTCAATCTTATGTCGTCAAGGCCTAAATCACCTTCAGTAATGCCGGTGGTTTGAGTATTGCCTTCAAATTCAATTTGGTAACCTCCCGTCAGGCCACCAGGTACAGCAATTTTAGCATAACGCCAGCCTGGTCCTTGGTCTCCAGTCTTAGACCACAGCTTTCTACGGACAGCTCCGTGTTTAATCCAAATGCTAAGTTCGTAAACTTTTGAACCGTACATATTGTAGTAGAATTCTAAAGCAGATGGCTTCAAACAATAAAGAAGTTAAAGAGAAGTTCTCAAAGAAATTTTTTCTTAAAACTTACCTCCATAACACTGATCATAGGGGTTGTGGCCACAGTGGTTTTACTGCTTCCAAAAGCGTAATCAGCATCAGCAGTCAAATAAAATCCCGAACCAGTTGTATGATCAACAGGTGTACCAGTACCTGGTGTGGAAGCTGGTGCTGACACATTTCGCCAACTGTAATATCCATCAGCATTTACTGTCATATCACATAAGCCGTTTTCGAAGTTACATTCAAATCCAACGGGCGGAGCCATTGTTACATCTGGTACAACTGTATTAATAATTAAAAACAAGTTAACTATCGTAAAAAAAGTACTTTTCTCTACTTACGCAAGTTATCGCAGTGTTCAGTGCATGGAGCAACACCGTCTTGAGCTCCGAAACCAGGTCTGACACAAGTTCCTTTTCCGCATCTAAGTCTGTCCAAATTGCCACTTCTAAATCCCCAACATCTGTAAAAGTATTTAACATCAGCATCATCTTCAATGTACCAATCTCCACCTGAACAAGAATTTTTGACTGGACCTCCATATGTCGCCGAAAAGCAAGCGAAAGCTAAACACAACACTGAAGTTAACTTCATCTTTTGTATTCCTAGTCCACTCCTCAATGATCGAGACTGCCAATAATACTGCTTTTATATACTGTTGCGGAAGTTCTCGCGTGCAACGTGTCTTTGCTCAGGGCGTTTAAAAATTTTCCCATCTTTGAAAGCGACTTTGTCAGTATTAGCATTCTAGTGATATTATTTTATGCTTATTGGAGGAGTTTTTAGCACTGAAAGACCTTCAGCGTTTTGAACTGAAGGTGTTAAATACTTTGTAAACTAAAATTTGTACTTTGTGTAACCGAAAAAAGAAATAATTTAGATATTCGTTTGTGCAAGAGTGCTTTATGATAATTCATGTCATACAGTAAATCTCGTTTTTTTTTATCTATACATGATTAGTCTAATTATATACTTTTTCACATATTACCATAAAAATGTCAAATATCGCCCCAAAAAATATACAACAGTATATGCATAAACACAAATAACACTGCTAGAACAAAGAAAACTTAAGACATAACACTAATTTGTACATGATGCAAAGTTGAACGAAACTTTTCAAGTCAAAATCTCTTTTTTATTATTATTAAGTAGAGCCTGAAGAGAATTATTCTGTACCGTCTACTTTGATCTTCTTAACCTGCACACCTCCTACCGTTGTAGCTTTTCTAAAAAAGATAAACAAAGTTATTTTTAATATGGGTATTTTTATTATTTATCGAAATACTAACGAATCAGCGACAGCGATAGTTCGCTTAAAAGTTGGTTTATTTGCGGCAGGTGACGACGCAAGCATTGAATCTATAAAGTAAGAATTTTTTTAATTAAAATAATGAAAACAAAAAGTAAATTATGCTAACCTTGCAACCATCTAACTTGGGTGGCTGGACCATAGCCCTTTTCGTTCCTTGCAGCAATGCGGAATATTATTGCTGGTTTTGTGCTGCAATCAACGTGAGCGGTTGATAAATTACTCTGATTAACTATACAAGTTGGCTGCGGTCCGCAATACACTCTTACAAAAGCCAGCTGCTGTCCGGCAGCACCGGGAGTTGATGGCGTGGTTCGGTCAGGTTGATTTCTGACAGCTAAGTAAACAGAATATTCTGTAATTTTTCCTGCGGTATTTTGTGGGGGCTCCCAAGATAAGTGGGCACCCTCCGTTGATTTAGAGATTTTGATGGCGCTTGGGGCTCCAGGGAAACCTGGCAGACAGGTCTTAAATGCTGAAACTTCACTAAAAGGTCCTCGTCCACACGAGTTCATGGCTGCTACTCTAAATTTGTAAGCCGTTCCTGGCGTTAGAGTTTCCTTTTTCATTTGCGAATGATCTGGCAAATTCACAACGTCAATGTCAAGTTGAGGTTTCTGCTCTACCCCATCTTCTTCGTTGCTGGCAGTTGAGGACTCTTTGTCGTTTGGAATGTAATAGGAAGACACAACGCAATTGGTTGCCTTAATGACACATACATCGTACCACTTCGGACCGTCCTCTTCTTTTTTCTTGTCACCATCTTCATCTTCCGTTTTATCATCAGCTTCTTCTTTCACTTTCTCCTCTTTCTTTATTTGAACACCATCGGCGGCTGACACAGCAGCTGAGGCAAGTGTCGCTAGAGCATCAGCTCCACTTAAATCGTCAGCATTTGCTGCTTCATCTGTTTCTTGCTTTATATCCATAGAGCTTTTGTTCCTTTCTTCGGCTGCTTGGTTTTGATCAAGGTTTTCTGCTAGCTGAGGCATAGGTACTGGTTCTTCGGCGTCTTCGGCAGAACCTTCAAGGAATTGTTCGGGTAGACCATCTGAGGCGGGTGCAACATCTTGATTATTTGAATCTAATTGACCATCTTCATTACTACCGTTTGCATCACCGTCAAACATCCCGTCTAACTGTGGTATCCTCAAGTCCCCGCTACCGTCGACTTGAGGAAGTTCGTCAAGAGCTTGACTTTCAGCTGCAGCGTCAACTGCTGCTTGCTCAACAGCTGACATAGTTGGAGCAGTTCCACCGCTCCCTGAAACAAGTGTTATGATAGGTTTAGAGCTTCCTTGTTGAGGCGATTGTCCTGGTCGAGAGGTTACTACATAAAATTGGGTCGATGAAGGTGTCGCTGAATTTCCAGATTTCGGCAATGCGGTGATAATTTTTGTACCCTGCGGTGTATTCTGAGCACTTTTGGGTGAGGCTATAACAACTGTTTGCTTGCCACCTGGTTTACCTGCTAGCAAGTTCGATGGAACAGTTTTAATTATTGTCTTTTGTTGACCACTTGCTATACCTCCTACAACAGTTTGTCCACCGGATCCCGACGCTTGCGATGTGATAATAGTCGTTGGCTTTCCTACTTGATTTGCTTGAGTTGTCACAAGCTTTACAATTGTTGCACCTTGGGGAAGAGACTTTTGGCTTACCCCTCCTGTCTGATTAACAGTCATACCAGACTTATTAGAAAGTAACGTTACTTTAGGTACTTGACCCATCGATACACCCTGAGTAGTTTTTACTAAAGTTACTTGACCTCCTTTGTGAACTGTTATAATCTGCTTTTGTTGACCGGAGGCCGTGGTGGGTGTGCCACTCTTAATTATTGTTGGAGATGTCATCCTGACAGTTTGTTGTCCAGCAGTCACAACCTGTCTACTTACCGGAGTGACTTTGATGCTGGACGGACCCATTATTGTTGGGGTAACTACCTTAATACCAGCTGCTGAATTAGATGAAGATCTGTTGCTCTGAGATATAATGCCACTAACATTAGACACTGTTCTTACTCCTGACTGGCCACTAGTATTAACAACAGTTTTAGTAGGAACTGTCATTATTTGTTGTCCACCAGGACCACTAACAACCTTAATAGTTGTTGTATTGCCAGGAGATTTTCCAGGGCGAACGATAGGTGTAGTTACCCTAGGGGAAACGGTTCGTATCTGAGGTGACTGCAAAGGAGCAACAGATCGCATTTGTGCTGTTCCCGGAGAGACTTGACGCAGTGTTGGAGTTTTTGCTTGAGCAGTTGAAGCTAACGGCGAAGCTGGAGCTTGCGAAGCCGGTATTTCGTATTTTTGCAATTGTAATATATATGCATCGGCATTGGGAACATTTCCCCAACAAACTTCCAAAGTATTCGTACTTGCACGAACCAATTGAACTCTTCCCGGGGCAGCGGGTTTTTCTATATCGAATATTAAAGTTAATTAAAAATATTAAAATTATAAACTTAACATATTTACCAGTTTCCAAGAACCATAAATCTTTAAAACAAACTTGATTATTCCATGCCTTTCTGTATCCATCTCTACCGCTCCAAATGTATAATCTATTATGAATTGTAACTGCGCAATGACCAGCTCTCGGTCTTGGTAAAGCATCTTCGAAAACTTCCATAGCCAACGGTTCCCAAGACATTGTTTCTGTAATTGAAAGTTTGTTTTAACCCGCAAATACAACACTATTCGGTAAATATCAAGTTATAATAGATATAACTTTTGAAACAGTATCATGTGAAAAAGTTAAATAAATTCAATATACGACAGACTAAAACCGAAAAAACTTCTTTTCTGTGAAGAGTCGGGGAACTCCGTCGTTTCTAATAATAATTAACTAAAGAACATTGAGACACACATACCTAAATCGAGGGAAGCCAAGGTATTTGTACATTTCCATTCTTTTTCATGTGAAGCAACTTTAACATCATCCATAACAAGCGGAACCCAACCGCCAAATACAAACATTCTATTAAGAAATAGCACAATAAAAAGCTAACTTAACGAACAGAACAACAATTTTACCTATGTCCAATAACAGTTGCTGAATGTAAGCTACGCGGTAAAGGTGCAACGCCTGTGTAAGTTGGTTTTGTCCAAGCATTTGTATCTGAAAAATAAGTACGTGTATATTAATATACGTTTCTTTTTTAATAACATTATTCAATTAATTTAATTACTTATGTCGAACTGCCATAGATCTCCTAATCTACAACCACTCATACCACCGTATATAAGCAATCTAGGATTCTGACCAAATTTATCAACGTATGCCACACAAGTGTGGCTTTCTCGGGGTGGTGGAGCTTGACCATTTGTGATAGGCTTATCCCAAGCAACGGTATTTGTTCCTTGTCTTAGCTCAAGTGTGTACAAATCATTTAGATATCTATTCAAAGAATTGATAATTAGTCAAAAAAACAAGAAGCAAGTGTAAAGACGATTATTGTTATCAGTACGAACCTGGGAATATTATTTTTTGGGTCTTCGCTATCATTGGCTAAACCTCCAAATAGATAAACTTTATTTGCGTGTAGAGTAAAACTATGTCCTAAACAAAAGAAAAAACAAAGTCTGATTAAATAATCCTAATATACTCTATTGTTTTCTCTATACCTAATCTTGGACATGGCGGTTGACCGCCTTTTGGCGGTTTCGGTCGTAATCTCCTCCATTCCCATCTGCTGGCTTGCAATTCATATAATTCATTTGAGTACTTTCCATATTCGACCATTCCACCAAAGACAAGAACTCTTGTCCCATCGCATACAAAGCCATATGCAGCGCATCCCGGTGGTATATCACCTCGAACAGCAGGTACAAACCATTGATTAGTAGCTGTAAACACATATAATTAATTTAGAAATAAGATTAAATTTCACATATTTATTATCTGATTTATATATCATATTTACTATTATTTTTTTAAACAATAAACAAACACTGCATGTGCATTTTACACTGTTCTCTATAAAATTCTCCAAACCTTTCACATTTAAAATTGTTTTAAAATAATTAGATTTATGACGACATAATTTAATTTTAAAATGCTTTTATGCGAATATTTAAATCAAAAAGAAACAATCAAGCTAGAAATTCTCTTGTTTATCTTTTAAACAGGATAGCCTAATCTTTTACCAATTCGAACTGCTTGTCACTATTTATAGTTTATTAGCAATCAATGTTAAAATCAAAGTATTAGGGTATGACTTAAAACAAAAGAATTGAGTTTAGATGCGATCACATTTACTTTTTTAGCAAACAGGAGATATTTTACTGTTTACATGGAAACTACTACTCTTAACGCTCATGTTATGCCGTGGGCGCTGCCATCTTGAAGCTAACGCTCAACTTAACACCGTAGTCAAATTTTGATATGAAATACATCTTTTAACCAAACCAAAAGCCCAAGTTATTGATATAATTAATTATAACACCTTAAAAGAACGCTTTTAAGATGATTCCCTTGTGTACTTTGTTAAAAACATAAATATTTACAAAATGTTTGCCTCCATTGGACGCGGCCATATTGGAAACTGCAGAAACGCCGGTAGTTTTTAAAACACTTAAAGCTGTTAATCAGACTTCAAAGTAGGCAATAAATTTAGTATTCGATTAGGGAAAACGTTTAGTTACTTGTGATTTACTTGAGAGATACAAATGACTTGAAAAATTTAAAAGTTTGATACACAACAAAGAGAGCCATGTTGAATCGAATTACAGCAATGTCTACAGAACTAAAATCTCACCGGTATTGAAAACGTGTAACTCGTCGACGATTCCTTCATTACCACCACCAAATACAACCATTAAATCTCTGATTGCAACCGCTCGATGGCCGTGACGAGGCCTAGGACAAGGGCCAGAGGTATTAGAAATTCGTTTCCACTTTAATGTGGACGCCGCCATTTTGTCGTAGTTGCGATAGCCCGGATGAAACTGTTAGGGCATGGTTCCGCTTAGTAAATGTAGCTGAAATATGGAGACCGCTGAGGTACCAGGCTTCTATTTTAGCGTGGGTCAGTATTCCAATTTGTTTTATGCGCGCGCTTTTTGACTTGGGAATGTAAAACCGTTTTTCATACTTTATAGAAGTTAGTCTATAAACTTTGAGCAAATCAAATTTGAATCGCTAAGTTTTACTTGAAACTTAATGTTTCTGTTTGAAATCAAAACCCCCCAATGTCAAATACTATTAAATAGGCATTATCAATAATTGACCTAATTTCTAAATATTACAGATGATCTATTTTCCATATTTTTTGATAATATTCCTTAATTTTTAACGGTTACAATTTAGAACACGTAAGTAACTTATTAAGAAGAAACTATAATAGAACAATAAGATAAGAGAGCACTCTTCTTGTTCAAACTACATTGTATAAAAAAAAAAAGAAAAAGCTTGTTTAGAAAAATTTGCGGAATGTTTCCTTAAAAATTGTTTATTAAAAATAGTAACAATTATCACAGTGTTTCCCTCATACGAAATGGCATAGTTTTATATATTGCAAAAAAAACAAAAAACCAAGTAGAACAAACAACTAAAAACATATATTCTGTTAATGTTTTTACTCAGTATTTCTTTTATAAGAAACAAAATCTATTTTAATAAGAGGAGACTAGCTTTTTATTATTAATTCCGTTTTATTCTTAGTGAATTGAGTTTTTATAAAAGAGAACATTTAAATAAGTCTTCACCGAGATCGATAAATGCAATATAAACAGAGCTTGAAAAAAATTCCTTTATTACTGCCTTTAGCTAGGGGAAAATTGTAACTGAAGAAAGACAATATAATAACTTGGCATTTTTTTCTTTTCCCTACGCCTCCTCAACAGTTCACCTTGCCACCCCGCTTCGCTCTTCCCCTCTCTGGGGATAAAAAGACGAGAAATTCCATTATATACTCTTATTTACTCATTGCTTTATAGTAAATATTATAGCATTTTCTATTTTTTCTTGTTACAGTTTCCATTCAACAGCTTATTATTTATTAATAATACCCGACTAAATATAATGAATATATCCAAAAAAAATGCTAGATATTGTTTTCCAGACTAATATATACAATATACAGTATATTGCATAATATTAATTAACTTGGCGCTCTAGTCTCTCAATTAGATATCTGTAGTATAAAAATACACTAATATTCATCCATGTTCGTGCTCTATTGATCTCTTTATTTCATAAATGTTGTCAGGTAACTGAAGCTTTGAAAGGAGAAATTTGGCTTTCAGTCTATAAATTAATTAGGATAAATATTTATTTTTTTCGCTTAAAAAGCGGCCATTGTGCTATATATGCCTATCAAAAGAAACTGACTACACTTAATTAGATCTGGTAATTATCTTGTTTAAGACATTAATTCTATCAATATATAAATATGGCAAAAAAATAGGTCAATGTAATTATTAATGGTTACAAAATACTACGGAATGATAAAAAAAATACAGTATTCTTAATTATAGTTATTTATCTATTGAACAAAAAGGCAAATATTCCCAATTTATAATAGTGTTTATCTCATTTAGTTTCTTTAACCTATCTGAGTCTTAGCGCTTTTTGGGTCAGTAAAGCTTAGATAAAATTTATCTTAAGCTGTCCTGTAGCGAAAAAAGAGGTTAATAAATCATCACTAATTCTTCGACTTGGAATCCTGTATTCTATACTAACAGCAGAATGAGGAATTTAATGAAAGCTTTTAACTAGTGAAAAGCTTACAAGAGTGTAACGATCTCAAAGAGTTTGTTACTAAAATATTAATTGCTTTCAAATAATCAAGCATCGTTTTTCAGTTTTATTCAAATATTGTAACAATTGGTTACTTTTAAAATTTTTCTTAATAAGAGATTTTATACTCAATTAATGCTTTTTTTAAATGCCTTAACTTCACTTTTAACTGCTCTAAAAGAAATAACTAAAGTGAAATTTCTGTTCATAATACAAGTTTTGTCTAAGGTTTCTAGAAGAAACCGTCCCACAATTCATTGTGTTAAATTTTAGACACAGTTTAAGTGTTCCGTTTGAGCAAACAAGAAACCAGTCACGTGATCAGATCGAGTAATCAAGCTTGCCGGTCCGCCATCTTGATATACGTTCCCATTTAACATTTGTACATTTTAACTTATCAATTTTTATCGCGGTATACCTCTAAGAACATGGAAACGGAACAAAAATTAGACATGAGTTTAGATGAAATCATCAAGCTAAAAGGAAAGCCAAAAGGAAAAGGCCGTGGAGGAAAAGTTAATAGGGGACAAAATTCTTTTCGTAGAGGAACTGGACGAAGCCCAAGAGGCAGAGGTATTCAGAAACGCCAAGCCGCCTTCAACAAACAGGTTCGTAAGCCAGTACGTAGACCTTTTTTTTATCTCAACTCTATGTAAACTATGAAAATAAAAATAAAAATAAATAGAGAGATTTGCCGGACGTTTGGGAACATGATATGTTTGATGGTAATCAGGTTAAAGGAAAGGCGGCGTTTTCACTTGGACAAGGCTCTAATGGGAAGATTCTGGTGTCGAACTTGGACTATGGCGTTAACGACTCTGATATTCAGGTATATCCAGTTTTACTTTCACTATGAATAACCTATTTAAACACCTCGTTGCTTTTTTTATTTTAGGAATTATTCGCTGAATTTGGACCCTTGAAGAAGGCAGCAGTACATTACGACCGATCGGGTCGTTCTCTAGGAACAGCAGAAGTAATCTTCGAGAGATATGGGGATGCTGTAAGAGGGATGAAGCAGTATAATAACGTTCCACTTGATGGTAGGCAAAAAATTTAAAATAAACCAAAAAGCATAGAGCGCGAGCGAGAAGGACAGCACAGAAAAAATCATATTTCACTCGAGGTGAAGAGTTGTTAAATTTTAACTCAGCGCCTAAAGTGAGAAAGTAAAAGTGGGGGAGAATTTCCGCTACATTGCTGCGTATGTGCCTCTTATTCGTGTGAATATTGTTCTGAACGAACTTCTCTTCTCCTCTGTGTGTTTGACTCTTCTTTTTTGGACGCATCCAACAAATCATTTGTTGTGTTGGTCTGTTATTTACAACGATTTTCAGGGAGGCCAATGAATATTCAATTAATTGGAGCGACAGAAGGTACAGGAGGAGGAAAATTGGGAGGGTAAGCTACAATTTACTGCGAAGAAAGTTTTTTAATCATTTCCATGATTTAAAGACGACTTGGAGGGAGAGCCGCACGCGGAGCGCCAAGTACACGAAGAGGTAATACAGGCAGAGGAGGTGGACGTCGAGGACGTGGTGGCACAAGAAATGTTCCAACAGCAGCTGAACTGGACGCCGAACTGGATGCTTACAACTCAAAAGTAATTCTTTGATTTTCATATAAATTTGTGGTTTGCTAATCAGAATAAATATGTTACAGATGGAAACGTAAACAACTACAAAGTACTGCGAAAGGGTGTTTGTTGTATAAACGTTAGTGCTGCGTTGTTTTCATTTTTAAACATTGTTACCACTTTTGGACTAAGTAAAGCTGTGAAAGAAGTTTTTGTAAAATACATATATTTCAGAAATTAGTTAAATTTAATGAATAATGCATGTGATTTATTTCAACTCAAAATGAGTCCAAAACACATAATATATAGTATAGAAGACTGTAGTCTTAGCTTAAAAGAGACGCATCATTAATATGGAAGAGAAGATAAGACTAACGCCAGCAAATACAGCCGATGCACCTGAAAACGAGTAAACGTCAAATTAAACAAACAGCTATCGAAAACTTACCGTTTGGTTGCTCAGTTGTCGAATTGTAAGGCAAACCGAGAATCTTCAATTGATCCTTGGATAGATCCTTCCTTGCTTTTTCAGAAATAGCAAGTGCTTGCTGTCTGCTGAAGAAGCCTAATTGGGAATTAGTGAGTGTCTTCAACACAGATCCAGGCAGATGTTGAACACCGCTCTCAGTCCAGCTCTCTATGTGTTTGCCTTCAACCTGTTTAAAGAAAGCGATATAATATATATTTTACTTTTGAAAACTTAATAACTGACTGATTTCATGTCGTCGCTCTCCAATCCTCCAATGATAACGCCTGCTTGTGCATGCTTTCCAGCGTTCCAATCTTTAACTTGTCCGAAAGCATTAGCTGTCTTCAATACATCTGCAAGGGCCTTCAATTGATCGTAAGGTACCCATTTGAGATCACCGATTGTTGGAGTCTCCTTCAAGGCGCTTCCTTTAATTTTTGAGATCTGAGCAGTGGTCAATCCACCAACAATATGTGCCATTGTTGTTAAGAGAGTGGAGTCTAAGGTGGAAGTGTCTGTAATTTGTCTCTTGTTCAAAAATGCTTTTGCTAAAGCTTGAAGTTGTTCTGGAGAGAATTTAGAAAGACTTCCCAACTCTTGAACAACGGCATCAACATCCATTTTCAGACAGCTCAATTTATCAACACTTAGACCATATGAAATTGATCCTATTCTTGCTTGATCTTCAGCGTCCTTGCTGCAAGGATCTCCTAATTTGTTAACCAAGGCTTTCAACTGATCTTCACTCCATCTTCTGGCGTTTCCACCCAAAAAGTCTAAGCAATCGGAGAAGACTGCATCATCCAATTGGGACAATTTATCGGAGCTCAATTGTTCCACAGCTGAACCCATAGCTCTAAGATTATCGCAAGTTAAAGATGGAGTTGCTCTCTTCTTTCTCGCGATAGTGGTGGAAATTTCAGTTTCAACACTTGTTACAACCATAGTTCTGACCTACATTTTAAGTTTTAAATAATATTTTAGTGAGAAATTGAAAAGGAAATGCAAAAAAATAAACCTTTAATTTGAATGAAGTCATATAAGTTCGGTCTTCAGCATCAAAATCTCTTTCGCAACAGACCATGTCGTTCTCTTCGTCATCTGATGAATCTGTTTCGATATCTGAAAGAGTTTGTTGAACGTTGTCTACAAGACTCGATCTTATATTTTTGATGAGTCCTGGATCGAATTCGGCCAAAAATGAGCCATATTTAGTGATATCGCTCTCAGTGAATAGTTTGGATCCTCTTTTGCTGATTAATTTCTTGATAATATAACTTCTAGCTTTCTTATTCAAGCAGCTCTTTCTGAACAATTGAGCTTTATTGTCAATGACTGTTTCATCAAGCTTTTCCAAGAGATCTTGACTGTAGGGCAAGAGGGAACCTAAAAATGAGGCTTCCTCATCAGAGATTTTTCCATCGTCATCAGCATCTAAATAATTGAAGCAGGTGTTTGCAATTGCTGCTCGTTGTTCTGCAGACAAGCAACATTGAAGTCTTGTCGTCGATCCTATCTTTTTACAGACAGCTTTCCTAACATTAGAATGCATGTCTTCCAAGTCTGAGGTAGCAAAGAAAGCCAAGCATATAGGGCTAAATTTTTCAACATCCGTCAATGTCAGTGAACTCCATGGGTTATCTTTATTCTGTTGTTGTAAAGCCTCCATCAAAGTTGTTCTGATGGCTTTGGCCTGCTTACAGTTCCATCCCGCTTCATTGCATAATTCGATAATAACCTTTAAGCGCTTAGATTTATCAAGTAATGATATTGAAGTAGAATCAATTCCCAGCAGAAGTTTAATGTTTTTCCTAGGAAGTAATAGAGATATAAGCGATAACGTTGAATAATATAAATAAACAATAATATATATTACTTGACATCTTCGTAGTTTAGAACTGGCTTATATTTAAACAATTTTTCGGTTACATATCGTCTCTGAAATGATAAATGATATCAAATTAGGTCTATAGCGAATGACTAGAGAGATTTTCATATTTGTACTTACTAAATGGAACGATTTGATCGTTTGTTTAAGAGTTCGTAATTTTGAAAAACTAGCTTCCGTATTGGTGAAAACTGAATCGAAATCTCTAATATTAATATTCCTTGATATATGACGGCTAGAAAGGAATTTTACAACTGTTGTTGCGTCACTTGACTGAGTAAATCGGCTTGTAAATGCTTTAATTGAACCCCGATTTCCGTACGAAGATGCAACGATTAATTGATCAATTCTTTGAACTAGAACAGTTTTACTAGTGGATATGAAGGTCTTGGGACTGACATCGAAAGCCGCATTTCCGATTCTAGCGAGAATTGTATCGTCGTATGTAGTGACATCACTGTAACACTTTCGTGCTATATAATTTTCGTATGGTTCAGAAAACTTTCCTAGTTTACTGAAAATTGGTTTGAAATGATCTAACACGCCACTATCGCAGATAACATTCTTCTTTATCTTCTTAAATTGAGTGAAAGATATAGCAATAATGGCGTAATTCAATTCTTTAACTTCGATTATTGTAAATTCGCTGGTTATCTTTCTCTTGCCATTGAATTTTGGCCAACATTTAGAGAGTATATTAGCCATATAAGTCCATCCAACGGAGAAAGGATCAACATTTGCGCAAGTGATATGCTTAATGATTTGTTTAGATTTAATGCAATATTTCAAAGATCCAATACTGAAAGGAAAATTATCGTTTTATTAAAAAACATTACTTTAATGAATGTTAAACGAAAATTAATTAATTAATCAATTACTTGTCATAGATAGAATTGAAGTTGTTAAGGGCAGCTATTCGCAAGCCAAGCTCCATTCCGCAGCCTCTTTCACAAATTGGACTATATATGGCTGTATCATAGTAAGAACCAGGCATAGAACTTTGACCAGGTTTACATTGAAAATCAACATGACCAAATTTTAAAGATACTCTATTGGTTATAATTTGTAGAATCTATAATTTGGAAAAGGAAGAAGAAAGGATTTAAAGAAAAAAAGACAGTTATTAAATGATTCAATATGTTTATCTTACGTTTGCATTACTCAATTTATTCGATTTGCAGTAGTTTCTATGCATATACGGAAAGAATAGATAGGCTAATTTAGCTTCATCCCAATCATTTAAATTCAAATATTCCGCTATTTTATCAGCGATAAAATATTTAATTCGACAAGGCATAGTTTTGAATAATCGCCATGAAATCTGCAATTTATAATCAACTGTCTCCTCAACAAGTACTCTAATGATTATCTTCAAGCTAAAATTCAAAAAATATTCATATTTAATTCATGCATTTATCATGTTGATAAATTAATTTATTGTTATTTATCTTCTTACTATTGGATAATGGTGGTTTTACTCTTAATCAAGATAAATAGCTCGTATTTGGTGAATATTAATAATTCATTGCCAGGAATATCTCCAAAACCACACTTTCCAGAATATAATTTAGTAATTTGTGATGGAACATCGCACTAAATAAAAAAGTAGCGGAGAATGCATTAATAACAGTTGCTCAGGTTGCTATTTTGTTTACGAACATCAGCTTCCTCTTTTAATTTTTGTAAGAATGTACATTCATCCTTTTCAGGTACAGAGCATTTGAGGAGGACCATAACGAACGGTTGTAGAAAAGTGTAGGATGACATATGACACGCTTGGGTAACCGCAGCAGCAAGAGGTAATGGTTTCTCGGTGAGTAGGGAACACTATTTGGGATACATATATTTATTTATCTATTCTTACGTAAGAGTATTAATTAAAATATTATCATACATCATACTCCAACTTCAAGAAACAATCGTAAGGTAAATAAGCAGCATTCAATAACTTGATCAAATTTGGACCGTTCTTTAGTCCTTTTTCTTTAAGGAAAAGCTTCCATGCTTCCTTCAATTCAGTGCTACAGAACAATGTATAAGTGAGGCATCATTGAATGAAATATGAATTGAAAAATAGAAATTATGAATAAAATTATCGATCCAAAACTTTTTGAACAGATAAATTGAAATATTTCACAAAGGAATTTTTTAAATCAGTAATACAGTATCATAGGGAATACTATGCCTAACTATTTTCTCCTTGCTTATTTAATAGTAAACAATCTAACTCGATATTAAATCACTATGCAAGATTTTTAAACAAAGTATTAATACTGTTAGTTTTTTAACTTACGATAATTTTGAAGCTGGGCAATTACAAACAGTTTTGTAGCGTCCTGTAGGTCCCTTTCCTTTACCCGTGTTACCTTTTCCTTTTCCTTTGGCGGTATGACCCTTTCCTTTTCCAGTTGGGCCCTTGCAGTAGTCTCCCGTAGGACCCTTGGCAGTTGGACCTTTGGCAGTTGGGCCTTTGGCAGTTGGGCCTTTGGCAGTTGGACCTTTGGCAGTTGGACCTTTTCCTTTTCCAGTCGGACCTTTTCCTTTACCAGTTGGACCTTTTCCTTTACCAGTTGGACCCTTAGATTTACCTAATAAGAAGAGTATGACGAACAAGCAACTGTTAAATCTTTCAGCTAACAAAAATAATAAATACAACTAACCCTTTCTAGGTTTGGCTACATTGTCATCAGCATACAATGTAGCAACGAGAATGATTAGAACAAGGAAACACAGAAGATACAACCTCATCTCTGAAGTTCGTCTCGAAGGCAAATGAAAACGTAATAGCTCAGTTAGTCGTCAAACAAAGGTGTGACTATATGAGAATATGATATTGAATAGATTTCTGTTAAAGCTACAAGATAAAGAAACCAGCGCCCTAACGCCCAGTTTTAAAATATTCAAACCTGGATCGCGCCATATACGTAAGCAAGAAAATATATGCATATGTATGACTAATAGTAGAATGTTTATTCTATTAACATTGACAAAAAGATGTTTGCAAAGTTTATTAACAAAACTTTTGGTAACAAATTCTTTAAATGTTCAAAATGAGAATATTTTTCCCTTTGTAAGGTCAAACTAAAGAATATAAGAGAAAATAATAAAGTTTTCAGTACGAAAATTCACTTTCAGATGATAATTTTTGTGGCAAAACTGAAGACTAAGAAGGGATTATCTTTTGTTTAATCTTAATGTAAAATATTGAAAATTTATAAGATTTAAGCAAAACCATGTGAACCAGTGTTATACTGTATACTATACTAATATATTAGAGAATATGGGTAATCTAGTTGAGTTCGTGGGGTGGGGCACATAGACTGACAAAAATAGTAATACGTAACAAGCTATAATTGAGTTGATTCAATGTTGATTTAGTGATGATTGTAATATGTTTAGAAGACTTATGTATATTATTATATACAGTATACAGTATATACTGTTTATATACAAGTATATACTTCATTCTTTCTTACTATCATTAGATTTTGCAACAGTCTCTTTAAAAACAATATTATTTATTAGCGTTTAATAAATGTTTATTAAACTCTCCTATCATCAGCCATTCATTCATAGTACAATTACTTATGATTTTTCGAATAATTGAATATCTTTTTTTAGCCGATATCTTACGTCATCGATCAATATTTTGAAATAATTCTATGCAATAGGTAAAAAAAGGGACTGGCCAAGTACTTTATATATTATTATATTTCATTCGAAAACTATTTATCCTTTCTTTATTCTTTATAATTTGCATACTGAAAAAGTTTCATTTTCTGTTTTTTTTCTTCTATTTGTTTAACTAGAACCAACCATGCTTCGTTGGTTCTAAGAGTATAGGAGTAGGTTACGCCCTTCTACGTCTCCTTGTAGTTATAGCAAAGATAATCGCTAATTCCCCACCCACGCCGCCCTTATATTTATTTAAAGAAGAGATATATGTAAACAACCGCCTATATATCATTAAAAAATAATACCGTCGATATTTTCTGTTAATAGTAAAAAAATTAAAAAGTGACCTGCTCCCATTCCCTCATTTCCACGTTAAATGGTAGGCAGGATATACTGATGTAAATAACTTATGTTACTCAAGATTTTTTTTATATTTCATATTTCATTGAAAATATGATGAATCATCTTTTACATCAGTAAAAAAGAAATACTTTTTAGTTTTACTACTTTACCATGAGACCAGTGGTATCTCTAAATTCGTATTACAATTATTACAATTTAACAATTTAACAAATATAAAGTTTTCACAACTTTACAATGAATAGGAAAACGATTTTGAACAAAAATAAGTCTATATAATATTTAATCTATACTATCGTCTATATTCCTGATGGCTAGGTGCTGCAATCTCCGAGTTTGTATGATGTTTCTCGTCTTTTCGTTTATAATCGCCTATTGGCGCAACAGCTTTAGTTTTTATGTTTTGAAATGTTGCGTTTCGTTGTAAATCCCTAGAGTGTTTCGAGTCTTCTAAATGAACAGTAGAGTTCCAAATGGACGGGGGACCAGGTAGTCTTCGTCGTTTTGCGGGTACCACGTCTGGAGGTGGGGATTCTCTTTGCTTTTTTGTAAAGCTTAGCTTTTGAGGAGGGATACGTATAGTTGGCTCAATTTTACTTGGTTGGTCAGTCGGAGGTGATTCAATGGCTTGCCTTTGCTCAACGCTTTCTGGTTCCTTCTCATTTCTCCTTGTAATATCAGCATTTGCTTTTATTATATATTTTTTCTTCCAATTTGCAATTTTCTTATTTGAATAATTGACATCTTTAAGACTGTCATGAACTTTTTCTTTTGTGACTATTTTGGACCCTACTATTGTTGGAATTGGCGATTGAACTTGATTATTTACTTCCAGTGCCATTTCTACTGCTTTTAAAGAGCTTTGTACAATATTCTATAAAAGGAAAGTCTTGTCAGATTTACACTTTAATTGAAACACCACACAAACCTCCAAGGTTGCCTGATTTCCTCTTTTAACTATATGATGATATTTTGTAAATAAATATTTATATTTATCATATTTCTTTTATAATGAAACAAATTTATAATTACCCGAACAAACTTTGTCTCCCGTTTCATCAGGCTAGATGGACAGTTTAAGTTTCATAAATTAACGAGTCATTGCTATATACTGTATTTATAATATAGAGACTTACGTTTAAAAAATCATTTAATGCATCATGATAATTTACGTAGGCGTAGAGTTGATGGAAAACCATAGTTTTCCTGAATTTACTTACATCTTCATCATCATCAATGAAAAAACTTCTGAAACAGCTATACTCCATTTTATCCAATGCTTTTTGTACAGATCTATCCAATATAGAAAATAAATTAATAAAAACATTCAATTTACCCATTTCAAATTTACATATAATATATCAGAGTTTCTTTGATGCTTTCCATAATCTTTTTAGCATTCGTGGTCTTGTCACAATATTTTTCGAGTATGATTTTTCGCTCAGTTCTTAACTTTTCAACATTATGCGACTTTTGACTAATAGCTAAGCTAAGATATCTACGAATTTCAATTAGTTTGCTCATGTCACTCTCAGGAATTCTAAAACGAGAGTACAACATGAACGTCGAATCATAGGTGGTCACTGCTTCTCTCTCACTCTCAAGAAGTGCATCATCCTTAAGCCTAGAATACATGTTAGTTATTTTCATTGGATCAATTTTCTTCAATTCATCTTGTAGCTGTTGAATTCGCAAAAATAAATTACAATTTATTTCTTTTTCTTCACTCTTACCAATGCTATCCTTTTATCAAGATTGCAAATTTCTAATATCAACTCACTGCTTTGGGAGGTTATTAGACTCCTCGACTTTTCAAGCAAAGAAGCAAGATTAACTTGCTTCTTGGCAATTTTTTCCTATTGGAATGTATAATATCTTAGTTAACTACTTTCATTTGTATGTTAAAATTATTACCAATGTAAAATATGAACAGTAATTGAGTGGAGATATAGTTTTCTGAAAGAAGGAATTAAAATGTTAGTTTAAATTACTAAATTAAGTCTGTTGTGGTAATGTATTTTGTACTGATCTAATGGGATTTTATAAGAATTTCTAACACTAAAATAATGTACTGTGTTTTTTCTCAATTTGAAATTGGGCTCAGATTTTGAATCAGGTGTTCTGTACTTGAGAATGTGCAGAGTAAGTACTGTTAATATTTCAATATACTGTATAGCTGAGCAGTGTCAACTGATAGTACTCGCTTCATATTCTGTGACTACTCAGATATTATATATATGCTGTTTGTGTACATATACAGCAGTTTTAGAATGATTTTTTAGTTTCATAGGCTTAATTTTGTAAACTTGTGGGAAATATGTTTAGGCATTATTTGTAAATATCTTCCACCAATTTTCCTATTGAAATACTCTACTAGGTATAAGCATTTGAATATGACAACAATTTCAATTACTTGACGATTTATAAAATCTTCAGCCGACTCATCATCTTCTGATATATCCATATCTGTTATGTCATAATTTTCCTCTCCCTGTTTAAATTTGGTCGCCTGAAATTTCTTCCAGACGTTTCTAGCTGCCTCGTTTTCTTCTTTATTCTCATAATTTTTTTGTTTTGCTTTCAACTCAACCCAATCATTTGATGTACCTTGGGATATTTCATCTGAAGAAACGGGTAATTCAATAGATAATCGAGGACTATCATCATCGCTGGACTCTTGACTATTTCCCAACCAATCTCCATTATGAGAATTCAAGAAATTTTTCACTGGCTTAGCATTTTCATGTAACGTATTGCATACGTCATTAGTATCTTGACTTTTGATCACTTGAAAGCCAAACAAATGATTGTCTGGATTTTTCGAACGTAGGCTTTGTTTGAACTTTTCTATTGTGTTCGACTTGTTGGATTTGCTTTCGGACATTTTTTCGGAGTCAGCTTCAGGTAGCTCATCTCGTTTTCCTAACAACTCCTGAGCTAAAGTTCTCTGAGCTTGTAAAACTTTCATTTTATTTTGGTTATCGGCACATTCTTCTTTCTCATCTTTGTTATCATTGGAAAATTTACTACTTTCTATGTGTGAATAACGAGTAGGTGGTTGTATTTTCGGTTGCCCCAAACCGCTAACGTTGTTTACATCAAGCCAGTCAAAAGCTTCGATTGTAGTATCATTATCAATCTCAACTGTTTGAGGTTTTAAAACATCCGGTTCGGGTAGCTTTTTATTTTTATCACCTTCGCCGAATAGAACATATTTATAAAAAATTTGAATGGTATCATTTTGACGAACAAGAATAGGTTGAACCATTAAATTTCCATTTTCATGCGAATCTTCTAATACAATTTCATTTGATTTTTCGATGTCTCTAATTTCTGGCTTTTTCTCACAATCGTTTTTAAGAGAAAGACTTCCAGACAGCTTTCTCTGTTTGTCCACCTGATTACTTTTCCAGTCGTTTTTTCTCTTTGGTCTGCTTATATCGTTTCTGTATGACTTGGATTTTGAGCTACGGGGGCTTCGACTAGAATGACGTCTTGGCGAACTAGAGTATTTGTCACGATGATATCTTCTATACTTATCTTCATAGTAAGATCTTCTTTTACCCAATTGATTAAATCGGTTTTTATCGAAGTAATATTGTGAATGATAAGTTTTTTCATCTCTACGACTGCTGTAATCACCATCCCTTCTACTTCTCCACGTTGAAGTTGACAATTTCTTTCCGTTATCAGTTGATCTGTACCCTCTTTCTTTCATATTTTCTTGTGTATCCATTTCTGAAATAATCTTGTTAGTTGAATCTGTATAATTAATATGCCTGTTGCTCATTGCTTGATCGTGATCTAGGTTTTGAAAGTCTTTATTTTCTGCTTGACAATTGGTACTTTCGTTTTTTTCTTTATTTGACTCAATGAATCTCCTAATCCGAGGATCTCGAGGGAGATTGCTTGAAAATTGTTGATGGTCAGCCTGAATTTTAAAAGCCAATAATTGCCAAAAATAAGAAGGTATTCCCAAATTACTAACTTCGTTTAAAGTATCCTCCCAAAGAGAAGCAGACTCTACATCATTGCTTAAAGAATTCTGATTTTGCAAAGTCAGCTTGACAACATACAGAGGCAAAATTTGACGGGGCCAGTCACACGGAATGACGTCAGTCGATTCCTTTAAATCGTAAACATAAACTAATGAGTTTACGATGTCTTTTTGTTCTGTTTTTTTCAAACACAACGAATCAAACTTCGTCGACAACTCTTGTTTTGATTCGTCTAAATCTTCAACGTATCGCCTCTTTCCTGTAGCAATCTGCCGATAATATTTAGATAATAATTAAGCTTTGGAAAACATATTGTGCTTGTTAAAGTTGGAGAAATATCGCAAATAGACAGAAGGGAAGAAATTATGTCGAACAATAAAAGTAACAAAACGAAAGCTAAAATAAAATAGAATCAGTAAAAGCATAGTCTAAAACTGATACAATTCCTTTCTGACCTATTTTTGAACCTTAAATCAGCTCGCCCTTTTTATATTAGAAATTGTAGCAGAAAAAAAATTATCTTTCTTCCTACTCTGATCTTTGAGACTTAAAACAGAAGAAATTTTTATCAGACAAATTTCAGCTTTGAATATAGTCCATGGTTTGTATATACAAACTTTGACGAACGCCAAGATATGCCCACTAGACGTAAACTACATGTAGCACAATAGCTTGTGTTAACAGTTACACATTGGAAATATTACATAATCGTACTCAATGTGGAAAGTATCAAATGTTCACCAAAATTCTATGAATGCCTTGATCAAAAGATATTATAAATTTGAAAACATGTCTTTTCCTCAAAAGAATCTAGCTATAAAGACATTTTTAACCTATTCTATTTTGTATTTTGTTTAAAGAAACAGAGCCAATAGTCCTTTTCAGAGGTAATATATAACAAAGGTGGATAACAAAGATAGTAAAGTATGAATTTTGTAACAGAATTTCGCTACATGTTGAATAAGCAATTAATTTTAAAATGGTTTCTAAAATTTCTAAAAAATAGAAAAGTTAATGATTGCTTCTCCCATTAAACAATTCATTCTAAATTACTTAAACTCTCTTTTTGTCAATATAGTTAACAATATGTTCCAACACTATGCAATACCATTCCGTTTTGATTGAGCCCTCAAATACATCTTCTGTATGGTTTTCCTCAAAGTTTATGATCAAACTTTAAAAGATATTTACATACAGTATATGTCACTTAAAGAAAGATCATATTTTTTTAAATATAAAAGTCAAGCATAAGTGTCTCTACGATACTAACTTAACTATTTGCTAATATGAGTGTAATAGAAGAAACAGGATGTTTTACAGAATGCAACGAAATAGAATTATTTACCTTGCATACCAATACATAACATTCACGGTTTGAGGTAGCTTTTAAAGCCGACTCTAAAGATCTTAACATCGAAATGCCGTTTTCCGCTTTGCCTGGAAAGAGAAACGAAACGTCGCAAAAATTTAACTGTCTAGTTATCATTTTCAAAAAACAAGATGTGCTGCTATGTTTTTTTTCTTATTGTCTTTTTTATGCTCTTTACGAATAAAAACAGAGAATAACAAAAACTACATATTTAAATATGAAAAATACCCAGTTTGTTGGCGAAACCACCCAGTTGTTTTTTAGAGTCTTGTAACGATACACCCCAATAACAGATTGCTTCTACAAGAGGCTCTGAGTCAGAGAGGTAAAATGTTATTTCTTGATTAACTATTCCAAATAATTTTTTCAGTGATTGAGACTTCTGCCTGCATTTAAAAAACTTGTCAGAACCTCCAGTTAAAATGAAAATATTTCACCTGAAACGCTGTTCTATTACAGCATTCTTGCTGGACTTTATATAATCAACATTCCATTTATTCTCTAACCAATTTTCAAATTCCTTGCTCTTAGAATCGTCTTCAGTTCTCACTATCATTTTCCATACTTTCAGCCATTCACTATCACTTTTTTCCAAATTTCTCATTTGATTTATTTTATTGTATTCTTTGTATTAAAAGAAAAGTTAGCTCTGGAAAGTCATATTTAACATAGTTGTTACCTTTACTTTGGGTTTCCGTCATGTTGTTGTTTAGTTAAAGAATCTAAAACTTTTAAATTGTCTCATGTTAAGATTTCATCTCGTAATAAAACTACGCTTTTACAAGACCCCGCAAGACCAGAAACGGAAATAACAAAGTAATATAGTGGGACAGTAATCATCTTCGCAACAATTATTAAAAATAGGTCTCAGAACTGGGAACCCTATAGTTTGCCGCATGCTATGTAACAAACTATTCCAAAGGTCATTAATTTTACATTGAATGGCTTATTGAGAGTAGATAAGAAAAGTATTACAATCAATATTGATAAATTTGTTAGTAAAACAGTTTGCATAAAAAAATAGAAAACTTTAACATTGATATTAGCGTGCTCTATTCCTCAGTGATATAGGAGCTGCAGTTACTTCTCTAACTGTTAGTACCATCCTGCTCATTTTCCCTATGTCCAACGCACAAGTAGAACAAAAATTCTTCCACAATACACAATATCTATCTTCACAGAAATATTAACCAAAGGAATCATATACCTAGTATTTGCCAATAGAGTATATTGAAAAAAAGTCGAAATGTAACAGCCAACTGAATAGTTACTAAGATGTAGCCATATAAACTGAACAGTTACTGCTACTGACTACGAGTTGCTTTATATAGGTTTGGATATAACAAAGAATAATTTATCTTCTTGTAACATATTTACTGCCTTTATATCTTATTTGGGCGCTTGAACAGCAAGGTATATTTCGCGGTGCACGTTCGCTAATGAGTATAGTATAGTTGTTCTTAGTTTGCAATGGACATTGATGGCATATACCGGAAAATGGCAAAGTGCGTGAACACTATTGTTACAGGGAAGCTTAGTGTGTGCATTGAAGCTGACTTCATGTATCTATCTATCCACACTCCAGGCGTAATAAGAATATGATGTTTACTCAGGAGACTTAAACACCAATAAATACCCTAATGGGCAATGTCTCAATGAGATATGGTACTAACAACAAAGGACATCAAGCTACAGATGTGTGAACCGGGTGAGTATTCTTGCAGACTAATGAGTCTACTCAAGAGATCTGCATACCAATAAACACCTTAACGTACAACTTGTTCAAACAAGACAAGCGTTCTTTTGATAACTAAAACATATATAAAGATGTAGGTATTCGTTGTCAGGGTAGTTGTAACTAGTGTCCTGATGTACCGTTCACAACTTAGTAATATTCTTTTTGATGTTGTACTTATTGAATATACCTTATTTGGAGAATATCAGTGTTTCGTTTATACTCTTCGGCGAATATACACTATGTAGGGAAACTGTGGAAAAAGAGCCTAGTTCTACTTGAATAAGAACTCTAGAACGTTGGTAAACGAACGAGATGGATGATATTCTTATATCGTAAAAAGAAAAGATATCATAACCATTGCTGTTGATCCAGAACGGAGCTTACCCTTTGCGTTTCCTCACAAAACAAATATGGACTAGTATAAAACTACACTCACGTATAAACATATGAGAGTCAAACTACGAACACGTGCACAATTAGAAGCAATTATAGTACGAATTACAAGTCTACAATTTTTGAAAGGTTAATGCCTAAACTTTCTACATTGAATTTATAAACGCTGCATACCTTAACAGATCCAAAAGTATATAGCACGAGTTGCACAGTCAAATGTATGCTTGAGTATGAAGTATTTCGAGAGGCCATTAGTATGAAAGTACTCAAGCAGTAAGACTATGAAATATATTGAAAAAAAAACTGTACAGAGAGTATTGATACATTTTAGCAATTAATACCTATTGTTCTCATAACAAATGGATTAATTACTAAAAAAATAATTGTACTTGGGGGTATTCGGAGAGGAGAATTTGTGATATCATTCCACATTGGATCCTCAACTAAAATTATTTTTTCAATGGTCCAAAATACTTGTCCAAGTAAAATTGTTCATTCAGAAATAATGATATAGTAATATTTAGACTTTAGATATAAAATGAACTTTGAAAGGCTTTTATTTTATAGGAATTGGAATTATGGAATTTTAGAAAGACTTTCAATTAGTAGAATTGGAATGACAGAACTTTCTATAATAGATAGTGTTATTATAGAATTGGTAAAAGAACAAAGAACTTTAAAAAAGATAGGTCCAAAATTATTTTTACTTACCACCAGATGTTGACAAGACAGGTGTGCTGTGTGGCAATACATGTTCACCATGTAGCCTTTGTTTAGGGATTATATTTTGGATATACAGTCGCGATAATAAGTAATTATAACAAGAGCGAAAGTGTCTAAAAATCTAAACATTTTGATTTACATATAAAGTGTATGGTTGTGAATATTTTTATCTGTAGGATAGATGACTTGCGAAACATCTAGCACAATTTCTGATGAAAATCTATATTTGAAGCATTAGTTTTTCACTCTTTTTTACAATACTATGAATTTTGACCGCCATTAAGTAATTATAACACCGTCACTATGACCTCATAATTATGAGTAGTGTCATTGAAAAAAAAAATTGGCCTACAAATATTGTTCCCTTCTCACTAGAGAGATTTCACGATCTAGTGTGAAAAAAATTCTTTGTAAATACAAGTTAAATGGGAGAATTTCAGCAAAAAAGCCAGCTCTAAATAAGAAGCAAATCAAAAAACGGATACAGTTTTGCAATCAAAAACTGAAATGGAGCTCAAATATGCAGAGAAAAGTAATATTCAGTGATGAGAGCAAGGTTGAACTCCATCCTCATCGAAGGGAATATGTCAGGAGGTCAGTTGGGACAAGAAATGATCCAAAGTACACAACTAAAGCTGTGAAGTTCGGTGGTGGTAATATTATGGTATTCGGTTATATAAAATATGGTGGAGAGAGAGGACTCTGCAAAGTCCCTCCTAGGATGAATACCAAAGGTTATATTGATATACTTTCAGAAAATGTATTACCTAACTATAAAAAGGGAGAAATTTTCCAACAAGATGGGGCGAGCTGCCTTACAGCAAAAACAACCATTGCATTTATAAAAAAAGAGATGAAATTGCTACAAAACTGGCCTGCAAATAGCCCAGATATTAATATTATTGAGCCCATTTGGGGTATTTGCAAGAAAGAAACAATACTTAGGCAACCCAGAAATATAAAACAGCTGTGGGAAATTTTTGAGGAGGAATTCTTCAAAATTTCGAATTTTGAAATTCAAATATTGTATGCCTCCATTGAAAGAAGGTTGAACGCAATAAAAAAGGCAAGGGGTATATGCATACAAAATATTAAATACTATAATTTTGTCATATACAACTGTATACCTATCTGAAAATGTATAAATAAAATAAAATGAGTACTTTTCATGGACTCGGTCAATTTGTTATAATTACTTAATGGCGGTCAAAATTCATAGTATTGTAATAAAGAGTGAAAAACTGATGCTTAAAATATAGATATTCATCTGAAATTTCGCCTGATGTTTCACAAGTCATCTATCCTACAGAAAAAAATATTCACAACCATACACTTTATTTGTAAATCAAGATATTTGGATTTTTAGACATTTTTACTCTTCTTATAATTACTTAATATCGCGACTGCATAATGTATTGTTTTTATGTTTTGTGACATATGTAATCCTTTGACAAAATGAACCCAAGATTTGGAAAATGTATAAAAGGAAATATATTTCCAAAGCTTGTTAGTTTCTAATCACCAAGTGTAGACTAAACTGCTCTTTTATATGATAATTAAGATATTAATAGATTGAGACATTTTAATGATGAAACCTGTTCAAAGTTTTGTTAGAAGAAGTAAAGAACTTGTAGAAAAATTCCTACCATTCAAAACTACTGAAATGGCTTGTGTTACTGAAAGAGTTAGAGAACTTCAACTCATAAGTGTATTCAGGAATGGTCTTAAAAAAGGAAAAATTGTAAACCATTTAGAAAAAGATGGAAAGATCAGCTCAGTGGATCAGTATATTAAACTGGTAAAATGAGCAGAAATATTTTTTAACAATGCAAGAAACGAAGATAATAAAGAATTCAAACAATTTAAAAGAAGACTTGGCAATAATCCAATTAATGCAAATCAGAATGAAAATGAAGAAAAAGGCACTATTAACAGACTAATACACGCCGAACCTGATGAATCTAACGAAAGGGAGACTTCTAAAGGAACAATGGCAATATATTGAGTAAAACTAGTTCTAAACACCTTAAGGCTGAACGAGTAATGCTAATGCTACGTTTTCTGGTTTTCCTTTTTATAACAATCTTCATCAGTTATTAAGGGATTGCTTATATCTGGCCCTTAGTAAAAGGTGTCAAGTGTAGGAAACATGAATTGTTTATAAGTTATTCACCCCTGATTTTTATTCATTTATTCAAGGAACTTAGGACAATCGGGCAAACCCTGTAATTATTCTGGTTGAAAGTATTGGCAAATGAATACTCTTATTAAATAGGATTTTGACGAACCAACAACTCCTGTAACTCGTATGATTACAACACAGCAAAGCAAAACTTCCGTAAATATTTTGGATGATAGCTATTGTTAATGATTTGTCCCTGACGAACATTAAATAGTGCTACTTGAATTTCGACGAATGAGTACATCACACAAACTGGATTTGACTGATCCGATTGCAATACAACAAAGTGCAAATATTATCCTCATAACAAACGCATTACTTACTAAAAAACAAATATACTTGGAAATGTTCTGAGTTGAGGATTTGTGATATTATTCCATATTAGATTGTCAGCTACAATCATTTGCCAATGCCCCAACAATAAGTTCTTCAACGGTCAAATCCGTTTACAGTAAACATTGGTACACAAATACTTTTGACGCTTTGACGTTGAAATGCATAATTAACCCAGGTGTGCCGAGCTTCCCGTCATAAAAAAAAGTTCGTGACATTGGCAAATGTTAAATTTAGCATATATTTGCAGCGTTTTATGTTTAAAAATGGAGGATCAAGTAATTGCTGGATTTAAAAAAGTCTTTATTTTTATTTTTTTGTCAGAATATACAATCTGATATCAAAGAGAGAGTCACATAAAACAAGTAATGCAACAATTTCAGATAAAAGTCTCATATAACAAAGATTTTATAGGCATATACTATCTTTTCAAGTTTCTGCCGTTTAAAAGTACTTGACGATATATCCTAAAAAACGCTTGTTTTTGAAGAGGAGTATTGAATAACGATAGAAATTCACTTTTTATTTAACTATTTATTACATACTTTACAAAAGAACAATCCTTTAAAATAAAAATTAACTAACACAACAAAAATACAATAAAACATGATGGAAAAATACTAAACATAATTGCAAGTTCTCTCGCTTAGCACAAATTTGTTAAATAATTATTTCTTATCTCTTTTACTCAGATCTTCAGCTTGAGCCGAGGCCGCTGCAACTGCCGCCACTGTTTGTAATAAAGCAATATTAATATAAGCCTTGAAAAAAATAAGAAGCTTTTAAAATCTAAATTTAAATTACACTATCCGCCAACACGCCGCACAACAGCAACTTAAAATAATCGTATATGTATAGTTATATATAGTAATTTATACAGTATATAATTACATTTATTTTATATATATATACTGTATATAACTATACATGTATGATTTTTTCAGCCACATAAATCTATATCTATTTTACAATTATAATCCGTTAAAGAAGAAACTTCACAATTGTTGTATAGATATATAAAAGGAGGAATATAAAAATCTAAACAATATAGTTCAAGTGTTTATATCGATTAAAAAGCTTATACACAACATAATATTTGCTCAGGATTTGAGTGCACTCGGACGAAAATGGGACAACAGAGCGTCACCTGTCGAATCCTTTCTAATCATTTTCGTCGGAGGCGTTCCGAGATCGAGTGCTACTGGCGTTAAAGGAGGAGCTGCAGATGCTGCAGCCAATAAAAGAGATGTTGCTGTTGCTGCGTTACGTGCTACCTTAGCGTCGTCTACTGATGTTGCTGCCGCTGCCGCTAAACCTAATTTTAACGCGCTGTTACTTTCGGTTAATGAACTAAATTAGAAAAACGACAACAACTAAAAGAAGCCTTCTCAAATTCGGTTAGAATCTAAAAAAGAATTACTGAAGCATCTAAGCCGTCGCTTTTTGAATACCTTTCGCTGATTTTCCTGACGATTTTTTAGAAGAATGCTGTTGGGCCACGTTAAGCTGTTGAGCTGCTGCTGCAGCCGCTGTTGATTTTTTTAGAAACGCGATATCACTCCACTCTACTTCAGTAAACTCTATTCGAGAATAGAGTAGAACATTTATATCTTACCTTGCATAGCCATAGCTGGAGGAACGATTCCTGTCGGGAAGGCATTAGCATATACTTGAGCGGCTGCTGATAAATATTCCCTAGCAGCTGCGACACTCGTTGTTGAAGGTGTCAAGAAAGTATTCGCTGCGCTAGAAGAAATTGTTGTAG